TATGCCATTTGCTCCAGAGATACTGCAGCAACTAGTTCCAAGCCACCCTATCCGTCGAGCATGCACATAAACAAAACAGTATGGACACTGCCAATTAATCTTCCACCCCCAATTCCGCCAATCGTCGATAGTACACTCGTCGGTCAGTATACGGCCATCCGCGGGATCAAATTGTACATCGCCATCTTCCCAGACCGACATTTCCACTGAGTCTTCCAGCACAGACGTCTCCTCCAAAAGCCCGAAGCCGAAATAGCGTAGCTTCGGACACTTCATCGCAGGTGGGCTGATGGAGAAGAGATCATCAAGCTCAACGATGTCCTGTCGCCGGACATGATAGGATACTGGGGGGGTGAAAGATATTCTATGTTTGGGGACGATGCCACGGTCGTAAACGCAGAAGACAGCGACTGCGAAATGGAATCACTGACACATTAACGCGAATGAACAGCAAGAGAGAGGAAGTATTTCCTCACCGAGAGACCGTCGTCGATCGGAGTGTTGCCTACTAATGAGCTTTAATGCCCTTAGTCGCGGATAGTAGCTAAACAATGGAACAATTAATGATATCCTTAGACGGACCTCCAACTCTAGAGACAAGCAAACCCTTCCGTCCAATCATTGATGAAGGATGATTCCAGGAACGTCTGTCCCCTGGAGCCTACAAAATCAGTCCTATGATCTGGGAGAGAGGGGAGGGATGAACTGATATATGCGCAGACAGACTGTTGAATGCTCAATACAGTATTGCTCATGCGCTGTGCCTCAGCCTGAGGTTACTACTATTGTAGTCTCCCAAAGGCAGACTGACACTTTGCTTCAACCTTCGTTCCTCAGGATATCCGTGTCTGGCGTCTGCTATCTATAAGGCGGTCCTTATCGGTAGGTTGGGTATTTTCATCTCCGCACATCATGTGCACGCGACGCGTCAAAACGCATTCTCATCTCCCCATGCAAGTCTCGCATTTCTGACGCATCCTCATAGTTCTCCGGTGCACAGGGTGTTCTCCTGTTATGTACTGTCTGTAGAGTGAATATATTTTTTTAGAAAATCTATGCCTCAGGGCCCTTAGAACAGCTAAATCCACTAGTACTGTATTTTCGGTGGGGATACCAGTATGTTGCACTGTTTACAACTTTGGTAGTGGTAGCCAGAGTGACTCCCAATTAGCCTTATAGATTTTTCAACTGTCTTATGCTGGAAGGAGTAACAAAATTATTGGGATGTGACAGTGTCCAAGTTCAAGCCAGAACTTTCACAACCCATCCTCAGTAGTTGCTTCTCTTGTTACCTATTGGATCTGTTTCTTTTGCTTGTCGCCTACAGCTTAAAAGGCATACCATTTGACTGAGATATCTCGAATGTAACAATGACCGCTTCCCTGAAGTATGAAGTAGTATCTGCGCACCACGAGCTTGCAGAGCACTTGTTCTCTCATTTCTAGCTCCGACTCATTTTCTTGCAGGCGAGTTGATCGGTCACATAATTCCTTCCTTGCAAGTCCAAGCTCCGAATGAAATTGGGGACCTACCAATAAGCCCCCCACGTTAAAAACTAGACTATACTATTGCCGATTTCAGAAGTCTTGTCGCGCGGCCAAATATACACAAATTTCCGCCTGGGCGACCTCCAACTTTGAACGCAGATATCTCTTCAACGGCTGGGCCGTTTCTCTTGATTCTTGCATTTTCGGACTCTCCTGGTCAGCGCGCAGGGCATGGTATCAAGAAAAATACATATTCGGACCGTTCAATACTCGCGGATCTGGTGGTCATCGCACTAGCTCAGAACTGACTTTCCGTGCAGCAGACAGCCCTAATACTGGAGAAAGTGTTCTGAGAGGACTTCTTAGGATCATAGAGAGGGCATGGTATGCAATTTGAAGGTATGCATGTGCTTGTTCTCACTGCGGGATTCAATCTGTGATCACAGCGCTAGGAGCCTGTTGCTAGATGGTCGGAAACATTCCCTTGTTTGCATTTTTTATATCTTACATGTTTTATGTTGACATCTGGATGGTTTTAAGCAGGCAGCAGATGGTAGAAGGCACTCAGGATAGTGGGGGTTGTGCTGCAGTTGGTATGACACTCAGGCCCTTGAATCCATTATTACCCATCTTCAGAACTGTCATCCTTCATTCCTGATCCATACATGAGTGCTATATGTATTCTGTACACAAAATACACCAGAATATTTGACAGTAGCATGAGTTCTGTAATCTCATGAGATGTGCTATGCAGTCCGAGATGAATCACATACAATCCAGACCCTCTCAGTCCACAAATGCATATCACTGCCCTGTCTACCATACTACCAGAGAGCCTCCACCACCTTCCAATGTTCTCTGACCCATCCAACAATGACAAACTCGCTTCTGAGCCAGAAGGAAGCTGCCAAAAACAGCGAACAGAGATAGCAGAGAAACAAGATGTTTCTTGATACCATGCCCTGCGCGCTGATGAGGAGAGTCCGAAAATGCAAGAATCAAGAGAAACGGCCCAGCCGTTGAAGAGACATCTGTGTTCAAAGTTGGAGGTCACCTAGGCAGAAATTTGTGTATATTTGGCCGCGCAACAAGACTTCTGAAATCGGCAATAGTGCACATTGCTTTTGTCCGTCGTCCATTTGCCAGGTTCCATCTCATTGACAGTATCTCAACATCGCTGACAAGAGTTGGACACACTCTTCCTTGTACCATATTTCACATCCCATCTCATTTCATCTGAATGGTCAGATCTCTACCCCCACATCAGGCTACCAGACGAGTTCAGGGTAGAGAAATGTCATTAGCCCCTGATACTGTTCATCCGATGCCAACGGCTACTCTGTCGAATGACTCAAACTTACCTGCATTCCCTTCTGAGACACTCGTAGAAATATTCCCCCATCTTCGCACTGCCGATCGACACCAAGCATCGTCAAAAACGGCTCTGCTAAATCTGACCTTAACGTGCAAGGCTTTCCTTTTCATGGCACAGCCCTTTCTGTTCGAGTCTTGCACATTCAATATGTCCCACTGCCGACAGGTATCTGTTCTTTTCCGCAGATGGAGCAAACTTGAGCCGCTGAATGTCGAAGAACACGAGCATACCCTGGGTAAACTGGCCTTTGTCAAGCAGCGACGGATTGCACCGTGGTTGAACAACTGCTGTCTTATCCCAGACAATTATCCATCAATGGCATTAATAGTCAAGAGTCCCCGCTCTGTGGGTGACGATGCTCATGCACGCATCATCGCCGATACCTTCTTTCATGATGTTTTACCCAAATTAACGAACCCATACATCTTACGATGACCCATGTCGCACTCAAGACATCCCACTTATATTCCCTGTGAGAGATACCGCTCGTCTTTGAATCATTCCATTTTGACTCATGTTCCATTGACAGGGAAGACGAGAATATTGTGGATGATGTTTGTTGTGACTGCAATGCCATTCTTCCTGTTCAGCAGCTGTGGGTCAAACCGAGTCAGATCTTTGGGCGACACGCATACATTCCCCTTCCTCACCCCGCGCATACCGAATATCTGTCGTATGTCCTAGACAACCAACTGAGCGATTCTCCAGAAGAGCACCTCCTGTCATGGCTCTCATCTATAGGAACATTCCCCTCTCTGCATTCACTGGAAGTTACTGGTGCTACATGTGATTGGTGCCCTATTCTCTCCCAGTGCCCTTACCTGGAGCAGCTCTCCTTCTGGCAGAAACACGTATCTACACACAGGCTCCTTCCCACCGTAGTTTCGAGTTAAGGGGGGCGATATACAAACATTTCACGCAAGCTTCATCCCAGAACATATCAGCCACCGATCACATGATAATCACGTGAAAATTCAAACTCCCTAACTTTATTCCCCCCAAACTTGAATGCTTCACTGGCGTCTGCGAGCTTGCGAGTACGACGCCAGTTAAGCGCCGGCTTTATAAGCGCGACGCTCACCGGAAGGCGGGCGACACGTGTTTCGCTCTCGAGGTCCGTGCGCACTTCCCCTAAGTAGGAAGGAAGTGCGGACAGGTCCCCTCACCTCCTCTCTCTCTACACGCCGCCGCCCCATCCCGGTCTCGCTTTTTTCTACCCACCCACCTCCCATTCTCTATTCTCTAGCCTGGTTAGGTATGGTCTCGTCTCCCCGGCTGACCCGCCATGGTCTGGCCGCGGGATCACTTGCCAGGCTCCGAAGGTTCTGCGGGCCGATCTCATCGGCTTTCCCCTTTTGGGAATTTGCGCCTCCGAGTTCCGCTCCCTCACGAAGCCCCGCAGAACCTTCCCCCCGCCCGTCGAAATTCGTATGCAACACTGCGTGGCGCACACCCATTTCGGCGTTCTCTCCCGCGGACAATTTTATTCGTCTCGAAATAAAATTGTCTCCCTCACGGCTCTTCCGCAGTCAGCGCGCTATATACAAAGCCTCCACTACGGCTGGCATCAAACATTGGAACAAACAAACGCCACCCGGGCGCGTCTCACAAATCAGGCAGTCGCGCACCGCATTTTCCGCAAAGCTTACCGGTATTCCTCCACCTGCTTGAGCCTCATCCGCTGTCTCGCAACCTTTTGTCGTGCTAAGTCTGAGATAATATAATGGATTTCATATATAACTAGCTATACAAGTCCTCTTCCGCACCAAAACTTATGTGCAAAGTGAATAACAAGGGCGTGCTGCTCTCGAGGTGCAACCTCCAGAATATATAAATTCCAGGAAAATGCGGTGCGCGACTGCCTGATTTGTGAGACGCGCCCGGGTGGCGTTTGTTTGTTCCAATGTTTGATGCCAGCCGTAGTGGAGAGTTTGGGGGGAATAAAGTTAGGGAGTTTGAATTTTCACGTGATTATCATGTGATCGGTGGCTGATATGTTCTGGGATGAAGCTTGCGTGAAATGTTTGTATATCGCCCCCCTTAACTCGAAACTACGGTGGGAAGGAGCCTGATCTACACACATCGATTCAGTATCCTCACCAACCCTGCCCTTGCTGAGGTTGTTCCGCGGAACGTGGATGGACGCGAAACGCGATGCACTGGGCCTGACAAAACCTCGACATCTCGTGATATCAGGAGAGCGCCCCCCGGGACCTGGAGAGTCGGTCGCTCTACCGTTCTTCAAAATAGACAGTGTGCTGGCTCTACATATGGGCTTGAGGGAGGATTTCGGTGACCTGGAATCGCTGGACCTTGTTATTTTCGTTTTTTTCAGATGGTCTTATCGTTCAGCTGCTTGCGTGCTGTCCACGTCTGCGGGCGTTGAAGCTCAGTGGTCCGTTCGAAGGCACCGGTCTTTCGGTGAGGACGCTAATAATATGCCTGTCCCTCAGTATCTGATGAACGGTGTCGCCTTCCAGGCGCTGTCGCGTGTATTGATGGCAGTGGCAACTTCGCCGAACGTGGAGTACCTTTCCCTTCCTTCCATCAACTTCAAAAGCGAAGACCTGCGTTTGATAGACGCCACGGTTGCATCTTTGTCGGCTCATCTGCGGATACATTGTCCAATGCTGTGTTATGTTTGCGTTCAGCTTACAGAGATTGACGTGCCGGTCCATTTTGCACAACACAGGCTTCTACGATTTGATCATTTTCGGGTCTACGAGACAACCGAATAGCGTACCATTGAGGATTGGAGGAATAATGCATTGCAGTGTTCGTCTACCCGGCTTATTTGGTGGAGATGAGGATGCCATTCTTTCTGTACTTCCAACGTTGTGATGCATTCTGTTCACGATGAGCAAAAGAATATGTCTGCAGTAGGGATGAAAATTTTGAAGCAGAGCTAGTAAATCACCAGACATGTGCACGGAGAACTACGCTACGTAGCAAACAGATATGAGTCAAATTACGATCCCGAGGTTGCTCAGGATCTCCACCGTGGTATTCCACAGCTCCTCCGCCAATTCTGGGCTCTTCGCATCCTGGTTCGGCGGCGAGCCTAGCTTCCCCGGTGGCTCGAGGTACGCGTCCTTGTAAACGTCTGGTTGGGCACGAACAGCCGGCGCGGCGGCGGCAAAGACGGAAGTGTACGCGCCCTTCGACGGGGTCGCCCAGGCGACGTCCACGAGCAAAGAGAACAGCGTCGAGACTACTGGGGGAAGGTGTGCGGCATCGTTCCGCAAGCCCTCTATGCGAGACGACAATTAATATGAGCAATATACTGTAGGAGGTTGGAGTCACACCTGTCCGTACGGTCCCTGGGTTAAGTGCCATGGCGATTATGGGCACACCGTCGGCGTCAAGCCGCTTCTGCAGCTTCTGAGTGAACAGAACGTTGGCAATCTTACTCCGGACTCATCATACAGAGTCAGGATATAGCAACTGCACCGGAAGCCGTGCACTTACAATATCTGGATAGACCCGGCGATAGATCATGCGCATGCTCGTCATTGAAGTCGCCGAGATTACGGAAGCGAACGCCTCGCTTCAAGAACATGATACCGTCTGAGGCAACCTGACATCGTGCATCAAATATGTGAAGAAGGGAACTAGTCGGGAGGGGCACCCACATTGACGATGCGCACGTCGCTGTTAGGTTCCTTCGCCGTTCGGTACAATAACGGTAGCAGAGTATTGGTAAAGACGAACGGACTGACGTGACTGAACGGCAGACTGTGAGTTGTGGGCGAGGAACATAGAATAGTCCTCCTACTTTATAGCCATGACATCTTGTATCCCTGCATCCTCCAATCAGTCTGAGTTATGTGGTAAAGTATCGTGAGAACATACCCTCGCTTGTCAGAGCATACGGGCCACGAGGCCTGGGCGTAATGTCATTGAGCTCTCGCCTTACGCACCTGCAAGGTACTCACATGGCCGCGTTATTGACTAGACAGAGCGATTAGCCGTAAGTGAGCGTAACCGCATGGATACTCGACTTACTTAAAACGTCTAATCTTTGTTCCTTTGCTATGAGCTGTTCTGCAGCCCTCTTCGCGTTACGCGGATCGCTCAGCTCAAGATCTAGCCAAACAATTTCGCCGTTCCCCGGTGCTAGACCTTCGGTCTGCAGCCGAGCTATCGCAGCCTTGGACTTCTCCTCGTTGCGCGCGGCCATGTATACCTTGGCGCCGTGCCGGGCCAAATGCTGCACAGTCGCATATCCAATGCCCGAGCTGTCAGGTCAACAGTCGAATCGAATGTATCAGTGGAGTTTTGATTCAACAAGGGCTGGTATGCTAACCTGCCTCCTGTGACAGCGATAACTTTGCCCTTCAAATCCGGCAAGTCGATGTCAGGATTGAACGATCGCGAAAAGAGGCCCATCACTGTATTCGTCTACGAAAAGATTCGGTCAGCACTTCGACTGTTGCCGCGCTATTTGCAGACTTCGTGGGAGAGAGTCAGGTAATTTGTCGGGACTCGGGAGAATCAGTTACTTCTCGACGGGTACACGTGGCTCGCTACCGCTGTAATGATCAAGTTGGCAACCTATCCATTATACAGGCACTTCGAATGGGCAATGCAATGTTTTGCGCCAATGGAGGACAAAGAGCAACGAATTCGTTGAATGGTTGGAAAACATGTCATGCCGCATCATACATATCCGGCCGTGAGTTGGTGCGGGGCGTCACGTCCACGTGACTACACCATCACGCGTATAATTCAAATGTGCGCTCACGTTTTGCGCTTGCTCTCCAATCACTGCAAGTAAGTATTCACTTTGTGATCCGGTCGAAGGCTTGACAATATTTTCTGCTGAGAGCTACACGCAACTAAGAGCCAGCGCAATTATCAAGAAGTTAGCGGAGTGCTTATCACGCAAGTTTACCTGCCAATGTTGGCTGACGCTAGTCTCGACGGACAAGGTGGCCGTGTAGGCGTGCTAAAAAGGCCAGAGCGGCAAAGATACGTATAGCAGGCGCCGTTATAGTTGATTTTCCCTCATGAGACAGCACGGGGTTCTGAGATATAAATATTTTTGCAAAATTTACAGTGCAAAATATTGTGAAATTACGTGAGCGGCACAGGGAAACGTCCCAAGCTGTCTGCGACTTGAGCTCATCGTGCGCGACAGCCAGCACGCTAATTGTCTCTGTCATTGGTATCATTTCCGGTCTCGTTCTCGTCTTTGCCATTGTCTCTGCCGTCCCCTGTCCCCCAAGGGCTCGTTCAATCCGTCTATTCTCCAGGGACTCTACCTCCCTCTCCTCGCCATCTTCATGGTGTCACAACCCTCAGCCGTTCCTAATTCTCTACCTCTTTCTTACGCTGATCGCGCAAAGAAGGCTCAAAATATCAGGCAAAAAGGTCAGGTCTCATCGCAAGGCATCGGCGTCTCCCCTGCAGCTCCGATATCTGTACACCCATCGTCTGCGCCGAGCACATCGAGCGCATTGTCAGGAACCAGTTCTGGTCCATCAAAACCATCGTCGTCGAGCGTTCAGGATACTCCAGCTTCTTCTGCGATCTCTACACGAACCACTTCCAGGCCGTCCTCTCCGACCATAGCTCCCAAGGATGCGAATGGTGACGTAAACCACACTAACTCCCACCCACCAGAGCGGCCTCCACCTGCTCTCAAACCCGCTGCGGCACCGCCTGTCAACGTTTGGAACTTACGCAAGGAGCAGATGGCACAAGCCCGCGCACTCTCACAGTCTCAGTCGTCGTCGGTCTTGCTGCGCGGATCTTCACAAACTGGAGGCGCCGCGATGCCGTTACCCACCTCTTCGAGTTCATCTGATACGCCAGAAGCAGGTCTGGCTTCCGCTTCGACTACGCCTGCTTTGCAAAACGTGACCAACCACAGAGCGAGTTCATCCTTGGGATCCGGTGTGCCTGTCAATGGTCGTACAACACACTCCAACGATGAAGACGATGCCTTTGTTGTGCGGGCGAGGTTACCGCCCACAGTGGACGATGTTGAAAGCTGGCCTGAAGTGGGCAAGTCCGCGCCGCCGGTGAACGCTGGGACAGATGGGAAGGACAAGGACGAGGGTGCACACGAGAGGGAGAGGGACGGTTCGCAGCCTTCATCGAGGAAAAGTGCGTATTTCTCCCCCTCATGCGGTATTTAATACCGGGACATCATCGAACGTACCGCTAATGGGCTGCGTCCCGTTTCGCTGCCCGTTTCAATCAGGCGAGAAAACAAAGTGGGTCCCGATACCGCCGCAAGAGCTGCAAGCTGCGGCCGACGCACTACAGCAGAGTCGTGCGCCGCATTCGCACGCACGCAATAGAGCCCAGCAGCATGCCCCTCCGCGCACCCAAGGCTCGTACCCTGCGTCAGGGTCTGGCTCTACTTCTTTGTCTGCCTCGGGTTCAGCGCAGGCCTCTCAGGGGCAGAGTAGAGCACATTCATCATTGGGCGTGCGCCCTTCAGCCTCGCACGCAAGCTCCGTCTCGCAATCCCAAGTGCAGAGCCGCACTGGGAGCGCCCACTCTAGCCCACGCCAGCCGTTTACGCGTAGGCGTCTCCCTGAAGAGGGCGGTGCTGGTGTGGGTCCGATGCACACCGTCAACAGGAGCATACGCTCCTCAAGATCGGGCTCGCCGCAGCTATCTGCGCCCCCGTATGTCCCTCCAGCGGAATACAACCCTCGCATCGCCGCGATGCCATATCCTCCGCCCAACATGGGCCCCCCACCCGAATCGCTCAACCCAGACATTAGCAATAGTATCGCGTACTACCAACCAAACATGAGCGCCCCGCGCTCGTACAACACGTCGCGTGGCTCGCCGGCACAGAACCCTTACGCTCTTCCGCCGGCCATGTATCCCGCCCAGCAGCTGCCGGGAATGCCCATGAACCCGTACGCCAGTGCGCCTTACGGGCTGTATTCGCAGTTCTCGTACCCCTATGCTCCTCCTCCTTACATGTTCTGGCCCGCTGCGGGTGGGCCCCAGCCAATTTCGTCCTCGCCGGTTCCCATAGTGCCGCCTATGGACGGTGGAGTCCCACCTCCCACAATGATGGCGCGACCGCCGCCGCCTGGTGAGTCCGATGCCGTTGCGGGCTATCGCGAGGTTGGGTTTGTGCTCCCACCCCCTGCGGCATACGAACGCGTGGAGGAGGAGGCTCAAGGCGAGGTCGAGCGCGGTCGGCGCGGGAGGGAGCTGAGTTTCGGGAGCATTGGCGTAGCGGGCGCAAGCAAGAGCCCGAGCCCCGCGCCGCCGTCGGGCTCACCAGCAGAGGCGAGTAACAATGCAGGTGGACTAGGGTTGGACACCGGTGTGCTGGAGGAGAAGGGGAGCGGAGAGGAGAGTGGAGACAAAACATTCACGACGTTCTCGATTGGCGTTGCTCCTGGTGAGCCTGGGCCGGCGCGCATCCGCTCGCGCACGCGCACGCAGTCGAGGGGCGGATTGGGCGATGGCGTGTCCCTGAAAACCGCGCTGGAGCCGTCCGAGCCTTTAGCAATAGCTGAGGATGTGAAGGCGGGCCGCACGACTGCACAGACCGCGGCGGGAGAAGTAGAAGTGAAAGTCATCGATTTAACGGACCCAGAGACGAAGTGGGAGTTTGGGACGACGAAGCGTGCAGAGACGGAAGTAGAGGCGAGAGAAGCGGGGACGGAAGGTGTGGCTACGGGTGTTTCCCCCTCTAATGCGTTGGGCATGTCGCCTGGCCCGGCTGCCGTGCCTGTGCAGGGAGAGGGCTACCCACCGGCAAGAGTTCCATCAGCACAGGTCCCCGGTTATGTGCGTGCGCCCAACTATGTGCCGCCTGTCGCAATACCTCCCATGGGCTCGACATTGACCCACCTGAAGGACACTGGTTCTCCGTCTACCGCTCCGCAGAGTGCATTACCCCCGACGTCAGCGGCTTCATCGGGACTTGGAGACGACTGGGAGGTAAAGGACTATGGATACGGTTTCGGTCGCGGGTTCGCGCCGGCCATGACGAGGGAGGAACATATGCTGTTGCGGGAACGAGACAGACGCGATCATGCCGAGCGCGAATACTATGGGCGGCCGCGTAGGGGCTCATATAGCGGCGGCTACGGATACGACCGCGGTGGACACGAGCGAGGGGGCTTCGAGCGGGGAGGATACAGTGGACGGAGGGGCCGAGGCATGTATGGTGGGCGGGGAGGCTACCATTCGCGCAATTTCTCGAGAGGCGGGTATCAGCAGGGTCCGCCCCGCCAGCCACCGTTCGTCGTGCAGCCTCCACAGAACGAGCTCAACAGCTACTACGCCCCGGCACCACAGCCTGTGACATCATACATTCCGCCGGCCTATGAAGGCTACGCGTATCCGCCGTACGCCGCTGCTCAGCAGCCTGTCCAGCCTGTCCAGCCAGTACCGCCGATGCCGATGCCGCTGTCTCCGCTGTCGTTCCCTCTGGACCCGACTAGGTATTATCTCCTGGGCCAGCTGGAGTACTACCTCAGCCCACAGAATATGGCACAGGACTTTTTCCTCCGTCAAAGGGTGAGCCTATTCAAATCTATGATTTTATCTCCATGTTGATGTCGGGCGTCTGCCGTTTAGATGGATTCTCGCGGATGGATCTCCATTTCGCTGATTGCATCGTTCAACCGCGTCAGGCAGTTGACGGTGGATCTGCAACTAGTCAGGGACGTCCTGACGCTTTCCAGTCTCGTTGAGGTCAACGGTGACTGGGTCCGAATGCGGCAGTGGGAGCAGTTCGTACTGCCGAATGCCATCGAGAGCACCGTTGAGACGGAGCTTCATCGTGATACTCAGTTCCAGGCGGCCGAAGAATTACTTGCTGCATACGATGGGGCGGAAGCGGGTTCAAACCCTGACGGTGAAGGAGAAGCGGAGGGAGATGAGGAGGACGAGGAAGATGTCGTGTTTGTGCTGGGCAGAGACGCGAACCGACCATGGACACCCGAGCGACGGCCTGCCTGAAAATGGGCTATACGTTGTGACCCCTGCAGCCACAAACGTTTTGCGTCCGCGATCGCTGGGCACTTGGACCCCAAAACATCATGCAGGTATTCCTGCCATATCCATAGAATGCTCGGCAATGTCGACATATCCACCAACGAACTTTGGCATGACTGGTCATCACGCTTACTGTTCCGGGACCTTGCTCTGAATTCCATTGTGTGAGCAATCTTGGCTTTTCTTATCTGTTGTTCTATTTTCTCGATCCGCTATCGTATCCCAGCTGTTGCAATGACAAACGATCTCCGTACGTCCCACACGTTTCTCCTCCCACGCCATAACTGCATATCATGTTGCTGAGCTCTCTTTCTTCTTGGGGTCATTCTCCATATGTTATTATATCCTCTCCGTACATATGTTTCTGTGATACACTAGGCCTGCTTCGCCTGTTACTCTTTCCTCTCTCTGCTGTTGGTTCTCGTCTGACCGCTCCAGGTCTACCCCATACGTACATCGGTCCTCTGATCATACAATGAAACTTGTCCTCGCTGTCTCGTACTGTCATTAATTGTGCAGAAACCGCTCCGGTGGACGCTGCTGTCTGACAGTTGTCTGACCCGACCGTCCGGGCGCCTTCGCTCCGTCGCATTATCTCTCAATTCAGTCCGGATCCACTATTTCAAAGACCTACCTTGGGATGGCGTAGAAACTGGCCCTTGATGCCGTGCCCTGTGTTCGTTGAGATTATCTGACGAGCGCACCATCTGCCACCAAGAGTCTCCGTGTGCAAGCATGGTTTTATCTTCCCTTCCAGGATTTCTGAACGAACGGTAAGTATCGCCAACACCTGCTGCACACCTGCTACCCCGTTTTGCGGATACGTACCTCGAATAGAGGATAAGCGCCCGTACGTTGACGCGCACGGTTGACAGGAAATGGCGGCGTTCAGGCCTTCTGCGTCCCGCCTCGGCTTAGTTCGACTTGTCTGCTTCACCACAGGTTAAAGGTATCGCAAATTTGACACGCAGATATGTAGAGCGCAAAGAGTGCGCAAAGTCAGGTTTGTGCATGCACCCTTTTCCCAGGTATTTATTTAGGACAGAGCATACGACACGGATGCATGTTGTCCCGCAGCCGATGAGCTGGTGAGGGGCGATAGTTTCGACCCGGAGAAAGGTCAGTCTCCTCCTGATATGATTCGTCATGCGGGGCGCTCCTCCAAATCAGAGGAGAGCTAGATAAACGTGGCTCGAGAAGCTCATCATCGTGCTCATGTCACCTCTCACGGAGATCTTCTCCCGATCTATTGATAATTCTATCTTCATAAGTGTAGGCTGCCTGTTCCTGCTTGCAAATATAAGATGCACAGTGTGCAGCAAGGCAGCCGCCGCCGCTTGCTTCCTGCTGTTGTTCACTATTTCCCTCGTTCCTGACTATGCCAGCTCGTTCTCCGCCCGTGTCCCCCGTTATGCCCGAGGTTAATTGGCCGCCTATTCCTCCACCGGCGGACTCAGAACTCGACAGAGCCCTGCGCTTGGAGGAAGAGAAGGAAGCAAAGAAGCGGTCGGACGCGATCGACCATGCGATCGAGCTGGAAAGAGAGGAAATGCGGAAGCAGCGGCATAACACGAAGATTGTCCTTCTAGGTGAGCCAAGACACGCACTAATCTCGCTATGATCTTCAAAGTGAGACTGCTACTCTGCTGCTCTGCTTCTCTCCTTGTGAACGTCAGGACAGGCAGAATCCGGGAAGTCCACGATGCTCAAGAATTTCCAGCTACACTTCGCCCCGAAGGCCTTCCAAGCGGAAACCGAAGCTTGGCGCGCAGTCATTCATCTGAATCTAGTTCGCTCAGTCAATTTCATCCTCGACCTCCTCCGTGGGGGAACAAGCAGCGGCTCGAACCGCTTCTCACCTCCGGCAAGTCTTGATGATCTTCGCCCACTGCGAATGCGTCTGTCTCCTTTGCGGCAGGTCGAGATAATCCTAGTCAAGCGGCTATCAGTGGACAACACGTCTCGTGATGCTGCCGGCATCGATGACAGCACTCCGTGGTACTACGGACGAGCATCGGAGGTTTCTATCCGAAGTGGGTCGGGATGGAAGGCATTGCTGTGTCGGCACCGGCAGCAGTTGAACTCGCATGCAGACGAGCTGGTCAGCGCAAGGCAGGTATTGGATGCTTGTAGGGACGATATCGTGACATTGTGGTCGAATCCGACGGTGCACGCCGGACTCAGAGGGGAGGGCGTGTGTCTGCAAGAGCAGTCGGGATTGTGCGTCGAAGTGTTCTCGTTCTCGGGCAGTAACTCTATGACCAATCCTGTATCCAGTTTCCTCGACGAGGCACTTCGAGTGGGGCATATCGACTATGAACCTACATATAGTACGCACCTACTTAATAGCTTGGATGAGGTCTCTTCTTATATCGAAATTCAGCGGACGTCCTTCGGGCACGCTTGCAGACCATCGGGGTAGAAGAACACCACCTAACGTTTGAGCGACGTTAATATCCTTAGTCTTCTGCGTGAATTACTATTAACGGGGTGTTGTTGCACAGTCGCTTCGCGTGGTGAGAAGTGGATATTCTACGACGTAGGGGGTGCTCGGGAACAACGAGGTGAACATTGGAAATCCATGTTTTCGCTTCTTTGATAACGGCTATTGTCCAGCGGCTTGGGTACCATATTTTGAGGATGGTATGTAGACTCCCATCACGGATTTGCTGAGGTTCTCAACACGACAGCCTAGTGAACGCCGTCATTTTTCTCTGCCCAATGTCCGCATTCGACGAAGTTCTTCTAGAAGACAGAAGCGTGAACCGGCTCGTACGTCTGCCATTCTATTTTATTGGGGAGTGTCAATGTGTAACATCTAATATGCCACAGCTCGACTCTTTTAACCTATGGAAAACGATCTGCTCGAGCAAACTCCTTGGCGACAAGAATTTTATATTACTGCTGAACAAGAGCGACATTCTAAAGACCAAGTTGGAATCTGGAGTATCCTTCGTACGGTACGTCAAGAGCTACAACGACGAGCCAAACGATGCGGAGCATGTGTCGGAATGTAGGTTGCAGCGCTTCCATTCCGTGTTCCGGAGAATTGACTGTATGATGGACCAGATCTAAAGCGCAAATTTGTTTCTATGCATAGGCATCTCTCGCCTCGACGGAGACACCTGCACGTGCACATAACCTGTGCCATTGTAAGAATCCTGTGCCCTTCCCCGGCTGTCTGCGGCAGATGCTGAAGTACTGTTTATATTTCCCATAGGACATTAGTGTAATGTCCGCCGTTTTGGTTCGCAGTACGTCTTCGAATTTCTATTTTCTAAGCTGTGGTCTTGTTCTAAATTGTTGGTACTAGTTAGAGAAGTTATCATTATGAAAAATCTGGCTGCGACAGACTTTCTCTGACCGGAGGGTATCATTGTAGATAATGAATAGATTATCTTGGGCACGCACGGCCGGCTGCTGGAGTATTTTTGAAGTGTATTTTTTCTGTTGTATTTCGCGTACAATTTCTTACGAGGGAAGCGCTGCCTCCTAGCGGCAGAGACCTTGCTTGCGAAATTTGCCACTGCATAGATTCAAACGCTTGAGACGTCGCAAGCCGAGTCGGGACTTGTCGTGCAAGGTTCAGATCCACGAAGGAACCGGGGAGTCAAAAAGCGCGACAATTATTTAAGAGGGTGGAGACCTTTAAGCAAGCAAGGTAACATCGTGACAACCTGCTAAAGTGTGTCACGCGCTTTACGATCGTCTCACACTGGCGGTCACACGTTCCGACGTCATGTAGGCGCAGCAAAGCTCTGACAGCAACCACCACGCTGCATACCTGCACAGCGGCGTTTTCTTAGCCATTTAACGGAATTTTCTAATAAACTCTCAGCATGGTTCGAGCGTCAGACGTCCTCCTCATCCTGGTGAGCGTCGAGTAGGGTGATGATTCTGTGGAACCTTTTTGAGGATCGACTCAATTGCTAGGTCGCCATTCTTTTCCCTCCAGCCGCGGCTGCATTTATTACTGGCTGCAGCTGTGATCTGCTTATCAACATTCTCCTGACAATGTACGAATCTGTGTAGACATCGCAGAAAGTCGTAGCTGACCCCGTCTTAGCCTAGGATACCTCCCTGGACACATAGTGCGTTAGCCACTTAGAGGCGCATGCTCGCGGACTTGTCTAACATCTCATATGCATTAGCACGCTTTCTGGCTTATCTACAAGAAGATGCAGGCTGAGGAGCGTTATGGTCGCGGTGGATTCCAATGTCAGTCATCATGTCTTAGTGTGAATATTCGCGCTGATTATTTTGTACTTCCTAGATGTTGGAAATGGCACGTATGAGCCGTTGTATGATGGCCAAGGTATAGCACCTGGCATTCAAGCACCTGTCAACTACGGCGCCACTGCTGGAGGCCACTATGTTCGGTGAATCAATGCCGAGGTTGAGTACTGAATACACTTCTTTTATGCTCGTGTGATGTCCATTGTTCACGAAAATGAGTAGATTCATGGAACCTTGTCATACTTCTGGTACCCCAGTCTCTATATTTAGATACATCAAGTTCGTATTGAGATACCGCAGCTTCCACCTGCGACACGACGACTACATCACACAACTCCGCCACTCGTGGATCGTGCACGCCTTCGCCATCCTTCGGCCAGCAAAGAGGTCGAATTGAATATTGTATTCGGCGTCGACTGGCAAGAAAATTCCGACATTAACTTCCACGCAGCGCAACTTTGGACAGAGAGCCCGTAGTAGTGGCGACAAAGAGGAAACTGTTTCATCTATCATACGACTTTCTTCTTGGCTGAGATAGATGATGGGAAGCGATAGATACTCCATAGCTGGCCAACGTGTCACTGTTATCAACACGTCGGACAGTACCTGTGAAGTCACACCGTGTATGAGCGGACCACTATGCTCATATTTACTGGATTCCTCACCAAGAGACCTATATCTTGATATTTGCCATTGATCTTCAGCGCTCGCAGATGCGGACAGGATTCGACCAAATCATGGACCAATGCCGTTGAGACGAATTGAATGCTGAGCTCAAGAGAGACTAAATGAGCGAATCGCTCCCTCAGACCATCACGCAAAGCCTCCAGGCTTGCGACGCTCGAAAATGGGTGAATATCATCTCGAGAGTGCCCATTCTCGTGAGATACACCTAGAGGGTGCTCCCCCGTTATCTCCAGATGTTTTATATGTGCAAGGCCCTGCGCATACAGTTTGACGTCATTCCATGTCCCGCAGAACATGTCCAATGAGATCAAGGTCGCGGCAGATCCTGTATTCATTTTGACATAGGCATCCTTCTGCGAAATAGAGAGCAGCTTCAATGAAGGACAGCATGATGAGAGGAAAGGGCGCCAGTCGGATACAGCACCACACGGATCGACGTCAATTTCCAGCGAGCGCAGAGACCCGAACTTCCCGAGTGCCATGAGACGTGATAGGAGGTGCGCTTCCGCAGATGATGTGGGTATGCTCATCAGCTTATATGACAGAGTTTCGATGTGAGCGGGATGAGGTAACAGAGGACACAAACTCTGTCCACTTCGAGAGACAGTGATCCCACAAAATGTGAGATGCTTAACGGGGAGGGCCACAATGCAACCTTGTAGAGAAGTATTCACGTCTTCGAGGACACAACACAATTTCAAGTGCAACGACTGCAATACGAAGTTTGTGGCCTGTAGTTGGAGTATGTGTGATGTTCTGAGTGTGACGTGAGTCAGCGTAAGATGCTTTAGATGCACCAATCTGGGTAAAACTTCGCGGAAGAACGTTTCGACAACGGTGTGTTTTCGAAAATCGTACTCCAGGCTGCAGAAATTGGTGATCGTAGAGTCTTCCGCTGGATAATACGCCGGAATAAGATGGAAGCTCTGCAACTGAGGCGCAATCCTATCCCGACTCGCAAAGGCGAGTTTACGCTTTGTCTCGTTGAGTAGATAGACATTAAGTGGCTTGATAGTGCTCTCAACTGGTCTTCTCCAGCGTTGGACACCAAGGGGTGTAGTTTCGCACTCGAATTCGCTGTGGTGGGGCTGACAGTAGGCAGTATTGACGATGAACCGCGATGACTCGAAGAGGAAAGACTGTGCGAGTTCACAAAACGCCTTGCACGTCAATGTCAGGTTCTCTAGAGTCGCGATGGAGACGGTATTGCCATTGGTAGTACGAAAATGAGAGAATATCGTCAGGAATATTTCGCAAGGAAATGGGAGTTCGTGTTCGCTTGTTGGAGTGGCCGTGAAACGTGTCGGAGTCAGCTGCGCCGGACTGTTGGCCCGAGGGTGAGTTGCCAGTTGTGCGCCATTGGCAATTCCGGTACCAAGGGGTTGTAAAACGTAGACCATGACTTCAAGGATATTGGACACGTATATAGCTCTTTATGCTGATGTGGAGAGGACCTTGCGTTGGTGGTAGTGCATTCGCCTTCTGAAGGCAATCCAGAAGACTATGCGACCCGACTTCGAGATTGGCCGACGAGACTACGCCGTCGTTGCAGATCACCTGAACGCCTTGGAGTTGCGTGACTGGAGTTCAGATCGCGCAGAGTGGAACACGAACCTCAGTGTTCCGTGGAGTATGAACACCTGTAGGGGAAAAATCAGATACGGATAGAAGACAGTACGCGAAAGACTCACCCGCAATGCTTCCGGCGGTGTTGCACACTGGGCGATGGCGTACTGATAGATGACTTATATAACAAAGATGAGCTTGTTCTCGTAAAGTAAAGCATTGATCTGCCATGGGCGCTATTGTCTCGTATCTCGTCGCGATGCAATCAACAACGATTGTAGTATTAGCGCTCACGACGTTACGGTGGCATGCCAACACTTTGCATCCTATGCAGCCGTGCGCCTCATAGGACATGGGGAAGCCCAAGATGTTTGGCGGCTCCACTTCCGGCTGGAGGATTGATAAAGTCCGGAAATGGTTGATCCTCCTGGTGTAAATTTCTGCAACCCACATCAGCAAGCAACGCTGAGTACCAAGGCAAACCTCGAGAACGCCGGCGGGGTGGTCAAAGATTATTATCATGTGCTTGACGTGATAACTAGCCATACCGACAGCTTGCCGATAGCGGCCTAGTAGAAACAACGAGCAGACTTCTCCAACTCCCACAGTGCTGTGGCGACGTCGCCTCACGATCCTAGATATAAGTAAGCCGATGAAGCAACCTCAAGCACACAGTAAAAGTATACAAATGGGCTTGAGTCGCTCTCGCGATCGAAATCGAGCTACTGCAGCCAGTTCGGTGCATTTTCTCTAGCTCTTGGCCACATCCCTCGGGTCTTGTGGTAGTGTAGCATTCACGGCAGGGCATTTGGTCGGATGACTGGACGAGGACCAGCGTTGGAGTCGGCACGGTTCAGGCATCAGAGCCGATGTCCTGTACTGACGAAGTCGGTGTAGAGTATCTGGTCACAAACAGTTTCACAGATTATCCTAAGCGCACGATGGGCACGGTGGCGTACCAGTGAGTTTGTTATGTGTACTCGCCAGGGATATTGGGGGTTACGAAACTAGGATTCTATCAGATCTTCGCCAGGCTGCGTCGCCACGCGCATTGGTAGGTTCTCGAGGACCATTCTGTCAAAGAAGTTCCAGCGTTGAAAGCCTTTGGGCGGACAACGACCTCAGGCACTGTGCGGTAAACGGGGCCCGTCCTCGGTTGCATCGAATCCTATGCCACACTATCGTCACAATAAGCCTTGCAAAAAGACTATCACAGCCACGTTTTTCTGTTTTATTGCTGTGAAGTGGACAGAGGGATGATATCAGGATCTAGAAGCAGAGCAACAAATAAACGGGCTGATGAATCGAGAGATCGTGAAATATCAGGAAGAGAATTCCGCGTAGAAGTCCATCTGACTTCGCAGGTCTCCTACTACTTACCAACAACCCCCTTCCGCCAGTGCTCGACAATGTACTCATCAGTCAACGAACGGTCATCGGCAGGGAGGGTTGAATAGTACTGCATGATATGCTGATGCATCATCTTTGCCCCACAAAGCCTGCATGAAGGAGATTCAGACATAACTCAGTCTTGGACATTCTGTCCGAACGTGAGCAGACGAAGAGGAAAAGGTCTCCCTAACAGGTTCATCTCAGGGCATGATGCAGATGCAGAAAGGTGAGAGATATTTCGTATCCGGAGTAGAAGTTATCGCTGTCAGAATAGAGGACGACGCCTATACATGGTGTCAACTATGGCTGCGGATTGGGGACAGCGCTGGCTCACAAAATGACCTTCTGCACGAAATTGATCGTTAGGCACTAAGCTCCAACGCATGGCGCAGTCGTGGGCAGCAGATGAGCCGCTGCGATATGTAGTAGACTACGAACTCCAGCGACTCTAAATGAGAGAATCTTTTCATATCCTGAAGTCCTGCGAGCACGTACTCTCCCCGGGGGGGCGGAGGGGGAGGGAGGTTCCTCGTTTGCAGCCATCAGGTAGAATAAGGCAGACTCGATTGCCTAAGAGCGTAAATCATAGCATCATCCCAAAGTCCACAAAATAGCTCGAGGCAGGGAAGATTGAGATACTCCACTGAAGTAATACTGGCATTCCTGCGGTAGTGTAAGACGTCCTGTTGTTTCAGTGAAGGCAGCGAGACGCGAAGAAAGGGCATCAAACCTGAAAGGCACCTCCGACTATGAAAATTACGTTTCCATGAGTCACAAATAACGGTTCCTGAGCATCAAGACGGGAGAGAAAGTCCATTTCAATAGCTGCAACTCGGGGCCAGCGTGATGATAAGCACAAATAACATGGCAGAAACTCAGTCTGTCTGAGATGAGGTAACGGATGGTATCTGTTTCAGCTCGTTGGAGCAACGACGGAGGGAGATGGCGAGCCGCTTGGTACGGACTCGGAGCATCGCAATTGATCCCGAAGGACCGTATCGACTAGAGGATGTCTCGACTAGAGGCGACATGAAACGAGAAACAGCGAGTGTACGAACGCCGGTGGTGCGCTTAACGTCAGACACGGATATCCGAGGTACGAGGTTGAAGCAGAGTGTCTACCATCTGCCTTCGGGAGACTACGCTTAACCAAGTATGTGCCAATTCGAGGTGTTCGAGATTGACCAGTCGTGACAGGACAAAGGTGTCGACAACAGCGTCTTCAAGGAGATCATGCCTGCGTGAATCCATGGCAGGGGAAATAGGACTCGAATAGTTCACTGGGACAAGACGGCAACTATTTAGCCGTCCTGCGGCCTGAGTGTTGGAATTTCTGGGTGTTCGAGGTTGGATTAGGGTTAGGGCTTAAGCTCACCGTGTTTCTATCGCTTACACGGTTGCTCCATCCTTGCCAGGGTCAAACGTGCTCATTCTCAGTTGAAACGCTACTGGTGATTTCAATACCGAGATCCCCTCCTGGCCCACGAAGCTGTGGCTTCATATTCTTGATCGGCGAGATGATCTCACGATGACGGTGAGAATACTCCGTGCTGTAAATACAGTGAGTAAACGCATTTGGCCGCGCGGAACGCGCAATGGATGGTCCGACGCGTCCTTCATCTCAGTGGTACGCCACATTTGTGGTGTAGATGGTGCTTGCATTGGCCTCGACCAAGATCCGTCTCTATTGACAGGTGACAAGCAAAACCGCGACTTTTCTTGGATGTGGCTTTGTGTGTGGCCTCTCAATCGGCGCAGCGTGCTGCAGCCGTTGCTGCGGTGACAAGACAAAGGCTTTTGGTTGAACCCTTGGGTATATATAGAGGGCCTCAACCCATCCTTACCACCACGTCGAATTCCGTCTAAAAGTCTGTCTTCCTCAACGCCATATCTCCACATCACTCACCAATGTCTTGGTCCCACACCTCGGGGACAGCCTCAGACAATGTGCGTATTGGGTCCGAGACATGTATCTATGCCGCTTCTAACTCTACTGTTTGCTTGGCTCGTAGTTGCCAACTGAACAACCCAAGGCCACATTTGGGATCTTCATTCAATGTCCCGTAAACGAAAACTACACTGTCAGGTATCTGCCGGTGTTGTGTCCCCCCCCTCCAATGCCACGTGCAAGCCTCACCTTTCGTCAAAGTCATTCTCATCTTCAGGACGAGAAGATGGACGATGACTACGGGGAGGAGGTCATGGCCGGGAATGGCGAAGATGAAGGTGAGGTGGACGAGAGCAGCGAGGAGGAGGTGGGCGAGAGCGGCGAGGAGGAGGTGTGCGAGAGCGGTGAGGAGGAGGTGGACAGAACAGAAGATGAGGAAGAAGACATCGACGATGAAGTTGACGCCGAGTCGGTCAACAGTCGCCCAGCTACTGTCCGCCACGCAATCCTTCGGAAAAAATACTTGCCGGTGCGTAATCGTCAAACCTACCCTGCATTGCGCGAATTTGATCATAGATTGAAATACCCAGGTCAAAAAATACGAGAGGTACGGTTGCCTCTGGCAAGACTGCAGCATGACATTTTCGTTAGCGAAAGATCGTCTTCGGCATATGAACGGCCACTTCAATTCCCAGTGGATCTGTCCAAATCCAGCATGCCAGAAAAAGTCCCAGAGGAAAAGGACCTCCTATCGGAAGGACGCTCTTAAGCGTCACCTCAATAAGCGTACGGATCAGGAACAGCCCCAGAGGATGGGGATCTTCTCTCGGAAGGACGCTCTTAAGCGTCATCTCGATAGGAGTACAGTTTGCTGCGGATACACCCCTCGTACGCACGAAGGCGACGTAGATTGGACACTGTTGGAGAACGGTCAATCTGCCTTGTGGGAAAGAGAGGAAAACGTCGTGCAAATCCGCCGCCCCTCCGCCGCCGATCCCTTAAGGACGGACCTCGATGCGCTTTGGGCGCAATACAACGTATTTCCCTGGCGCGGCTAAATGCCGAACGTGCAGACCAAGCATGTCTGCCGAAGTGCACCCTTTGGTTAGTATTTATGCCCTATGATCTTACCTTTGACGTCTATGCAGTGTATGGCTGCTCTCATCCATAATATGTTCACATCAATGTTTATGCAACGTTTATGATTATGACATGACTTTTTCTATGTAACCCCAGTTGTTCTTCGCACATTGTTCGCACAAGCGCATTTAGTGTTGCGAGTCGAGTCGAGGCGAAGCGAGCTGGCACAACTCGCCAAAACTCGGTCGAGCGAGTTGGCACGAGTTGGCCAACTCGATATGCGGTGAGTTGCCGTGCCGTGTCGAATTCAACTTGGCAACACTAACTGCGCATTGGAAAAATCTCACGCTCATGAATCACACCAAACTGAAATAACTGAATGCACGCTTTTCACATCTATTGAGGGCGCGTTGAGGCCCACGTTCAGCACACGGCTGAACAACAACACACTACCACCCGGTGCCACGCCACACTCTACTATGCAGCGTCCTGCAGCGTCCACACACCACGGCCAGCACCGGCCTGACCTCAAGCGCAGTACGCCGTCCACCACACGGGATGTTGAGAGTCCCTAATACGATTGGTACGCTTGGCGAGGGCACGTTGAGGCCGTCGATCGTCTACAAGCAGGCGCCCCCGGCACATCTAGTAGCGGTAGTGGAGCGGCTTGTAGGGGCCCTGGATTGGGATGTCCAGGTACTCGGACTGCTCGGTCGTGAGCGTGGTCAGCTTCACGTTGAGCTGCTCGAGGTGTGCGCGAGCGACCTCCTCGTCGAGCTCCTTCGGTAGCATGTGCACGCCGAGCGGGAACTTCTCGGGCGTCGTCCACAGCGCGATCTGGGCGAGGACCTGGTTAGTGAATGAGAAGGACATAACGAAGGACGGGTGGCCGGTGGCACAGCTGTTATACAAAGATGAGTATTGAAAAGATATCCGAGAGCGGTGAACATACCCCAAGTTGACCAGACGACCCTCGGCGAGGAGGATGAGATGACGGCCACTGGCGAGAGTGTAGCGGTCAACCTGGGGCTTGATGTTCACGACCTGGGTTGCGTTCTTCTTCAGCCATGCGACGTCGATCTCAACATCAAAGTGACCAATGCTGCAGGCTGTATGAGCATAATGCCGATCGAGCACGCTAATAAACAGACTGACTTGGAGACGATAGCATCCTCCGGCATGAGCACGAAGTGCTTGCCAGTGATGATGTCCCTGTTACCGGTGGTAGTCACGAAGACGTTGCCCTTGGGGGCAGCATCCTCCATGGTGGCAACCTCGTAACCGGCCATCGTAGCCTGGAGCGCGTTGATGGGGTCAATCTCGGTCACGATAACACGGGCACCATAGGCAGCGAGCGATTGCGCGCACTAACTTTGAGTGTAAGCGATGTCTCATGCGAACGAGTAAAGGCACGTACGCCCTTTCCGACGTCACCGAAGCCAGCGACGACCGCGACCTTGCCGGCAAGCATGACATCGGTCGCACGCTTGATACCGTCAACGAGTGACTCGCGGCACCCGTAGTAGTTGTCGAACTTCGACTTCGTGACGGAGTCGTTGACGTTGATGGCGGGCACCTTCAGCTTGCCCTCACGGAACGAGCGGTACAAGTGGTGAACACCGGTTGTAGTCTCCTCAGAAACACCCTTGATACCTTCGAACCGATCATTACTGCTTGTAAACGTATAACAGACAATAGGGAGCTCACCCTTGAGGTATTGGGGGTACTTGTCGTGCACGAGCGTGGTGAGATCACCACCGTCGTCGAGTATCATGTTCAGAGGCTGGTTACCAGAGAAGGCGCAGAGGGTCTGGTCAATGCACCACTGGTACTCCTCCTCAGTCTCGCCTTTCCACGCGAAGACTGGGACGCCAGTAGCAGCAATACTGAAAACAAATCAGAACATATACAGAGATAGACTAATGCGAGAACATACGCAGCGGCTGCGTGGTCCTGAGTGGAGAAGATGTTCTGCAGCGGGCCAGATCAGTTCGCAACAGAGGCCTGTGATAGGTAAATGAGACTCACGCAAGACGACCACGAAACCTCCGCACCGAGCACGACCAAAGTCTCTATGAGCACTGCAGTCTGGATAGTCCTACAAGATCCGTAGGCTGAGATCATCGATAAAAATACTAAAAGCAGCGGCCTACATGTGAAGACATCCTGCAATGCGAGCACCCTTCAAGGGCTTCGTCACGCCATACTGTTGCAGCAATCAGTGTCGACACGTATCTGGCTAGGCAGTAAACTGTATACCTTCTGCCTCATGTACATGAGACCAGGCATTTCGTGCTATAAAAAAAAGGCAAAACTTGTCTGATCCTTCATTCCGCACGTATGCACCCATCACTGACCTCAGCCAGCTCGATCTCCTTGCGACCGAATGCGGCGAGAGAGACATCTGCGCGATACGACTGAACATCGACGAGGCAATCGTAGGAAAAGAAATCTCACCAGCAACCTTGAAAACCATTTTTAACTCGTAAAAACTGGCCGATATGAGTGGATGAGGGAAGAGATGGAGGGAGGTGAGAGGAAAGAGCAGAAGCTGTCGAGAACTTAAGAACATTTTCCCTACGCGCGCACACGTGCTGTGGCTGAATTGCTTACCCGCACCTGCGCTATCGCGTTGCGGGTCCTCTGAGTCTCATGTACCCTCATGTCTACTCCAATCCCACACCCTTCTCCCCAGGGCAGCTGCCGTCTCGCAGAACTGGTCCAATACAAGTGTGAACTGGAAGTCTCGAATGTGGGAGTCTCACAATACCACTGCTGGCCTATCATGCGCATCTTCAGAATGTATGTCTCAACCGTGAATATTCCGCCCCCTCGGTGCTCACGCATGTGGCAGATGTCCTGGCCGACCAGCCGTGGAACTGACCAGATTTGCCGAGGTGAACGCCGATACGGGGGAGATCAGCGCCCCCCCGGAGTCAAGGTCGGTGCTCGTCCCCGGACCAGGGTGGGCGTGTACTCAATATATTCGCGCTCACACAGTGCAAAGCTGCCGAAGGGTAAACCATGGCGTGACATCGTTCATAATGAATTAAAGGGGTCTGGGTAACGGTAATTCTAAGATTCCCACCGCGTACCATTGGTGGAGTTCTGTCCGTCGGGTTGACTGGTAATGCCATGCCCTATCCTGAACCAGGTCTAATTTGGGACGTAGCGTTGCAATAGGTTGTAAAGGTTCTAATCATGTGCAATGAACGGTGCTCGTGCACCTAGTTACGTTGCAATCACTGGTAAGTGAACTTTGAATACTTTGATAACTCACTCATGTATCGTCAGTTTTACCGCGTTCACCATATCTAAAACTGTGGATTCTGAAATGCATCGTACGAAGTGCTCATTTATTTATGCTTTCTCAGGTTCCACATGGACATGAACTCCATGACTATCAATAGGACTTCTATGACATGTTTCGCAGTCTGCAGTGGCTGAGCAGGCAGGAGCATCTTACAAGCATGCTCGAATGATTGTTGCTGGGGGAGCAAAACATAGATTGATGATGTCTGCTTTTGCTGTCCATCCGTTATATGGTCTGTCGGATTGATGTCAACGAGTTGAACTCTTGGGTTTCTGACACAAAGCAGATGCCGGACATCGCAGTAAGCATCACGATGTTCTCTGGTCTGCTGTTCTGCTACTGGATACTACAGACTGTTCTTCGTACGCTGGCAGGCGTGATGAATTGAACAGTTTGTCCTGCACAGTATTTCCTCTGCAGAACAGCAGACATTCACATAATTTAGTATGTCGCCACGTCAGTGCAAAGTATCAACTTCCTCCGCTTCCCTGTTCTTGATATCCGTCGACGTGGGCATGTCCACGCTGTTGATTTCCGGAGCAATTGTGCCTTCTGACATTCTCATCAAGAACATACATCGTCTTCTTTTCCTGATTTAGTGACGCTGATGATGTTGTCTGTGCAGTGTGCACAGGAACGCCGTCGCTGCTGCGCCTCGAAGATGTCACCCGTGCGGACCCGTGGGCATAGAGCCTATACACATAGATCCAACACGATTGTGTCAATTCGTCTCTCCATTCCCGAGCATCTCTATCTGATGATATTGGAAGGATTAACTCTTCCTGCACCTGGCAGCACGTATTGGGTCACTAATCCCGTGAGTCATCAGCTTCGCTGTTCTCGTTGACATCTCCCAATGTCATCTGTTTCCTACCCCATCATGCAGTGCAGTCACTCGCATCTGCAAGCGAGTAATTAACTATCGTTCCGTTTGCGCGAGATGCTTTATCATCATGTTTTTTGCTGAACATTTGGCGGTCAGTTGAACACCCCAAGCCATTGTGGACGTGGCCATGCATCGTCCGCACCTCATTCAAGTAGCACGGGGCCGAGCTTGTGTATTCATCGATCGGAATGCCTGTCCATCACCGATGGCGGAAGCATCCAACCCATCCTCGCAGCCTGTATTACCCATCGTTGGTGATCACTCACAGCTTCCGTCTGCTCGGGTGCAGTGGGCGTGGACATCTTTCGTGTGAGGCGACATCCTAAGTACTAGAGAAACCCGTATAGGTTACTTTCTGAGTCTATACAGCTTTCCCTCGCAGTCATGTTTGGGTATCGTGGGGTGCCATCCGGTCGTTACGCGTATGTTGGGTTCTGCTACGCACTTACCTGCATTCTACTCTGCAACGTACTTGGATGTCCTGTTAACACACTGGCGAAGACGCGACGTCCGTGATTGCTATTTTTGAACATCCACGGGACACGGAACTCGACTGATTCGCAGGGCAACATCTAGAACCAGCGCCATGTTTGTAGTGCAGTTGTGTTGCAAGTTGGAGCACAGCATGTTCTGTTTGGCGCCCGATTTGGGCTCGACGCTGGATTCGCTGATCTCAAGTTTGTTTCCAGGTGGTTGCAGCTGGAACGTGATATCGGGACTTTGACAGCCCCGGCGGCACAGTTCTTTGTCTTCTCTCACTGTCCAATTTCGTGTTGTGGTTGAGATTGATCATCACCGCTGCAGGCATGCGAAGAGAATCCCTTACCAGAACTCGGCTGTCTCCTGGTCAACGTTAATCTTTCTATTTGTGCTGGACTCATTGCATAGGCGTGTTCTCCACTCCATGACGCAAGGATCAGCAAGGCTGCCAGGCTGATCAGCAATTGAATAATCTCCCGTCGAAGCCGCGTCCAGCGGCAGCCTAGGGACAGTTGATACGATATTATGCATGAAGCCTAGCAGTGCAGTGTCTGGTCAACGTGCCAGTAAATGAACTTCGGTACTACTTTCACACTGATCTGCACGTTGTACTCGTATATGGATGGTACCCAGGCATGTGCCAGTTGGCGCCCGGGCCAAGTTCGTTCAGCCACCCGATCCAGATCGGAGCGTCTAATTTCCTTTCGTGATTCTGCGGTATCCCCGGAATTTAATCATGCGGCCTTTATCGATCTCCCCACAGCCAGCAGTTGCAGGTGAAGACCGAGAGCAGGTACGGCCCAGAGGCTGCGCCGTTGCAGTATGTCGAGCCTCTTGCAGGCACAGCAGAGGCAAGTTGCCGTCAGCGGCAAGTTACGCGCTAGTCGTGCGCAAAGAACAGTCTTCCTGACAATTCAACGTTTCAACCCTTCAAGTTATTTACCGGTATGTCGCCGTTTCCGCAACACGAAGATCATCCTCATATCTATTTCTGAGTAGGAAAGGCTGGCATCAGCGGTTGCAGACGTACATTTTATGTTCGTTCTATGTGATATTGCTGTTTGTTTGAGGCTGTGCCATGCCTGACGACGTGCAATTCGATGAGGATTAAGCGTATGTCGTATTAACGATGTACACGCCGTCATAGGTCGTATGTCAGCTCGCCACTCTATACGTCGCGTACTGTCTTACATCATGACCCACTTGGTAGGTCCAAACTGATGAGACACACGGTCAGTTTCACTAATCGCCCTGCGCCGCACCTGTACAGGTCGTTCCCCCTTCGCCATGGTCGCCAAATTGTACGGAGAATCGCGGCCCCTCGCGACCTGATCATCTGTGTGTCCTCAACGACGCACCGGCCGGTTAGCGACCGCATGCCGCCGATTGCGTTTGCTCTCCGCTGGCCTTGCCTACTCATGAAGCAGTATGCACTGCCAAATGATAGGCCAGATGTTTTACTTTAAAGGACGCTTCCTCGAGACTCTGTTCGACACTGGCGTAGAGTAGCCTCACTCGAGTTGGCACCCCTCCTGCTGCACCACCACCTTCTTGCCCTTGTTCACTGTTGATCCCTTCTCCGCACGCGTCTCCGCCACAACCCTCGGCCTCCTGACCTACTTGCTCGTTCTCAATACCGACTATTTTGCCAAGTATGTCGCACGGTCCTTATGGAACATGGTCGCCCCAAGGGGTCAAAAGTGAAGCCACCCAAGGCTCGCAGCAGTTCTCCAACGCTCCTGAAGCATCGAGCTCATCCAGAAGAGCTGGACCCGGTGGTGCTCAGCAGTACGGTTATACCGAAGGTTATCCGCAGGTATGCTATACCTTTGCGGTGTCAGATGTGACAATGAGTCTGATCGAAGCTGTGCTATCTATCTTAGACCGGGTCGTACCGACGTTTCACTGAGCGTGGGAATGTGAGACCGCCGTCCACCAGTCCGACGTCAAGCTTGTCGGGCGCCATGGGCGACGCACATATTTCTTCGCAGTATCAGTCCTCGTCGAGTATGGCATGGGCCCCATCATCGCATGCCATGGGAGACTATGTCATGATTCCTGACCAAGAAGGAAACATGCAGCCGTACCTTGCTAGTCCACCCACGTCTGTCCCGTCTGCAAGTCCCTCGGGTGCTTTCGCTTTGAGCCAGCAATATTCTACATATTCTAATATTCCATCCGGGACGATGTCTTCACCCGCTGGCGTACCCTCCCCGGTATACGCTGAACCATTCGCTTACCAACAGTCCCAAGCTCGGTCTGTCATGCAGGCCTCGCCCAACATGTCTTCCATGACACCCTCTCCCGTCGACGTTCCTATGTCCGCAGCGACTGTGCCAATCAGCCGTTCATCCCGTTCAGCCCAAGAGAAAAGACTGGAAGACGAAGTCCGTCGTCTCCAGCAGAAAGTTCACGAGCTCGAGCTCATCAACGAATCGGCGCGCCAGCGCATGAAGGAGCTCGAGCGCGAAGCCTCTCGGGGCGGATACAGAGCCGGTGGGTCGTCTTCCGCCGCCAGCGCTCTCCCTTCCCCTGTCCAAACACCGACCCTTCCGCCGGGCATGCAGGAGAACTGGCGCGCCCGCACGGACGCGCGTACCAAGATATTCTGCTCGTTGAACCGGGCAGGCAACGCGCTGTGCGCGTGGCACGACTCTCGGCGCGAGCGCAGGGCATTCCCGCCCCGCATGGCTCCTCCGGGACACCTGAACTGTGGCTGCACCTTCGACGAGGCTCTGTTCGAGGAGAGCCTCGCGCGCCACGGCGTGGGCAGCTACCACCCCGGAGAGAACGTGCGCATGGATCCCGCCCTGCGGAACCCTCTGTTGAGACTCCTGCAGCAGAGGTACGGCTATCAAGATGGGGATTTTGAGAGGGACCCCGCTACCGGTAGATGGGTTGACGGGGAGGGCGCCGCTCATTGGGAAGCCAAGCTTGCAGCGGGTGCGGCAAGCACCAAGAAAACTCGAGGAGACGAACGCCGCTAAAAATTACTCCAAATCAGGACTCTGTGAGCGTATCTCCACCACCATACATCCATCTGTATCGCTTTTAGTTCGTCTTCGTTGTTTTCAGTTTGCCTTTGGTTCGTGCTATCGCGCACTTCACTATAGAGTTGTCCTAGATGAGTGTCACCATCACTCCCACCTATTGCATCGCACCACATAGCTTACAGCATCAGCATAAACTCTCTCCTTTTTTTCCCACTCATTTTACATCCTCTACTGTAGCTTTTAGGCACCCACCCATCTAGAGATAGGTAGGTACGCATCTGACTTGGTCATATCTGTATCCTTAGTCCTTCCACGTATATGGATAACTATCTTGCGGACTCCATCCATATACACTAGTAATACATAACATGTTGGAATATGTATTCCACGGAAAATCGTGCTCTTCGCCGATGAATGGCGAATTCTTGGGCAACATGCGTTTTACATGCACTATTGGGGTAAGTTTCGCGTCCTCCACACGTCGAGCCTCTAGCTTTGGCAAGTGTGTTAGCGCAACAGCAGGCTGTGGCCATCTTTGAGGGTGAGACTACGACCGGAACACGGGTTGTTTGATATAGTACACAATGATCCATGTGGGATACGTTCGGCCCTCGCCCGCCAGTCGGACTGATCAAATTGCCGTCCGCTTGTTGTACTACGTGGTCGCCGGAAGCTCACACCGATGTAGCCACACACTACCACACTGCTGCGAACACATCTCAAGTTGATGCGTTGGCGATGGAAACACTTGGTGCAACCCGAACATCTTGGCAGGCTGCCTCACGCCTTAGATCTGTGTAGGCTATGCAGCACCGCCGCCACTGACAGCGTCAACAGATTGATGGTCTGCGTGGCAAACATCGTACATGTCCCAACAGTGTACAGTTTTTTTTTCTAAGCCTTGGACCACGTTAAATCCACCCGAATGCCTGGCATATATAACTCACTGACGAGTCCCGTCCTGCGCGGCGTGTGACAGACGCGATCACGTGCTCGCGTTGATTAGTCACAACCACGGTGACAGTCATGGTCACATTCCAGTCACACCTCCCCGATTTCTTTCTCGTTCCCCCTCATCTGTTAATTATAGGTCACAGAATTCAATCTCTGTACGATTCACAAGTGCAGGATTTCGAAATGATCGTGTTTGTACTTGTTCTCCTCCTCACCATTTTACCACCGTATTCCTGTGGGTTTTCCTGGGCCAAACTCAGATCACCGGCAAGGCCTCACATCGGCACCCAGTTCGATGGTAACTGGCAGCAGCGAACAGTGCCAATACTTTTACTGATTATATGTAGTAGATGTACTGGGTACCGATGAGATTGCCATGATCTTGCGAAACGCAGGTATGATAATGGTCGCTTCAGCACTCCATCTTTTGCTACGCGTTTAACACGATCTTAGAGTCTCTGGAATCATACACGCGTGAAAGAGATTGTTTCCGTCATGCCGCCGGACGAATACAGATGCGATGCGGGCAGTTGGACATGGATGAAGGCGAACGGATTAAAGGTGCGCCTCTTGTGAAGTCTCCACGTCACATCGCAGTTTTCACTGAAGTTCATTACCATAGCTGCAATTTCCATGACGCTCTGCGAACTCGCAACTGCAAAGCACCATGCCCCCCCACTTGAGTGTGCATCATTTGCGCCGGATGCTGATACTCCTGACACTTTGTCCTCAACTGAATCCCTCGGGTGTTGTGTGGAGTAAGTGTCGGTCAATTCTATTAATCAATCGTTGAGGGGGTCGTTCTACTAGCGCGCTCTCGCGGAGTGCACAGTACTGGTCAAGCTACTCTGGATACCTACGTGAAGTACGTGAGTATATGCGGTCGACTGGTCTTCGAGAAAACAGTAGGATCTAAGTCGAACTTCCCCAGCGCAACTATGCTACGCCTTCCGAAGATGGAACGACATTGGTTTGTTTCCTGACTTTCAGACGGATAAAGTACGACTCACAGCACGGTGCAAAAGATACAGCCAGGGACATATACAAGAACGCGACAATTGAGAAAATGGCTTTGCTCAGATATCTGAATGACCGTGAGATACGGTTACATGAAGGAAGCCAGCTTTCAAGACGCATTCTATCCGTTCGTCCCATACCAGCTGCCAGCCTCTCACCGAGTCTCATGCACGCAACTTCATCTTAGGACATGGAAAGGATCCTAGATGATTTGCGTTTGTCGATAATGTCCTCGGAACTTGCCTCTGACAAGATGATGAATGGCATGCAGGCGGGTCTACAAGAGGTGATAACTTCTGGCTTGATGTGGCGGCAGAGATGATTCATCTTGCGAAAATTTCAGACCGTAGTCGTATTGAGAGACGCCCTTTATGAGGTACTGCAACACAGCGAAGATACCCAGACTCGTGCTGCTCTGCAGGTCCGTTCTGCGATTGATTCTGTCACAGATCGCGTACGGAATTTCCCGTGCTCGTGCAAAATATGTTACTGATAGAAGAGGTAACCGTGCAGCATGCCGAGTCGTTGGACGGACTAGTTCTCGCCTTTGAACAGTCGCTCCGGTCAAATGTAGAGCAGCTCTTTTTCCACATGGAAGAACAACATCAAAACGTATTCAATGTCGCGGTCAGTTTACAATTCTCAGCACACATTGACCTTTTGCGACGGCAAAATCACAGGATACGTTTCGATTACGTTCAGCAGAACTCAGCACCAACCTAGAAGTGATGCAGGAGGTAAACTTCATGTCTCCTCCATTCTTGTTGACAAGTGTATCCACATCTCCTTCAGTCTGTAATCGGTCTTCTCTTAGTCACATCTCAAGCGGTTGCCGAGCTGGAGATGCATGTCGAGCAAGCACACTCAGCTAACCATGCACAGCTTGCCGCGACCGACTCTGCCGTCAGGCTCACCGAAGCGCTCACTGAGCTCACTGACAAGACACACGCAGAGATCGAGAAAATCAACGGGACTGCCCTCGCTGTGAAGCAGGGCTTGCTTTCTGGGTCGTTTGAGCGTGAAACCTTTGGTTGGTATTGGTCCACATGGGGCAAAGCGGGCGTTGTATATTTGTTAGAGATCATTTTGCGAGGTAAGGATTGGTTACCTGTATGTTTGTGATACAGAGCTAATATTACCGCCTCGCAGTCAACCCGGTGTACCTGGAGTATCTTACGGGTCTCCCTACGGTCCGCATGTTGGCTCTTTGCTTCCGCCTAATCTGGCATTTATTACAAGTCAGCTTCTCTTCGTTGATGGTCAGTAACTTTTCAGTGTATGGAGTAAATTTCATATCCCGGAAACCTTACTATTATGTCTCAGAGCATGGCTGTCCTCCTGATCTCGCTCAAACGGTGGCTCCCTACTCTCCGAAACGTTAATGAAGAAGTTTGCAATAATCTTGCAGAGTTTACTGGGTGCGTCCTAGTCTTTTTGTTCCATAGTGGCTCATGTATCTTCGTTATCAGGGTGCTCCCTAAACAGCAAGCATGTCGCTCTCCTGTCGGTGTTGCGCAGTGGTCTTCATCGACGCCTCTTCGCTACGGCTATGATTCCTACCCTGTGGCAATCTCTCGGCGGCAACGTCCTCGTGTCTCTCGGGTACCGGACAGACTCTGCAACCCACATCTCGACACGCCGCTCTGAGTTGATATTCCGGTGCTTCGAGCCAACTCATTCGCATAGTCTCCGACGGTCAATTACAATCTCGCAGAAACGGACTCATCAAGCATTCGCACATATTCTGCATTCAGCCTTATACCCAGCATAATTTATTCACGGAATGTCCTCTCAAGCGTGTATCGTTTAGTTCTCGCACTTGTCTGTACTTGCATTTACCAGTATCACGCATCATGTCCAATGCAAGGGTCACCTCCGCGTATGCAGCCTAAATGGAAGTTGTTCGCGAGCACAAGATTATCAACTCTCGAAAGACGGGAAACCTCCCGCATCAATAATCCAATCCGTACACGAGGTCCAGCCAGGTATACAGTAACAAATTAAACATAATCACTAAGTATACTTTACACCCCGTTCTATGCAAAGTACTGGAGCCCGTGCTGGTGTCTTACCAGTTCCAATCGTCGTCATAGTTCTGTGCGCTTTCAGCTTTGAGCCCGGGCTGCGTGGACGGCCGCGAGTCGGGGATCATCACACCACCCAGCGCGAGGCCCTCGTCGTCGTCCTCGAGGAGTGAGACGCTCGACGTGGGCCCGGAAAGGGGCGATGCACCGAGTGGGGAGGACGCGAGCGGGGAGAGCGTAGCGGCGAACGGGTTCGAAGAGACGGAGACGGAGGAGGTGAGCCCGCTATGTGCTGGCGAGGGAGACGACGGGGATGGTGCGGCGAGTGCGGCGAAGAGGGAAGAAGAGACATCAGAAAGGAGAAGCGAGGCGCGTTTCTGGCTCCTGGTGAATCTGCCACGGTGCATGCATGAGTTAATGATGATCAGAGAGATACGGAAGAGACACGCACTTTTCACCCTTCTGTAGCTCCTCCCATTTCTTCCCGACGCTGCTGCCCACGGTGCCCATCCACGACGACACGGGGCTTGCGGTGGGGAAGCCCGTGGACACACGTTTCGACGCTGAGGACCCGCCGGCGGACCTGGGAGGTGTGGCGAAGTGCGGTGTAGATGGTATAACAGGGGACGGTACAGGGGATGATGAGACCGAGAGTGCGGGCGGATGCTCCCGCGACTTGCGGCGGTGGATCTTTGCTGCCTGCAGTTCGGTCGCGGTCGAAGATGGTGAGATCACCAGGTCCGTGGACCGTTCTGTAATCGTTTCTTGTGCGCAGTCACGCGATTCCGATGGCCGTAGCGTTTCGTCGCCTTCGTCCATTTCGCTTGGAGGTTCGTCATACGCGAGAGATGATGCCGAGGAGAGAGATAGCCGCACGCTTGACGCGTTAGTGAAGCGCGTGGAGGTGGTGCCTGACGTTGACACGGACGACGAGCTTTGCGTGGTTGTGTGCCCCTTGTTTTTCCGGCCAGATATGGCCGGGCTCACCGACGAGAGGACAGGTGCAGACGAGAAATCCCCCAGGCCCGCAGCGAAGATGCGACCCATCTCCTGCATGCCCTCCTTAATCCCCTCTAGTACCGCGCCGTTCGTCGGCGATGCGACGGCGGACAAAATTGATACGGGAGATGCAGAAGATGCAGGAGAGGAGTATGCACGATCCATACCCTTGCTGACGATGCGCTCCCACTTGCGCTTGAGCTGCGCGAGCTCGGCTTCGTGTATGGCAAGTTGGGAACGTAGCTCTAGGCACTTGGACTCTTTCTGTGCAATAAAGCGCAGTAGGTCCGCGTGTCTTTTGTGAATATTTCATGTCATGTCGTCAGTCGTATCTCATGGTGCTAAGAGCGTGGTACGCACTTCTCCGTGAGCGTCAGCGGTCCCAGTTCCACTGCGGGCGACAGAGAGCCCATGGAGCCCGTACTACGCCTGTCTCCCCTTCTACGAGTACTAACGACCTTCTTGCCCAGAGAGCTACTGCGTTTCAGGGTGGAGCTGGCTACCGGGGATCGCAAATCCCATTGTGGAGTATGGTCGCTCGGATAGTACGATATAGATGACTGGCGGCGCGGCTTGTTGAATGCGCGCACCGTAGGGGGTGCGCTGCAGAGCCCTGAGAACGTTGGAGACGGGCAAGAGGATGCAGAGAGCGAAGGCGGGGCGTTTGGGACGTTGCTATCTACAAGTTGAAGTGGGCGGGGACCGGAAAACGAATGCGGTCGTGACGTTCTTGAGCTCATTGTACGAATTAATGAAGGGCTGTGGTCAAACGTCGTGACATTAATTAGAGGCCGTCGAGGTGGTAGCAAGTGAAAAGACAGTCGAGCTTGACACGGTCGGGATGAAGTTGTGAATATTCGGCGTCTACTACAACCGCACTGATTTTCGGAAAATCATTGCAAGGTAGAAATTTACTCTTGCTGCTGAGCCCTGAGGCGCGAATTCTGACACAGCTCATAGCAACCATACGTGTTGGACATGGTGCGAAAGTGTAGAAACGAAGGCGCAAGTCTGTCTGTGCGGTGCAAAGTGTCTAGGTCTATTCCAAGCCAAAGATATGGACATGGCGCTGAGCAGAATGCTAGTGCTTCGCTTCCTCCTTCTCTGCATCGGCGACGAACTTCTTGATGCTGTTGATCCTGGTCAGTTGTCGACAGTTCGCCCTCGCTAGGTAGGAGATGAATAAACACGTACAATTCCTCTTCCTCACTACAAACACAAGATATTCTCAGTATAAAACCAAACGAGAGCAGAAGACAGCATACCTCGAGCCAGCGGTGAACTTTACGGTCTCCTTGACCTGCTCGATGGTCTTGGCTGGCGCAGCAGTCTCTTTTTTGCCACCTGCGGACAGCATGCCGAGACCTACCGCACCAAGGATGGTGCCAATGGCGAGGTACTCAGTTTTGACGGCACGGCCTAAGATAACGCTACAACATTGTCATTTTTTGGTCGCAATAAAAGAGAGAACCATAACATACTACGACATGGCGGGAGGAACGAGTGTAGAGATGCTGGTCGTGAGGAGCTACTAGTGAGTGCCCTCTTCGGGACTTCCCGGCAACTGCTCTGTTACATAGTTCATCAAATTCAACGACCACTGTACATGTTGCATACTTATCAAGCAACTTTCTCTTCACCTTGAACATGTCGCAGCAATGACATTGTCAGATCACATATATATCGATGCATTTGATCAATCCGTTCCGACATAGTCCGGTCTCCGTTTTGTACGCCTTCTGATCGTGCTGCTGCCCGGTGTTCTTGTCTATCTGCATTTTTCTGCCTATGAGACCCCTCTTTCTATTGTCGCGTTCCAGGGTTGCACCTATCTCGATTCTCAACGACGCGGAGGCGTAGTCCGGACCAATGTATCTGGCGGCTACGGATGCTGACGGCTCCTAAGACAGATCTGACCTTACATTTCGTATGAGAGGCAGAAATTTGTCAGTCTACTGAGTACTCGCCGAGCGGAATCCAATCAGGCTAACCGCCCAAAAGAACCCGGCATCTACGAATTTGTGCAGGTCCGTGGATAATTCCCTTAGACGCCATCTCTGTATCCGGACAAAAAAACCAAGAATTTGCGGTCGACGCCATCTCACCATCCGGACATTTCGACCCCTCAAAGGCCGGAACGCCATCTGGTCCGGACATGGTGGTGGCTGTCGGCCCCGCAGGGGGCCCCGAAAGGCCGAGAAGGCCCGGAATGCTCCGAAGGGGCCGGAAAGGGCCCAAAATTGCCTTATTTGGAGGTGCCCGAGCCGATGCCATCTTCATTATCCGGACAGAAAGTCCAAAAAAAGGTCATAAAATGTCCGGACAAAGAATCTGAAAATCAGCAATTTTGAGAGATGGCGTCTAAGGGGATTATCCAGGGTCCTATTTGTGCCTCCTCGGGACACTATCGACGCCACGATCGGTTGGTCTGTTCGTACTGTGGTAACCGGTACGTCATTACGCGACTACTTATTTTTTCATGCTTTTTCATCCAAGAGATTTATTGGTGAGAGGTCTCTTCCTTTTTGCTGGCACAGTTTCCGGAGACATGAGACAGGGTTGTACCTTGGTGCCTCTGTGTGGTGCCGGAACGCGCTGTGAAGACAGTCAATCATAGGCTTAAGTTCCCTGAGATCAAGTTTCACTTGGCTCTATTACTGCGTCATTCCCCTACTTGTTCTGTGGCGGTTCACGTATTATAGATGTTTGCGCATTTTGTCTTCTGCCTGCAGGGCGCACACGTTATCGCATCTAGATAGCATCTTGCAACGGTCTCATCTGCTTGGTCTGTTTTTATTCAGGTGATTATGCTCCTGGTGTGATGGCGTCTCAAGATTCATGCACTTCATCCGGGCGAACTCCACGACTCGAATTTCTTCAGTACGAGATGCTGATATCCACCCTTCCCGCATTTATTGTGGCATCCTGCCTCAGAGGCACTATCTGCAGCATCCGTACTCGACGTGCACAAGGTGTTTCGGAGACAGCCTTCGGATTTGCTCATTCGGCTGCAACTGAGATATCTGATCATCAGTCCGCATCCTCTGACCACTGGTGGCATGTGTCGCTTGCCTCGTTCCCGCTCTCATGATTGGCATCGCGCCCGTATCCATGACTTCGTCTCCTACAACTTTGTCTTATCTCGAATGTGTATGGAGGAGTGTTCCGCCCCGAATGAGGACCTGAATACATTTCGTTGCGGCCTCAAATGCTCTTTGCACAGGCTTGCATCCTGAGATCACATGGATGGTGCACAGCAGAATTCCACGTCATATCCCCTACATAAGTACCAGCTGGCTAGTACTTCCCTTCTGTGAGCAGGCGCGTGCTTATCGATTCTCACCGTCTGCAGAGATGCGAACGGATACCTCCCATCTCTCAAAACAACCATGAGAAGCTGATTTCATTTCTTTCTGGAGAACGCTTAGGGTGCGTATGAAATCCTCGTGATCGATAACCTCGTACTTAGCGCCTCGGAGTCTTTGACCATGCTACTTCACGGCGGCTGTTCCCCCGAAGTGGCTATTGGCTACTGCCGGTGTTGGGTGCAGTTTTCCCAGTTTTCCCGCCGTGGCCTCTCGAGTGCAAGGCACCACGCTGGCTGGTCGCGACTGGGCTGTGAACGGTTCATCGGTCCAGGTGCCACACGGCCATGAGACCCCGCAATCAGATCCAACCTGTCCCGCATCACTTGCGCCACTGCACTCTTCTCATGGGATTCTCAGAGGATTTGGGCAGGTGAACACCTGGATATTGAACTCGGAGGCAGGCGAGTTCTGCTCGACTTTCAACTTTCCAGGTTGGCGATAGAGGAAGCACGTGATACTCACAGGCACGCGGGCCCGAGTGCATTTCCCATTCGCAGTCTTGGCAAGATCGCATCTGCCTGAATCTGGATGGCGCTCGAGGGCACCTTTTCGGTCTGTCTGCTCCGCGCCAGACGGTCTCGGGGTGCCAGGCTAACGCTGTTAGACCGCATGCAGTTTCCTCTAAACGCCATTGGCGTGTGCAACTTGCCCTGCTCCTCCATTCCGCAGCTTCATATCATCTCCTTCCTCCCTTTCCGTTGCACGTCGTGCGTCGCGTCAGTCCGTAGGTCGTGCTGCTTGAGGATAACGTTCATCGAGACATGCTGCTGCATTGTTACTACTGTCTAATCACCGTCCTTTCGCTCGTCACCGGGTCGAGTGCAGTGTATCACCTTCTGCACGAATATGCTGGGCAGAACTTCTTCTCTGGGTGGGACTTTTATGGTTCATGGGATAACCTTACTCTCAGTACGTGTCTGTTATGTGACTCCTAGTGTAGGAGAAAATTTTGGTTTGACGGCGGACTTTTGAGTACAGGTAACACTACATGGGTGTCCCAGGAAAACGCGACCGCGTTGAACCTGGCGTACATCAACGCCGCAGGGAATGCGATCATGCGAGTGGATAATACAACGAATGTACCTGTGGGCGAGATGCGAAATTCAGTATGTCCTACTTTTTCCCGCCGTTGTACAGTGCGAATTGATGGCCTACTGGGGTGAAGGTGCGAATCACTTCCCAACAGTCGTTTGATTTTGGCAGCCTCTGGATCATGGACGCCGTGCATTTGCCATACGGCTGTTCTGTGTGGCCGGCATTTTGGACTAAGGGCCCGAACTGGCCATTTGAGGGGGAAATCGGTGAGCATTCAATTCGATGACCGCAAATTGTCTGCTGGGAATGCGCCTGTTGATCAAAGGTCCGCTTTTATGTTCCAGATATCGTGGAGGGAATCAATATGATGGCGAACAACCAGATGGCTCTACACACTGTCGCTGGTTGCATGCATAATCTGACTGATCCTGCGCTGCAAACGGGTTACAATGGCGGCTTGGACTGCGGCACTGGTTCAGGGTGTGTCGTTAGTGAGAATGCGCCGAACAGCTACCAGGCGGGCTTCGCAGCAGCTGGAGGAGGCGTGTGGGCAACGCAATTCGATGTGTCTGGAGTCTTGTGAGTTAAAATCGTCATCCGGGGATAGCAATTTGTTCTTAACAATTATTGCAGTATGTGGTTCTGGAGTGTGCGTTCATTTTCTACCAATTTTGTTCTCTCTCTTATTCTATCTCCCTTGTAATGCTCACATCTGGCATTAGAGACCAAACATCCCTGCTCAAATCGCCAATGCTACCTCGGATACAATCATGGATCCATCAACATGGGGACCTCCTGTTGCAAACTATCCCACCACAACTGCTTGCAACACTTCAGCGTTCTTCAGTGCGCAGCAGCTCGTGTTCGACATCGCCCTGTGTGGAGATTGGCATGTATTATCCAGCCTCGTCACGGCGCGTTAGTAGTGACGGTTGGCTGTCCTTATAGGGCTGGCGTTCCATCCATTTACGCGAATACGGGCTGCAGCAAGCCCAACGGCACCGGCATCTGCGTACGTCATACGCCCACGGGGGGTGCACGGATCCACTGACATAGATTTTGACACTTTCTGCAGTATCTTGACAGCGTGGTCGGCCCTGGCAGCCCTACATTCGACGAAGCATATTTCGAGATCCGCTACGTGCGCACGTACGCCCTGGGCGTGGTTGACCCTCCCGCATCCTCTTCTAGTTCATCAACTCAACCTACCGGGACCTCCACTGTTGTTGCGACTGTAACTGCCAACGCGCATGACCAGAGCTCGAACTCTGCGCGCAGCATACGCCTCCCAGCAAGGTTAGGCGCTATCGTGCCTTTAGGCCTGCTGCTCGGCTCCGCGCTTGTGTGGTAATGCTATTGTTACCGAGGACTACCACCTTTCACGACTCCCCCTCTCGCGGACCACCTTAAGACGACAGAGCTGTAATGGTGGTATCCTTATGGACTGATACTGTATCCTTCACTCTCGGCTATCATGTAGGCTTGCGTCGCGGCGTGAGGTTGGACCTGCGTAGATCTTGGCCAACAGCGGCCTATGACGTTCTTTGTTGTGGCATTATACCTACGTACGCCTACGACACATTCCTGGCGTTTGGACAACGAAGTACATATGGGATGGCGGTAATAGATCAAGTGAGAATTAATAAGTACGTACATTCGTGGTATCTACTTCGTGGTATATACATCGTCGCTGCGTTGCCAATGGCGGACTCATCCTGCGTTCTGCCCTAATGCGTGCGGTCATACCCGCACAGCGGAGCCCCCAAAGCCCTCGGAGATCCCTATATGGGACTGCAGGCGTCTATCTTATCTGACACAAGCGAGAGCTTATGATCAGTTAATCGAGGCCAGCTTCCTGACGCAGTTTGAGGACTACATCACGAGCAGGATCGCCCTGGGGAGGGATTCTCATCTTCTTGATCCCGGGCGGGGTCTTCCAAGGTGAGATAAGGGCACCAGGCAGCTTCGTCGAGTCAATACCGCCATCTGGTCCACACGCGACGTGCTCCAAGCAATCCGGCATTGACCTGAGGTGACGCAGAAGCGCGTCCTTTCGCGAGAACAGTTTTGAACACCCCGGACAGTGCCAAACTGGGTCGAAGTGAGTGTCCAGATGCCTAAGCCTATCTTTCGAGGATTTGAACTTCATGTGGCAATCCCCGAAGAAGCATTCGTAACCCGTAATGGATGCTTTCGCTGCTCTCGATGAGGCGGCCTTGGATCTCCTCGATAAAGCCACCTTCGCCGTCCTGGAATTCGCGACTTTCTGCTTCTGCATTGACATGTGATCAGAATCAGCCAAAGTAGCAAGATGCCAGGAGACATACTGTCTCGTCGTCGTAGTCGTCATCGTCGAGGTCATCGTCATCGCCGTCGGCGTCGGCGTCCTCGGATGCCTCGTCGTCGCATGCCTCGTCGTCGGAGGCCTCGTCGTCGGAGGCCTCATCATCGGATGCCTCATCATCGGATATCTCGTCGTGGGATGCCTCGTCGTTGGATGCCTCGTCGTTGGATGCCTCGTCGTTGGATGCCTCATCGTCGGAGGCCTCATCGTCGGAAGCCTCATCGGAGGCGCACTTTCGTGATGGGGAAGTCTTCACGACTTTGCACTTCTGCATTGACGCGTGATCAGAGTCGGCCAGAGCACTACGCTGTCCAGTCACATACCGGTTGAGGAAGGAATTCTTCCTCGTCATCGCATTGTTGTGCTCTCTTCCGTTTGCAACAGCGTCTTCCCACTATGGGGATATCCGGTGCAGTGAGTAGTCGCGGTGAACGCACAGTGGGTTCCGGTTCCGTGGGCAGCTGCGTGGAAAGCGGTGGCCACGTTGGAGACACCTTGAGATCCGGCTCAGCGGGCGAGCGCGCTGAAGGCGGAGTGGAATCTGGTTCGGAGGGTAAACGCGGTAGCGGCGCAGAGGAATGCGGTGCGGATGAAGTTACTTCAGCCAACGAGACGAAGCGCTGAGGAACGTAGGACCGGTCTATACTCCAACGTTTGAAAACCTCCCGCACCACGCTGTTTTGCTCGTAGGAGTACAGTGAGCCCCTGGAGTTTCTCCCATGATACGGGTCCGAGGAAGACTAAGGAAGGAATGAGAATAGACGCGTCCACATCAACTTAGAACGCGTACGTGATTCGCCCAAGGGTTGAAGTTGGGGGCCACCGGTATCGGAACGAGAATGTTGGAGAGGTCGGAAAGTACAAACAAGTTCATGGTAAGCTGATTTGGGCAAGAAAATGTGGAAATGAGAATGTAGCGCGTGGTGGTGATGAATGTTCGATGGAGAGGTGCAGCAAGTTTTAAAGCGCGATGTTATATACCGCCAGAGCTAACAAAGCCCCTCTTTAGCGCCCAAACCATCCAATGAAGTGAATTCCCGTCGATGTTGCCATGAACAAACACAAACAATCGCAACTAGGCGCGATTACGGTTTGGGTGTTCCGTACACGCAGAGCCTTAGGCCTGATTCGACAAACTAAATCGACAAAAATGTTTGTGCGCCCATTCGTGCGCCATTGGCGACCAATCATCGCAAATTGGGGACAGGTGAAGACAATTACCAGGAGCACTTACAGTAGTCTTTCAATAATGATGACACATAGTCGGTCTCCGACGCAGGACCAACGCTCGGTGGTCCATTGCGCATGAGCGAGCTAGGTCTCTGGCAAGATTGCTAGGATGCTGCTAAAGCGTATAAAGCAATGGTGAGGCGCATACAAAATAAACTTAATATCCATTCAACGTCGCTCTGAGGGCAGCTTGTGGTTGATTGGAGGAGGTCCTGGGCAAGATCACGTACGTCTGCGACGAAGCAGGTGCCACAGTAAGAAAATCTAAGTAGCCAGCGATGGCGACGCACTTCCTCAAGTTCAGACGTATCACCGAATATTCGACAGGGTTTAATCCTACAGCTTTGGCCAAAGACATGACGTTCGAAGAATTGACGACGTAGTGCATTTCAGCTTCAAGCAATCCAAAAGCAATCACTATGTCAGACGCCGATCGCTATTACGTGATCCTTCTAACCGAACCGGTCAGACCATCATCTTTGGCTCCACTGCTATTGCTCGATTCTCAATATTTGCCGTAGTTTCCTGTAAGTTTCACAGCACTGTGAATCCAGACTCCCGTACTAATGTCACAGGGGCAAGGACATCGATAGTTTCAGGTCACCGACTCGAGTCGAGTGCCACAATTCGCCACCAAGTCTGTTCACTGAGGACTATCCGTTCATTTTTCGTGAGGTAAGCTCACCAACGACCTGCCTTTGGCTGTATCTATAACCATTTGATGTTAGTTTTTTGCAGAACTTTCCTCGTGCCACAGCTCGCAGTGCTTCCTTCCGTCGGGCGAGCCACAGGGAATACACCCAAAGACCTCTTCATCTCGGCGCTTCTACTACCCCATCGGATATTTCGAATATGCCCTTCCCTTCAGAATTATTTCTGATGATATTTTCTCAAGTTCACACCGGTGCTCACAATGAGGTGTCGCCGAAGACCACACTAAAGAACTTGACTCTAACGTGCAAGGAATTCTATTGTCTCGCGCAGCCTCTCTTATTCGAGTCATGCACGGTCACCATATGTCGTGATTCGCCGGATGTCGTCAGGAATCCATATGCTCCGTCATGGCAAATCTACCCACTCAAAATCAGAGAACCAAAGAAAACCATAGAGAAACTCTCTTTCATGGGCCAAGAGAGAATCGCAGCAGGGATTCATAGCTGTCTTGTTACTCCTACGGAGTATCTAAAACATGGGCGCGATCGCTACAATCACTGCCTCGATGATCCTCGCGAGCGCGTGATCTTGGACTTCTTCTTCGACGACCTCCTGCCGAAGCTAGTGAATCTTAAACATCTCGAGTTGGCCCGGATCACGCTCACGTCATTCCATCTGCGCTGCTTGCGTAATGTCCCTATCATTCATTCATTGCACGTCGAGACATGCTTCAGCAAGGAGGATGAACATGGTGACGAGGAGTCTCTTCATGACCGCTTGGATGCGCTCCCAGTGAAGCATCTTGTATTTCAGCAGATGCCTATCGACTGGACGTCACCAAACGTGTACGTCCCGCTACCTCAGCCCGCACTGCTCGAATCTCTGTCCTTTTACATGTTTCAGCCAGCGCGACAGGACCTTTTCGAGGACCCGTATCACAACCTTCTACCCTGGCTTACATCTCTGGGTCCATTTCCCTCTCTGCGGTCTTTGAATGTCGTCTGGGTGCCATGTGGCGCTCAGTGCGACTGGCGTCCATTCATCTCCTCTCATTGCCCTTCGCTTGAACGGCTTTCCATTGTGCAGAGTGTGGGTGCTAAGTTGGATGCTACTCCTCAGCAATTTCCATCCCTCAAGTTTTTTCGTGGGACTTGGAATGATGCAAGGTTATACGGTTTCGGCCCAGGTTGCAGTGGTCTCCAACACCTCCTCGTGTCGGCCAAGTGTGCACAAATACCTATACGGGCTCGGGAAGACCGTACATTGACTGACAGCACTGCTTTAAGTGGTCCTGTTGTGCTCGCGGGACTGAATGAGTCCCCGGGAGGGTTCGCTCATCTAGAATCGCTTAAAATTTCTATGTATGACGTATCAGATGAACTGATCACTCGACTCTTTCGCTGCTGTCCGCGGCTGCGAGCGCTGAAGATTGACAGTCGGGTATTATATCGATTCAGGGAAAATGGGCTCTCAGTATGCAAATCATTTCTCTTTCGGGTTATCTGCTCACAATGACATATGACAGGCACTAGCTTCCGTTTTAATAGCGGCAGTATCGTTGCCGGATCTGGAGTATATGTCGCTCTGCTTTGTCAACGTGGCAACGGAAGAGAGACCGCAGTTGGACAGGATGATTTACTTCCTCTCGTCACAATTACGGGTGCACTGCCCAAAGTTACGCTATGTGCACATTGCGCCCGTGCCGGGGAGAATATCCGAGGAAGGTTACTGCACTGTGCGATTTGACCCGGTTGGTGCCCGCTGGTTGATACAGGACTATAGCATCGAATCTTGGTGGAACGGGATAGTGATTGGGCACACCCTTTCCCTGCGACGCCTGGAGAGCTTCAACACGAGGATCACCGAGGCAAGAGCGGCGGTTATGCCTCTTTTCTTACGGTTCCTTGTATCGTAAAGTCATTTCTGCTTCAATTCTCGTACCCAACGCTGTCCAGGTAATTTTCCGCAGTCTTAAGTACTCGGAAGAGCCGACTTTGTAGGCCTTGCTCGCAACATTGCGAAGATTTTCCAGTATTTTCCCCCCTGTACTGGTTATTGCGCGCAATCAATGTCATGCATGTGGTTCAGTACTTCTTCGTATTTCTTCACTTGTCAGACATGTCAAGCTTGAAGCTTGACTTGAAGTTTGATGGATCAAAGAGCCCCGCCGTCACCTGCGGTCGGAAGCTCCCGGTTCCACAGATCATATTTTTGCAACGTCCTGTGCACTCTCATCATATTTTTACCGTCGTGGTGGTGCGTGAATTGACTTTTGTCCACCGTGACGTGGTGGTGGTCGAGCAGAGTGCTGAACGGTCATACACGCCGCGTAAATATATTCATTAGACGGTAGATCGGTGCCAGGGCTGGCCGCCGCAGGCCGGACCTTCGATCTCGGACCCCCGAAAATGGTCGAAAAGCCGGTACAACTTACATGCAGAACATCCCAAAAATTGTCTTTGGCCCGAGGTCCAGTGCGAAACTCCCGAAAAATGGGAGAAATTTTCCTGGAGATCCTCAACTTGAAAGGATTTTCGGGCGAGAGAATAGCTCCGCCAGGTGCCAAATTTGATTTTGAACCCGGCCGGCGGGCCCATTTCTCACCGCAGACGTTCGGCCGGGATGCCAGGACCTTGAAACCCCCGAAAATGGCCTCCGGTGGGATCGGAGCGTCCAGCCGAGCGGTAAGCGCTCGAGCAGACTTTTCTCAAGCTACGCCAGCACGGTTTCCGTATCGTTCTAGGTGAGACAATTGAAAACATGTCTTAGCGCAGTTTGTTGAAGACGATCCTAGAAGGAACTTACTTAGTCTCCCAAAGGCAGGTTGTAGACACTGCTTCAACCTTCGTGCCTCTGGATATTTAAACCTACTCAATTAACGTGAAGACGGCCGTCCGAGTCTTAAGTCTTGCGCAGCCTTATTCCGATTCCCTTGAATATTCTCTGCCCTCTAAACCTTCTGAACATTGAGAGCGAACCTAAGACCGGTGAGTATCGTAATGAACGCCTTTTGGAACTCGCTTTACTAATGAAAGTTGTATTCGTGTTTGCAGATCCAACCATGCTTATTGTGGGCGGTTATCTCATCACTCTTGCGCAGCTCGCACAAATTGGAGCGCGCCGCGGACTTACCATCGAGAACGGCGAGGCGCATATCCTGAACCGCGACTTACGTAGGAAGGGTTACGAATCTATCTTTGCTTTACCTGTCGACTGGCCGCGCAGGACCGAAACCACGCGGGGCAGGACGATGATCTTGATTGCTTCTCGCAGGCGAGATGATTATCTCATTCATCTTGCAGACTGCGTCCCATTCGAAGAGAATGAGGACGACCTCAAGGTGAAAGGTTGGCTGGCGTTCAACGGCATAACGGACGCGCCGTTCACTACTATACCTGACCCGTTGTGTAAATACAACGAAAACGGCTATGACCAGGATTAGCTACTTTTACCGTACGCTAGTGAGTGGATTTGCGGCCCATTTGTAAATTGGCTGATGTTGTTTCCATCTCTACAAGTTGCCTCGGGCTTGATGCAAGTTTTTACTCATTGTGTATGTCGCACTGACAATGCCATGCAACTTGCGGAGTCCAGTTGTGCAATGTAAGACTGTAAGACCAGGTAGATTGATTGCCACAGTCCATCCAGTTGAGCACCAACATCAATCTTGAGGCCCGAACCTCTTGTGCCAGCTTTATGTGGCTCTATGCGCTGTAGCTAGCGGCCGTACTACATTCCCAGCTAGAAGCTCCTTCTCCCGGGTGCTGTGCTCAATGCTCAGCTCGCGCTGCTTCAAGTATCGCGGTGAATTTGTTGCGTGCGTTTACATGAGAGTCTTTGCCCGTGCATTGTTTCTGAGCCTGGCGGAGTGTCTTGTTTAGCAATGGGCTGAGTGTGAGTTAGAACTGTGCGCGGACTTCGAGGTGTCTTGCAGGAGACCATCCAACTCTTGAAACGGCCGAAGGACGCTTGTAGACATAGAAAGAATTTATTGCAAGTAAATAACAAGGTGATCGTGATAGTACACGATGCCCATGAGAGAGCTGGTCCACGCGCGAAAACGATGCGTGGGTCACGCAAACGTGACATTCCCCCTCTATACGAAGAAACAGTGAAACGTATGAGATTAATAGCTATACGAAACTCACCAGACGGCGAAGCCCGGAGGCACCTGAACGGCTGGTTATGATGATGATGATGAACTCTGAACTTATATACCGCAATAAGCAAACACGTGCTAAGACGCGGTGACCGGTGACGGCTGGTTATGAGACTACTGAGTACTGAACGTTGAACGGCCACGGACGCCAGGGTGCTCCGAGTCGGAGGTCTGATCGACCGTTTATCGATCGAGTTGAAGCGCCGGCCTGGTGTCTGTAACTTGCCACAGACCAAGTTACTCCGAGTCTCACCAACCCTTGTACCTTTCTCGTCCTTGGCTCCAGCCTGTGTTCTTCCGTTCCCGCCATTAGAGTTTACACAATCTATTGTGCAGTAGTCCAACCTCGTAAGGCCGCTAATGCTGAGAATATTGAATACTAACTTACACCCTGCTTACTTCACGCAGGCACACAATCGCTCCGACTACTGTTACCGATCTTAGGAAGGAAAAGGCCAGATCACTGCTCTGATATCAGAGGTCAGTCTTCCACTGCTATGTTTCAAGCGGTTTGTGTCCTTGCAGTGTGACAGATGGCAGTATTTTCTTCAGAGTATTGTACTTTTCCAACATGGTAGTGGAGGCCGACCATCTCGAGCAAACAGACGAAAAGCAAACATCCACTGGCGAAGTCATTCAAACTTCACGAGGTGGCTCCAATTTACGCTTTCCTGCTGAACTTTTTCATTCGATATTCTCCCACATTCTACATGGCAATCTTGCTGAGGAGTCACCGAAGAAGGCGCTAGAGAACCTGACCTTGACATGCAAAGTATTCTATCATCTTGCACAGCCTCTCTTGTTCGACTCTTGCACTTTTCCGATATCCCGCACTTGGAAGCCCCCTCCTGAAGAGGGTGTGATCTACCCCTCTCATGCAGATCCCATTCCGATGAACATCATTCCTCTCAGTGTTCAGGAATCAGAAGACACCCTACACAAACTGTGTTTCATTGGTCAGGAGAGAATCGCAACAGCAGTTCGTCACTGTCGTCTTGCTCCTATAGCATACCCGGAGTATTCGACACCAGTGGATGATCATTGCCAAGAGGATGCGCATGAGCACACCATCGTCGACAGGTTCTTCCGCGACATTATACCGAAGTTATCAAATCTCAGAATACTAGAATTGGTCCACGTTACGCTCGGACCATCTCATCTGCGCCTCTTGCATGGTGTATGTGTTCAGCTGCACTCCTTGTGCTCTGAAACGTGCTTTCTACAGGACGATGATGAAATGAGGCTTGAAGACCACAATCACTTTGGGGCCATGCTCTCCGTCAAGAATCTCATATGCAAGAGGACTATACACCCAGGCAACCGAAAGATGTATCTCCCGCTGCCCCATCCCACCCATGTCGAGTCTCTGTCCTATCACTTCTTTTCATTTCGTCGCCGTGGCTTATCACACAGCATGGAGGGCCGGGAGCGGGTATTGTTTAGGCAACTCACAGCTATGGGAAAGTTCACTTCTCTGCGCTCATTGGATGTCACCATCCGGCCGTATGGCGCTGTGTGCGACTGGCGTCAATTCATATCCACCCATTGTTGTTTGATAGAGAGTCTTTCCATGCAAAGGCACACAAAGGTTAACATTAGTTTTGTAGCCCCTCACGATCTTCCTTCGCTCAAGCTCTTTCGTGGAATGTGGGATGATGTCAGGTTCTATGCACTGCAGCAGGGGGGTCTCCGACATCTTATCGTCACCGGAAAACGTGCAGATGCTGCAGAGGATGGTCTGAGGAACCACCCTATCCTACGGCATTCTGATGTGCTCGCAGGACTCAACGGCCGGAGGGACGAATTTGCTTGTCTGGAGTCTCTGGAGCTGAAGATCTGGAATGCGTTAGAGAAGATCATCGCTCCAATATTCAACTGCTGTCCGCGACTGCGGGCGCTGAAACTAATTGGTAACACATCATTCGGTGTTGGTCTCTCGGTGAGGGAGAACATCCACTCTGCTGCTCTTCATCCATGTTGACGTATTAGATCTGTCACAGTCATTGTCTTCTGTGTTCATCGCCGTGACATTGTGCCCAGATATTGAATATCTTTCACTCCCCCAGTTTCATATTGAATTGGGCCAAAGAGCATCGTTAGAATCAATGATATCCTCTTCATCGGTCCACCTGCGGACTCAATGTCCAAAGCTACACTACGTTCATTTCGAGCTTCGTGAGGAGATGCCTATGACGAAAGGCTCCCGCTCTCCAGTCATGAAGAACAGTGACGTGCGATTTGATCCTACCGATGATCGTATACTGACCGTCGAGCACACTATCGAGGACTGGCGGAGTAGGGTGTGGAACGAATAATCGGCATAGGTGCCTGCACTGTTCACTATATGTGCATGCCTGACGAATAGGGTCGCCTGGAGGCTGGAGCTAGCTGCACGCCGAGTGGGCAATTTGGACATGTACCATGTCAAGTAGTGCCCGGTTGACCGTACGTATGTACGTCTAGACAGACTGAGACTCGGTTACACTGTGTGCCTGAGAAGTGGTGAACTGTCTGAACTTATTCGGTGAAAACCGCCTTTCACCAATAAACTTCGGCATTAATTAGTGGATAGTGATTTGGATGTGATTTCCCCTGATTTCTGATCCACCGAGAATGGTAGTGAAATTCACCAACGACGATCCGCGTCGAAACGGTTCGGGAATTCACCACCTACTTGTTGGTGATTTTCTGTTGCGTTAAACTACCAAGTCCAATCAACCCTGCCCTAAATGTTCAAGTTTCAACATGGCGTCGTCGAGCTTCGTCGTGCGCTGGCATCGCTCAACACTGTCTCTAGCTTTGCACTTTCCAGCGCTCTGCTCGGGCCGGCTAATCTGGACTGGCTTAGTCAAATTGATCTCTGGTGTTGTCTCGTCTGCTGGGCTCCATGGCTTGCTCTCTGGGGAAGGTTCAATCCTTACCATGGCAAACAACAGACAGGTATGTGCAAATTTTGACGCAACGAGTGACCTCCCGGCCTTGCTACGGTATTCTGATGTCATCCTATGCCAGTCCCAGCAGACGGCTCTGTTGTGCAGCGCAGAGCGCGGTTTTAGGCGGACATGGTTTTAGGCAGACATGGTTTTAGGCGGACGTTGTTTCACAAATTACGAGGGAGCGTAGGATGTATGTGTTCATTGCTATATATTACCGGAACTCTAGATCTGTATATATGTACTGGAATTGAATCTATATTCAATGTTTCTGGTAGTGAATTCAGTGATTGAGCGGAACCTAGTAGAAATCAACAATAAACAACCGGGTTCTCACGACTCGCCTTTCGACGCAAGGTAGTGAAATCGGACATTTTCTGGGTGATTTTTACCGCTTTCGCTCACCGAGAAAATTGGTGAAACAAGATAGTAGACCCTCGAAAACCTAGTGACATTCCATATGTAAAGTAGTAATACCTCCGAAGATATCTAGTGAACGAAGTTCGGGCTTTTCACCAACTTCCGGGCACACAGTGTTAGGAACACGCAGTGCTATTCCCTACCTGAAGTTGTCCAATTGGTTCTGATCAAAGCTTAAGTGCAAGTTCTTCGAAGTTCCCGTCGCCGCAATATGATAAGAATCTGGCTATCCAGCTATCGGGCATTTTCTAGCGTCATTCGCAGAAAATTTAACCGCTTGGGTCCGGTTCAAATTTGTACTTCGACGAATGCCACACACTGTTCACCAGCGAGGCGCCTAGTCTGCTTTCAAATCAGGGTGCTTCACCGTAGTACACGATTTCGGAGTTACATTCTTGCTCGGAGAGCAAGCTCTCCCGACCCAAAAGTGAAAGTGTCCTTTTTACACAGTTGTTGTGCGCTATTTGTTTTGTGGCACTGTCCACCCTCGTCTCCGAGCAAGTTCCGCCGCCGCCTGGCGGCCTTTCGAGTAAGCAACTTGATCTCCGAAACGCATCGAGTAGATCTGGTGTAACGCGACACGTCGGCCTCTGCAAGACAACACCCTCTGCGTTGCATGAATTTTCCAATAATTATACATTCCACCATCCTCATAATGTCAGAATGACTTCTACATTCATTGGGCCATGCTCATTTCAATTCAGTTCACCTAAGGGACTCACACTCTGCCGGCAAATACTTGCGAGATCTCTACCTTATGATCCACATGACTATCAACTGGAAGGTGTCTGCAAGGCATTATAAGGCATCGATGTTCTCGCTGTGAGAACAGGCTCTGGGAAGACAGGAATGGGAACATCTTTGCCTTGGGGGAGGTGAGCACGTCCTGATGCGACGCGACGACCCACTGTTTCGGTCAGGAACCCGAGGCCGGCATCACGGCCGGATCAACGGCATCTCTTCGGCATCCGCGTTCACGAGTGAAATCCTGTACTACGGTTAAGGGGGCGCGTTTGAAAGCAGACCTATATCAGTCCGTCCCTCCAACCTCTCATAGGACTGATTTTGTAGTCTGGCTTTGGGAGACTACGAGGCGCCTCAACACAGCCTCAACCATGTATCGACAATATGTTCTTTTCACCAATTCTACCAAGCGGTTGTTCAACGTTCATGAGGTACCCACACTTGGTTTGACGTCTGAGCGGCTATGATCCACCACGGTCGTGGCGTCTATCGTGTCAAAAATACTAGCGTGGATGCGTCTCACTGATCATCCAAGTCCCTTCCGAGTCCAGTGAGCGACGGGATACTAGTATCTCCACAGGTGTGTCGAGTATCTGCCTGACAGTATATGCGATTGACGGAAAGTCACTCGTTGTCTCTATCGACCTAATTCGCATTGCGAAGCTCCACAGGTGAGCTTATCATGGTCTCGAATGAGCCTTAGTCTGGCACTCTGAGTCTGACAAAATACTCCCAGCGACACCGATGCTCTCCGTACTTCCGAATGAACTCATCGACAGAATCATCGACTTTCTGTGGAACGACCGAAAGGCGTTGCACAACTGCGCACTGGCCTGCCGCCTCTTCCTTCCTTCGAGTCGTTATCACCTCTTCAGTCATATTCGTGTCACTAGTCGTGCGGGCCTCGGCTCTGTCCTGAATGCGTGGAGAATCTCCTACCTCTGCAAGGTCATCAGATCTCTCGATCTAGTCGAGAGGCAGGACGAGCAGTGGGTCCACCTAACGCAGCATGTCCTGGGAGAGTTTCTGCATAGAATAGAGTCGCTCACTGTTCGACACGTGAACTGGAGCGAGTCGCCCCCAAGCTTCTTCCTGGTGCTGCCGGTATTCACGCAACTTACTCATCTCGCGCTGCATGACTGCCTCTTCACTACGTTCTATGATCTACAGCAGCTCCTGTGCGAGCTTCCGCGGCTGGGAAATCTGACCATTGGCGCGGAAGTGCGGTGGAAATTTGGAGAACCTGCCTTTCTGCCTTTAGAATTTCCTTCCCCCGAAGCCCGGGTCTCGAATCTATGCATAACTGCGTTGTGTGTGCTTCCTGTTTTAGGCGTGCTTTCTACAGATAAATTCGTCACCGCTATTCTCCAATGGCTCACCGGGCTAATGCTTCCCTTGTGGAGGATGGAATTGACCATCAGCCCAGTCGCGGGACGGCTTATCCAAGCTATGTTGGCGACTCTAGAACATCTGGCGTTGAACATATATGATCAGATTGCAGGTTAGTTCTAGCATAAGAGTGCTGCATGTAAACCTGCCGACGCCTGTCTATGCCAGATGCGTCGCTTGGTCTGTCTCAGTGCATGAATCTGCGCGCTCTATCGCTCAAGTTCTGTGAACCGTACATTGGTATTGCGAATTCGTTCGTTGACAGGACATCTCTCCTGTGCGACATACTCTCTTGTGTTCCCGCGGAAAACTGTCTCGCGCAGCTCAAGGTAGATGTGTCCTCTGTGGTCGTGAAGGATATCGACTAGAAACGAGTGGGTGGAGTGCTGGCGCTACCACGCTTCCGTTACCTGAAGGAGCTCCTGATATTCTATCACTGGCCACATCAGCAACGCAGCAAGCTGAAGGCGTGGAGGAAGGAGACGAGGGCAACATTATCTTCGGTATACCGCCGAGGTGTATTGGTACAGTTCTTCCGTCCATCATGACTGCGCGTCCCGTGCCGACGGAGTGAAATGTCGTGTGTGATTACCTTCTTACGAGAGTTTACCTGACCGACATTCCTGTTAGCTCCACAAGGGCATTCCCTGTAGTGGGCCGGAGCTCGAGGGTTGACCGTGCCGACACCCACTTGAGAGAAGTCTCATGGTGGCTAGAGGTGTTCATTATATGCATACAGTCTTATACCGGTCCTTCGGCCACCCAAATCTTGCCTGCCTCTGTATGGTACACACATACACTTTCTCGTAGATCGGCAAGCACAGACCTCAATACATACTCCTACCATAAGATTGCATGTATGTACAACCCAATCGCTGGAGCAAAACATGAAATTGCGGTGGATCAGTATAAAAAATCGTTATCAGTGCTTTCCTCACTCCTCCGGCCACGTCACGTTGATGAATTTCCTGATACAGATGAGATTATGGGCGCTCATTTCTATATCAGGATATATGTGATGTGACATCTCGCCGATAAGAGCTCTGAAATGCTCACTCCCCAGGTCGAAGGTCCCTTCTCATCCTGGATAAGATAGGCCTCACTCATGCCCAACCACTCTAAGCGCCGTGACAAGGTTGTGACCCGACAGTTGCCCGAGAGTGATGCTATTGATTTGGGAGCAATAAGTCAAAGTCTGATACCCGATATGGTAATGGATGGTGTGGTAAGGGCCACTTATCAGCCAAATATTTACGTGCTGGATGTTGGCTCTGTTTGGTCGCCGTTCACTTTGGGTTGTTGCCAGCCTAATTTCTCTCCTACGAGGGCAAAATAAAAAAATGTGCTCCCTGGGAATATTCAAGAAGGTATTCATTAACAATCCCCAGGGAACACATTTCTGATAAAGGCTTTGTGGAAAGAGGAATTAGACGAGCAAGCACTTTCGCCCGCCATTTTGGTGTAAGCGTGACATTAGACGCCCGACACGAGTGGTTGGATATGAGTGAGGCCTATCTTAGCAGCGGATGGCTTCGGAAACATTGCCAAAACATTCCAGTGTGCATAAATATGCCTGGCATGAAATTTTTCGGATTTCTGCTCTGAACTAAACAATGTACAAGCACTTTTTTGCAAATTACACTCAAAACAAACAGATCCAGAGGCCATACAATTTCTACAAGCTTGGAGAAGATAGTTCTAGTTACCGAGCACAGAGAGGTCTCTTTCCTCCCCCATAATTCCGCAGCAGTGCGATACAGTAACCCTTTGTACCTCTGAGAATTACCATTGGATGGCGGAGAAAGCACATGACAGTGTGTAAGAGAAGATGACTCAGACACGGAACTTTATCGGTCGTTTGTGTGCTATGTAAGTTTTACAATCATTCCTAGGAATACAGAAATTATACCGATTTGTATATGGTACATTAAATGCTCCCTATCTGCTGTGAGGAATGAGGAGGAGGATGGTTTCCTGTGGTGCATTTAGTGTGAGTGAATACGGGATGGAGAGTCGGACGCACCGAGTTATCGGAGAAGTGAAACGTGAAATGATCGCTACCTCTGTTAATGCATTCAACATTCACGGAGACCATTAATGTGTTGAAAATATGGTCTTGGAATTTGTTGCCATGGATTAGCCTGTTAGATGGCAAAAGATACGAACCGTGCAGAATATATTGGGTACGTGATGCAAAGGCTCTTCATCAAAACGAATGTGAATCGGCATTGAAAGGAGCACTCGGAGGAGCACTCGGCAAGATGACGATGAACATAACAAGACAACGTACATGGGACAAAGACTTTGAACGCCGCAATCGTGATGCCGATGCCTACTACGCCGACGTCTCTCAAATCAGTTCTTTCTCCCGGTTATGAAGACATCATCACTTCCTCCACGGAATGACCAGGAATGAATCTACCTGACAATGTCACAGCTGTGAAAAAGAAAAAGAAAAAATAACAGTTTCAATTTTTTTCCCTTGAGTTACTTTTTAGTCTATGCGCACCATAAAAACAATCCTCTTATTGCTTAGTCTACGAGGTCTCTTTCCTCCCCCACAATTCCGCAGTAGTGTGTAATAGTAACCCCCTGTACTTGTGAGAATTACCATTGGCTAATGCCGAAATGGAGTAACAGATGATGACTCATTTGATTGGATTCGGCTATATTTTGTGCTTTGCACTGTTGATACGCTACTAATACAACGATACCTGGTAAGCTTTGTATGATTCTTATCCACCGTGAGGAATGAGGAGGAGTACGGTCTCCTGTCAAATATTAGGTCAGGATGAATACTACGAAATTCGTCATATTTTGCACGCACATCGTCGTAGTTGTCAGTGAAGTGGAATGTAAAGTGGTCGTTTCCTCTGTCGATGCATTCGATATTCACGTTTACGGTTATCGTGTCGAAGACATGGACTTTGGCATTTGTCGCCATTAATCAGTGTATCCGAATGTGCAATTTTTCATCCGACACTGCAACCGACACGAGCGATGACGCTGACAAAACACCAGCACGTAAGATTATTCTCCTCATTCAAAATTCACACTCAGTCTAACAGAATTGGATGCTCAATATGGCATTCATACATGGAACATGTGTGAATCTTGCGAGCAACTACATGGTATCCCCTTACCCGCCTTTGATCTATGCAATGCTAAGGCTCTCCATCCGAATGAATGTGAATCAGCATTGAAAGGAGCACTCGCAAAGGTGTCGATGAACATAACGAGACAGCGTACGTGGGACAAAGACTTCGAAGGACATAATCGCGATGCGGATGCCTTCTACGCTGATATCTCCCAAATCACTGTTCTTCTTTCACCCGGCTATGAAGACGTCATCAGTTCCTCTGCAAAACAACGAGGGATGAACTTACCTGACATCATAGCTGCGAAAAAGAAGATTAAAAAGTAACATTATCAAATACATTTCCTGCACTCATACTCTTACTTTCTACTGTACGCGTACGATACATAATTCTCGATTTTCACACTCTTATTTCCTACTTTACGCTTCGTATCTACTTCTATATCGAAAACCACACTAAAATATATATATAATACAAAAATTCGGCGAAATTTCGCCCCAAAAAATTGACCTACCTACCTCGCGAGGTTAGTGCATGCTGAAAAGCATGCGCTTCTCGAGTATTCAGATATAGTTTTAAAAAGTTGAAATGGAAAAGGTGGCCAGGAAGCCAGAAAATGTGGGGTGGCCTAAGGACCCATGGTGGCCGAAGGACCGGTATAAGACTGTACTAGTCCATGGAAGGATACAATAGGAGGAAAGTCCCATATCGCAAACATTTGTGAAGTAAGTGAAAGACGTGAGTTGTATCATCCCCATCGGATGGTCCGAATATCCATCAGGAAATCCGCATTATAGATATCGCATCTATCATCGGTTGACGGATATCGAACCTGTCGCGAACTTGCAAACGCACGTCTCTTCGCATTGCGCCGGCTTCCTTCTCTGAAGAACTGGAATTTGTCACAGTAGCTTACCAAAGTCTGGAGAGACGCGCCGGCTGGTCTACTGCGAGCGCTCTTTCCGCCACCTTCCGCTGTTGGTCCGCTGAGAGTGACCGTCTTTCATGGATATCGATGGCTATCGCCCATCAGACTGTGGTCAGATACACATGGTGCCTAACTCGCTTTCTCAATTGGTCACAATGGTTAAGCCAGAAATGGAGCCGCGCAAGCGGCAGTCCTGTACGCTCTATAAACGTAGCACCGCCTGAGCATGGCTATACCGATTTACGAGGTGAACTGAGAAGTCAATATTCAGCCTCTAAATTTGTAAAAATCCAGTATACTCTGAGATTTTGCGCAAGTCTGTGATCATGAGTCAGCGTGGCGAGCGCGGATACTGGACTTCGAGCGCGGGACCGGCGTAAGCCGAGATGATTCGTTCATTATTGTGCCCAAGGAAAGTTTAGCTCAAATGCTTTCCATTCTCCCTTTAAAACGTGCACGCGTGAGCTTCAACGTAGAAGATTAGAGTTCAGCCTGACCAGTGTCCGCCACGCTGCTTGTTGTCGTCTTCCCTATCCAAGCCCCCTAACTGCACTGTGACTCACCGAGACGACTGACATGGCTACTGCAGTGGCCGGAAGCCAGAGAAGTGGAGATCTGCCAGTGGCGGCGAACGATGGATCTCGGCCTACAGAAGTGAGTTGTTGAGATTTTGTTCAAGTGACTCTGCTTTCTTATGTGCTATTAGGCTGACGCAACCCGACACTCTGGACATCGTCAGAAGGACGAAGTCTGTATCAACTTCCAGTTCAGACGGTGTCGATTGGGCCGTTCATGTCATTATAAGCATGTCTACTTGAAGGACCCAACACCCCATGTATCTGTACCACGTCCAGAGGCTGGATTGCCTCCGCGTCCGACGTGGAAGAGCGGCGAAATATGCCGGTTGTTCCAACGAGGGCTCTGCCTGTATGGTGACATCTGTCGCCACATACACGTACTCCATCAAGGCGAGCTCCCTACGCCATCGGGGGCCACACCCACAACAGACTCTGTACCATCGCAACGCGAGGTGAGAGTGGCAGTGCAAGGGGTAATATGCTGCTTGTTAATATTGGATATAGGAATCAGTTTTGGCGCAACACACCGACTCTCTTCCATCGCAGACGCCAGAGCGGTCCCCAATTTTTAGTGCTCAACCACACGAACATGGCGACGTTGTACCTCCACAATCCACCCAATCAGTCTCAGCGTCCGTAGAGGTAAGCTTTCTTGATAAAGCGGCGAAGAACTATCCCGGCTGAACGAATGTGGCAGTCCACAGATGCGTCTCGTTCCGCCACGACGGTTCCCCAGGATGACAAGGTGCGCAGCCATACTTTGTATGGTCTGTACGGTCGATATATATATTTGTTTACTCGTCTAGAACACATCTGTCGCTACTGCAGTTGTGCAGAAACGAGGACTATGCCGGGAGTACTCCCGTCGGGGCATCTGCCTTAAGGGTAAACTCTGCAAATATACTCATCGCACAGAAGGTGGTGCCACGGCAGTGCGTAGTACCGATGCTATGGCTCCACACTTTGCAAAAAATGCATCGTCATCGTCGCAGATGGCTGCACGGGCAAAAGTGGATCTGGTCTCGTTACCTTCTGCAGGCACTTCGACACCGTCATTGAAGACTACACCGGCAAAAGACGATCCGGTCTCTTTATTTACTACTGGCGATCCGGCCGCGCGTGTAGCTTCCTCAGTTCCGAATCCTTCCCAACCCGCTACGTCGTCGTCGCCGCCTACCCTGGCAGTATGCCCCGCTACTTTGTCTTCCGCAGCAAAAGTAGCATCTTCAAAACAAGGTTCTGATGCGTCTGTGGCTCCTGCGGAGCAGAAAGTGGTGGCCCCATCTGCTGCGCCAGAAGATCCTGTGCCTCCGAAGGCAAGGGTATTGCCGTCGAGAGTCAATTCAAAGAAATCTTCCGCACCCAAGGCGGCGAAGGCTGGAGCGTCGACTCCGCCTGAAGCCTCTCCCTCGACCGTCCCGCCGAAGACAGGAGTTGTGCCGAGAGTCTCCTCAGGAGACACATCGTCATTAACGGCCACCAAGCATGCTCAGTCAAGAGAGGTTCCTGTAGCTGCGTCTTCGGCGGCTGCTCCCACTCGGGGAAGTAAAAAGACTGTGTCTGCGTCAGCGAAAGCCAAGGGTAAGGGCCCTGAACCCCCAGCGGATGATGCCTGCGCTCCGACTAGTGCTTCGCCAATCGTAACGTCAAATCCTACGTTCCCGGCGCCGTCGAAGAGTACTTCCAGCGGCGCTCCTTCGACTGTCCCGCCGAAGACAGCAGTTGTGCCGAAAGTTTCCTCAGGTGATACATCGTCGGCAGCGGCCACCAAGCCTGCACAGCCAAAAGAAGTTCTTGCAGCCACGTCTTCGGTGGAGGCTCTCACCCCAAGAAATAAGAAGGCTGCGTCAGCGAAAGCCAAGGGAAAGAGCCCTGTATCCCCTGCAGGTAATGCCAGCGCCCCGACTAGTGCTACCCCAATCGCATCCTCGATTCCTCTGCTCGCAGCGTCGTCGAAGAAGGCCCCCAGTGGCCTTCCAGAGGTAACCCCAAATTTCCATTGTCTAATTTTTCTGACTGGTTTTCGACAGATGAAAGAGATATGCAGAGATTTCACGAAGAAGGGAAGGTGTAAGAGGGGCGTAAACTGTCCCTATATACATCCTTCCCAGGCGGCCGGCCCCGACCCGGCCGCTGTCGTTACAGAAAATTCAGCGAGCACTGCCGCCTCGTCAAGTGCTGCTCCGCGCCAACCGACAAAGATGACCTCATCGTCGAAATCCAGCAACGGTGGCGAGGCGGTAATCTCCCATTACTTTGACTTATATTCCCATCTTCTAATCTGTTTACAGAGTGACGAATCCATTGTGTCGAAGTCCAAGGCGAAGCTTGTGGCGGAGTGGGAGGAGCCAGTAGACGGGCAGGACGTATTCGAGAGGTCATTGAGCTCTGCGTTAAACACGCGTACTGTGGTGGCTTCAGTGTTGACTTTGAATTTGCCTAGATCGTTGGACCGTTCGAAGCAAGGGCGCGGCCGGAAGAAGAAGACGCGGCAGGTAGTTCACACCACCTCTTCTACTCAACGGCCTCCTGACATCATCCTTTTTAATTTTCAGAAATTGAGCGCTGCAAAGGCGTCAAAAGTGGCATCATCAGATAACGAGGCGCGGACAGCATCTGTCGAGGTTGTCACAGTGGTTGCGGACAGCGTTGAGGACACGATAACTAGTGCTCAGGTTACAGCCAACGTCAGCGTACCGCGGCCTGCGGAGCAAACGACGCATCGTAACACGTCATCGAGGTCCACCCTCGCCACTCACTCTGAATTTGTGCAGGGTTCACATGGAAGCCCAATGGAGTATGCTACCGTGCCACCGACTCATGTACGCCAGCCATCTTGTGAGCCTGACAGCTCCTCGTCGGATGCGACCTTCTACTCTTCAGTGAGTATAAGGGTTATGTATCGATGTCTTATCGTTGATTCGTTATTGTACCGCTCAGTTGTCTTCACTGGAGGGCTCTCCACGGTCTTCCAACTCCTCCATTACACAGCTACCTGTGACTCCGCGAGAAATGTGTATCGACTGGTTCCGCGGAAACTGCTTCAGAGTCAACTGTAGATATTCTCACAAGGGTACTGGTTGCGTGAGCAAGAGGGAAGCAGTTGATGTGAGGATTCAGTACTTTCATCAGAGTGTCCGTGCTCACGTTGTATGCCAGGAGTGTCGCTTGCAGGATTGTTTTTCACCTGAGCATCCTCAAGACCCTTACCTGGATCACCTCACCGGGGCGCTGGAGTTTTCAAAGAAATTGCCTCGCAGAATTGAGAAGAAGCCTGCCTATGTGGTCCCACCAAATTTACCGCAAGCCAATGAAAGGCCTGTCCCTCTGGTGCCACCAGGTTTGGGATTGGAGGCAGTAAGTATGTTTGTTAGCTTTGCGGAACTCAATGTTGAAATTCTGTAAACGCCAGTTGATTGCCAATGGATCCAAGTTGCCGCCCCGTCAAGCACCGGAGGATGCGATAACGATTCCTGTTTTGGATTCAACCAAAGTCACCTACGGTCCGGGCTTCGAGATTCGCCAGCTGCTGACTGGCTTTGAATCACAACAACTTTTTCTTGGACAGGTGCCGTGCTCAGTGACCCCTGTGGCGATTACAGCCGCTCTGGAGGCATACGGCGAAGTATTAACGGTAACCATGCCAGACAAAAGCACAGATTGCCCTGTCATGAACGTCCGGGTGACTTTTGCCAAGCCAAAGGAGGCAGAGCACGCTGCGTCCTCTCTTGATGGTGCACAGCTCTTCGGTACCGTTGTATCTGCGCGTCTTACCACCTTTAGGTCGTCCGTTGGGAAGGGTGTTTTTCATGACAGAGACGTCCTCTTAGAAATTCCCGTTCCTTATCGCACTGGGTTCGTTGGCTACGAGACCAGGGAGCAAGCCGACAAAGCGATCGCGATGGGCAATGGCTTCGACATGAGGGGCAACTGTCTCTCAGCCGTATTTCACCAACGCTTGCCCCAGGTCGGCACGTTCAACGTGCGCTTCATTGGGCTTCCCCCAGATGCCAAAGAGAGCGACCTCGCACGGTTTGGGGTGAACGAAGGAGTCATGATGGACCGTCCCAACTACCTGTCCTTGAAACGAGCCATCGACAGCGTTATAGATCTCCTCCAGGGCTTCGGCGATCTCGTCAATGTGAACGTACTTCCACCACCGTATAAACGCGGCGTCGCACGCATATGGGCTCATTTCAGTCACGCCGGCGTCGCGGAGAACTTTTGCCAGGCATTGAATGGCTCTCGGCTTCCCTTCATAGGGAAGGGCAAGCTCTTTGCCAAACATTATCGCACGCTCTCTTTCTTACTCCCCGGTGATGTGTATGATGTGTTGTCGAACGAGATCGTCCTTCTTCGCTCTTTCACCTGGGACAACGATTACGGCAGCTCCATTTCTGTCTTTGACAAACGACCACTCAATGGGCCGTCAGCTCCAGTCCAGGTCAAACTTGTGTCGGTCAATATTCCTGCTCTCATGCGGCTTAAAGCAGCGTTCGAGAAGTTACTCCGTGGCGAGAAGATCGTACAAGACGGGGAGATAGTTTGGGATGGCTTCTTCAACAGGCGCGTTGGCAGCTTATACCTCGAAAACTTAGAGCGCATCAATCCCGGTGTCATGATCAATAGGGACACTCGCAGACGAACTATTTCGGTGTTCGGGGACGCACCAAAGCGTGCTGCTGTCCGGCGCATGATCTTGACTAAGGTCGCCTCCCTGCGCGCACAGAGAACACATATCTTCCCTCTCGGTGGAAGACTGATTGGTCTCTTCTTCGGTTCCGATATGGCAGCCTTGCAGCGACAGCTTGGGGTGGAGAATGTGTTCTTGGACCGTCAAAACCGTGTTCTCAAAGTGCGGGGTAACGAGGATGCGCAGAAGGTAGCTGAACTCTCCGTGGTTCGTGCTCGGCAACGCCATGGTGGAGAACGTCATCGACTCGTGGAATGCCCAGTTTGCTTCGACGAGGTGACAAATCCGGTAACGTTACCGTGCGGACATATGTGGTGCAGGTCCTGTCTCTCAAACTACCTGATGGCTGCCGTGGACAACAAGGTCTTTCCCTTAACGTGTCTCGGCGACGAAGCCAAGTGTTCTTTGCCGATTCCTCTCGAGACTGCGCAAGACCTTCTGTCACCCAACGATTTTGATACGGTAATTCACGCATCCTTCCTTTCATACGTCCACTCGCGACCCAAGGAATTCCACTACTGTCCAACTCCTGATTGTCCCCAGGTGTACAGAAAAGCGCCGCGAGGCACCGTGCTACAATGTCCGTCATGTCTCATCCGTATCTGTGGGAACTGTCACGTCGAGTATCATGAAGGTGCACCGTGCTCCATTGGTGATGTCGAAGATCAGGAGTTGTTCGAGAAATGGAAGCAGGGCCACGATGTCAAAAACTGTCCTGGCTGCAGTATCCCCATTGAACGCGCCGCGGGCTGCAACCACATGACGTGTGCCCGATGCAAGACGCACATCTGCTGGGTGTGCCTCGAGACTTTCTCCAAGAGCAACGAGGTGTACGACCACATGCGTATGATCCACGGTGGCATTGGGCTATAGACCAGAGCGATTATCTTTATTACTTTTGCTTTTTCATCACCCCCACTCTTGCTGTATGCTTTATGCTGATCTGTTTTCTGTTGCGTGTAACCTCTCCTCCACTAGATGTCGACATGATTGTAACCTCCTTCAAGGAATATGTACGCGCTCAACGCCGCTGTACTGCTCAATGTATTTGTACAAGTATGAACGACCAGCGATTCCTTCGTATATATTCAATAGCACGGATCAAAACATGAACGGTGAATACATGGATGAGGCTGCGGAAGAGTACAGTGGCAAGTCCATACAAAACTTCAGGGCCCTTAGTTACAGAAGATAGATACAGATTATTGTTGGCCTCCAGTATACACGGACATGTAATGCACGAACTAGAACGAATGTTCAGGGCGATCGCCGCAGGAAACAGATTGACAACACGCACTCGGTCATACGGCTGCTTCGGTGGCTCGCCGTGCAAGGGCAGCGACTCTGAGAGCTCTGGCACCGTCGGGTCATACTTAATCTTATTTCCGAATTGGTCCATGAAGCCTTCTGTGGGTGTGGGATACTGCGCGAGGTCAGACGGATTCGCGAGGCTGCGCGGGGCGTACACGATGAACTGTCTGTCCTTCTCGACGATCAGGTGATCGCCGCGCCGATTCCAGTATCCGATGCGCCTCTCGATATACAAGGACCGGTTGTGGGCCGCGGAGGCGGCGGCACTAACAGAGGTGGTGTGAGTATGATGGGATTGCTGTGTAGAAGACATAGAGGATGAGAACGACGCTGATGAGACATAGGTCGATGGCCTAGGTGGAGCAGGGAGAGGGTTCGAGGAAGTACTGGATAAGTGTCGTGCGTGTTCGGACGGCGATGGGCCACGGGACCGAGAGCGCGTGTGCGTTGGAGAAGGCTGCGGGGAAGGGTCAAGCATTGGGAATGTCTGGCTGCGGGAGAGCTGGCGCGTGTGTTCTGAGGACGGAGACGGGCGTGAACGAGAGGGCGCGTGGGTGGGGGAGGGCTGCGGAGAAGAATCCAGCGACGGATAGGTCTGGCTACGGGACAACTGGCGCGAGCTCGCATCGGGCGTGACATGCGTGGGCGTACGAGGAACAACGTGCGGCGTCGCATTCGGATCGCGGTCCTGTTCACGCTCACGCTCAGGTGGCCGAGGAGTGCGTGGAGTACGCGGGGTGCGAGCTTCGGGAGTGTGAGGCTGGGTTGCACGGCCCTCCGGGATCGACTCAAACGGGTACGTCTGGCTCCGCGTTAGTTGGCGCGAGCTGGGGCTGGATCCGTTCGGAGTATGAGGTGCGGGAATTCCAACAAGAGGGCTAAGCAGAGCTGCAGGCTCCTCCGAAAAGCTGCTGACTGAGGTGAGGATAGAGGGAGTGACATTCATTGCAGACGAGGCTGAAGACGCAGTTGTGGAAGCGGTGGAGGAGTGACGACTGGGAGTGCTATTGCTACGAGTAGGAGTCGGTGGGCCGTATATAGGACCATGGGAATAAGGAGAAACCGGGGGACGTGAAGGGGTACGATCCGCGTCATCGTGGCTCGAGCGACGGGTAGGTGTAGTAGACGAAGCTGCACTGTAGTGGTCTGGAGTTCGCACGATACTCGTCGAAAACGTGGGATGAAGATCCAGCCTTGTACTGAACGCCTCGGACCGGGAATGAGACTGAGACTTGGAAGCTGATGAGGTCGAAGATACAGGCACACGGGATGCAGCTGCAGCTGCGGCCGCAGCCGATGCTGTTGAGACAGAAACACGCGGAGACGTACGCGTGTCACGGGTCTGCTCCGATTGTCGAGGAGATACATCACGACTTTGCGTTCGCTGGTGCTGCTGGAACTGCTGCTGCGGTTGACGTTGTGTCTGCTGCTGCTGCTGTTGTTGCTGCTGCTTCAGTTGTTGTTGGTGTTGATATGCTGCATACGAGGCAGCAGATCCTGGAGGTAAGGGCTCAGGAGGAGGGGGAATCACACCTCCCTGAGCGATAATCGGCGGAGCACGCGGAGCTACAGTGGGTGGTTTTCCCGAGGTCGGATTTCTCTGACTGTCTGGAGGATATCCTGGTGGGGACGAACCCTCGTTCGCGAAAGACTGCGTAGGCGGAAATGGACCATACAACTTATGTGGATGCCGCGGTGTCACCAACGGCTGCGACGCCGAGCGCTCTTGCGCATGTGTATGCGTAAGTGGAGGCGCATGTGACAGCCCGTCGTGCGTGTTGGCACGCGGGTGCGAGTCTGGCGCACGAGAGGCGTCACGCGTGTGAGGCGGTTGGGCAGGCGCAGCAGGGGCGGCACTGACGCTTTGTGCGCTGCGCGGGTCAGACGAATTACCATCTTCGGGCTTACCAAGTTCGCGGGGTACCCACACCCACGGCGTATGTGGGACGCCGTTGGGCGAGTCTTTCACATGTCGCTCTTCCTGCGGCGTGTCGTCCCTGCACAAGGCAAAACAGCTCTCCGTACGTGGTACCTCAATCGCGAGACAAGTCGGACGTACCTTATGTGCATGTTCTCCAGTCCAAGTGGGTTGTCGAGCAACTTCGTTTTCCAGTATTCGGCATCGCCACGATTCGGTATCCGCTTGTACGGGTTGTAGTTCGTAGCGGCAGCGGCAGCGGCGCTCGCGTGAGCCACCCCGGGGCCCCAGCTCGGGTGAGCTGCCCACATCTGGAACGAGCCCTGCGTGCTCGATACGGGCCCACGGTACATCGGGTTGAACATCCACTGGCCGCTCACCCATTGCTGCGGATTCACGTTAACACCCGCCGGCAGCGGCGGCGGCCCTGGATAGCCTGCTGGCGCTGTCGGTGGCCATGAACCTGCCCAGCCGGCAGGTGCATTCTGCGGTTGCGTCCAGACTTGATATTGGTTCCTCCATGACATGGCGTGAGCGTGATCAGCGTCGTGCAGAAGACCGGGCGATGATCGACGTATGAGGGAAGAGAGAAAACAGTTGCGTGGCTTTGAACATGCACTGGCATAGACATACGGTCTGAGTGATAACCGATGGACTACAGCTTTGTCACTTACAATGGTAGAAGCCCAGAACAAGGCAAACGCCACCCACAGCTGTAATTCAACTATCGCGGAAGCAAATGTTCGCAAATCGGCAGGCGCAAAGCCACTATCGTCGTGGTTCAAAACTGGAGTGAGAGCTGGTGAAACCGCAAAATGACAGCGATCTGTGAGCAAAGGACCTAAGGTAGCTGGCGTCGCAACCAGCCTAGATATAGATACAGCAGGGGTACAGGCTTCGAGATGGCGCTGCAGGCAGACGCACGAACCGGACAACAACCTGAATTCGCGGCTATGGAAGCTGATCGGACGTAAGTATTTTGCCGACTAGACTGACCGGGGTCAGTTTCCCTAGACAAGGCGGAATCCGGGCTAGGACGACATGCAAAGACGAGCAGACAACTGAGGACGACGAAGAATACTAGAAGACCGATGACCACGCTTTGGAGGCGTAGTGGAGAGCAAAGCGATTTATTTTCGCTGGCCAGTGGGCTCCGGCAAAACCCGGCCAACCATGCGGTAAGTAGCGCCGAGACTAGCCGAAACGCCGGCCTTACCTCCGAGCAGGCCGGCCTTCGCTGTGGCATGCTCTCGGAGATGTGTCTGCAGCGGCGATGGCGCTCCAAAATTTACTTTGGAGGTTCATAAACACTCCACAGACGTCGGAGTGTCCCACAACATTCAAGAACGACTACAATGATGATGTCGGTAAAAAATACTCGCGCGAAGGTCACCACCGAGGAAGAGATACCTGAAAACAAATGCTTGATGGCATGAGTACGTCGGAAGCACAGGAGCTGCAGCCGCCTCATCATGCCTACGCTTCCTTCTCCTGGGCAACGAGCAGTTCGTCGACTGCCTGAGCCATGATTGCATCCACCATCTCCTCCCTCCTGAACCCGAGCGCCCACTGCATGGCCGCATACGGCGCGTATCTGCGTCTTCCGCAGCCAATCTGGCTCACCACGGCTTTTCCAAAGTACGCAGCGCTAGGTGTCGTGAGGGACACCTGTCCATGCAGGCCACCCGAGATGACCGCGTTCACGACGAGGTACGAGAAGTGCACGCCCGAAGGTTGGCCCCATGTGCGCTCATCCGAGTCAGGCAGAGCGTGCTGAGGAAGGCCTTCGATGCAGCGTATACGACCTGACGTGGTGGTGGGATATCGATCGCGACCGAGCCCATGAACTGGACCATCGTAGGTCCGCGGGCTGCGGCGATGCGGAGCGCGGGGAGTAGTGCACGCGTGAGTAGCAGCGGGAAAATCGCGTTCAGTTGTATGACACTGAGGTGATGCGACTCGGGCAGCTCGTCGGCCCTGTCGGCCTGTCGGTCAGCGGGTAAGTAAAACAAGTGCGACGTGTACACACTTCTCTCTCCGCATAGAATCCCCGCCAACGTTATGAACCATGAGAGTTATGTTTAGGTGCCTGAACGGTTCTACCATGTGCGCAAAGTCGTGTCTGGGACGAGTAGCATCTGCAATGAAATACTGCACATCTCACATTCTACTACGAGCACGGATCGCGTCCGCGACCCCGCGGGTCTTCTCTTCATTGCGTCCATGAATAATCACATTGAAGCCCCTGTCGTACAGGTCTTGCGCGATGGCTTTGTCTATACCGTCAGAGCCTCCTGTGATTAGTACATAAGGCGAGGGGCCGTGCATGTATTTCTGAACCGAGCAAGGACGCAGGAAGTAGAACCAGGTGAACGAAACCAATTGATAGATCCCTTTAGTCACGAGAACTGCACCGACGACTGCCAGTACTTGGACGACGTATCGACGCATGTCACCGCCGAGTTTGACAAGGGTATTAGCCAGTATCGGGATACCGAACAATGTGCAGTTTAAGATCGGACGCAAGTATTTGAGGTAGAAGTCAAGAAGACAGCCTTCCGACGGCCCGGTTGCCCCTTTTTCGACAGTAAATGGACGGGCCCTCACTGGTACTGTACGCGCAAATATAACCTGCAGTTCTATATCATTGAAGGGTACAGAGATAGGACTCTACGGTAACAGTAAGTGCCAGGCCCCCTCCATCAATATTTCACCAGCCAGTAGCTGTTTGCAAGATTGAATCCTATATGGCTACTCTTGAAATTGTAACGAGCCCATAATTTTCTGGAAGAGCAACCATTGTGAAAATTCAGACGCTGGCTGTGCAGATGTGTCGAAGATATGTCTTCGGAGACTGTATAACCAGTATTTCCCCTCCGATGTCATTTCGGTGTGACCGGAAGGCGAAGGATGCTCCACGTCCGCTGTCACTGTCAGTGCAAAGGACGGCAACTGGAACAAAGTATCGTCTAATAAATCAGGTTTGGCAGGGACAAGATAGCAGGAGCATTCACTCACCGATAATCGTCTTCTCCAACCATAATCTTCAGTGCGCGCACAATAGCGGACAGCTATCGAATATCGACTGTTCTAAAAGACTCGAGACTCGAGACAAGCATGATCGTCATGGAAGCTTTTGAAATCTCTGAGTACCGTGATTACCCGTCAATAAGGGGAAAATTATCATATCCAGCGGTTGCTTTCCCGGACAAGACTACCCTGTATAAGTACATAATCAATGTGCTTAACAGCCCAGGCTTCTACGGTAAGTGGTAAGGACCAGCGGACATCAATATCCTTATGCATCTGCGTGTTGGAGAACCATTCCGTTGAAGTACAGCCAGAGGAAGTGGGAGGGCACCAACCGCTCGCAGCACTACAATGCCAGAATGTCATGCTCAATGCACGGGGTGACGTGAGCGTTTCCAAGACTAAAAGTCACAAGCGCAGGTCTTGCCCCGTGTGCAACAGAGACTGGACATGTGAGGGGTTACGCAAGCGTCCAAGCCTCTGGATATACCTTCAAGGCGCTTTCCAAATATTTCCAGGTGATGGTGAACTTCTTCAGGTTGTCAGACTCGTCTTCCTGAACTAAACATACTCATAAGTTGGAAGGCGCGGCGTACTGACCTCCACTAGACCCCTGCAACGTCTAAACAATGCAATGTGCTTATCAGCGGGTACAATATTTGCACTAAGTATCGTAGACAAGCTTACCAGCTGAAGATGTGGGTGGTCATTTTGTGAGGCTCTCGCCAGAAGATCCATACGATGGACGTGAGGTGCACAGTCCAAACAAATGATCGATCAGATCAGAGAGCACGGTGACGTCGGGTACTGCCGAGCAACCTGAGCGTCTGAATCCGAGTTGAGAAAAAGTTCCTCCGCCATACCGTTAGGGGTGTCCTACAGGGTTTCCCGAGGCTGCGAATAGCTGCTGGTGAGTTAATTGTTTGGCTCGAAGAGTCTCCAAGAAAATACCAGTCGACCTTCACTGGCAGGCCCAGGTAAGCGTCGACAGTATGTACTCACTACTACGTTCTTCCTTGCCTGTGTTCATGGCGGAGATCAGTACTACTAACTAACGATAACTCTAAGATTTTCCACCATATATTGACGGACAGACTGATTGTGTACAGCTATAAGTACCTGGCATAACGAGCGAGTGTTGACTCTTCGCCTGTGTACAGCTGGATACAGCTCTGCCAGCACGCATCATGTCTAGCTGGCTTGGAAGATTTGACAATCTCTGTCTTAGACTCTTAGTGAAGAACTGCAGTTTTTGATCTTCCCTGACAACTGCCTCAAGACCCTGTTATCTGCGCTACTGGCTCGTCTCTTAGAACACCTAGCTGCAAAATGACGTGGCCACGATGTGTTTGCTGCTTCTTCCCATTGTGCCGTGGCCACCGTGGCCGGACGATGCACAAGCGCAAGGCCTATATCGGGCAATTTATCTTGTCCACCCATTCGACATTGCTCGATACACACGTTTCGATTTTCCCAGGCATTGCCACCAACTGTACACTGCGACTTGGCACTGCAGTCCACAACCATTGTCGTTCATATTCCCACGGACTCTGGGTGGGCGACGGTCACCTCCGTTGCAAGTAAAATGAATTGGTCAAACGGATAGAAGCGCGTCCAAAACTGTCTCTCTTTGTTGTCTTTTGTCGTTGGAACAATCCTGTGGCCAGCACGCAGCTTCTGGTGGCAAGAAGCTTCATGCACGCTGTGCTGCATCTACAATACATTTCTTGGCGGCTCATCTCCTGTCGGCCCTGTGTGGATATAAGGAGGGGTGCACTCTCACTTTCTACCCCATAATCTCCTCATCCTCCCCGTTCGTTGCACAAACTTCTCTGTTACTAACAATATGGATGCAAGAGAGTGTCGTGAAAGGGCAAGCAGGTTTTTCGTCGTAAACGACATAGAACCCGTAAATGGTCTCAATTCCACCGAAATGATCAACGGGATGTTTCCGCGGACAGATGCCGAGTTGGTCGCTTGGAACGACGTCGTGGATGTGAGTATCTTCAGCTAATTACCGACATGCACTGATGCTCACTTTACGTCAGTGTGCTGGGCGCGTTTTACGCCATGAGTCGTCCCCATGCCCTGTGGAACAAGAGCAATACTTTGAGCCATACGGAGAACTACCATACTCGGATACTTATACGGACTTTATGCAGGAGCGAGAGCCCGAACCTGCTACATACACACAAAGCGAAGTGTGTGAGCAGTATGTGCTTTCCCCAAACGCGCTGTCGCAGGAGGATGAGACATTCGTGTATGTTCCATGCGTACCGGCACAAGAGTACGAACATGAGCAACATGCATCCACACGTACAGCTGCTCTGGCGGATGTCACACCTCCGTCACCCTGGCTGCGACGGGAGCTGGGTCTTCCACGCTCGAAGCTCGACGTCCGTCCACGGAAGAAAGGACGAAAGAAAATAACTGCTGAGGTTAGCGATAAGGAGGAAGGCCCTAGCACCAGAAAGAGAGGCAGGCCGCGGAAGACTCAGGTAAGTCTCTCGTGAATTTTGTGTGGTGGGCTAATCTGACGCGCTGATGCAGAAGGACGTGAAGCCCGGTCCTCCCTCTACTCATGTAATGTCTCTTCGCGCGTATGACTAACCGCGCGCTGTGCATCGCCTTCGACACGGGATTTCTCGACGGTCTTGAGGCTGGTACCTCTCGTCACAACATTCTTGTTCACTTTCTGCACCATAGATGAAAATTTTCTTTTTCCTCATCACTCTATTTTCACGCATTTTCCGTGTGGTGGCTTGCGTTATGTTTTTCTTTATCGCACTGGCAGTGGTCAGTAGGACAACGGCGCCGACCGTGACTGCGACGTCAAGGAATCGAGCTTCTATCTAATCTTTGATCTTCATTTGTGCGTCTATCTTATCTCCTAAGGGCGCTTCTCCGAAAATTTGGCGGCGCACCCGGGCCAGTCACACTAGTGTTCCTGTTGTATCCTCTCCACTATGTGCTAGTTTAATCACAATATCTACCCATTCGCATTCCAGGGAAACGCAGAATGGAAGCGGCACCGGACATTGGCGATCCGATGAGCGTGCGTGCTCTGAAGGACATCACTTTCGGCAGTGTAGGTGTCCAGCAACATGTTCTGCGCCTTTATTGAGCTATAGTACATCTTCCAGATCGCTGGAATAACCTCCAAGTTCTTTGAGCATCCATTCGACCTCACAAAAGTGCGGCTGCAGTCTCAAGTCTTGGATGAGACGGCGCGATTCAGCGGGCCCATTGATTGTCTGAGGCAAACATTCAAGAATGAGGGCATTCGTGGGCTGTACAGGGTGAGTGCGGTTGTCTAAGTATGGAGTATGAACAAAAACACCAAGTCTTTGCGTTCCAGGGTCTCCCCGCTCCGATCGTAGGCGCAATGGCCGAGAACGCATCACTATTCTGGGCGTACACCGAACTGCAGAATCTCATCCGACGCATGAGTGAGACGCCAGAGTCCCAAAGACTGTCTCTCGCACAGCTTGCACTGGCGGGTTCAGGCGCAGGCTCCATCACGAGCTTCGTTCTGTGCGCATGTCCCGTCTCCGTCGTTAACGGCACAGCGATGCTCACACACCGCGGACAGCACCCCGATCGAGCTCGTGAAGTGCAAGATGCAGGTGCAGATGCTTATGGCGCCAAGTGGGGCGACGCTGCCCGGTCCGCTCGCGGTGCTTTCCTCTGTCCTTCGTGAGGGAGGGTTGCGCGGGCTATGGCTCGGGCACACAGGCACTTTCATCCGCGAAACCGGTGGTGGCGCGGCATGGTTCGCGTCGAAGGAGGGGGTCGCGAGGCTCCTGCTACAGCGGCGGCACGCATCCGACAAGCACGAGCTGCACGGGTGGGAATCCGCGGTATCTGGCGCGTGTGCGGGGGTGGCGTACAACGTCGCCCTGTTTCCCGCGGACTCAGTCAAGAGCACTATGCAGACGGAACAGGAACTGCGTCCACGCGCTCTTGGTGAGCCGGGCCCAACATTCGTGGGCACGTTACGCGCGATGTGGAGAGCACAAGGTCTGAAAGGCCTCTATGCAGGCTGTGGGATCACCGTCGCCAGAGCTATCCCCAGTAGTGCACTCATTTTCTTCATTTACGATGGATTGAGTAAGAGATTTAGTTCATGACAAGTGCACGCTCGTTCGTCTGCGACCTCGTAGTCTACTTGCATCACCCGCGCACAATAGAAGTTGTTATAGATACTGGTGAGAAGACCTCCGCGCGATAAATTAGCAGATTTATTGTCTACGAATCACCTCTTCATCCGGCCTGCAAGTTGACAGTTACTTCTGGACAGTGCTTTTCTTGACATCCGCCAGGACCTTGTCTATTTCAGAAAGATACTTCGTGGTCAATGATTGGATCTGTGCGTACGCATTTATGTTTATCACAATGTCAAAAATTAGGACTAGGACGACAACGAACCTCCTCCGTCTGAGGCGAATATTTGGTGTAGTTACCCTTCTTCAAGCTAGCTTGCTGTTGCTTGCGGATATGCACGCGTGCGTCTTCTGCCTGTTTCTGTGCCGCAGCTAACATCTCGTTACGGCTTTCCACCGTTGGTCTAATAAATAAAGGTGAGAAGTCGAACATACGTAGGTAGCAGGCTCATGCGTGCTCACTTCGGCATGGGAACCTTAATGGTGCGATTGTCCATCTTCTGCGGGATGACATGGGGGATCTTCGCGTCATAGATCGCTTGCTCCACGTATTTCAGCGACTACTAGAGCGCACATGAGCTCGCACGTCTCTTTCTCTTGTGTGAAGGCAACGACAGACATCACCTGCTCCTCAAACACAGTGACTATCAACATGGTGCCCTCGCGCACGCCGACGGTCGCGATCTCCTCCAGACGCACAGCCTTCTCCGCACCCTTCAGCAGCACCCGCACCGGCGCAAGCACCGCGGGGGTAACGCGGCCACTTGCGCGCATCTCGAGCGCGACGACGTCTTTCCTGTATTTCTCCAGAATGGCTTTCATCCGCTCCTCCGCCTTCGTGTACTCTTCACCAGCTGCTTTCAGCTGCGAGCCCGGGATGAGATCATCTGTGGTGACCTTGTGTTTGCTATTCTTTTCTTTGCCAGCGGGCTTGCGAGAGGCGAACGACCGGGAATTTGGGAGTCGTATTGAGGATGCTGAAGCGACGGGTCGATGTAACGCTATCGAAGAGCACAGCCGTGCGAGTGATCGATGATTGGCCTGGCTGAAAGACATGTTCGTCGCGGTTGAACCGGCGCTTACCGCACGAATGTTTTTCTGAACAGATCATGTGACAAGGCCGACATGTCTCGAAATTCATTTTTTCATTCTTCCCGCGAACCAATATTTCTACGTACGCTGTCCTGGTCTGAAACGCACTGTAACTCGGGGGCCAATGTCGAATAACACTCCTATGAGCTCAGCCTCAGTTTGGTCACCGTCTGCCAACTCCACGTATCGCAGATCGGCGTTGATTGACTCCGAACATTCCTATTCAAGCCCGGTTTGTCAGTCGAGCTCTCACCACAACGTCCACCACGCAAATGGGTCTCAACGGTGTCATCGTGCAGAAGTACTGCGTGCAGGCACTCGCAGCCGTCGGTGCGATCGTTCTGGCCAGAGGCGCTTTTAACTATCTCTCATTTGCGTACTTCTATCTCCTGCGGCCCTCGTCCTTGGCGAAGTACTTCCATGGCGCGCCAGCGTACGCCCTGGTTACCGGTGCATCGGACGGCATTGGGAAGGCTGTCGCCAGAGAGCTTTACGACAAGGGCTTCAATGTGATCCTGCATGGTCGCAGCGAGGAGAAGACACGTCAGGTGGCAGACGAGATACGCGAACGCAGGGCCGGTGATGTGCGATACTTCATCGCCGATGCCTCCGAGCCCAAGCAGGACTTTGAGGCCATGCTCAAGTCGTACAAAGACTGCAATATCACTCTAGTCGTGCACAACGTCGGCGGATCGCGCATTCACGAGAGGTCCGTGCACACGTCTCAGTGAAAGCGCAGTTGCACTTATGTACCTGGCCAGAGTGGACAGTATGTCCGAGTCGTCGGTGATCTCGACAATCCACCTGAACGCCATCTTCCCTCTCCTGCTTACGCGCGCATTACTGCCTCGCCTACGCTCCTCCGCGAAGTACGGCCCCGTGATGGTGCAGTTCGTGGGGTCCGTCACCGCAGACATGTCTCCAGCAGGCGTCGCGGTATACGGCGCGTCAAAGGCGTTCATTCGCGCAGTCACCCGCGGACTGGACAATGACGAGCGCACTTGGGGCCAGCCCTCCGGTGTGCGCTTTTCCTACCTCTCCGTCGCCTCCGTCGTGACCAGTAGCAACCGAGGGGACGTCACGACCTCCGCGCCGTCGGCGGACCAGTTCGCCAAAGCTCTCGTTTCGAGTATCGGGTGTGGGTACAGGTCATACGCCCCTTGGATGGTGCATGCGGCCACCTTGTGGGTACTGGGCGCGGTGAGGGAGGGCGTGGTAGATAATATGATGATAAAAGAGATGAAGAAAGTGAGGGAGAAGCAGGATTTCTACGATGGAGTGGCGTCTGAGTGATGTAGGATGGACTGTTCTTCCGAGACAACTACGTTGTACTGATCGACGCGATAGATTTGAAATGAACCAATGTCGAACGTTGAATATTAATGTTGAATGGTAAGATTGGCTCTCGATCTGTGGGGCTATTGCTGGAGGGTTTGTTCAATACCTTTAACCGCCAGTTCAATTTGAAAACGGTTGGTGGATCAGTTGGTATGTTAAAGTCTTGTTAGTCTCTCGTTGCTACTGACAGCATGAACCTATATCTCTAGAATAGAATATCTCCGTTCACAGAATTATGTTCACCGTGACATCAAGCCCGATAACTTCCTCGTGGACGTCGGGTGGAGTGTGCATGTCACACCTACATGCTCAACTTCGGTTTGACGAAGACGTATCGGGGTGCAGATACCTCCGTATCTAGACGGTAGAAGGCTGTCGGGCACAGCGCACTGTGCCTCGATCATTGCCCATGCGGGCATTGAGGGACTCGTCGTGATGACCTCGAGTCTCTTGCATACATACTCATCTACTTCCTCCTTGGCTCTCTTCCTTGGCAAGGTCTCGAGGTTGTTTCGAAGTAAAAAATGCAGGATCTCGTCTGGAAGAAGAAGGCGTCAAAGTCTGCAGACAGACTCTGCTGCGGCGTTCCTACCGACTTCAGCACCTTCCTCAACCTTACCCGCTCGCAGCAGTTCGACGAGCAGCCTGACTACGCGGACCTTTGCCACCTCCTTCGCGAGATCTTCATAAGTAGAGGCTATCAGCATGACTTCATATTTGATTGGTGCATACCAACAGAAAAGTCGGCTCTATCTGCTACTGGCAACATGGCAACTCAGAATGGGAAATGTGCGAGCCTGGTGTGTGTGTTCTGCCTACTCCGAATAACCGTGCTCGTGTGACGTGAGACATCCAATAGGGTTGGCTGGTTGGTGGCGTAAAACTCTGTGCAGCGCGCACCACAGAACAAATTGAACACTCACTCGGAATATCTATGACTGCATGACTCCTCCAAGCTCGAGCTCACACTCTCCGTGCACTTCTTACTGTGGAGGAGAGGTGTGTGCAGAGGATGGCGTCGCGCAGTGAGAGCGCGTGTCTCAGGAAAGACAGGTAGGTGTACAAGTCAAAATGCCTGATTTGTAGTGTTATGGCTGTGTTCTTGGTTGCATATTTCGAATGCTCAGCCGGTGCACGCTAGAATACTCTGACGCTGTCGCCCCAGCGACGATTGCTTTTGGATGCGGCTGATGCCACATGCGCATGTCATATCGTACGTGAGATTAGGCGAAAACTGCCGCCAGAGTGAAGATCACAACGGGCCAACATCTATGTGGGGAAGGTCCCATAACCGTAAATGTACATATCCTCCGTCGGTTATGATCTCACTGAAACCAGGTGCAGATCGCTGTGCTTCAAATCCGAATATCGTCAACCTAAAACAGTACTAGCGGGACTCACAACATAGGGTACAGAGCAAGCTGTCGAGGTGTTAATCACATGGTAATAAAGCGTACTAGCAAACAGGCTGCGGCTATTGCGGATTCAATAACAAAGCGAATAATGGGATGCCACCTCAGATAGCTACGGTACCTCTGAACGTAAAGACTGGAAGGTCCAGGTCCAATTTAGAGATACACAGATAATTTTCTTATACTGGACAAGAAAATATCTAAACACGGCATGTCCAAGTCACAGTAAGTATAACTCTTAGCATCAAGCAGAATCGATTCTTACCTGCTGAGTCCTTAAGGCCTTACGGTATCAAAAAATGCTCCGAGTCGAAACCTTCATATCTGTCTATTGGGGCCTACCAATAGTTCTATGCATCAAAGAATGTTACGATAGTCAAGCTTGTGCAGGGGCTTTAATTTTGCAATCGACTCGGAATAAACGTTGAGAGTCATGTGGCGCAAGACTCGTGAACGACTTCACCTGCCTTTTTGAGGTCTTACCTGTGGTAAATCGTTAATCCTGCCAACTTTCTCCCCGCCATGGAACGGACATGTTGCGACCAGTGACTTAGAGGGCTGGATTGAGAATATGGCTTTCGCTCAAAGTCCCCAGATGATACGGACATAGACGTGTACCCCAAACTATCAATCTTGGTTTTACTGCGTTTACTCGGTAGACAGCTTGAACTTCCTCCTTTACCTCGCATAACGGTATCACGGGTACACCAGAACCGAGCTCAACCACTCCGAATGCCCTTGTCCATTTGACGCACCGAAAAGGAGGGCGAGACACAGGCTTGTGAGTTGTACTGGTCCATGAATGTAGTCGTTGGGGCTCACCACAATCTCGGGGTTCGCCGAGGAAGATCCACATATAAGTCCAACGCCTGTCCAAGTCTTTCGTCATCGTTCTTTTCCTCCCCAACCATGTCGTCCACTGCCCCTTCGCCGCAAAATACGACGAGGCCTGAGACCATTACCCCCCCTCTGACCCCTAAACCAGCAGTCAAGGACGGGAAGGAAGAGCCCGCCGACATCAACATCCCCGACAACTATGTTAGTTGGACACTTAAAAACCAGACATCGCGCCCGCCCATCACCTGGGACAATTGGTGGCAGGAGATGAACTGGCTCAATCTCTCTATTCTTACCATCACTCCCGTCATCGCATTGTGGGGTGCGTTCTACGTCAAGCTGCGCTGGGAGACGTTCGTCTGGAGCGTGTTCTATTACTACGTGACGGGACTTGGTCGGTGTCGACTGTGAAAATATTTCGACGCGGACTGACGCGCTCGTCCATAGGTATCACTGCAGGATATCACCGTCTCTGGTCTCATCGGTCGTACAACGCCTCCAAGCCGCTCCAGTACTTCCTCGCCATGGCTGGCGCGGGTGCAGTCGAAGGCTCGATCAAGTGGTGGTCTCGCGGACACCGCGCCCACCACCGCTACACGGACACGGACCTCGACCCGTACAACGCACACAAGGGCTTGTTGTATTCGCATATTGGGTGGATGCTTGTGAAGCCTCGCCACAAGCCTGGCGTCGCCGACGTGAGCGACCTCAGCAGGAACGAGGTCGTCCGCTGGCAGCATCGCTGGTACCTGCATTTGATCATCGGATTCGGATTTTTGTTCCCGACGGCGGTTGCGGGCTTCTGTTGGGGTGACTGGTTGGGCGGTTACGTGTTCGCCGGTGCTGCGCGTCTATGCTTCGTGCATCACGTAGGTCCTTCACACTCTGGGTTTACCCTTTTTCTGAATTTCCTCGTTAGTCCACGTTTTGCGTGAACTCACTTGCTCACTACCTGGGTGAATCTCCATTCGACGACAAGCACACACCGCGGGACCACGTGCTGACGGCACTGGTAACGATCGGGGAAGGGTACCACAATTTCCACCACCAATTCCCGATGGACTTCCGTAACGCGATCAAGTGGTACCAGTATGACCCGACGAAGTGGTTCATCTCGGTGTGCGAGTTCCTCGGCCTTGCAACGCACCTGAAGGTGTTCCCCGAGAACGAGGTGCGCAAAGGCCAGCTGACGATGGAGCTCAAGCGGCTCCGGAAGGCGCAGGAGGGCCTCTTGTTCGCTCCCGATCTTGATGAGCTTCCGGTGATTAGCTGGGACAGCTGTATGTGTACATCACCATCTATCTGAAGTGTTACTCAGCTGCAATGCAGTCAGGGAGCAGGCGGAGAGGCGTCCCTTGGTTGTTATCGGCGGATTTATTCACGATGTCGGCCACTTCATGGATGAGCACCCCGGCGGTCGCCATCTCGTCGCGAAGAACATCGGGCGCGACGCGACCACCGCGTTCTTTGGTGGTGTGTACGATCATTCCAACGCAGCGCACAACGTATGGCTCTCAGTTTCTCTCTTGAATAGCGTTCTGACGCATTTGTCTCACAGCTGCTCTCTATGATGCGCGTCGGGATCCTGCATGGTGGCATGCAGCACGGACTGGACGATAAGAGCGTCCCGCCGTCGCAGCGCCTGCGCATTGCGCGCTACAACGAATCCGGTTTGCCGAGCGCGTCATCCCTGTCGTCTTCAGACAGCGAAGGCCTCCTTATCTGAACACCGGATCACCGTCCCTTTTGTACTTGCGAATATTTGGTCTCACTCTGCACTTTCCGTGGGACTTCACTCTCGCTTTAAGATAGTTTCTGGTATGGTCGTCGATAATAACGTGGAGGTCGACTCGACATCCCTTAGAATATTTTCTCTTGCTATGGCCATAGCTAGCACTATTATCTTGTCCACATGGACGGAAGCAGCATGTTACATATCGAAAGAATCACCCCTGTGATATATCCGCACCAGTGACACGGGAATGTGACCTTCGCGTGACGCAGTTCCACGTGATCGTGAAATTGCCTTATATGGTGACCATGTCCAACACCATGTCCAAGTGGACTACGAAATAAAATACAATACAACAACAGTCTCACACCAGACACGACAGATACAACAGAAATTTCATGCAGATACAGCGACGTACGGTGCATCATCCTCAAATTGGCAGCCCCTACGCTCTTTGCGCACGTTGTGCACGTTCTTCATGTGACGCGACATGTCGCGTTCGATGGGTTTGTCGCAAATGCGACAGGTATCTTTCAGCACGCCCAAGTGGACACCGAGGACATGCCTCCGGAAGTTCGCGCCCGCGGCGATCACTTTGCAGTCTCCCCACTGGCATTGCACATGTAGCTTGGGCCTGCAGGAGGTGACATCGCGGATGTGGTCCTCGATCTCCTGGCAGTCCTTGACGTTGCACCATTTGCACACGTACTCCGGCTGGGACACAGCGACGGCGATACGGGTGGTGATATTGCGTCTCTCCTCCGTCTCCAATTTCACGGCTGTCGTGTTCTCCTCGGTCTTTGCCTTCTTCGCCTTCTTTACCTTCTCCGGTAGAAGGTCCTCGATCTCATCGGCTTGGCGCTTTTTCCCTCGCTGAGAGGGCGCGTCTGTGAGCTTCGTGGTCGATGAAGATGCCACGAGTGCTGAAGGGCCACATCCACCTCTACGAGGGGAACACAATCAAGAATGGGCTCAATGCGAGAGGGGCGTAGACACGTACTTCGGTGTAATCTTCTCGGTTGCGGGCTTCCGCTTTGGCTTAGGCGGAGCTGGTGTGTCCTCAAGCGTAACCCTGGATGAGGAAGCCGAGGAGTGGCTGTGCAGTGCGCTTTGTCAGTACGAGCTCGATTCTGATGCACATACGGCACACGTACCTGGTTGCGCGGGGTACCTCACAGACATCGGGAACAGAGCTCGGTCTAAGTTATACATAAGCAGCTGTCAATGACAAGGACCGCGCAGCATGTCAGAGACGTACCTGCAAAGCGATGGCCTCCGGCGTGGCTGCTCTGGAGAAGCATATTCCGCTATCGGACTTCGCGTTGTCGTGTACGCATATTTCTGCTGTATGTCGTTGATATGGCTGGGTCTAGGTGGTACATGAGCAACGTTCAGTGGCAATGACAGCGACCACGAGAGGCCATGTGTGGGAGGAGACGCACATGCATGGCGATGGCGCCTGGCTCCGCTGATTCTGAAAAGCGCCTCCCGCCTTCGACTCCTCCCGAGTTGCGTGCGGATCCGGTTGCATGTCGTTCGCGATTATTGAGTTAGGAGAGTGGCCTTCGGCGACATCGAGCTCGCATGAACTTGAAGATTCGCTAGACCTGGGGAGTGGCCCGCGTCACGCAGACTCGTCAGGTCTAGGGAATGCATTGTGAAGGAAGTGTGGACGTACGAGGTGGCCGACTCCGATGTGGCACGGGAGACGGAGCCAGAGAAGTATCTGACGCGACGTGACATATCAACACGAGCTGGATGTAAACAAGCACGGATCAAACGCGTACTCCATTTGATGGTCTAATTCATGCGCATATCCAGGACCTAGAGGAAGGCTACTCCAAAAATCGTCAGTTAACGACCGGTGGCCACTAAGCAATACACGAACGGCGACCAGTCGCACTTTGCAGTACCATCGAATAAGGCATCCCTGTCGAGATCATATCGCATGGCCTCGAAGAATCTGGAGTGCAGAGGGTCAGTTTCCAGACAGCGTCGAATTGCCACCGAACTGCATACAATACCCATTCCGCCTCCCCCACTTCGCAAGGCGTATGCGTCAATGAATATAATTCGTTCATTTAGGTATTTGAAGAGGCGTGAGTGTAGGAAGTCTTGAATGTGGTTGGTTCGAAGTTTCCTGTTCGAGGTTCGAGGTTGAAGTCAGGTCGGGCAGTCGCGTCTTTTAAGCATCGCAGTGTTGCTTTGTTGTGCCCCGCGTGCATAAATCCCGTGATCATTCCGTTGCATAGGAGAAGTACGAGCTCTGGAAAAGCTGTTACGATGGTCAATTGGCCAAGATTTCATGAATAAATTCTATCTCACAACTCCTTACAGAAACGAGCAAAGTAGGAATGAAGATGCTCACCAATGAGTTTATACTACAATCACGACGAAAAACTCTTTGATTAGAGCGACCAAAGGACATCAGCCTCTCGTCCATTTCAACACTAGACAGGCATCATGAAAAAAGTCGTCGGATTATTACACTCACCACGATTCTCATCTGCATGTGAAGATACTCACTCATTCCAGCAACCTTAGCCCGATTTTGCGTAACAACCCTCCAAAGTTGTTGACAGTTTCCTGCACGTCTGTCTTTATATAAAGAGAAAAGTCAAGGCACTCGGGCGCACTAGAAACGTCACTGGAGACTCGCTGGGCCTGGTTTTTCTTCGTGTACTTGTATGTGATCCGAAGGGTAGCTCTACGACAGAAGGCTACCTTACATCGTCTCTTCAGACATATCCGCCGGTCGGTCGAACTGGGGGCTGTCTTGTCCAATAGGAAAACGAGACTAATCGTGAACTAGCTGAGCCTATCTCACCAATTTCGTCGACTTGTGACCAGTGTCAAGTTTTTCTGAGGGTTCCACACCATAGTCAAAATCGAGCCGCTGTATTTTTTTGCTGCTCCACAAGAAGACTTACCTATAACTACTAGAATGATCCCTCTCTTCGGGTATAAGTTTGCCTTGGTGTCATACCTATGTCGAGAACTGTCATTGACTGACCTTCATGAATCGTTTGGCTCGTAGTCGGACAGCCCGCTTCAGACAAGTTCTTGTTCCACATCATTACTTCACTGGCACACAGCGTCAGGCTACAGGCGAGAACTCCAGCGACGGTGCAGTGACAGCAATTAATGTCAAATTAATGTTAAGTTCGTCGGAACTCTCGCCCCGACCGGGCCGGCGCGTATTGTGGCTGCACGGACTGGACTTGCCGTCCAAACGTTTGACGTTTCGTAGTATAACACCAGAGTGTCTGCTATACTCAACTGTTACGGAGGTATCTCTTGATAAGCTCGACCTGACACCACATACAGCATAAGGAACAGAATGAATTCTATTCGTTCCCCACTCTGTTCCGTTGCCCAAATCCTCGGCAGTGCGCTCATCAGTCAGTATATGAACGTCCGTGGGATCAAATTACACATCCCTGTCCTCCAGGACGAGCCTTTCGTCATAGGCATCTCCTCCATAAGCCCTAAGTGACACATAGGGTGTAGGTTTGGACATTGTGTCCGTAGGTGCACCGATGAAGAAGATATCATCATTCTAAGTTGGATCATCCAATAGTCGTACCTCGGGCATAATACTGCGGTGGATGGCAGAGAATGCATCATGTGCTCACATACGATACAACCTTGTGGCATGACCGATTAGCACAAGAGGTTCAGGCATCAGGCCTTCAGGCCTCAGGAGTCAGGACTGACGTTTGCGTTCAATCATGGACGTGACGGACTGTCGATGGGCGATCTACCTGGTCTTACACAGCACAACTCGGGCTCTGCGTCGCATGGCATTGTCAGTGCGACATATACCATAACTAGGAACTTGCATCAAGCTTGAGATAAGTTGTAGAGATGGAAATAACATCAGGCAATTTACAAATGCTGCGAATCTGCTTACTAGCGTACAGTGAAAGTAGCTAATCCATCTCATAGCCGTTCTCGTTGTATTTACACAACGGGTCAGGTATAGTAGTGAACGGCGCGTCCGTTATGCCGTTGAACGCCAGCCAACCTTTCACCTTGAGGTCGTCCTCATTCTCTTCGAATGGGACGCAGTCTGCAAGATGAATGAGATAATCATGTCGCTTGCGAGAAGCAATCAAGATCATAGGCCTGCCCCGCGTGGTTTCGGTCCTGCGCGGCCAGTCGACAGGTAGAGCAAAGATAGATTCGTAACCCTTCTCACGTAAGCTGCGGTTCAGGATATCCGCCTCACCGTCCGGGATGGATATTCCGCGGCGCTCTCCAATTTGTGCAAGCTGGGCATATGTGATGAGATAACCGCCCACAATAAACATGCTTGGATCTGCAAACACGAATACGACCGTCATGAGTAAAGCAAATTCGAAGACGCATTCACTGCAACACTCACTCGTTAAGTACTTTAAGTTCACTGTAAAGGTGTACAAGGTTTGGGGAGTAGTGGAATCTGAAATAGCATCTCAGCTAACTGGAAGACAGGATGATGAACAAGTGAGAAACCATACCGGCTGGTGTTAAAGACGAGTGTTGAGCTGCTGTGGCGTATACTCGAGTGCCGCGGCATGCATTATATACCGAGGAGGACGGTCACATGCCCGATTCAGAGGCGCGTGGCTACCACCGTTACTATCATACCAGCGCCATTTCTCGTCTCCAACCAAGCACTTTCGACTGCCCTTCATGGGTCACTGTATTGTTCGCTCTACACGAAGGAATGACTGTCTTCCGTAAGTAGTACTGGAGGCTGGAAATAAGTCTAATTGTTCGCCATTTTCCCTGTTAGCTCCGTCAAGTGCGTTCTGTTGTACGCCTGTTGTCCATCGAGTGCGTCTGTGTACGCTCTGCCCTCTATTGTCTGTGTTAGATCTGTTGCATTTCCAATCGGAGTCTGTTCACCTCCGAAAGATCTGTCACCTGTGTTGATCTCTCGTACGTCGAGATTCTGTTCGCCTCCGGAGTATCTGTTGTCCGCTATCCACCCTACTTTAAGCTTATTGTCTCCGTCGAGTGCGTCTGTTTTCAATTATCCACTCTATTGTCTTCATTGAGAGTACCTATTGTCCTATTCAGCCAATATTCCCGCCGAAGACCTGTTCTTTGCCATATTGTCTCCGAGCATTTGATTTGTCGCTTTGGCCTATTGTGTCGTCTGTTTGTGTGAATAAGCCACTATGGATGCCTGTTGTCTATTATATGCCGTCTGTCTGCCATCTCAGTGCATCGCCGTTGGGTATGCTCTGTCATTGTTTTCTCTTTCATTCTGTTGGCAGAACCTGTATTCCATCGGACCCTATAGCGATCCGTATTTATTCCATCACTTATGGCATGCACTGTGCAATTCTCCCCATTCCTTCTAGTGATGCAAGTACTTGTCTGACTTGTGACATCCCTTGGTTCTGACGTCCTTCGCAGTGTACCAACCACCAGAAAACTGTGTGGAGCTCAAGTGTGTGCTCTTTGATCCAACTATCACTCAGTGAGTAGTCACACACCCTCTTCATGGAGAATTATAGCTGACATTAGCGCCAGATGGCTGCTCATAATGTGCCCTACCCACCTTGGATCCGCCAACGCCTCGGAAATATGTGGCAACACCCCCCTCGCTATGAAAATTCATATTACGGTCCCATTGATGGTATCCTTAATTGTATTTTTCCCCCTTCCCAACGTTTCCTTGTGAAACCTCAGGCCATCCTTCGCCCATCTCGTCCCGTTGTATCATCAACTCACCTTCCACCTGGTGCACCACAACATCCTGATGTGTCTCGGTCATCACGGCGTCTTGCGACTGTGCCGCCCGTTCGGCGTCCCCCGCATGATGCCCCTAGTCACTCACCCAACTCTTCTGTTGATTCCACGGGTGACCCGATGCTGTCACGTGCGTCGGGTGGTTGGGAAGAGGATCTTTTCAAGCCAGACTTCATCGTTGTGAAAGGCACGGCGGCGTTGGATCGCGATGTGATCCTTGCCCTGGTGGAAGTCAAGGTCAATGCTCAGGAGGAGTATACCGGTATGCGTCAAGTCCGCCTTTACCTTGATGCACTTCAGACAAAGAATTACGCAGATGAATTCGTAGCGTACTTGTGCATGGGCCAAGTCACGCGTGTCTGGGAGACCCGTGTACAGGGGAATAATCGCAGTCAGGTTATGAGCAGTCGCCACATAGTCACTGGGGACATGCCATTTTGCAATCTGCTCCACCCGCTTCGCCAGAATTATTGGGCCTAACGGGACACGTTCCACATCTGCTTTGGACTACCGTTGTAGTAGTAGTATACGTACTATGACGCAGATGTTGTATATGTAGGATCGCCGATCAAGTAGACAAACAGAGCAAATTACTAAGTTCCCCTGAAAATGTCACGAAATTGCAAACGGCATTACAGGGCCTTGTACTAGGGGTGTTATCGCACTTATGTTATCTTGAAAGTCTGCTCCACAGAATCACGTAGTACATACAGGCGCCAAACAACAGCTGCGCCGAAGTGACAACCAAGCACGGTGGATCTGGAAGAAAGTACATCGTGTCTCAGCGTTCAGCGCCAGTACCGTTCCGAATGGCGGACAATATCACTGAGGAAAAAGATATGCAGCGAAGAAGTCGACAGTTACGAGAACGTCCAGGAGACATGGGAGACATGGGAGACCGTTGGAGAGACAGAGGCACAAGAGTCCTTCCAAAACCAGAGGATGCCAACCCGCCGTCCGCCGAATTCAACGAGGGCCGCGGCGGCGCCAATGCCTCACGCTCTCCGTAAATATCTATCGTATTCAACGTCGACACTGTCAAGGCTTGTGCACGTGATGGCCATCTCAGCGCCCCAGCAATGCACCACACGTTCCCGACAGCATCTATTCAGTGCAGTCAATGGTGAGCGTCCGCCCCACTCGCTACTAAGTAGCAGATGGCTGGCAGGCAAAGTGCAACTGAGGCACGGTACCAGGCCGACGCGTCAGTGAGCTCCAGCCCGCAGTTGAGGGCGTCGAGCGCTATGACCGACAACGGCGAGCGCCGCGGTGCTCAGTCTCCCTCTCCCTCAGATATCCCATTGGGGACACTCCCTTCTGACAGCGTCAGCGCGCCATTATGTGAGATGCTAGATAGATTGTGACAGAGTGAAGCATCTATTCAACACACAAAGACAGAACAGTCTCGAAGACTCGCGCATGGCCGTATCGTCAAGCAACCAGCCACCCCGCGCCACTTTTCCTTCTATATTACAATCTTGAACATGTCGTTACGCGCGTCGCCCTTTCAACCTAAAAGACCCTCGTTGTCCGACCACGCCGTAGACGAACCAGCGGACGAGACCAGCTCCGTGTATCGCGCAATCCGAAGACGCTGCGACGGCGGGACAATTCTGTCATCCAAGCCGTGCTGCATACCGCCAGCCAGGACGCCAACACGCATCATCGAGAGCAACTGAATATAGACTCTAAGCAGTGCACAGCGCAATGAAAGAAAAGACTTACATTATGCGCAGCATTAGAGTGGTCGTAGACACCGCCGAAGAACGCCGTTGTCGCGTCGCGTCCAATGTTCTTCGCGATCAGGTGACGACCACCAGGGTGATCGTCGATGAACGAAGACAGGTCGTGGATGAAGCCGGCGACGACGACAAGTGGCCGCTTAGTCGACTGCTTCTGGACTGCGCGACATGTGAATACGGACGACAGTGAGAATTGATGTAGAAGTACGTACAGGTCTCCCAGTTGACGATGGGCAAATCATTCGCGTCGGGCGCAAACACAAGCCCCTCTTGCGTCTCCCGCAGTCGCTTGAGCTGCATCGTAAGCTGGCCTTTGCGCACCTCGTTCTCGGGGAACTTCTTGAGATGACTCGCGAGACCAAGCTTGGCGCACGTCCAGATGAACCACTTGGTCGGGTCGTACTGGTACCACTTGATCGCGTTGCGGTAGTCCGTGGGGAACTGGTGGTGAAAGTTGTGGTAACCCTCCCCGTTCGTGACGAAGGCGGTGAGCATATGATCCTTCGGCGTGTGCTTGTCGTCGAAGGGCGTCTCACCGATCCAGTGCGCCAGGGAGTTGACGCAGAAAGTTGACTGTCCCGCGCTTCAGCACGCGTCGGAGTGTGAGAGAAGTAAAGACACTCACATGGTGCACAAAAGTAAGACGGGCGGCACCCGCATACACGAACCCGCCCCACCAATCACCCCAAAAGATCCCGGCAACGAACGTGGGGAAGAGGAAGCCGAACGTGACAATGAGCTGCAGATACCAGCGGTGCTGCCACCTGACGACTTCGCTCTTACTGAGATCACTGACGTCAGCAACGCCGGGCTTGCGACGAGGTTTGACGAGCATCCAGCCAACGTGCGACCACCAGAAGCCCTTGTTCGCGTCGTATGGGTCGAGCTCGGTGTCTGTGTAGCGGTGGTGAGCGCGATGCCCGCGAGACCACCACCTGATGGAACCCTCAACCGCGCCAGCGCCAGCCATAGCAAAGAAGTACTCGAGCGGCTTCGACGCGTTATAGGAACGGTGCGCCCACAGACGGTGGTACCCAGCCGTGATGCCTACGGTAGAACGCGTTAGCACCCGCGCGACGCGTAAAAATGGGAGACACTTGCCGAGACCGGTAATGAAGTAGTACACAACGCACCACCAGAAAGTCTCGGTTCGCATCTTGACGTGGAACGCGCCCCAGATGGCGATGGACGGAGTGATGGTCAGGATAGCCAAGCTGAGGTAGTTGAGCTCCTTGTACAAGCTGCTCCAGGTGATCGGCGGGAGTGGCTTTTGGTTCTTGATAGTCCAGCTGACGTAGTTTTCGGGAACGCCGAGGTCGACGGGGACGTCCTCCTTGAGCGTTGCCGTCCTGGGCGGCGGGGTCAGCGGCGGGGTGAGGACCGACTTCATCTGCGGCGAAGGCGAGCGCGTCTCGACGACGGACGACATGGCCACACAAGAAGAGATTGAGGAGGAAGGGGCGAGATGAAGAATTGGGGAAACATGTCAGACTTTATATGAGCCTGCTTCCCCCAACGTTTTCGCTACATCAAAATCGAGGGCCCCCGGAAGTACGTCGGGATACATAGCACCGCTTTCGTGCAGTAACGGCGAACGCTCAGGTCTTTCAAATCGGCCAATATTTCAGACATATCAGAAAAAAAACATGAAGCTCCGGAGCACGCTTGAGTGAAAGCAGTGCCATCTTCTTCGTGTCTCTCATTTCCGCGTGACACTTCAAAGCTTCACCGCAAAGGCCCCATTTGGCTGCCCCATAGCGGTGTCCCGGGTCTTTACTCTTTCCCCCAAGTTGATTCACCTGAAGTTCCAGATTACAATTTCCTGCCCGGGATTCACCAAAGACTACTCCAGATTCCGACCAGACCAAGGCCATCTTCAGATACCGCAGCCCAACAGAGCTTTGTGCACGCAAAAGTCGTCCGACGGTACGCTGAAGTATGCCACGTGGCCTTCAATCCGTTGGGGAAGGACGCTGCGGTGGACGTCAAGAGGAAGTCTTCGTAAACATCTAGGACTCAGTACTCAACGCCCGCAGTACTTTCTTCTAGATTCTTCGTGGATGGCTGTCATTTGTAGCTGTGTTTGGCGCCTGCCAGTAATGTAGCGTCGTGGTAGGTTAACATTGAAACTTGTAGAAGGGCGCACGAAATAATCCATGCGTAAATGAATACTGCAGCATCCATTTGAATTCCTGAAGTACGTCGAATTTGAAGGGTATGACTCACGCGTGAGTTTTCAATTGTCCAACTGTCAGTGGGGGAGATCATCTTTGACCCGACGGAGAACTGGCCTCAAAGGGAGGTGACTAGGGCTAACGTTCATAAGTAGCGCATCAGAAACCTACGGAAGTCTCGTGTGCTCCACGAAACAATGACATCCAAGTCGCCCGACATGGAACAGACGAACAAGTAGTGACGACTATCGGACCAGTACTGTCGAGAGAATCATGCTGCGGTGCAGCTATAATGGTTATTTAAATTTAAAGCCTAAGGCCTCACGGGTGAAGTGAAATCGCAGTGCTCGCGAGAGTTTGCACTGGGACGTTGGGTAGGGTGGCCAAGATCATCTCAGAAGCCCCTGCCTCTGTGACTCGCCAGCTGCAGGCGCGGGAGGCGGATATCGAAGGAGTTCTCAGGCAGAGCAAGCCTGTCACCCATGGACGTCCGAGAGGATACTCACTCTAACCAGTGGATCTCGAGATGTTTGAGCCGAGGATTGTGTGCGAGAGTCACGCAAGAAAGTACAAAGCGAGGGTAGGGGATACTAAGACAGCGAAATGAAACAGGTTCAATACATTGACTCACCACCGCTACGGGCTCAGACCCACAAAGTAATAATACCTTGAAACGGAGGCCTGAGATCTTCAACGGATCTTCCGAGTTTCTGAACCAAATCGTCAAGACCATCGAGTTCCGTCCGACGCAACGAGCAGCCCAATGTAGTCTGCGGACACCCATGCTTACATGCGATTGAAGAATGGAAGGGACCATGAGAAAAAGCGGCGGCTGATCCACCACGAGTCCGTCAATGGTTATCTCTGCAGTACCGATGGGTTGCCGGTATTAGAATATCCCAAGAGAAAATGGAGAACAGAAAATGGAGAACAGGCAGACTACTCTGCAAGCAGGGTGGTCGATTAGGAACCCATACACGCTGTGGATGTCCCTCACCCACACGCCTTTCAATTTAAGTGCCGTCAATTTGAATGAGGGAAAAAACATGGCCGCTAGAAGCTGCCCCAGCCAATTCCAATGCATGCGTTCCACAGAGGTGTCCGACGTCGTGCAGCAGTGACAGAATTGGTAAACGCGGGAGGATCCTGTCTTCTGTAAGCTCGAACCCCAATGTCAACATGCGGACGTAGCGGATTAACGCCAGACGTGATAATGTAGCGTTGTCCAGGAGGTCTGCAAACCTAACTGCAGGAATCGAGATGCAGACCTCATCACTACGAACGCCGAAAGTGGCATCCGTTCTCGGTGAAAATTGCCATACATCTGAGGGAATTTTACTACTTTCCGCGAGAACACATCCACAAACGTGACTAGGTGGGTAGTGAAATTCCCCTCGGATATGACGGGTTTCACCCGGTTCGGTGGTGTCTACGGGTGGCTCAAATTTCACCAGCTTTCTGGTCTATGTGAGTTACCTGGCGAAATTTTACTACGTGTGAATTCACCGTTCTTTCGGGTGAAATAAGGTATTCACGATGGCAGAAAATCACCATTTCCGGCGTTCACAGTGCAATCAGGGCTTCCGCACAGAAAATATGAAAGTGTGTGGTCGGGAGAAAGGGGCGATAGGTCAGACTGCAGGCAATACTGACTCTGAGAGCATGTGAGTCGTCCTAGAGACGGTCGATGATGTGGTCGAATCCCTCGACCGGAAATGCCGATTCCACGCATTAGGTGAAACTGTAGGCAGACAGTCAATACGACTTGGATACGATATCGAGAATGACGTGCAAATGCTGGACAGACTCACAGGTCAGGTCTGCGTCGTGCGAGATGGAGAGTGTCTTGAATGAAATGATCTTACCCCTACTGTGATGCGACAGACGGGGTTTTCTTCGGTGTTGAACGTGCAAGTTCAACGTTCAGCGTACATCCAGGCTTCGTACAATCTCCCAAAGGCAGACTACAAAATCAGTCCTATAAGAGGGGAGAGGGATGGACAGAGGCTCGCAGTACGCAGACACGGATATCCGAGGTACGAGGTTGAAGCAGAGTGTCTACCATCTGCCTTCAAGTTCGGGAGACTAGCAGTACCGTCACGTCCCGATTCAAGTTGATTACATCGATCGAGCAAGTCACGCGCCAGGCGGCCCCAGCTTTCAACCGTAACTTGCTGTATGCTCGAGATTGCAGACCGACGCACTACTACTGGTTTCGCCTTGAAGCCGCAGCCATCGATAGAGGTGACATGGAAGAACTGTGCAATTGTTTTCGTAAGCCCGATTGACAACATTGGGTAATGAGTTCTAATTCACGCGCCGGTGCAGAGAATACAACCACTCCGTCCAGTGTTATTATTGGTCTTGATCGGGAGAGGAGAAGGTCTGAAATTATATGTCAGCCTGTTTCCGGCGGTTCGTGTCGTGACCCCGAGACAGACGGCGATTTCTTTGGGTCTTTCCTCACTGCAGAGTGTGTCGTATTTGTTCAATATGGTGGGCTCACTCACCGAATCCACTGGCGAGGCTGTCATTTTACAAGATGGCTCAAATTTGCCATTCCCTACGGAGTTGTTTCGGTCGATATACTCCCACATTCAATTTTCCTTAAGAAATCTTGCCGGGGAGTCGTCAAAGAGGACGTTGGAGAACCTGACTTTGACGTGCAAAATATTCCATTATATCGCACAGCATTTCTTGTTCGACTCTTGCACTTTCCCTATATCTCGCGCTCGGCAAGACACCTTCTGAAGAAGGTGTAATCTACCTAACCTAACCTAACTAACACTATGGTCAAGACAGCTGTCAAAGGATGAATATTTGAACAACAGGTTCTGACAATATAAGTGCCCCTCACTTCAATATTCACTGACAATGATAGTCAACAGTCTAAACATTTTGAAATATTCGAGAGGGGATTGATTATTCGATGTTTGCGCAGGTGCCACTTTCGCGTCGTGTCCAGACCATTTCCATATTTGGATGGTCGGATACTGTATCCAGACACAGCCGCGCCACAAAAACAAAATAACGCGGTTGGTGGCCAATAAATGGCGCGCTCCCCGCTGCGGCGCTCCTCGTTCCCTTTCCTCCTCACCATTCACCACAGGTCTCAAGATTCTTAAAGCAAGCACTATAGAAACTTTTTGCACGTTACAGCGTTATACATCACAGTTTGTCCCACGTCTCCTCGAACTCACACAGCATTTCCGTGATTTAATTCCTGTCCAATCACGCCCTCACCTTATTTGGAACCAATGCTCATTTGACGAATAGAGGTTTACAAAGCTGAAGAATGTCTAATCGCAAGAGGTCCCGGTTGTTGAACGCGCTCGACGCGTCCGTAGCGCCCGTTTTCCCACCCGCATCATCGTCCTCGGTGATTTCCAGCCCATCAACACGCGTCATCAAGCGTGAGCCCACAGACGCCGTGGTTCCCGTCAAGCGCACTTCTTCTGCTCGCGACGACGACGCCCTCGCCGGCGCCGCCAAACGCGTCAAGCCCGAGTCCAAAGGGCCACTCTCCCTCGTCAACAGCAATACTAGTGCCATTCCCGCTGTTGTGCCCCCAGCATCCGCCGAGGACCTCAGCGATGTGCGTGCACGGCTCGAAGAGATCCAGCACCAAATCACCCAGCAGCAGGCGCTGCTCGGCGTGGCCCTGCGCAAGCGCACGAAGTCCAAGAGCGACCTCACCAGGATCGCACGTTACGAGCGCAAGCTAGTTAGGCTGCGCGCATTGAAAGAGAAGTACCATGCCGCCATCCCCGCCGCGGCGCCCGTCATTGCGCCATCGCCATCCAAAGTGGAGGCGAAGCAGGTTCAAGCTGTCGCTTCAGTCCCCAATCTCGCGAGAGAAGAGGTGAGGCCCTTCTCAATTAACCTGCCTTTCGGTCAGGTTCAACCTAGCGCCCTCGGCTCGGATGCCGTGAAGCAGGAGGTGAAACCCCTTTCCACCAAGTTTCCGGTCAATCCACTGCCGGTTCCATCAGGATCTAAGGATATCAAGCCACTTGTGTCTTATGGCGGTGGTTTTCCTGGCTTCCAGGCGCCCGTCGCCTCGAGTTCTAAGGATGTGCTGAAGGCGCCCAAGCTATCTGACTTCGAAGGGTCTGACAACGACCTGGACGACAACTTTGTGCCAGATATGGACCAGAATCCTCTGCATCAAGACGATAAACGCTTTGATGAGGATGGCAACTTCTATGGTCGCGGTCGGGACATGTTCGTTGGGCCTCAGGCCAAGGCCGACGAGTATGTTTTCCCTCACACCTATACTGCGATGATTCTCTCACCTCTTGCTTTTCTCTGCTTAGTATCGACAGGTTTCTTCTCGCGGCGGGCAATGCAGAGCAGTTTAATGGTAATGAGAGGGTAGAGGATGCTCTTGTCAAGCTTGGGCTTCCCGCCCTTTACCGGCCGCTTCCTGGAATGGAGATCGCGCTGATGCCGCACCAAGTTATTGGCGTTGCTTGGATGCTTGACAAGGAGAACAGCCCTTACAAGGGCGGCTGCATGAGCGACGAGATGGGTCTTGGCAAGGTTGGTCCTTTCCAAGCGCATATATCCACTACAAGCTTATGAATATTCCCTGTTTTGTGTGCTGTATCGTGTAGACTGTCCAGATGTACGTCGTTCTCACACTTATGCTGTGCAAGTGCTCACCCACCCATGCAGGATCAGTGTGATAGTCTCGAACCAGTCTGAAGATCCGATGTGCAAGACTAATTTGATTGTCGCCCCACTGGCTTTGCTGGATCAATGGCAGCTGGAGATTGAGATGAAGACCAACTGCGACCTTAAGTGTCTGATCTATCACGGTAGGTACCGGATTTTCGACTGCGTCTACTTCGCTCACTCGGCCACAGGATCCAATAAGCCCAAGAAGAGAAAAGATTTGTTGAAGTACGACGTTGTCCTTACAACCTTCCATGTTCGTCCCATCGTCCTTGTAGGCTTTGTGGATTGATGTTCTCATCGTTTCACTCCCATAGACCCTAGCCCTGGAATGGCCTGATGCGGAGGCGGAGGAGAAGAAGGCTAAGAAGAAAGCGAAGCAGAAGAAGAAAGATGACTTCATCGAATCCGACTCCGAAGACGAGAGAAAGCCTAAGAAGAAGAAAAACAACAACAGTAAGTGAACTCTTGGTACGCACAGCTATCTGCTAATTATTGTGATTGGGATAGCTGGTTTATTGATGCAGGTTGAGGTATGTATTGACACATACTAGATTGCTGCTGTTACTTACTGCATTTGCTGCAGTGGTATCGAGTCACCCTGGACGAGTCGCAGAACATCCGAAACAGGCGGACTAGCGAGTGCCTTCCTTCACTTCCATTGACTTCTATTCACTTAAATTCTGCAGGAATCTCTCGTGCGGTCACTAAGCTGAATGCTAAGTACCGCTGGTGCTTGACTGGGTACGCTTCCTTCCACCTTTCAAGTTACGATTTCTGAACTCCAACTGTAGCACCCCCATTATCAACGGCTTGTCTGATGCATACGGTCTCGTACGCTTCCTCCGCATCCGCCCCTGGTACGATTGGGACGAGTTCAACAGCCACATTACTAAGCTGGAGAAGAAACAACGTATGTCGCCGCTCTTTGCTAGATACATTCGTTGCTGAGTGTCGCGCCACACCTTCAGCGACTCTCGCGACCAAACGTCTGCAAGCCATCTTCGCGTCAATGCTACTCCGCAGAAAGAAAGATACGGTATGCGATGACATTCGTGTTTCTATTGGTGATCGCTAATATGGTAGCGCGTAGATGTTGGATGGCAAGCGCCTCATCGAGCTCCCCTCCAAGGAAGTAAATTTGGTGAAGCTAGAGTTCTCCCTGGAGGAGCGAGATATTTACAAGATGGTTTGTATTTGTGGATACTGCACCGGAAGCTCTCTCTGAAAGAATGTGCATAGGTTGAACTTCAATCTCAGGCCATCTTCAACAGATTCCTTCGTGCAGGCACTGTTCTCAAGTTAGTTATTATCTTTCAGGAATGAAGACTTTGTGGCTGATTCTTTTCCTATAGGAACTATCATCAAGGTTCGTAAGCGAAGATTCAGTCAAGATATCATTTCGTACTAACGCGACCATTATCTAGTGCTCGTGTTACTGCTCCGGCTGCGCCAATGCTGCTCCCATCCGTCGCTCATCCAAGAGAAAGACGACGCTGCATTCATCACTGCCGCAGAGTTCAACGACAAGCACTACAACCGGCGTTACGAGCTCAGCCGCGCCGCGCAGCTCGTCTCCCCGCAGTTCGTGGAGAAGATGAAAGCAAAGTTCAAGCAGACTGTGCTGCAGCGTATGGAGGCCGAGAAGCAAGTGAGCGATCTTCCCCGAGTTAGAAGTATTACAGACACTGACTGCTGCCACGCGATCGGGCAGTCGGCAGACGCTACCATCGAAGGCGAAGAGTGTCCGATCTGCTTCGACACATTCAGCGACCCGGTCGTGACGCCCTGCTCTCATGTCTTTTGCAAGGACTGCATCCGTGAGTCGCCATTTATTTATGTTGCCGCTGTAACTCATCACTCCTTGCGCAGTCGAAGTGTTCAACGGCGCTGCCGTCGAAGACGGTGGTGACGATCAACTGAAGTACCAGACTGATGAGCGTCCCTGCCCTGCATGCCGTGGTGTGGTCTCCAAGCACAAGCTCTTCTCCCGTCGCGCGTTCGAACCCACAGACGCGGAGCTCGATCCGAATAGTATGCATGCCGACGACGAGGATGGGGCGTCCGAGGAGGACGACGTCATCGACCTCACTGACGACGAGCCGGCCAGGCCCCCGCCTGGCCGTACGCTGCGTACGCGGAAGCCGCAGAAGAGGTGGATTGTCGACTCGGAGGACGAGGAGGACGAGGAGGAGGAGGACGAGGAGGAGGAGGACGAGGAGGAGGAGGACGACGACGACATGAGCGACTTCATCATGGAGGACGACGAGGATGAGGAAGAAAAGGACGCGCGTCGCGTTTTGAAGAAGCGCCTGGGCAAGCGTCGTGCCATCGTACTGTCCGAGGACGAGATGGAGAATGCGGATATCATCTGTGGTGCCAAGCGGGATGTGGACGTCCCGCCTGAGCAAGTCAAGATGATGCCGCGATTCTTGCCGTCGACGAAAATGAAGGTGGGTATCATCATTTGTGCGAGAAATAGAGAAGACGAGTATAACGTGACGTTTGTAGCATATGATGGAGTCGCTGCGCACCTGGGCAGAGGAACACCCCGATGAGAAGGTGCGCTAATATTTGTTCTATTACGTTTGTGCATAGTGGCTAACAATTATCTTTAGACTTTGATCATTTCGCAGTGGACGCAGTGCCTTCAGCTCGTCTCGGACTATCTCGCGGAGAATGACTTCCTCCACGTCAAGTACGTTTTCTCTATGTTTCATTGTGAATCTTTCTCATCGTTCCCAGGTACCAAGGGGACATGAACCGCCAGAAGCGTGATCAGGCTGTCCGTGTGTTCATGTCGAAGGACAAGGCCACTGTCATGCTTATGAGGTATGTACCCCGAACGGCGTCGGGTAGGGCAATGCTGACGAGTGCGCATGCAGTCTTAAGTGCGGTGGAGTTGGGCTGAACCTTACCCGAGCCAACCGTGCGTGCTATTCCTTACTAGAGTCGTGTATTCACCTTTATTTTACCACGTTTCAGGCGTCATCTCCCTTGACCTAGGATGGAGTGAAGCCATCGAAAGCCAAGCATTTGACCGTGTCCACCGTCTGGGACAGACTCGCACCGTGCATGTGCACCGTCTAGTCATTTCGGACACAGTCGAGGACCGTGTACTGGCGCTGCAGGAGCGCAAGAAGAATCTTGCCGACGGTAGTCTCGGCGAAGGAAGTGGCAAGAAGATCGGACGTAAGTAACTATTTCAAAATTGATCGTCAACGAGATTGATCAAAGATGTTTTGCGATGCAGGCTTGAGTGTGCGTGAACTGGCTAATCGTACGTTCGATGTTTCTTGGATTGACTCGGGCATTATATTGATTTCTTCGGTGCAGTGTTCGGCCTCGACCAGAGAGGCCAGGTGCTGGACGACTAGGTATACCCCGAGATCTGTTTCACCATTTTCTCTCTCCGTCTCTTTGCGTCGCGTTTCTCCTTCGAATGATCCTCAATGCCTACCTTTATTCGTTTCCATTATACGGTCGCTCAGTCGATTGTCCTTTGCCGCCACTATAACTATGCTGACGAATACACTATCCTACATCTGTACCTCTTAGTTGCAGTTCTCGAATAAGTTGTTGCTGTTCCGCTCTTCTTCACGTTCTTGTTACCGCACAGTCTTTCCCTATTGTTACGATATTTGCTGCACACACTACGGTAGCTCTGAAATATTTGCTGTTAGATATTCCTGGCCACGAAGTGGTACAGGTCTTGTAACCAGTATTCCCGTTTAACCGTGTGAAAATCGCCTTTTATGGTAAGCGATGTTTGGCTTTGCTTCCGAGACCTCTAGATGGTACTTTCAACTTTCAATATGGTGTTTTTCCTTTATTCCCTTTGACTTGGTATTCCTGATCATGAATTCCTGACCATGAAGTGGTACAGGTCTTGAAACCAGTTTAGCCATGTTAGAGTCTCCTGTTATGGAAATCATTCAGTCCTGGTTGACACAATGCATTCCAGAGCCCACAGTAAGCTCACAAAAGACTTTTGCACATCCATTATCTCAGTACATATGCTTGAGTATCTTGCTAGATGGGCCATTACCTTGTAGTGGTGGGTGTTCACTGCTCAACTATCAGGCATTCCACCTAAGTATTGTCTCAGAGTTCCATGCAAGCCCAGAAGCTGTCAACTGCAGGTTGACAGCAGAAGGGTGAACAAGACCTATGCATATGAGACTGCATGCACACCATCAAGTTGTTTGAGAGGTCTTGAGTTTCATCACAATTTTTGATTTCTTATTGGGATTTCAACTGGATACAGTCATCACAGCAAAGTTGTAGCACTCAGTTGCAGGTGTGCTTTTGACCACCCTTTTAAAGAAATTTCAGTTGCCAATTATTCTCATCAATTCATGCTCTCGTGGTCAGGTCTGCCCGGAGGGCCCCTGCTATGTTACGTTTTTATTTAACACTGCGATCTATAGAGCACGTGTACGGTGTTTATTGTAACATCACGATCACGTGTGTATTAAGTATTGCGTGGTCAACGCTCACCAGTCGTTTGTTTTATGTCTTCTCGTTGAGATTTCTGAGCGGAAACGATAGCCTTACAGCTGGTTGCAAATCGATAGGCATCTACTCGAAAACCAGATGTACAGGCGGACAATGATCCGGGAGGTATTTTGCTGGATTTAGCTGCGGCTAGTCTCAGAATTCACAGTCCGCCCTTTCCCCGACTGAGCGTCGCTTTCAGGCGCGGGCCTATCGATTTGCAACTACATAGCTGTACAATCAACTTGTGGCCTTTGCGACTATTCTATACAGACATATCCGAACAGCCGTATCTAATCGTTCACCTTCTTCAGCCTCCACTGCCAAGCAATGTCCCGAACTCCTCTGGCATCACGTCCGCTGGACCTGATATACTTCATCTTTTTCATGGTGAGCGTGTTCGTGCCCGCAGTAGCTAAGCCTCAAACTTCGCAGATGCACTTGCCCGTGTCTCTATTGCTTGACCTCCAGGCATTGTATCCAAAATCATTGGTCCCTGCTGCCATTGCATCGCTGCCTGAGTTTTACATCTCGAAGTCGAGCGACCCCCTCGTTGGTGGAGTGATGGGACTTCTGGGGGACAGCGACAGATACGTCTGGTTCAAATCTCTCCTAATGCTGGAAGCGTAAGCCGTTACCGGTTATTATGGCCCGGTTCGTTCACCTTCCATTATGATTTCCCAGGGTTTTCCAGGTTCCTGTATTCATCATTGGAATGCGCGGTCTTTGGAAGGGTAGGAGTTAATTTGCTCTTGCGTACCAGCTTAATAACTCGTATATCCTAGATGCGCGCTCTATCTACGTGCTCTTGTTGATTTACGCCGCGTCGACAGCTACGACCACTCTTCCCTGTCTTGCCGTCATTCTCTCAACCCCGATTTTGGGCGCTAGTAACGTGGCCGCAGGAGTGGTCCCTATCACATCAGAGCAGCGGCTTATGCTGCTATCCAGCTATGTTCCATTCCTCATTTTGCCGCTGTTCATGACGGTCGACATGGCACTCCGGTTGTGGAAACTTCTGGAAGTAGGAAATCAATCACAGCTTGCTGCCAAAACTAAGTAGACAGACTACATATGTCTTATGAGAACCTGCAGAAACTCTGTAAAGCTGTGACTGTTATTTTTTCCGGGTAGGATTGGCGTATGCACCTGCAGATTACGCCAGGGGCGAGTTGTCTTCTCGGCGAGATAAGATAAAATCTTATCACACGAACTTCTTGATCGCGATGTCTCTCGAACCAGATTCTTTCTCAACGGGAACAACGTCCATGGGCTGTTCACTGAAAACATCGTTTCAAGCCTTTCAGTAGTACAGCAAACTAGAGCTCTGCAGTTCACAATCTGATAGGTCTCAGGCAAGTAGTAGTAAATCCCACATGTTCTAGTAACGTCCGTTACGTCTCCAAGATGATGATGCTCATTCAGGTTTGCTCTGCTGCAGTGTCATCAAATGGAAACGGTCTTTCCGCCCGAAATATTCGACTTCATCATTGATTACCTATGGGAAGACCTGTGGGCTCTCAGAGCATGCAGTCTGACCTGCCGGGCTTGGCTGCCCACTACGCGTTTACACATGTTCAACTCGGTTTATCTGAGTGGCGCGCGTCGGTATCTGCCATTTGCAGACCTTCTGACCGCCTCTGCGACGTCCCCCATTGGATTGGCACACTACGTCCGCGAGCTGACCCTAAACGACGCCATTTCTGAAGAAGCTTTCATCGCGTGTCTACCATCCCTGGCGCTCCTGTATAACGTCGACATTCTCATAGTGGACAAAATGCCGTGGGAGTTCCTTGAGCGACAGCTCACGGCCGCGGTCTTCCCCATGCTGAAGATGCTCAAACTGCGATGCACGTCAGTGGAGAATATCAACAGCTTGTATCGATTCCTGTTCAATCATTCTAAATGCAAGATAGTCCGCATCTTCGTCGCCTCATACTTCCCCTGGTCTGAGGTGCAGCAGCTGTCCCTACCAGAGATCCAAACGGGAGAGCTCTCACTGGAAGAACTGGTTCTGAAGACACCCTCACCTCTAGAATCACATGCCGCCCTAGTCTCTTTCATGTTGAGAGCGCAAGTACACCTGCAGGTACGGAAGTTCCAATGGGCTAGTGCAGGAAAGGGGGTAGAAAGGGACGGTCTGAGAGATCTGCTCCAGAGAATCGGAGAGTCACTTGAATACCTGAGTCTGATGATATATCCATCGGTATGTGATCGCAGCGGTAAACAGGGTGAGTCTGAATATCAAATTTCGATCGATAGCCCTCTGAACATTCACTGCAGAAGACACATCGATCACCAACCTCTCTCTAGCACACAATTCACACCTGCGATCCCTTGAGATTGTTTGCCCAGGAAACAGGACCCAATCCAGATGTTCTTGGGTATCAAACGTGCTCGACCTGATAACTCCCATACACGCTCGTCTCCAGCAGATCACCTTCATTAGTCGTGGATCATTCGAGATCTACGTAGCGTCATTAGATTGGCACCACATTGACGCATCGCTCGCTCGGTTGCTCCACATGCTCTCCCAGCTGCATGTTGCTTTCGACCTCCGTAAAGTTCCAGGACATTGGACTCAGGCAGAAGTCTCCGAGGAGATCTCTGCCAAGCTGCCGGAGGCCCGAGCACGAGACGTCTCCCTATCTTTTGTTGTAACGTTGCTACACCGGTGACGCAGTAACGCGCTATCCCGCACGGAATTGCTGGATCTGACCGACGGAGGTGTGCCGCTAATACCCTGACGGCAGATAGTGTTCAGATATGTTTGCCATTAACGTCCTTGTATGTACAAGTAGTGGTATCTCCTGAGTAACCGTGTTGTGATCCGTCCGAGAGACGCCAAATTTGCCGGTAGTATGATGCTCTCAACCGCGGAGCCCAATGTCGCGCAGCTTCCTCAGGGCACCTGTGAGTGACAGAGTTGTGATTGCATGCTACAGGCCCCGCGGCCTTTGCGGCAGCACAGAGCCCTCAGGCGAGCCACAATCATAAGAGAACGCATGTCAGACATTTGGAATGGCGCCTGAAGCTTCATATCTTCGGCGTCCAACTTCTCAATCGTTGCCCGTCGCACCAAAGCCCAGGTCGCCCACTAAGGCCTGTACCCGAAAGTGAGCGCTCCCATCGCGGCTGCACGCGTCCACGGAGCAGGCCTGATGTGCTCCCTAGAGCAGGATTAAAAACGAGCGAACCGATTTCATGAGCGGAATCCACTACGTTGGCGTCTTCACCGCGTTCTTGATGTAACTCTTGGTCGACTGTAGTGAGCGACAGTGGAACCGATAATGATGGAATATGTAGGAGCGCGAGGGGGACCGGAGACGAATGTGCACGGAGGAGAGTCGCTTTTGTGAATGGGGACGAGGAGATGAGGAGGCCAACAAGAGGACTTGAAGTATTTTCTGCGTCGTCCGCGCTCCAATCCTGCCCATCGTCCAAAGGCGAAAGACCGGACTCTGCTGTGCGTGCATCTACCGGAGCAGTGGAGCGCAGCGACAGCGACAGCTCCCCGTAGCTAGATCGAGCCGTGTATCTGAAGAGCACCCCTTCGAGCTCCCGCACGTACTTGGGGCTTAGTTTTTTCTTCTCGTCCTTGCACTGTGCCAGCACACGGATGCGCATACGACGCGCCTGCTCGTGGCGCGCTATTGAGGACTGAGAACGCAGACAGAGAGCCACCTCAGGCAGCCACCACCAGCCCTGGAGGTCGATCCCACCGTCAGACTTGCCTCCGACGTGTCGAAGCGACATAGACAGGTTTTCTTCAAGCAGCCGCAGTGAGCGTTTTTCAAATGCTACGCCCTGGTGCACGGTAGAGAGGGTGGTAGAAATTGTACGTCTGATAACAGACGATCCAGACGACTGATGCGCCATGTCCTACCGTTGTTGAAAGTCAGTGACCCCTGCACCAAAGAAAATATTTCCGCGTACTTTGTCTGCTTCATCGAACAATTCCCCTTTGCAATTTTTCAGCAACTGAATCCTGACGCACTCTGTGGTGATATTTAGACCTGCAGACCCACCGCACCGCGATGGTGAACAAGGGACGCTGCTCGATGCGGTTGAATTGCAGAAATGACGTTTCGCGGAGTGTGAATTATGCCTCTGTCACGCTTCACGCTGGTCACCACGCGTCCGTCACATAACCGTGACACCCCTGCCAGAGGATGATGTATCCTCACTCCCGCCTCTTGCTTGGACCATCACACGCAGTGGTTGTTTCAGGACCTCACATACAGGTTATTAATACACGGTGTGCTTAAAATATTTTCTATACTTGAATTAACGAAACTGACCGTAGCAGAAGCGGAGAAATTGTACATTCGACTGTTGATCTTGAGGGTGCGGAGAAGGATGCGCTACTCAAGTCCGGTCCTGTTCGCTGCGCTGCAGCGGATAGCGAGTTCTTGCGTATCATTACTACAGGAGACGACAAGAAGCTGAAGGTATGGCAGATAGACGGCTTGAAGCTTCTCAGCGAAAGGTGTGTGGCACAATTTTTCCTTAGCTCGGCGAAGGTGTAATCTTTCAATGTTTAGAGAATTGCCTAAGAAACCGACTCAGATCGATTTTACTAGAGATGGACAGACCATCCTTGTATCCGACAAATTCGGAGACATTTTCAGGTCAGACAGACATCACTTTCCTTCTGGTCTAGTCTGAACGGCCTACGCATCAGCTATTCTCTTCATTTTAACAACATCATGGCCCCTTCTACCGCATCGCTCATTGGTGCTTCAAAACGCGGCGCTCTCACATCACACGAGAACCCATCTAACGGCACACTCGTCCTTGGCCACGTCTCGTTCCTCATCTGTTTCCTTCTCTCCCCAGACGAGCGATACATTATTACAGCTGATCGTGATGAGCATATCAGGGTTAGCTGGTACCCCCAAGGATACAGCATCGAGAGCTACTGCCTAGGCCATGAAAAGTACGTTTTCTCCCCGTAATTCCTCGCATGTATAAAAATTTATCAATATGTCTGTGATTCCAGATTCGTTTCGGCGGTCCACATCCCGGCCTTTGCGCCCTCCACTCTTGTATCTGGCGGTGGTGACCCAGTATTTAAGCTCTGGGACTGGATGACCGGCACACTCCAGAGCGAGATACCTGTCCTCGATGCGGTCAAACCGTTCATCAAGGTGCAGGCTGTTAAGGGGAAGTGGGGACGTGAGGACGGCGAGGATGGTGAGGACGACGGTGCTGGACAGCATGCAAGGGGCAAGAAGAAGCGAGGTAAAAGGCGGAAGGGGAAGGAACAAGTGAGGGAAGATGATCGGGCTGATGGGGAGGCTGATGGTGCTCCAGAGGTAGCAGAGGAGGCAGAGGATGCTGATACTGAAGGAGAGGGCTCACAAGAGGCTGATACATTAAAGGAGTCTCAGGTTCGAGCTGGGACCAGTAGAGCGGCCGAAGGAGGGGGGAAAAGTACTGCTCCCAGCGAAGAAGAACAGAACGAGAAGTTGGAATGGGCGCAGACCGACCAGGCTCAGGCGGATCGATTCGTATTGGTGGTGCATAAAATCCAAACGATTGACTTCGGTGCGAAGGGTCGGTTCCTCATTTTCAGTGCAGTTGGGTCAGTAGATTCAGACAAACCGTTACTCTCTGAAGTGAATATACTGAATTAGCTGGACAGTGCAACAGCGTTGTTCTACTGCGCCTTCCCAGATGCGGCCGCCGTTGCCCCTCCGACGGTACAACATGTGGACTTCGAATGCCCTGTGATTGACTTCACAATCGGTGCAGACGGCCTCGTCTGGGTGCTGCTAGATGTCGCATGGAGCAGTTGTGCTGGCAACGCCGAGGAAGCCATAGATAAGACACAGGCTGTTAGACTTTGGTCTTGGGCTACCGGAGCAGTGAGTAGTACGGCATAGACCCTCTAAATGGCCAAACTGACTCTTGTTACTTCATGTCTAGCCAACCGAAGTGCGCGGAAGTGATGTACCACCACTCTTAGCGTCTCTTCAATCTAAATGTATCATCTCAGGTACGACTGTTTCTGGTTTCGGTTCCTTGAGTCGGAGCTCATAGTCCCACCCAGCTACACCCGATGACCTCAAAACGCTCGACACATACTCAGCATTAGGATCTCTGCCAAAGAACGTTGACCCAGAGCACGACTCTCTGAAGCGCGACATCTTGTCAGAATTCACTATTGAGGGTGATGACCAGGAGAGTGCCCTGCAAGCGAAGGGGAAAGGAAAAGGAAGGGGAACGCAGGGACAGCTCACGCAGCGCGAGCAGGCGCGGCTAAAGAAGAAGCGCGCGCTCGCAGAAAAGCTCCAAAAGGAGGCGCGGGATGGTGGGAGTGCTGCTCCTGATACGCCAGGCGGCAATGCGGGTGAGCGGGAGAGCAAGAGGGCGAAGTCAGAAAGTGATACGCGTCCCAATGTAGAGGATATCAATGCTATGGATGAATCGTGACTTTCTGGCGTTGTTGCGAATGTTTCACCCCCGTCGATGCGTTGTGCAAACTCCACGGTAGCTTGGAGGATAAGAAAGAAATCAATAAGATAGTGTGAATTTACTGTACAGTTCCGTATCCATGCGTGATATTGTACATCGCCTTCTCAGAATCCGTCCATTCGAAGATGGGCAGCGGGTGAGCCTCGGTGTTGAACACCCAGCGGTCTAGTGGTATCAATTCTTCGTCCGTGAATAGTAGGTATAAGTACTTCAGCCTGAGAAACAACATGAATGATCAAGTCAAGTAAATGGCAATGGATGCACTCACGTCTCCGCCATGAAGAAACTAGAGGGCGACCACTTATCAATCTCGCGCCCAGTGCATTTCACCGATCCTACTCACCTCGGCATCTCATTTTTCTTCGGTGCAGGCGAGTCTTCAACGGACGACAGACTCGCGTAGCCGCTCGGTGTCTTTGCCTCCCTCTCGATCGCCTCAAAAACAGCCCAGCCACGCTCCCGCCATCGCCTATCTCCAGTAGTTCTCCAGAGGATATAGAAGCTCTCTACAGTCTATCAACACCATCAGTAAATATATCGCACAAAGACGGGACTGCATGTAACCTCGGGTCTCAGATAGTACGCAGGCTTGCGCGTCGTGTAGTCGCGCGATTGCCGCCTCGGCCGCGTTTCCGCGAGCCCTGGGGGCACGCCTCCGGGACGGCCACTGGCCTCCCATCGCTCCACATGGTCGAGCCAGTGTCCGCCGCGCGGGTGCTCCTCCGAGACGGGGAACGCATCCATGATCATCTCGTCGGGCCCCAGGCCTGTCGCATGGTCGGCGTACGTGATCCAGCATGTGTACGCGAGCCCCCGGGCGGCCCACTCGTGCAGCAGCTGGGTCCGCGCAGGGAGCTCGAGCGTCTGCGCGCCGAGCGCAAGGAGGCCCGGCAGGAAGCAGGAGAGGTGCTCGAAGGTATGCGTCGGCTTGAAGTCCTGCATGTCCGTTACGTAGAGCAGGTTTCTGTTAGGCGTAATATATAGGAGGTGCTCGATGATGCTTGTTGCTGCGCGGATATCTGCAGAGCTCGTTGTATGCGTGAATCTATCTTGCCTAGTTGGTGACTCACATAGATCTCTGGCTCTGGGCTCAGACTTCGAAGTAAGGAGCCACTGCTTGAGCAGATATTCGTGTGCGCTATCCGCGAACGCACCGACCGAAAAATGAGCTGAAAATGCCGTCATGTATCTGAATTAGAGATACTAGTGAGCTTACAGTTCAAAGGTTTGCCGTTCAACAGGCTCCATCGTGTCGCGAACACGCCATCCGTGACATTCGCCTTCTCCATAATGTTCATTATCTTCTCGACCTGTCCGGGATCAGAGATAACGAATATGAGAATATTGCTCGCATACTCTATCGTAGTACACTCTTCGTCCAGTGAGGTGAGCGAGGAACTTGTACTCCAACTGGCAGCTGAGGGCTTCAGACCACAGTACCGCGCCTCTCATCCAACCCATTCTGGTCTTGCCGCTGAATCACCAAAGCATCGATGAGCGCACAGAAATTCAAAAGCATGACAAACTGACCTCACTGTATTCACTGCATATGTCGGAAGACCGGACGTCGTGTTGAATGCGGGTAGCAGCATGCTGCCCAATTCGTCCGCTCGTTCGAGCAACACCGGCTCTCCGGACAGGGCATACGCGGAAAGCAGGCCTCCCAGATAACGAATAACTGTTTCAAAGAAGGGAGCGTAGGAATCCTGTAGCGAGTTTCAGAGACTAACCCGCATATATTTGATATAAATCGAACTTACAGGTTCAAGGGCGAATGACAATTCTGCAAATATGGGCATGCTGTGATAAAATTCATCACGAAAACCCATTATCCACATCGTATCCAACCCATCCACCAGGGTGAGTCTCCAGCCATTGAAACTTGCAATGCAGTCATTATTGGCGCTGCAGAAGTTAGAATCGACTTACTTGTTGACTGCACCATCCGTGAGCGGCAGCAGCTCATCGTTGTTTGCTGCAAACTCTCGATATCCCTTGTAGGCATGTAGAAATGCTCCTCTGACTGCGTCTGCCCGCTCAAGCCACGTAGTCCGGCGCCTGAAAGGATTAAAATTATAGCCTGACGGATGAGACGAAGGATGCCATGGATGGTCTGTCCACGAGACAAAGCAGTAAATCGCCCACAGAACGACACCGGCTCCAACACCGAAGGGTATGAGACGTGCTGAAGGCTTATGCATCGTGGAGAGCTGGTATAATTCGGTGAGAAGACTTTGGAATGGTCGGAGAAAGTGCTAGAGCATGTAAGGAACGCAGGGACGAGTTCTAAACGATCGGTGCTGGCAGAGGAGACACGGAATAACCACAGGAGAAAGTTAGATCTCTCGGCAACGACGCACCCGTGGGGTCACGTTGCCAGCCCCGAAGCGCGTCCTTACCGCAAGTACGACGCTATGGGACTCTATGGAACGGTTCACGCCAGGAAAGAAACGACAGTACATGCTTGGGTGTGCATCCAAATAAGGCAACTGAGTAAGTTGGCAAGTCACCACTGCACCGACGAACGAACGATGCATGACATTGAAAAGTGAATTGGACACGGAGAAAAATACAGAAAGTACTTTAAAACAAGGTCGTGGCATGTACACATTACACGGTGTGCGTACCCACGAAGTGTATGCATGCCTACTCTTAGTGGTCGAAACTTTCCGATCGGGGCGGAAGAGATCCATGCACCTTGTACACTCCCCCAAAACATAGGAATATCTAGAATGACTACTTCTGATAGATAGTACGTGCACATGTTCTCCCGAGAGAACGTTGACACAGGCTGCATGCGGCTCAAGGCGGACCGGGAACTTGCTGACTAATCCGATACACGACACACGAGTTACGCTGACTGAACTTCGGGGCGCTGCAAGTTGCAATATTATTGACCACCACCTCCTTAGACATGTCGGACAAGGACTCGGAGTCGAATCCTACTCCCCAACAGCCTCTTCCACCGGGAATGGTCTTGGGCCCTGACGGCAAGCCGTGTAAAATCTGCACCGCTTTTCGTTACTGGAAACCGCGCAAACAGAATAGTAGCAAAGCACCGAGCCACGATGGCCGGAACTCTACTACCTCAATGATGGCTGCAATGGCGACAGGACAGAGCTTAGCATCTCAATCAGAGCCGGAGCCGGAGCCAGAAACGCGTCCAGAGTACTGTCCGCCGGACGTCGAGCAACTCGGGCGCGCCACCTGGACGTTCCTCCATACCACTGCTGCGTACTACCCCGAGCGCCCTACCCCGACTCAGCGTGCCAACATGCTCATGCTGCTGCGATCTCTACCAATTCTATACCCTTGCACATATTGCGCGTCGCATCTTGACACGAACATGCAGGACAACCCACCGAATGTCAGCGGACGGGTCGCGCTTAGCAGGTGGTTGTGCGAGCGGCATAACGACGTGAATGTGCGACTGGGGAAGGACAAGTTTGATTGTTCGATTGAGAAGACGGACGAGCGGTGGAAGGACGGCCCTGCTGATGGCAGTTGTGATTAGGTCCGTTTCTCTCAGTTTCAAGTAAGTTTGTCGATAATCATATTGGGTCGTGCAAGTGTCATAATCAAAGTATCCTATCCTAAACCATTGCTCAGTCAATCTCATAAGTCCGAATGCTCTCGTAGTCGTGAGTACGCGGTCCTGATATCTCAGGCAGTGCTTCACTAAAGAAAGCAGAAAGCACGCATAGACATTAATGTCCTCATCCAATATTCCCAATAACCTCATCGTCATCTTATACTACAAACTCCACTCTTTGTCAATATTCAGTGCGCAATGTAGAAGTTGACTTCGCACGTACAGCCGGCGTGACAAAAAAATCATTTCAGAATACCGTGTGGTGCTCTCCGAAGACGAATTGAGCGCCGAGTATCAATGCACACCATTTCCTACTCTGCACTTGACTCTTGTTCTTTCGCCGCCTCGTACCTCGGCTTATTACGCATGCAAAAGGCTTTGGATGACTGCGGTGGGCGATGTCAGGACATCTCCATCTCACACTCTCAGGATCAACCTTAGCCTTGAAGCTTAAGGACTTGCAGGTGAACGCTACATCTAGAATAATATTTTGGCCTTTTACCCATACTGCTGAGGGGTTGAATGCCGCAGGATATTGGCAATCTCGATCATAATCCAAGCGGTATTAATCGCGACATGCATCCCGGACAGGTGCTCCTTCGTGGGCGGAAGGAACGAAGTCATGACTACACGTCGCAATGTAGGAGGTGGCTAACCGGCGACAAAAACCAAACAAGTCAGCAGAATACGAGTCTCCGTGCCCAACAGCTTCGTGATGGAATCTCTCGGGGTGAAGTTTTATTTCTGAGGGCCTCTCGATTCATCGATCCGGCGGAGTCAGCGTCACCGCGAAGTAACAAATTTGTTGGAGCCGAACGAGGTCTTGCGCATGACGGGCTTCGGGATAGACATTTCGTCGTCCCTCAGGCCTTGAAGGATCAAACTCTGCGAATGATCCGAAAGTCCGTGCCGTCGATGAGGGTGGGCTACTGCAATCTAGATGCACGTGGACGACTGGAGAATCATTCACCTTAGCGTCTCCTGTAGCACGGATTGAACATATGGTAACTTTTCGCGGTCGCTGAAATTTGAAATCTGTCCGTCCTGTGGCATGCCCAATCTTCTTTTTCAGGTTTGCGCTGAGTTTCTGGACTCAGTATGAAGGTGAGCAGAGTCACTGCTGTCCTGAGTCTGTAGCTGCATTCACCGGTCAACACTCACAGATCTAACACCATAGACAGAGCGTACGGTTTTGACAGCATCCGGCGGATGACTCAGCATACTCCTGGACGAACGACACCGTAACTCACTGGTATACACCTCGTCGTGAGGGGTTAGATGGTTTTCTACTCTCCTTCGCTCTGCCTACCATGCGCTTCCAGGCGCTTGAGATGAGTGGATGTGAAGGACGGCTTAGCGGTCCCGCAGCCTAAAGGTGGTTAAACTTCGTTCTCGATGTCCTATCTCCTCTGCTTTTGGACTTCATGAATTAGACACTCGTAGAATGAGCGATATTTCTCAACAGATCCTGTCAAATAGGCCCGTCCAGGACCCTATCGCACTCAATATGCCGTCTCGTTAATTCCGGAAGGCCACACAGCACGAACAGCGGAAACGTAGGCCGGGGAAGAAAGCGACTGATGTAGCTCCAAGTTGACCCGCGCCGAGGCGATGCAAGAGCATCGTCAGACCGCTTGATAAATACTTCCCTGTCCCAAGTCCAGTGTACGGTCCCAAACTTCTTCTTGTCAGTTGCTAGTCGATAACAATGGACGCATCAAGCCACATGCAGTAGAGCTAGGCCTTCATATGGCCCATGACACGCTTGGAGGCACAAGTCAGCGTCAGACCAAAATCGCAGTGTTCGAATTCGAATATCCAAAGACATCTTCGTCACAATTCGTACTTGTATTCCCACCAGTAGACGTACGGCTCTCGGACCAAGTATAGACAGAGGATGACGAGGAAATAGCTGGAATGCACGATTGATTGAGACGGAACAGAGGCACGATGAGGACTACCAAGATATAACATACATGACGCGGGTTTCCGGGGCCGGGTCAAGTGTAAGCCGCAAAGACGTCGAGGTACAGGTGAGGCCGGCGATAAGAATATCGTATTGACTATAGTACATTATTGGGTCAGATGAGGCTGGCAAGGCAGGCCGACGTCAGAGATATGTAGTGTGACCGAAATATATGCAGCGGATGTTGGTCGTAACAGGATGCTATGCGTGTTTGGATGTGTGGGCTTAGATGCATGGGGAATCGATAGCGCCAGCTGTAGTCCAGAATCACAGTAAGAGACCAAAGCAGAGAGATCAGAGAGATCGAGAACCAGAACCGCCATAAATGATGCCTACAGGTCGACGCCGTGTGACGACCGGAGGGGGAACAGGGAGCATTTCGTACTTGAGTGTCTTCGGAGAGGACATGGTGGGGTATCGTGACTCCTCGCGGTCGGGGACGACACGCAGAGAATTCGCTCCAAGTCCCGTAGGCGCCAACGTCGAGCGAATCATAGCGGCTGCCTCCACACCCCTGCTGACTGGGCCTACACCCTTGCCTAGGTCTATAGCCCTGCCTATGCCTATGCCGCTGCCGCGCGGGGGTGCGCTGAGGATGAACGCCTTGCGCGAGACGTTCGAGATATCTGAAGCCTCCTCTGTGGCGGGCTCGAGCTCTTGAACGGCGTGCGGTGCCCAATTCACAGGGGGAGCCCGAAGGTAGTCGATATCTGGAGAGACAGGGAAACGGGTACGTGTGTTGGGATGCGAGGCCTTGGGCTGACCGAAACAGAGCAGGGAGGACGAAACAGCATTGATGTAGATGAGTGGATGCGATGGCGTAGCGACGATACTGGAGTCAGCCGCAGGGGAAGGCGTAGAGCGTGCGGACTGATTCTTCTCGACATGCTCCACAGACCTGTCTCTGCTGAGAACCGAGGGCATATTCTGATTGGTGGTGGAGAGACCAACGGAAAATGAGGGGGGGTTATCGAGGACGCTGGAGATGTCTGGGCAAGAGTCATTCTCATAACGTTCCTGCTTGTCCCACGTTGCCTTCATGGAATCGCGAGAGGACAGCGTTCGTTCGTAGCCTCCTTCGCTCGTCGTTGGCGAAAACGTCTCCGGAAACTTGATAACAGAGCTAGTTTTGCGCGGGATATAAACTGGCCAATCGCCGAAGGACTTCAAAGTGGCAACATTGCCGAAGGTGAGTTGCGCAGCGAAGTCGGCCTTCATGTTCGTCTCAAGGTCCGTTCCATCACTGGTCGTGAATGTCGCACAGCTATATGAGAAACGGTGCTATATGGAGAGATCAGCACAGAATGCGAAGTACAACAAAAACTAGTCATGCCTCTTTGTTGCGCGAGAACGGATGGCCAAGGAATCTGGTGAAAAGCGAAGCCTTCGAACGAGGCGTACGAGCCGAGACCATAAGAGGAAGAAGGAGAGGCTTCTGCCTGTCGTCTGAAGGGGTTCCACCGAAAGTCGGGAGGATCAACTGGCGCAGGGGACCTTTCGACTGGGCGTTCGCTTCGATCTGCGCCTCTATCTCGGCCCGTACCACAGCTTCATGACGTTGGCGCAGGGTATTACGGATGAGTGCAACGATAGTAGCAAGGATGACGAACACCACGAGGATAACGATGGTCATGGTGATGATCTTGAACTCGAGCGAGGGAGAGATGTGCATCGGCTGGATGATGGCTTGCTTCCTGTACTGCTGGGCGAGGTTAGGCAGGAGCGTAGGTGCCATGTCTTGAGATCTTGGGAAGCCGCTTGATGAAGAGAGATGAGAGAAGTGGTTGACAGTCGAACTCGGCAGTTTCTCCAGGTATAGGTGAAGGATTTGAGTTCAAACTTCATACTGATTCACACATTGACTTCCCGACGCACGACCTAGTCTGATCGAGAATATTCCCTAATAATCCTCAAACAAAAAGAATCCTCGGATTTAAAAAAAATGTCGGCCATACCTTCGAGAGACATGATCGGGCAGGCATACTGGCAGTGTGGCATTGGAGCTACCTGAATCCCATCAAATTCTCGTAAATGTCCAGATATCGAATCTTCGTGGTATGCTTACAGGATGTTTCGTCCGGGCATATGTCGTGCCAGCAGTTTTCACGCAAGTCAAAAGTGGGTATCTAAGTACTCGGAGTAACCACCGAATAATGAATAGACGTTTCTCCTTACGATGGTTATCAGCGTGCGAACTTTTGATGGATGTACAATTGCAACGACGCGAGCTGTAGGTCAAACAGGACAAAGGACCGGCGGCAGTACTACTAGTATGAACGGCGACGAATGGTCACCGGTCACCATCAACTTGTGACGCGTCGCGTCATGTCGCGTCGTAGAAGCAGTCACGATCACGTGACAATAATCTCCGAACACTTTGCGGTTGAAATGTCTTCCTGAGACCGGTCTAGGTATCCTTTTTGAAAGTTCAGACGCGTGGATAGAAGACAGACAACGAACCTGAAATTTTCTCTTTTCTGACGTTCTGACGGCCGCAATTATGTTGAGTTTGCAACGACATGGATATCATGTTTGACTTTGACATTGGAATACAGCAATTACTTGCATTGACATGTTGACGGCCGGCACCGACGGTACGCTTTATAATGATTACCTACTGTCAGTACGTAGAACTGATAACATGAGGCAATTGACTTGTCTTGACAGCAAAGATCATATCGATAGGCCCCTCCCAAAAAACCCATTCACAGCGTGGACTGCGAAATCAAACGTTCCGGAGGGTCGCGCTGTCTGGGACGCTCGTGTCCGCAATGTCCTTGCATCCCGGCGAGTTTCGAAGGCCAAGGTCCTGTCTGTTAGGAGTTTTTTTTCTGCATCCCGCCCAGAGGCCACCTGTGCACGATTTTTTGTCCAGGGGCCCAATGATATGATCCTTGCTGGGGTTTCCTCTCTGATGCCTACGGTCGGTCCCTGCTGTTGGCTACCGTCATGCTATATTGTTTCACATCTAATTCTGACCGTAGATGGCCTGGAGCTTTGTGAGTGACGTGCTGGGGGAATCATTCAGATGCGCATCATGCTGTAAGTCGACTGACTCGGATGCACATGATCACCTCTACGGTATATAGGGCGAACTTGAGGCTGTCATCGTCAAATTCACCTTCGTCAGTTCTACGAGATAACGCGTGTACACGATGCCAACCATACGCTCTACACCGCCCTTCCGAGCTGAACACATTGGTTCTCTGAAACGCCCGGTGCACTTGCTCGAGAAGAGGACGGACTTCGGACCGGGTGAGAGAAGATGTACCATAGAAGCACTTCATACCTGCGAGCATAGAACAAATCGTGCACATGCAGAAGATTGTCGGGATCGGATCGGTCATAGATGGCAAATTCAGAAGGCGAGTCGCGCATTGCGGCAATGCGGATCGAGTCAAGGTTGTTGGTGATGTTAACGATGAACATAGGTTCCTGTTCTACGATGGTATTTTTGACCAGCTCAAAAGGATGGTGAAAGTACGGAATCGTGGATGATTCGTGCCACGTTCTCACCTCCGAATCTGATCAGCCATCAAACTGCTGCCAGCCCTACACCTTCATCAAGAGTGGGCCGTCCTCTCAAACATGCGAGGTGAGTTCTTCGGGGTTTGTATCGAAGACCATCAGCTGACCATTATCAATTTTTAGGGAAAGCTCAAGCGAATGAAGCCCCTTTACGGTGAAGCATTCGACAGGCTCAAGAATATCGCAAGTGCAGATGTCTGTATACCTTTTTTTCTTTTTTGATTGCCTTTGTGACAATCTCAATAGAGCATTCGTTAGTCAGCTCAAAGTCTCTTTGTGTGCTCCAAAATGGTACCGTTTCCGCCATGGCTCTCGTACCTATTCACACGATGTCTGACATGATGATCATTCGCACGAAATATGCTGACGAATGATCATTGTATTCTACTCGACACCGTTCAAGCGGAAACTGTATCGAGCATCCAACAACAACCTACACGATACACAATGACAAGTCACCAACGCAGAACGTCCGCACCTGCGGAGAATAAATATGCGAACACAATAAGTAGGACAGGCGAGCCAACAGTAGTCCAGGAGCAATGCGGGTATACACAGCAGATAATTGATGACGAGTGTAACGTGCCTGAAGGAAGACTATCTCCTAAGAGAAAACTCGACTCGCTGCGACTCCTCATCATACAGCATTGGAGTGTGGGAGTTGACAGAGCAGGCGGCGAGGGCGCCTTCCTGGCTCATCCGATCAGTTGTGGTGCGAGTTGGGGACATGTCATCCACACGCTTCTCATCGTCCTGACTCGGCGGGACGAACACTGTGTCGCTAAGAGCTGCGGATGGGTCGGCGAGTTTCTCGCTCTCTTCCGGTCGCGACAGGAGGAAGGGAGTGATCCCAGTGGGTACGACCATATCGATCTCCTTGCGTGCGACGAATATTGGGAAGAGCGTCGTGTCCGGGATCAGGCGGCGCGTGCTCACGAGCAGAATCACGTTCGCGACGCCTACAAACACATAGAGTCAGCACCCGCACATACACACCTCGGAAGGTGAAGCACCTTGCAGGTTGAAAATGAAGTCCGAAACGATCGTAGCCCAGAACGGCACCTCTCTGCCCCCGAAGGCGACAAAACGTGAGACGGTGACCGGAAGGATAAGCACCGTGTACGCCACCTACGACGGTGTCAGTACGAAGGTGGCATAATAAACGTAGGATACTCACAGGGTGCCAGACCATCCTTGCAGCAACCCTTATCATGGATGAGTCCGTATTGTCACGTCTGAGTGCCAGCTGCCATCTCTCGCCGCGAGGAACGAATCGGAGCGACCATTTCCCGCCAACTACGATGAGATTGCCGCGGACTCGGAGCAGAACGATGGTGTATAATATGAAGGACAACCCGGCAGAGAGAAATTCCTACATGGCGGTTGATTCACAGACAGACGTGAGTGTCAATCACTCACATAGAAATATTCCATGAAGAACTGTTCTCGGGGATAGCTGACAGTTATCCAACACCTTTACGGATGTAAGAACGGTCTATTTCTTTGAATGCGAACATACCAATATCCAGAGGGCCCAAAGTATGGCCCTCTATCAGCTGTCTGGATGCCCAGCGGACCAACTGCCACCACCAAGCCCACGAGCATCCAGCCCACCACCAAGCTGAGTGCACAGAGACGATTCGACATGTCTTTCCGAAGAAACAGCAGAACGAAGACATGCACGGACATCGCGAATGACCTGTTCCCTCGTAAGCGTTACAGCTGGCGCGTTCGACGTCATAGAAGTACCAGAGCGCCATGCCAAAGTTTCCGCCATTTTTCAGCACGCCTTGGATCGAACAGTAGGTGCTGTCCTCCACGGTGCCTGTTATGACCCATTTTCCCGACAATGCGGTGGCGATGGCTTGGACGACGTTCGCTACCAAGAGCGAGATGAAGTATGGGATAACATGAATATTTCCGAACTTCGGGGAGCGCACGGCCATAGCCTTCCCCAGTTGACAGTATTAGATTGGCTATGTCTTGAATATGCGCGCACGAAACATACCACAAATGTGAAGAGAACCGCAAGGCCAGAAATGCCACCCGCAACCACCAAGCTCTAACCACGTTCGCTTGGCCTGTTCACGCAGAAATTGGGTTTAGGGCTTACAGAAATGCCCGCATGCTCAGACGCCCCATAGATCATCGCAGGAAGGACATCGCGACCAGAAATGAAGGGAGCCATAAAGGGTGGACGAATCTACGCCCTAAACGAAGGTAAAGGAAGGTAATCCCAGCTGCAGCAGGAATGAAGGAACAAGCTGAGAGGGGCTTAAAGAAGAGTCGTCAAGGGCGCCCACAGCGAGGGCTGCAAGTTCCCCACGAAGTTCATTCCGAATGGGCGTCTTCCCAGCACAAAAATACCTGTAATTGATAGTGATGATGATGTTGACGCCCAGAAAGGTATCAGACTTTCTCGTTGCGATAGTGTTCGAGGTAAAGCTAGCGTTATGTTCGACCGTCCAGAGCGAAATGCAGCCCACCAGACATAAACAAGCGGAATACAGGGCTGTCGGCTGCAGCTTCTGTCAACTGAAGGGTATTCAAGTATCAGGCTCCTGGATCTTGCTGGAGATTGTCGCCCACAAATTAATTTCTCCACGAGACGTTAGACGAATTGACAGCCTGAGTCCAATTGCAAGGAACCTCACAATCATTTCCGCTCCGAGTCAGATGTCGGCATGCGGCCAAAATGGGGTAAGCGCTATCTCGCTTCAAACGTCCCCGGAATTCAGTGTACGTGTCTTGTCGTAATAACCGTGAAAGACGTGGGTGAACTGTCTGTCTGCAAATGGCACTTCCCTGTCATGGAAATCCGGAGGCAAGGCAAGCGCGGACTCTGTGCCGCAAAGGCGGGCCGCGCACCCGCATCGGGAACTGCTCAAAACCATCTTCGATGCATACGGCCAACTTGAAGCTTGGATTCCAGTTTTTATATGATGATCCCAAGATGATCCTTCAGTGAATCTGCAGCGCACCGAAGCTCCATCGAATTGAATATTGAAGTCTTATCTCTGTGGCAACGTTTTTCCAGCTTCTAGGCCTCCGCTCTTTCTCGTCTATGCCGCTGTCTCATTCAGTGATTCACGTAGATACACACGAATTTTGCGTGTTTCTGGTGAGCCCATCTTGAAATTCTATATGTAATGGTCCACGCGCCGTGATGACAACTTGATTCGTTATGGAGAGACACCATCTCGATGATATCAACACCTAGCGTCCCGATGCCGGTACACTTCTCCACGTCGTGTGCGCGAAAGGAACCGCGTTGGGCGCAGGTGTAGAACGGAAAGCTGAGCTTGGCGAGGCGCAAATGTTTCTTATGGTTTTATGTCTGATAAATAACACCTCACTGACGCTTGTCCTCGTCTCTCAGGAACGAGGAAATGACAGATCTTGTTCAGTACAGGTTCAACACGAGATCGTGATACGTGTTGGAGCTAATCAAACCTTCAGTCACTACAGCCTTTTCGTCTGAACAGTGATGGCTTACTCGTTCTAGTCAGCCGTTAAGCTCCTGTTCATGGAGTCTCTAGCTGAGCTTTTGATTAGTCGACAACATCGGCGTGCTCAAGGCGGGTCACCTTTCGCCGTAAAGTCCGGTGCATCTGTATTCTGAGAATGTTACTGTGCAATCGGATGTTACACCTATTGTCATGCTCCATTGAAATCCAGTCTAAATTCCAACCAAAGCCCGTCAGCCTTGGTCGGCCATTCTACCCTCGAGAACAGTTTCGAGGACGATGTCAGCCTTCATTTACTTATCTCAGTGAGCCTTCACACACTCTCAGGTACTTTCCTCGGCATCCACGCTATTCTTCGCGTTCTTATCCGGTGCTCGTTCTATCGCTCTACAAACATTCAGTCGCTTCAACTGTCCACAATCCTTAATTCACCACTTACTCGCTCTCTTTTTCGTTATCTACAACTGCACTGATCCATCTATCCGAGAAGTTACCCGCGACGTGCTTACTCCTCGTCCCTCCACTTTCGCCTAAATCCTTGCTCGAAGCCATCTACCTCGTACCAATCCTTCCTCACGATGCACGCTACGCCGATGACCCCCAAGAAGGTGCTGAGCGTCATGCACAACATCCCCCGCCGAATGAAGAGTGGACCGCTCCGGCCGCGCGCCCTGGGTAAAGAGAATACCCCTCCCACTATCCCGCACCCGCGCCTTCCACGCGCCCGGACACCTCCGCCCCTCTCCAGTTTCTTGGACATGCAGGACAGTTGCGACGACAGCGCGGACCGCTGGGCCCCGCGGCACGGACTGATCGTGATCAAGGTGTGGGTGCCGTCGACGGACGACATCTGGGCGTTCCGCGTGCCCGAGGCAGAGTCGCTCGCCGCGTTTCGTACACGGGTCGCAGAGAAGGTCGGGTTTGCAGTGCGCCTGGAGGGGAAGAACGCTCGGACGCGTGCGCGCATGCTCAAGGAGGAGGGCACGTTCAGGACGTGGGTGAGGGGGCGCGTGAGGAGTGGGAGGAACCACCTGTTGACGGCGCATAGGGCTTGATGTGCGCGGAGATACGCATTCAGGCGAGTTATGCTATTCTCCGCTCTTCCGTATTGTGGCTCGTCCCTGTTTTTTTTTGCGCAACCTGTCCAGCTTTATTCGTGCATATTTTGACCACCGGAGAATTAACGATTTGTGGAGTAATGAGTCAGAGATAGCACAGAAAAATCGCATGAGATACCCACTCCGAACTTCTATACTTCCTATATCTCCTCTAAAAATCCTTGCATGATGAGATGCTCCACGTCCGACCTGCGGACCAAAAACCTGTGACCCGGGCGAAAGTCGATTGCGCCTTGTTCGGTATGGACGACACCACAGTCGCGGACGACGCGCACCAAGATATGGAGGTCCTTCGGGGGACGCGTGATCGGAGCGAGCAGATCGACGTCTTCGGCCTGCGCGTCCGCTGCAAAGGCCTCAGTGCGGAGAGTGAGGAGTGAGACCGCGTACGATCGCAGAAAATCAACCTCGTGCGGTGAGAGTTTCGAGCGCACGTCCACTGGGGGCCCACCGTTGCCACCGCCGGACGCATTCACGTTCTGTGATGCAGAAGCAGACGGCATGGAAAGTAGAAGGGGTAGCGCACCGCCGACGGACCAGTATAGATCCTTCAGCCTCTCCAGGCGGTGGTGGTGATATGCAAGCAGACACCGTTTGTTGCGCAAAATTGCTGTCTGGTAGAGGAGTACGGTGGGCATTTTTGGATTGTTCGCCGCTGGGTCTTGGTCGGCAGTATTGAGGGTGGTCTGGAGAAGATCCTCGAGCTGGCGCTGCTCGCGGAGGATGGAGCGGACGAGGACGTCGTTGTATTTGAGAAGGGTATCTGTGGCCGTCGAGCGACGAGACTCCGTCAGCAGCTGCGTGGCGAGGTCGCCATATTGAAGATGGGTCGAGCTCATCGTGGGCGACGACGAACACAATTCGGTACCACCGCGCGATTGTGACAACTTCAGTTGGTGACATACTGTGACTGTACGCGCCTCTCTGCGTGACAACCGCGTCCGCTAGCTCTTCAACTTGTCTACAGAACTGAGTGAAGAAATTTCTCTAATTCCTCGGGGTACCATTCGGGCAGGAATCTTGCTCGGATTCCTGACCAACATTCCAGTCGGATTACAGGCAGTGGAATCTACCTCATTTTCCGAACTACGCTGTTTTGAACTGATTGATCCCCACTTTTCCATGACTTTGGAGAGCCTATACCTTCCAGACTTCAATCACTTCTTTCTCTGACTCTTCTTGCAAGCTTCAGCACCGCGGAAAGACCTCCATGTGAGGTAAAGGCGAGGGCATGTGACGATCCCCGTGCAGCGGCCCGAACGTCCGGAAGTCGTTGTCGACGCTCACAGGCGCACGGAAGTCCGATATATAACCCATGACGCTCAGAGCATGAACAGGGTATCTTCGCCCTCTTCGCAACAGTCATGTCGTTCATACGTGTCGCACGGTTTATGCGGTGGGGTGCGGGCAGGCGGGCATTTTCGCGGAGTGCACTTAACGGCCAAGCATCTCGCACGCGACTCGTTACAGGTATAATTTCTGCAGGAATTGTACTGGGAGTATATGTGCGTTGTTTTCAGAGTATCTCTGCCCGCTTCTCCCAGCTAACAAGTGAATTCAGACTGGCCATTCACTCTCGCACCCGCTAAACCTTGACTCTGCGAGCTCGGACAAGAAGTCAGCTGCGCACGGGGACTCTGCTCCGAAGTACATTTCCTACCAGGAGGTTCAGAAGCATAACACACCAGGAAGTTGTTGGGTCATCATCGAGGGCCAGGTCTACGATGCCACTTCGGTGCTTAAATGGCATCCAGCAGGTCCGACAGTAATTTTGAAGAACTCAGGAAGGGATGCGACGTATGTACCTATTATCCGCTCGCCGCAGACTGGCTATGACACCTCTGGACACGCTGGCACAGGAAGGCGTTTCTTCCTGTCCACCCGCCGGACACGCTCTCGCATCTTCCGCCTGAAGCACATCTTGGACCCGTCGACCCTGCGACTGTGCCGGTAGATCACAAACAGCCTACAGAAGAGGAAATCCGGATAGCGAAAGTGAAGGAGTTGCTTCCTCCTCCTTCGGCTGCATTGAACTTGAACGACATAGAGGTATGCCAACATCTCAGATCTCACGCGAAGACGCGTCTTCACAAAGGTCTGTGTGCAGAAATTCGCCCACCAGGTGCTCACCAAAACAGCATGGGCGTATTACAGATCGACTGCAGACGATGATAGCTCGTACGCAGAGAACATCGCGTCCTTCAAGCGCTTCTGGTTCCGCCCACGCGTGTAAGTCAGTCATGTCTCATCTGCCATACCCCAACACATCTCATCTCAAGCTCTTCACAGCCTGACAAAGTCTTTCCATGTGTCAACTGCGACATCTATGCTGAGTTTTCCTGCGTCACTGCCGATATTCATTGCCCCCGCTGCCCTTGCGCGCCTGGGTCATCCGGACGGTGAGATGAACCTCGTGCGAGCCGCAGGCAAAGAGGGCATCCTTCTAGGTGTAGGTACTTGATCCCACCCTAGAGTGTGACAACCATCTCAACACTTTACAGATCTCCAACAACGCGAGTTGCTCGACGGACGAGTGTATGTCCGCCGCCTTACCTGGCCAAAATCTCATTTTCCAGGTTCGTACAGTTGTTCGTGTAGCACGTCTGTCCTGACCGCGCAGTAGGTGTACTTGAACAAGGACCGCTCGGCCTCTGAGGCGCTCATTAAGCGCGTAGAGAAACAAGGCTTCAAGGCAGTCATGTTTACAGTAGATGCGTCCGTTCCTGGCAAGCGCGAGCTCGACCAGCGCGCGAAGGAGGATTTCACGGTGGGTGTCTTATTTACGAATCAGTGGCAGGGTTGACGCCTGGCTCTCGTCCAGGACATGCCTGCAGCGTACGGAAAGTCGGAAACGGGCCTGACCGGCGGACTCGGAGTAGCCCATGTGAGTCGTCTCTGATACTTTCAGTGACATCACGCTTACCGGATTATGTTCAGGCTATATCTGGTTACCAGGATCCCGAACTTTCCTGTGAGTTAATTCGTGTGCTTCACAAATAAATCAACGCCAGAATTGCGTGCCCCAGGGGAGGACATTCCTTGGATCCGAAGTCTCACGAAGCTGCCTGTCATTGTCAAGGGCATCCAGTGTGTGGAGGTAAGTTTCGCTAAGCATGCACCGGCGGATCCTGATGACACATTGCGCAGGACGCAGAGAAGGCATTCGCGTACGGAGCGCAAGCGATCATTCTCTCCAACCATGGTGGGCGCGAATTGGACTAGTAAGTATGCATGCGGTGCAGCGCCAGGATTCTAGCTCATGCTTTTACAGCGCCCCGGCACCTATGACGATCCTGTACGAGATGCACCAGCAACGACCGGATCTTCTCCGCGAGCACGAAGTGTACATTGATGGGGGCGTGACGCGCGGGACGGACGTGCTGAAGGCGCTCTGCCTTGGCGCGCGGGGCGTTGGTCTCGGACGCGCGTTCTTGTACGCCAACGGCGTGTGGGGCGAGACGGGCTGTCGGCGGGTTATCCAGAGTGTGTTACGTCCTTTGATGATGTCGAGATGGGTTTTACTGACGCGAAAATCACAGTCATGCGTGAGGAAATAGAGACGGGCATGCGACTGCTGGGTGTGACGAGGATCGATCTGTTAACGCCGAAGCTGGTACGATATGTCGATCGGGACCTGCCCCGCCCGCGGCTGTAAAGCACGAGGTTGTCAGTTCTGGTCCCTAGGAAAAGATGACTTAACCCTCCATTTCTCCCTGTATCTGCGAGGGGTGGTATCTCGACTTTTATTTTTATGCTTCACGACATAAGATGTTTCGACATAGAAGATTTCTGACTTCCGCTGGGGGATGTACTCTGACTTCCGCTGGGGGATGTACTCTGACTTCCGCTGGGGGATGTACTCGGAAGCCACGATTTCCACTGATCTCAGGCTGATACTATTCAAGTTGTTGTACGTGTATACTTGTTTTCACGATATCAAATCTGAGATACACTAATGGCACGATATTCCATATGCACATTCCACTGCGGGACATGTTCGAAGTGACTCTACTATATTTGAAGTATTGTTTGTTCCTATTGGTGAGTCGAACGCTCGTTGTTTGCACTTGGGCTTTGCGCGCTCGGGCTGGTTTTTGAAAGACCATGGTACACTCCAGCACGTTCAGTGATGGTTCGAGTTGCCAGACCACCCAAAAATTCATACCCAATGTCCCAATGTGCCGACAGGAATTGTAGCTGGTGACCACTCTCTTCAATCACGTGCACAGCTGACCCACATCGACGACTGTTTTGCCACAGACGGGAGGTTTCCATAACATATCAGACCCCTGAGGATGGATTCTCTGGGTGTGTAGATATATCTTCCAATGTAAAAACTTACCCAGCACTGACAACTTTTGCACGAATCGTATCTGGCAACCACTCTGTTCAATCATGTGCCACAGCTCAGCTCAGGTCCTCGCGGCACACGAGCTCACGCACTCCACTGCACCTTCCAGTGCGCGAGCACCAAGGTCTCCGTGATGACCAGCACGTCCTCATCTGGGCAGCCTGTCACCGCGCCCATGCGCAGGTCAAAGTGTCGCTGCGGGTTCGCCCAGAAGTCCGCGCCGCGCTGCCGGTAGAGCGGCTGCATGGAGTCAAGAATGAACTGAGGTATTTTTCAACAAAGTGGCGCCCTCGTTTTTTATGCTCCGTGAACCCTTATAAGTACTGACTCACCACTTTAGTCGCCCAACATAAGTCGTCAGTTTGGGATTTAAGTTTCCTCAGCACTGGAAGTGAGGATTATACACTCGAGGAAAAAACACATTCACCTGGATCGCAGAGTTCTACACAAGTCCCAGGTTCCATCAAGGACACCTTAAACGAAAGCGGTCAGCTTTCCCGCAAGGACTCGTGTAAGGAAGAAAAGGTGTACCTTGATGTTCCACTTCGGATCGAGTTCCGCCAGAGACCAGGAGAACTCTTCCAAAGGTTATCAAGCTGTACAAGAGTGAGGTTGCCACTATTCAACGTGCGAGCACCACACCATAGTACGACAGGAGCGGGATTCCCTTGAAGACCGCCATGCAACTGTTTTGCAGGGGCAGACCGCCAGGCGGGCTGTTGATCTCGCGGAAGACGCATACGGCCTCCAGGCTGACATTCACGGCGCCCCCAGAAGTTGATATCAAACAGGGAGCGCGCAGAATCCACTGGTGCCCCCTCGGCATTTGCGAGTACGGAGTAGCCTGCATTGTTGAACACAGCGTCGATACGACTGAACGCGGCCACGGCCTTCGCGAAGGCTGCGGTGATGGACGCCTTGTCCGTGACGTCGAGAGGGACGACTAGGAGCTTATTTGTTGGATAATTGGCTGCGAGGGAAGGAGAGCATGGAGGGTTTGCGGAGGGTGGCCACCACAATGTCGCCGCTTTTCAAGGCGTGCTCCGCGACGGCCAGGCCGAAAGCCGAAGAGCCCGTGACTCGAAATTGTGCATGAGTTCACGAACATATCAAGGAATAAACCAGCACTCACTGAACATTGGGTGAAGACATCGGGAATATACGAGCGAACTGAGGAGTAAACCGAGAATTCGAAGACGTGCGTCGATAGTGTCTCCATGCAATACGGCTGTCATTTTATACCCTCCTCGCTGAGCCTCCACGTCTACCAGCAATACCACCTTTTTCTTTCTGACGAGACGAATTTCCGGTCGGGGCAGCCTTTGATCTTGTACGCTTACTGGATATAGGCGCGTCGGCATTCCCGGTCAACTTTTGGACTTGCTTACGACTTTGTCAGGAACGCCTCTCCCGCTCTCGCTGACATCGAAGCATCGGCTACGACGTTGTGTAGCGCCAGACGATATGAATGGCCGTTGTCCTGGAAATGCTCGATGATTAGCTGGAAAACTCCTGGCTGATGTGTGTAATGTGCGATGGCCGTCCTTGAGTCAGTCTGCTTATGCATATACAATCAAAAAGATGGAGAAACGGAGAAGGGAAACTCAACCTCAAAAGTGAACGTTTGAATGGCGGGCAATGTTCCACCCTACTGGACTCAGAAAAATACCCTCTGAGAGAATCAAAGCGGACGCGCGGCTAAACATGGTAAACACAAGTAGTAGACAACATGGAACATAATGCACGACATACAGGATATAATCTCACAAAAAGCGAACAATCCAGGCAATATCTACGAGAAAGAGTGGCCGCACAGCGGACTCATTCGATGAGGTTGCTTTTCTGTAAACTTTTGAGGACGACAGTGTCCTGCACTGATTGAGACAGAAACATTGATTAGCGGGTTTAGGAATACATGCAAACGGGAGGCTCACCGTCTCTAAGTATAGTCGACGTCGTCTTCGTGTCCTAAGCAACAAGTGAGCGTCGCTTCAGCAAAAATTATGAGAATACTAACCGTGACCGTGGTGAAATGAAAGTAGAAGTATCGCGGCTGTGGTGAGTGGTCCCTAAGTACTTGCCCAAACTTCCGTCTAAGGTCTGTGATGCATTCCAATCAGCGACCTCCGCGCTGCACACTCCGGAGGATCAACGCACAATTAGACGTGCTCTCATAGTCGTTCGGGCGGTTGCCATACGATACAATGTACCTGGAGAGCTTAACACCAGCCTCGAGCTTCGCCTTGAAGATGTCGACCTTGTTGAGAAAGAGCACGATGCTCGTCTCGGCGAGCAGAGGGTTCGCGATGATCGATTTCCACAGCAGAATGGAGTCTTCCTGATAAGCAGGGTAAGTCGGAGGAAATATTCCCATCGTACTGATGCCCACCAGCCTATTGACGTTGGGATCCTCTTCCAGCGTCTGGTTGAATGCACTTATAGGGGCTAAGAAGAGGATTGCACTACGGAGAGCGTCAGTGGACTGGCGATTTCGCAGGGAACACCTTACTCCATATCATCAAAGAAGGGTGCCCATGCCGCTGTATGTATCTAGCGTCAGCTGAGGAATATTATTCAGTGACCACAATTCGGCAGACCTCGCTGGTGAAGGTGCATAAGCGAATATGCAGACCAAAGGAGAGTAGAAGAGTAAAAGAGCACGTACCGATGATCTGTGCCCGCCGACGTCATATATTCTCCATTCACGAAGTGCGGCTGTCAATGTTTCTTTCTGAACGTCAGCACACGACAAAAGTCAAGAATTAGTCGACCCACTGTCTTTGATCATAAATCGGTACTCAGTGACACCAAGCGTCTTCAGCCTCGCGCGCAGGATGTCATCTACCTAGACTGAGCTTCATAGTACCAGCGATGTGCGGTCGTGCTTACCGTCCGTGGGTACATACTTCGGTGATGCGACGCGATCTAGAGAATCCAAGAAGCTGCGATAGTCCATCAGAGGTTCAAACGCAGGAGACACGCAACTCACAAACCAGGCATATCTTCCAGCTTGAGATGCTGCGCATGTAGCAGCGCCTGGATAGTTGCGTCGTTCCACAGGCGGATCATATCTTCACGGCACGCACAGATGACTCTTCCCGTATCCTGAGAATCCTTGAGTACCAAACACAGAGATGTCGTCAGTGTGCACACTCACGTCCATGTTCTCCCAGCCAGGCCCACTCGCGTCGCTCTCGAAGCTCTGGCGGGTACTGGCCACAAACCGGCTGAAGATGCCCTTCCAAGCGAACTGCGAGTTAACTGCAACCTCCCTCGACCGTACGCTGTTCGTGTAGTACACTTTATCGTCTTGTGAAAAACGCGCCGCATCGAATGCTGCCGTGCCAGATGGCACAAGCTTGCGCGCGAGCGCTTCCTCTACCTGCACAAGCGGAGACAGCTGCATCTTGAGCATGAGATGCTCCGTGGTGAGCCGTGGATAGCCGCTCGACGAGCCTTCTGGATCGGCTTGAGCTTCGGTCATCGCGTCGAGGATGAGCCGAATAGACCGCACGACATTCAGATGAATCACAGCTCTCCACGACGCTCGTTCTGAACGAAACGCCTATATGTGGGGACTGTTGTTATCGACGTGGCCCGCGCGGTTGAGGCTATGCTCACCTTCGGGGAGTTCATCAGCTGAAAGTCTGTACAACGACGAAATAGTCAGAATGAGCTACTTTGACGCGTATCCATCGCACTTACTTTTCAGGGTTGTAGATTTCCCTGTCATTTGGCGACTTGAACACGTCAGAAACTCGAGGGCTCGAATGTATGAGCGCATTTACCTGATTCGCTTTGCCCTTCGGTATAACTTCAGCTTCACGCATCATGACCATACACGCTACGTACCAAGCAAAAGTATCTTGACCGGCCTCGGCTCTTTCTTCTTCACCTTTTCCTGACGCTGCAGCTCCTCGTCAATCTTGTCTGATATCCTCTTGGCCTCGATTTCCACATTCATCCTAGCTGTTCTTTCCTCATCCGACTCATTTGGAGGCGGCGCAAGGGCCCTCGCCAAGGGGTCGTCGCCCCAGGAGAACGAAGCCCTAGCAGGCATATCAGCAAAGCATGCGGCTCGAGAAGGCAGGAGAAGGGCGTACGCAAAAACTTGCATGATTGATTAATATACTCCCGGGTGGCCTCCGGCGTTCGAGAATTAGATAGAAATCTACCCACCGCCAGACTATTAAAGTTCGTAAGTACCGGCAGCTCGCGGCTGGCGTTACGAGGTAATGATACCAGGGGTAATCATCACGCACCTCGGGTGCCACGAGATTTCTAACTAGATCCAGATATGGTCGACCGTCTATGGCTGCGCGGACTCGCAGAAGAATGTTCGTACACTCAACGCCCTCCAGCTGCAGATGCTATGGAAGGTCATGGGAAAGTTGTGCGTATTTGCGTGAAGAGAAGGTCGGTTCATGATCAAGTCTCACGCTGAGTTCCTCGAAGAACGTGCCACATTTGCTTCTGATTATTTACTGCTCTCTTACATCGTAATTTCATTATTCAAAGAGAGGAAAGCCTCGCGCAAGGGCTTGGGAATTCTTGAATACTTCCAGCGGGGCCTTTGATTGACGCATGGCCGTCACAATGTCATCTGAAGCCGCATCATGTCGGGTTGTTATATTGAAATCCAGCTGTGTGTGAGGCCCATCATGCGTACGGCCGAAGCCTGGCTCTCAACACAGCTTATCACAGCCAACAGATGCACCTACATGTCGTCTTGGTGGGTCTCCGGGACTAGGAGAACATCTGGTCAGACGCGACGCGAACAAATCGCAGATAAAGAGGCCATACGAAGGAATCTAACTACGTCTTCCACCCTTCTTCGCAGCAGGAGATCCTTCTAGTTCCCCGTTGTCACTTCGCAAAGAGGAAGGTTGCCATCTTTCGGGATCCATCAAACTTCGTGATAAGTTTTGGGAGTGAGCCAAACAGGATTCTATTCACTGTACCCCAGACTGCAGTTGCCAGGGAGTCCGAACTATTTCACTACCCCGGCTGCGAGTGTAGGCGAGGCACCACATCTTCCCTGTCGAGAGAGTACGTGACAGAACCTAACTGTATGCGCCAAAACGCCATGTCGACCAATCCATCCACAATCGACGCGCTTAGCATTGAGCGTTGATCCGTGATAGCGATAGAGGGAGGTCATGGGGGTATTAGGTTGGGTACAGTCTCCGCCATCATCTAGCGAGACTTCGTCGTACGGTGGCTTTCGGTGGAATGCTGGCTACAGTATACATGTTGGGAGCTGGTGTTATGTAGATTTGGATCGGAACACCACTTCGGTATGCGCAAGTGACTAGACGTACCACAGACAGCGGAAATCGAACGTCCCTTTCCGTCCATCTTCCCAGTCCAAGCCTCGTAGCTACTACCTTCTTGCACTTCCCAGGGCCCTGATGTGCAGTACCAGTATGGCAATCGTCCCGAATAACCAATTAAAACGTCATAGGTTCTCTTGCACCAGGTATCCCCAAAAAATAGGTCCGCATGGCAGGGCTTAAGAGCAGGGAAATCTGTCAATTAGCCCATCGGAAAAGGGATTCTTCACTTGGTGCTGATTTTCCAAAGGAATGCGCAAGTATTCCGGTAGAAGTTCGTCGACGGAAGCTCTGCGGCCGAAGGAATCGTCTATACATACGAGTACAACGTCAGCCATTAGTGAGTCGACAAATCTAGAAATGACCAACCCGTTCGGATGGCAAGTAGCCAGTTACGACGTTCCACGCAGGAAAATGACTGGTAACGAACTCATCGTAGGAGGAAAACTGAATGCTAAACTTCGAAAAAACGACGTTAGCGAAGTCGAGTTGGTGCTACGTATCTAGTAGTCTCCTTGCTACTCCAGCGTTATGCGACCTCAGGCAGATTGAAACGCGCGATTCACAGTAAGTCTCACTCACTGCATATATACCAAAATAATCCCCAGGAAGAGGAAAATAAGAAGAAACAGCAGCATAGCCGGAATCGTGGAAGGCCAAGTCCAGGGAATTAGATATACCCAAGCATCTGTACTGCATCAACGACAGTAACTGAGCTACGAAGTATATCAAGATGCGAACGTTCAAGACACCAAGGTCCCATCGGGGACGCAAACAAGAAGTTCATACGAATTGGTGTTCATATGGGTAGTCCAGATGAGTACTCGTGTGGACAAAGGGCCGGAAAGCGCTTCAATAGGGTTGAACGTATTGATGAGGGACTCGGGGCCATGATAATACATCCGAAAAATGAGTTTGGTAGCCTCAGGTACCTTCAGACCTTGAACTGCGATGATGGAGTACGTACGCGTTCACCGAAACTTTCCCCGTAACTGGAAGATTTGTTTCACATATGTCCGTGAAGCTCTTCTTCAGAAGCTGGATATTGACCTTCTCGACGGACTCCATGCAATAGGAACATGTCACGCGCAAGACGACCAACTCCAGTGAAATCAAATAGACAGTGAAAATGCCAGCACAACAGAAGCGTCTATCATATAACATTCTGTTGCCCTGTAACTGTGTGAAGTAGCATAAATCGAGGACGCTGCAAATGGGTGGTCGTGGTTGAAGTCGAAGTCATGCTCTCAGTATAGTCACCACCACGACCCTCTTCCCTCAAGGACGTCCTCCCTCGTCGTCCGCCTAAATTTGTAGTCAACAAGGTGAGAAAAAACACCAGGCGGCATCTGGGAAATCCATCCTTTAACCTAGGTGTTGAATATTCCACAGCAGAGTCGGGACTTCAGGTGGCGAACGTTTGAATGCCCATATCGGTTTCGTTGTTCAAGCACCCGGAATACCTCCAAGGACGGGAGCCATCTCTCAGTAAGTGCCTTCCAGCAATGACCACATCTCGTGCGCTTTCTCTGACATTCGCTTGCTCTCTCTGCATAGTAATATAGCCATACATTGCCCCGCACCACCACAGTCTGTCGTGCAATGGCCACAACAACCACTTTCCAACGACCTCTCAAGGGCTCACGTATATCTTCCTTCTATCCGGTGAAGACACTACCGCCACTTTCCTCGCTCGACAGTGCGTTTCAGCTGCAGGAATACATCTCTCTTCTCATCCGCCGCGACGTGCACGACGTGGACGCAATCGTGTCTGTGCCCGAGAAAAGCAGCTCCAGAGACAGGGATGCCGAGGGCGGTGACGAGGATGCGAAGCGCGAGAAGGGCATGGACAAGGATTCGGACGGGAAGAATGACGTCTCGGTCGACGAGGCTTGTTGGATTTACGAGCAGTTACGGTGAGCACAATTAAGTTGGACGGCAGGATGCCTACTAATATTGCGCAGCCGTATTGCGCAAGACCTTTCGCATCCGCTCATAACAATGCTTCAGCAAGAATGCACGCGTCAGACCTGTCCAGAAATGAAGGCGGGCGAATGGCTCTACCTTTGCGTTGCACATGGAAACGATGGGGCCATGGAGGTATGATAACGACCGAGTTCTCATGCATTCCAATATTTATAACTGGATGTCGCAGCAATGTTGCGCAATTGACTATATCTTACATACCCTCGACGGCGCAACAGCCCTACTCAACTCCCCACGCGCCTTTCCCTCTCGGTACGTGTCGTATATTGCCTTATTGCTCACTACTTAATGATTCTACGTAGCCTGAGTATTCCCCCTGCATCACACCGGCACTTCTCCTCCCTCGCACGCCGTCTCTCCCGCATCTTCGCGCACGCATACTTCCACCACCGCGCCGCGTTCGCGCAAGCCGAAGCCGAGAGCGCTCTGTACGCCCGCTTCCTCGCGCTCACCGCGCGCTTCAATCTCGTCCCCGTCGAGTTCCTCGTCGTGCCCCAGCGGTTCGCCTCGTATGTAAATGGCACAGACGATGACGATGACGAGGAGGCAAGAAACAAGGAGGCGGAGCCCCCACGGCTTCTCGGTGCTGCAGTCGACCCGCGCAACTTTCGCGAGCTGCTCGCGCGCCGCGCGGAGAGCGAGTCAGGCGACGCAGGGCCGGGTGCCACACTCGGCCCCGGCAACCTCGTTGAGAACGCGGAGGGACGGGAGGCGAGCCCTGCGGGTCCTCGCAGGATCGGCCGGAACAGGACGGACACGATGGTCCACAGCGAAGCGGCTAGTGTCATAGAGGAGTTAGGGAAGGGCGAGCCCGAAGTCGCACCAGAGGCCATTGAGGAAGTGGGCGTCTCGTCTACCGTTCCAGTGGAGGAGTCCGCTCAAGTGGGACTCGAATCGCAGCTTGAGCCTGAAGTACCTGACGCGGCCGCGCTGTCCGAGGTGGAGACCGCAGAGACCACTGCGCCCCCGAGTGAGGAGCCCGGTGCGGCGGTGGTAGAGGAAGAAGTCGATGTCACCGCCGCTGCGGAGGTAGAGTTATCTCCTGTCGTGGAACCAGTTGAGCCAGCTCCAACACCTGTATCCGTGGAGGAGTCGCCCGCAGAACCTGAGCCACAACTGTCTTCTGAAGCCATCCCCGATCTCTCGATATCAGAATTGACGGTGGAAGTCAAGGCGCCTCACTCCGAAGCATCGGCGACTCTCGAGCCAGTTACTACCATGGAGCAGTCGCAAGCAGAGGAGGAAATCACAGCACCTTCGGAGGCTGATGAGGCGGCTGTCGTTGTCGCCGAAGAGGTCGTGACGCTCGCTGAAGCAGTGGCAGAGGTAGATGTGGCATCGACTGAGGAGTCACTGGCAGCACTTGCCACACCAGAAGATTTTCTTGAGGTCCCGTCCGAAGCTGAAGCACAGATTCCCGCTACTCCTTTACTCGAACCTGAGGTTGAAAAGTCAGGCATTTTGGCTGCAACGGAGGAAGATCCGGAAGCCGAGTCTCAGACAGAGCAACCCACCGCAGAAGAAATAACCCACGAAGCCGCCGCCGTACCTGCCTCTCGCCACGCTGCGCCCACGTCTGACCCGCTGGACGCCGTGGCAGACCCTGCAGGCGAAGACGGCGTCGTTCAAGGGCAAGAGGAAGGTTCTGGCGACGATGCTCTTGTGAAGGCTGCGGTCGAGACACCTGAACAGCTGGCTCCCAGCGGTGCAGAAGCAGAACCGGAAGTTTAGGCTATGCCCGTATAACGATGTTAACGATGTGATTATCCATTCTCCTGGTTGTCGGAAGCGATAATATTGGATATATCGTGGTTCTCCAGCTCCAGCGAACGCCGGGGCAACTCCCCCAGAGTGACAAAGACAGCGGCGATACACTGAGAGTACGTCTGACAATTTGAAAGCATTCTAGTACGCGCTACATCTACAGCATTCGTCGTTCCGACAACTACATACGCAAATTACAACACACCTACACGACCTTCGGCTGATGGGATGGATATCTAGAGGGCCTTGTCTGTGTATACAACAGGCTAATCTTCCGGATGACAGGAATATGTCGATAGATAGGAGCTTGATGCAAACGTCTTATTGACAGGGAGAAAATGTCATTATAAGTCGTTAAGGAATGCTCTACCCATAGTAAAGCGCATGTAAAAGCCTTCAACCGTTGTCTTTGTGTGGCCTGTGGCCTTTGCCTTGATCTCGCAGAGTTCGCGCATTGCGACGTCCCAAGGAAAGCGGCTCCACTTGACCTTCCCGGCAGCATGAAAGTCGTGGACATAGGCATAAGATGCACGGACTCTTGTCATTTCCTGCTCTGACATGGATTCCAATTGTTGGGGGTCAGGTTTGCTGGCAAACTCCTTGGACAGCCGCCGTAGTATATCCTGTCTGTCTTCGATGGCCATATCGGTAAAATTGCTGCTAGACTTGTTGACAAGCACTCGAGCCTTCCATGACTCACGAGTTTCCTCGACGTGTCGCTTGATCTCCTCGAGCTCTTCTTCAAACCATGGCGAGTTCCTTTGTTCCCGCTGCCATCTCGCTCGAGCAACTGCGTCATTCCAAGGAGTGGCCAGGTCCTTGTCTAGGGTCAATGTACCCCCAACCTGCTCGAATTGCCCTTGGATCTCCTTCAGCTTCTTCTGACTTTCCTCCTTGAATCGCCTGCAGAGCTCGTCCATGATGAATCTCGGAAGGTGCTCATTGCGCCGCAGATGGAGTATGTTTGAGCCATTGCGCTCATTGCGCTGACGGTCTTCTGGAGTTTCCTTCCACTCTGGCAAGTAGCCCTTGTACTGCTTGAGATGACTGGAGTATTTTTCGGGCTTGACTGAAACACCAGTCTTGATGCCATCCAACACAGCACAGAACCTGCAACAAAGGGGCTTGTCCATTAGCATGGGAGACAACTTGAAATGACAAAACATACATGTATGCCAGAAAGACCGTGATTTCATGACCATAGCCGTACTTGTACGATGCATTCTCCCACATCGTAGAGTAGTTACCTACAGCGGCTGTATCCCCACGTAATGGGCCAAGAAGGTAAGATTGCAATTTGATGATGAGGTCCGTCTCGGTTGCATTAGCAGTCTGTGTAAGGAACTGTGCAACTGTTGTGTCGTCCTTGTCGAGGCATCCCTGCACTGCTGGTGGTTCTCGAGCATACCTTGCTGGATCTGCATTGACAAATTGGTTGACAATTTCTGGCTGCCAGTACACCTCCATGGTGTCACCATCATAATCACCTGTACAAGTGTTAGCAGAGGACTAAACATTACAATTAAACACTAACCTCCTCCAGTCATGCTTGCAAGATGACGTTTCAGGTCTGTGTCCCCATAGAAATGGCTTTTGGTATTGACAACAATGACATCTACATAGCCACGCAGTTTCTCATGAAAGACAGCTTTCACCTGAAGTTACTCATATCAATGCAGATACAACAAACATTGTAAAATGATCACACTTTCTGTGCATCAGTCCGGACTTTGCAAGGATGGCGGGTCACCTGGGATTTATGAGGATTAGTACAGTATAGAAGGTCAGAATCATGCAACAAACCAAGACATCTCCAAGGATGAGATCAGTCATGTTGCCCTGCTGATCAACCAGGTTACGATGGGAGCTTTTCACGTGAACTTCATTCGGTCCCAAGACACCACAAGGATCTGCTCAACAGTAAAACAATGATAATACCAGATATGAGGGGTTGTACGAACCAGGGACAATGAATGCGGTGCAAGACATTGGGACTTCAATCCGATAGCGCGAGCCAAAGCTCTTGATGGTATTCTCGACTACCACACGCAGTTTTGCACGCAGGACAGCTGAGTTCTGTGGGGTGAAGCCAGAGTCAAGAAGGACCATCACCGTCTCTTCAAGGGTAGAGGGGCACCCGCTAATCTGGTCTGCCCACCATGCAGTCGAGTGGATGCCCATCCCATCAAGTCCATTGATCCCATCCTCATCATCCTCCTGCTCACGGTCTTCGAAGACATAGCCCCTAGCACGTGCAGTACCCGCAGCCATGCGGGCAAGTCGCTGAGCAATAACACTGCCACCACGACACACATTCACCCATAACTTGTACATTGCATTGTCACCTGTCCATGTCATCAGGCCGAGAACCTTCTCTGCCATGTTGTCATGCATCAGTGTGACAAAAACCTTGCTCGGCACATTGTTCTCGGCAAAGTTGATGATGGTCTCTGTGGACAAGTGTGCTGGTGTGGAGAGTCGGCTGGACCGCAGCACATCAATTGTCAACAGTGATTTATCGGCATCAGCAGGAAGATACTGGACATCCAGAGGACCTTCAAGGTGCTTGATCTTGATCTGAGATGGTCGTAGCCACACTCCGACCTCTTCAGTGCCGTGGACATGTTGATAGTCAGGGTGTAGCAGCAACATGCCCTGGATCAAGCAGAGAATTCACATATGTCAGGATATAATAGTATGGAACACACCTTTGCACCAGCAACACGACATTGAATGGCAGTGGGTTCATCCTGCCATTGAAGACAACTCTGCAGGTCACGCAGCACCCTGCGGCTAATAAAACCACAGCCATCAGTCATTTCCATCTCACTGGGCACTTTACATGGACCCTCAAAGGCATCACAGACTATGTCATATCAAATAAGGACAGGATTGTGATTGAACTACAGAAAGGGTGACTTACTGATTTCTGGCTCATATTTCACTTGGTGGGGTTCAAGTCTTATACCAGGCATGGAGTTAGACAGACCTAGGGCAAAACGGGCAGCCCATTTCACCATTGTCTCAATGACAATATATATTAGACAAGGAAGCATAATCAGAAATCAGCACTAACCTGCTTCTTGTTAACCTCCATTTGGTTGTGCCAGTTAAGAAAGGTCAACAATGACATTCCAGTTGATGCCTTAGCAGTCTGTACCCTGCTGCGAGGTGATGGTACAAAAACTCGAGTTCCATCCCATGCCTCATTAGTCTGGAACAGAAAGACACATTGGTCCTTTGCAAAAAATGCACGGAAGACCGAACCATTGATGATGAAGGGGCGGGCAAAGTACTGGAACAGGGCATCTCCCTCGCAAAGTTTGTTCCTTTTGAAGTAGATGTCCTTATGTATATGAACGCGCACGAAAGCCCATGAGCCGAATCGGCGCATAAACCGGCTCGAGGACCCTAGGTGAGCGTCCTCGAGGACAATCCGCAGCGCATTTCTTACTATTCTTAGTGCACCGGTGAAATGGATCTTGCCACCATACCAATCTGGCTCTGTCTTGGCAAGGTCGGGGTGGACCTGATTGCAGCCAATACCACCAAAATGGTCCTTCTTCCAAATCTCTTCTTCCTTGTCCAGTTCTTCCCATGGAAGCTAAGGAAGTGCTCAATGCCATTATGCATAACAGGCATGGAAAGGGACTGACCTTGGTAGCATTTTCTTGCGAAAATGCATATTCGAACCGGTCATCATCAGCCTTCATGGGTGATTGCCGAAACAACTTTGCTGCTTCCGGTGCAGCCCTGGTATTTGTCTTCAAGGACCGTAAGTCTTCCAATATCTGGATTGTTAACCAATCATAATCAAGGTCACGAGATACGGCAGTGGCAATCTGCCATTGTACACCTGTCGCCAAGCGTTCAACATAAGGTTGGAGATAATTTGAGTGTGCCTAGCACAATCCAGTCAGCAAGACAAAACATCAGTCAGTAGCTTGAAATAGACTTATGTCAGACTCACAATGATGACAGGGCAACATGGGTCATCTGGGCTGTGGATTTGGGGAACTTGGACATGTATTTGAGGGCATGCAAGCGATGAGAATAAAGTCAAGGAGGAGGAAGCAGAGTTAGTGCTGGACGAACTTGTGCTGGATACTATCTTCAGCATTTTCCGAGGTCTTGGTGTGTCATCCATATTTGAAGCACTGTGCTTCTTTCCAGATGACAGGACTGCAGGGACATCTTCTCCCATTAATTCTTCAAGTTCACCTGGATTGAAAATTGGGACCTCGAAGTCTTCTATTTGATTCAAGTCAATGTTTTCATGAAATTTATGATGCATGTATTCTCTCACCTGCTACTTCAAGCTCACCTGTATCCTCTGGATAAATATCAGACAATTTGGTGCAACATTCAAAACACGTGCTGTCTTACCTCCTACATGTGCATCTCCTGGTCCAACTGACACAATTTTAGGCAATTCCATGTGCATTTACAGTGTACGTGATGCTTACCAACTGCAGCAATCATCGAATCATCACAGAAGTCTGAGTAATGGGTAGTCTGATAGATTAACACATCAATACAATGCACAGAGATTTAATAGTGGAGCATAGTTGCAACTTGAGAAACACCACAGCCACTTGACTTACTTGGGAGGTGAGGGAAAATGCGGAGCTTGAGCGAGGTATCTGGGTCTCTGGTTCTGGCATGATAGTTTCTTGAAGCAAATGATGAGACCTGTGAACATTGAATGAGTGTGGCCCGCGACGCGACGCGGTCACGCAAACTTTCCCTCAGCTTAGCTTCAGAGGTTGTCGATTTGTCGATTTCGAATTTCGCCTAGGGACTTTGAATTGTAGCTGTCGACCGACGCGGTGGTACTCCACTGCCCACGATGAGCTCGACCCATCTTCAATATGGCGACCTCGCCACGCAGCTGCTGACGGAATCTCGTCGTTCGACGGCCACAGATACCCTTCTCAAATACAACGACGTCCTCGTCCGCTCCATCCTCCGCGAGCAGCGCCAGCTCGAGGATCTTCTCCAGACTACCCTCAATGCTGCCGACCAAGACCCGGCGGCGAACAATCCAAAAATGCCCACCGTACTCCTCTACCAGACAGCAATTTTGCGCAACAAACGATGTCTGCTTGCATATCACCACCACCGCCTGGAGAGGCTGAAGGATTTATACTGGTCCGTCGGCGGTGCGCTGCCCCTTCTGCTTTCCATGCCGTCTGCTTCTGCATCACAGAACGCGAATGCGTCCGGCGGTGGCAACGGTGGGCCCCCAGTGGACGTGCGCTCGAAACTCTCGCCGCACGAGGTTGATTTTCTGCGATCGTACGCGGTCTCACTCCTCACTCTCCGCACCGAGGCCTTTGCAGCGGACGCGCAGGCCGAAGACGTCGATCTGCTTGCTCCAATCACGCGTCCCCCGAAGGACCTCCATATCTTGGTGCGCGTGGTCCGCGACTGTGGTGTCGTCCACACCGAACAAGGCGCAATCGACTTTCGCCCGGGCCACAGGTTTTTGGTCCGCAGGTCGGATGTGGAGCATCTCATCATGCAAGGATTTTTAGAGGAGATATAGGAAGTATAGAAGTTCGGAGTGGGTATCTCGTGCAATTTTTCTGTGCTATCTCTGACTCATTACTCCACAAATCGTTAATTCTCCGGTGGTCAAAATATGCACGAATAAAGCTGGACAGGTTGCGCAAAAAAAAACAGGGACGAGCCACAATACGGAAGAGCGGAGAATAGCATAACTCGCCTGAATGCGTATCTCCGCGCACATCAAGCCCTATGCGCCGTCAACAGGTGGTTCCTCCCACTCCTCACGCGCCCCCTCACCCACGTCCTGAACGTGCCCTCCTCCTTGAGCATGCGCGCACGCGTCCGAGCGTTCTTCCCCTCCAGGCGCACTGCGAACCCTACCTTCTCTGCGACCCGTGCCCGAAACGCGGCGAGCGACTCTGCCTCGGGCACGCGGAACGCCCAGATGTCGTCCGTCGACGGCACCCACACCTTGATCACGATCAGCCCGTGCCGCGGGGCCCAGTGGTCCGCGCTGTCGTCGCAACTGTCCTGCATATCCAAGAGACTGGAGAGGGGCGGAGGTGTCCGGGCGCGTGGAAGGCGCGGGTGCGGGATAGTGGGAGGGGTATTGCACTCCTTGTCGACCAGCGTAACGATCTTCAGCAGTGCCCAGTCTAGTATGTCATTGCACATGGTGAGTCATTCTTGGGCTTGTCGACCAGCGTAACGATCTTCAGCAGGAGAGACCCCGCTGTGACGGTGCAATTGTATGGCGCGGGAGTGATGGGTATGTGGGCGGAACAGACTTGCCATTATGCCACAGCTGAGCCTTCGGATGACTAAAAATCTGTTCGATTATGTCGATGGGATGTGTGCCGGCAGGACATCGAGAGTTAAGGAAAGCATAGATTGTCTGATACACACTTGCTTGGGTATTGTATTCATCTGTAAATAAAGCACCTAGAAAATCGCCGAGGGTCGCAAACCCTGCTTTGCGCATACAACGTATCATCGCCAACAGCCGATCTTCGACTGTTACGGAATTATGCCAGTGCTTCGCCTGGTGGGCAGAGAGCTGGTACATATTCCCGTCCTTGTTGCTAACACCATCGAACAGTTTTGCCACAAAATTTAGTTCTACATTGGAGGGGAGTGAGGCCGTAATTGCTACAGGTGGATTCTGCTGTTGATATGATGTAAACTGAGATGGCGTGAAAGGGGAAGGAAGAAATAGGCCGGTGGGCGGGGTTGCAGCTGAAGACGGCCAAGGTGGTGTTGGGTTTTAGAGAAAATCTAAATTCAACAGCAGGGGGTTGATACCACAAATACACGATAGTAAATCTTACAAGCGCGTTACAAGACAAGAAGTCTCCCTCAACTAATATATACCGCAATGCAATGAGAGATCACCGATGGAAGGCAGACTGTCTTGGACAAGCCTCTGGTCCCGCTAACTTGCGGGACCCTGCGGAGTGGCGCTATACCGCACGGAGGCTTCGATGCCCGGAGGGAGGCACGGCGAATACACAGGAGGCAGGACGTCGGGAGCTTGCGGCTCATCCCCACCGGTAGCCGCAGGGTCGGATACCGCAAAACTAGGGGGTGCGTAAGACTGGCCTGAGGACTTCGATGAATGCGTACGGCGGGACCCCCGATTTCCCGGGCGCGTCCGGGAGGGCTAGAAACGGCACGCAAGGTCAGTCGTCCGCTACAGCGAGAGAACAGAAAGGGCGGCACGTGGGAGGTAGGCGGCCGCGTCGGGCCCTCCGAGCGCGTCTGGGTCGCGTACAGCGTCGGGCACTCTTCATCCACGGAGGGTTTCAGCGTGTCCAGGGCGACGTCGCCCTCCGCGGCATCAGCCTCAGCACCACCATCGCCCGCGGCGGCCGGGTGCCTCCGTCTACACCAGCGGCGCCACAGGAGGAACGCGACGGAGAGGACGGTGACGAAGCCGACGCCGCCGATGACGGACGCGAGGATCGTCTTGAGCTTCGCACCGGAGTGCGCGCTACTGATGATGGTCGCTGGGGGCATTGTCGGCATCGTAACGTTGCAGTAGGACGAGGGGGTGCCGTCTGTCGATGACGTGCAATCTGGAATATCTGCGGTACATCGATGTTAGTCCATGCGCGGATAAATTCGAACTGCGAGACAAACCCTCGAGAGCTATTCTCATAGCCGTGCTCGCATCCCATACTCCACTCTAAAATACACGTACCTGTCACTGACTGGCATAGAGATAAGGAACACCGCTGCTCACCACTTCAATGAAGGCCCATGCAGGAATTGCGGTTCCCGATGGAACTTGGTGCTGATATCTGCAGGGGATGTCAGATGATCCTGCTTGGTGGCATCACAAGAGACTTGAACCCACTGAGCATTGGAAATATCTGAAGACGAACAATTGGCTATCCACGTATCCCAACTGTGCCCTAGGTCGAATGAAAGCCAATAGGTGGAGAAAAGAAGGACACTCACGGAGACAGTTGGGCTTCCTGGCAAGCGGCACATGCGCTGATCAGCGAATACGATACTGAACTGCACGTACAGCGATTTGCTTGTGACTCGGTCGGACCAGGATATGTCGAGGACAGGTTCTGCAAGCTGCCTACAGACCATGCTGACAACATTTGTGTTGAAATGACCGGTAGAAATTCTGTGAAGCATGAACAACGTACAGGTATTTGCCTGGCATGCCCCGAAAGCGTAAGCGGCTACAAGACATGGACTCTGTCCCAATGAATTCGATGTCTACACGTTCTGAGACGGTGAGATTTCGCAGAAGACAATGGGATCACACTTACCCAGTTAGATGCGATTGGTTTGCACGTCGCATTCGTCGTCTGCGCCGTCACTCTGGAAAACAAAAGCAGAGCATATTCGATCCAGAGAAGCTCAAGAAACATCTTGCGACCACCTATACGCCACTGGGGTGGACGCAAAGAATATAACCACCGATGTTAGAGCAAATATAGGCCTTTGTTTTATCTGGAGCATGGCGATGAGGCAGTGCGAAGGAGATATGATTGATCTGGGAAAGGAGTGCCTCGAACTCGAGTCGAACTCTAACGTGGCGCGCCTAGCAAGGGCCCCGGCGCAGGACTCCGAGCCGCATCAATTGGTCTCGGAAAGTGGAATGCCGTACTTACTTTCCATTTCCGGAAGGTCTACTTCCTATCTGGGGATACCGAGGGTTCCTGAATGGTGCTTGGCGCGACGTCCGAGGATCAACACGGAGCTGCCACAGGCTGCCCCCTTCACTGATGGTGGCAGCGGTCTCGTTGCAGCCTTTTTTGAGCAAACTACACCGTCTGCTTGAGCCTGAGAGCATGCCAAACATCCAGCGCTACACCACATCAATCATCTATTCCAAGCAATTAATGAGAATTCCCATGAAACCACTCGGAATATTGTTCACAAATTGACAATATCAGTGAAACACTCTGAACGATATGAGCATGATCCGTGGATTGTCTTCCAGACGATAGACTCGTACAGAACTCACCACGAATTTTTCGCTCTCTTCTATCCGCTACTGTGTAGGATCCATATCGTGCCTTGAAAAATTGAAATCAGTTTCAGAGGAGAGGTCATGCGCACCACAATGTGAGGATCCATATCACGGCAGGCGACTGCATAATAGAGCCACAGGGCACTCATATCGATCATACCAAGGGGGAGGATCAACGAAGAACGCCACACATCTGTCAAACGCGAAATTAGCACAACACAGAAGCAGACCGGCGTGACCCCAATCCTCCTGATTATTCCGTCAACTATATCGCGATTGCGCAAGGGTACTTCCGCCCCCGGCCATGTAACCAGTTATCATGGTCGGACGGAGTAGGACAGCAAGACAGTAATAAGGTCCTAGAGAAAGCCACATCGAAGGTCCCGTCATCCAACACCAGAACGTATTGTGTCTGCAAAAACTAAGAGATAGGCCATTCCCGCCAAGACACAACAGCCTTCTCAGGTGTCAACAAGAGATGACGCAGTGTGCGAAGGGAACATCAACGGACGCCGATCAGAAGAGGTTTTTCACTCCTGTACGATACGAGATACGACCCGTTCTGGAGCACTCGCTTGGTTGAGGTGTTTGAAAAGAGGTCTGAGCAACGAAAGTAATGTGGTACGTACCAACCGCCGGGGCCCTCCGTCTTCAGCAATCATCACCCTGGCATGGGGAACACGCACGCACGCGATGAGAGCGAGGGCATGGGTCAGCGTCTGGAATGCCTCATGCGATCGACGTGACCGCATGTTCGTGTAAGACGAGGCGCTGCATCACGGAATATACGAGGGGTTGACAAGCGGAGACACGACGTACTGCTTCACAGTCAGCATTCGGCGGACGAAGTTGAGACATCCGAGGACATGGGCCTGTTGAAGGCTTGCCTGGGAACCGCAGGTAGAACAGCCTGTGTACAAAGGGCAGTCGAGGCAAACACTGACAAGAGAAAACGATACAACATCATACGTACGAGGAGTTGACGCTGCAGAGTTAGTAACATCCGCTCCAACTCGAGCGTCCATGGTCCTGATATGAGGACAGAGTCTTTTTTCCCTCTAGCGGCTAGGATGTCATAGAGGTTGGCAGCCCAGGACGCTGAGCGGTGACGTTCATTGAATTCGGACGACAGGCAGACGAGATGTGGGCCATTCAGGCCTCCTTGTGCAACATGACAAGCATCATGCCCTATCACTCACCCTACACAACCGATGTCACGAGCTTGGCAGATACTATGTTTCAATTGACCTAATCTCATGGAAGGGAGATAATTTACATAGACAATGGCAAGGGGCATGGAGAGGACAGACGAACCGGGTCAGCGCATAGCTACGGCTTCCGAACACTGGTCCGACCGCTACAATCGAATCTCCAGCCCTCAGAACAGCTCCTCCTCCTCCGGCTTCCAGTTCTTCGCCTGGTCCCAGTACCCGGCCAACTTGGAGCCAAGCACCTCCTTCGCCGCTGCATCCGTGGGGCAGCTCTTGGGCTTGAAGTTGCTGAACGCCCGGTCGCGGAGCTGCCCCTCCCAGATCAGCCAGCACTCATTGTCATCCAGCGACACGGCGCCCTCCTCGCCGTCAGCCTGCGCGACTGCCATCCCTTTGCCCTTGTCCGCACCCTCTTCCTCATCACCGTTCTCGAGCTCCACCTCCTCATTTCCGCGCTCACGTGCGGCCTCCGTCCACGCGATGCGGTGCAGCATCAGCCGCTTGTACTGGCGGATAAACTTGTGCGCGCCCTCGACGTAGACCATGCCGAACGCAGGGTTAAAGATGCACACTCCGGTGAGGCTCATCTGCTCCGCATTCTTGCGCACCTTAAACCGGTGCGCGGGGTCGGAGAGTGTCTTCACTCTGCAAACAAGCGAAGCGGTTAACGGTCGGCTAGCATGACGCATCAGATGGACGCACTTGAAGACAGCCCCGATGATGCCCCTCTTCTCCTCGTCGATCTTCTTCGTCTCGATCTTTTCCCGTCGCTGCTCATCTGTCAGCTTCCGCTCGGCGTTCATCTTCTCGTGCGCGTGCTTCCGCATCGCGACCTCTCTCCGAACGCGTGCTTCCACGCGTGTCGGATCCTGCACAGCGTCGGAAGTCAACACCTTCATCAGATTTGACAGGCGGACTGGGGCGCAGTTGTTAGCTGAGATGTCGAAGAAATCAAGTTCAAAAATACCTTTGGGAGGATCAGGAGGGATTAGGCCCATGCGGATGCGGTCGCGCTTGTCTTGCAATTCGGTCTGACGGCGCTGCTTCCTCATCTTTTTCTGCTCCTGTTTCACAGACGGGGTGTCAAACAGCATCGCGTGCAAAGAGATCACGAACACGAACCTTCTTGGTCAGCTTCAAGGGTTTCATCGCAACCTTGTTCTTGTCGCCGGGCGCAGGGATCGGGATAGGATGCTGTATGTAGATGGTGATCGGGGAGTTTGTCGTCCGAATGTTCAACTGCGAAAGACCAAACGACAAATCGTCGTAAGACTTGTTCGGCAATAGAGCAGCATCCCACCATTCCGCAGCAGGAGGCATGTCTCTCTAGATAAGTAATATTCAACATCAACGATCTCACAATGTACTGGGTGGGAACATACCTTAATATTCTTTTCGAGCGTCTCAAATTCAGAATCCAACCCAGCCTTCCGCGCACTTTCCGCAATCCGCTGTTTGAGCTGCTCAAGCTGTGCCTCTTGTCGCACCTGATTCCCGATCTGGACGTATTTGCCCTTGGGATTGAACCTGAAGCTCCTACCAACACGCTCCTTAGGAGCACCTTCAAACCCACTGTCGGGCGCTGCAGCAGCGCCCGACGCATACGGGTTAGCCTTAGACTCTATCGGGACGATAGGAGTAGGCGCCGGGGGTGGCGTTGGAGCGTTACGGACATTAGCCTAGGTAAGGATACGACTATCAGAATTGCAGATACGACATAAATTGCAAAACAAATACCTTGATGGATGCGAACTTGGGCTGCATCGGCTTGTAGCGGTCCTTCTTCGACTGTGGGGCAGTAGGGGTATTGTCCAAGAGGAGAGGATGTGCCGCCATCTTCAGGCCGGCTCCTTGCTGAGCAGGCTCCACAGGTCGATTCTTCCTACCCAGCGATGGCATGGACTATATACACTGCAGCTCAGAGCCATGTTCGTCGGCGCGTATAGCTAAAGAAGACTCACCATGTATGGGTTGTCTTTCACCGCCAACTTGCTCTGCGCCTCTGCCACACGCCGTTTCGCCTCAGCAACTCTGCGAGCAAGATCATCCGACACAGCTGGGGAAGGTGACGAGGTTGGGGGTGAGTATACCACAGCAGGGCTTGCCACCACCGGACTGGGAGTCGGACTGGCAGAGATGCTGCTCTGCCCAGAGGGTAATCCCTTCCTCATAGCAGCAATCTTGGCAGAAATTTCTGCCTTCTTCTGCGCTATGAGCGCCTCTGCGGAAAGCTGTACTTGACATGTCAGTAGGAGACAAACAGTACGAACGTGGCCGTACGTACCGCCGAACCTGATGTAGATGCATTGGCAGGCGTCTGAACGGGCACAAAACGGTTATAGAAACGTATCAAACGTATGATGAGAAGTTGATTCACCTTCGAGGAGGAAAGAAAGAGGACTCACAGCATCACTGCACGAGCGTGGACGTCAGCACGACAGACTTCAAAAGTGACGGAGAGTACATACCTTTTCGACCTTTTCGCTGCATGAGTATCTGCACTTCCCTCGAATGCACGCTTCCTGTCGCTCATTGTGCAGCGTCGTCGCCAGAATAGCTCCTCGCCGGAGTCGCAGGAGTCGCAGGTGGTCGCACGAAATGATGAGGGAAGGCGCCCATGGGTGGCAAAGCGGCAGGATGGCGCTTACATAAGCAGCCTCCGCATGTTCTCCCTTCCATCTTCGCGTTCGCTGCTCGCTGCGTGTCGGCAGTCGGGTTCGTTTCTGCAGCATGCCACCACCCCGGTGACGCCCCTGCTGTCCTTCGCGCGGTTCAGGTCTCAGCTTGCGCCGAGGCAAGTGAAATACATCAAGCGTCACAAGGGTGTCATCCCAATACCGACTGGCGGTTCAACGAAGGGCACGACGCTCGCGTACGGCGACTGGGGGATTCGCATCAAGGGTTGCGGGAAGCGGCTTACTGCGAAGCAGCTCACGTCGGCGGAGGAGGTGCTCAAGAGGAAGATTAAGACCATCAAGGGCGCCAAGGTTTACATGAGAGTATTCCCTGATATCCCTGTTTGTATCAAGGTGAATAGAGTGTTTAAGAACTAAGCTTTCAAGGTCCTGAGCGATGTGCTTTTATAGGGGAACGAAACCCGTATGGGCAAGGGAAAGGGACATTTCGAGTTCTGGGCAACTCGGTGGGTTGCGTCTCGACATTATCGAGTGCTAATTTTCACCTCAGAGACGTGTAGTGTCGCTCCTGGGCGCGTTCTGTTTGAGCTTGGTGGCGCACCAATTCGTGAGGAGATTGCGCGGGAAGGTACGCGGTCATGCCTTCACCCGTACACATAGACATTAACCACTTCCGTAGCACTTCGATTGGCGTGCGACAAACTCCCCACCCAAAATGAATTCATCACCCGCGCGACACCACCGCGTCTGGGAAATATGCTTATCATGCCGGAGGGGCCTCTAGCTGCTGTCGAGAGGATATCTCAGCAAGCGAAAACGCCCAGTGTATCATAGCACACAGCCGATGATACCGTACACAATTATCTCCTCTTCTTTTTCATGGTTGCTGCTTCCATCTCACCGCGCGAACGTCCGTCGAGTTCGTCCCTTCCTTGTTCTCCTACGCGTGATATTCACCAACCGGTTCCTCCGCACGCCTCACCGCCCTCATGGCCTGCATTGAGTACGCAGGTGGGATTTGAGGTCGAGATATGTATAACCGGTGAACGAAGGTAACTATGGATCCTATGATGACGAAGCCAAAGTCCCCAAACCTTCCTCCTTGGCCACCTCCAGCTTTTTCAACCACCTTACGTCTCGTGCTATCCCAAGCACTCGGGACCTCTGCCGCCGTTTGTTCAGATGCGAGAAATCTTCTCCCACCCCCACTTCTGTTCCGTATATCTCTTTTGTCTTTGGTTTGGGCACCGTCGGTTTGACGGCCTTCACCTGCCACCGCCATAGGTCGATCGTCGAGGGCGGCGCCTGGCCCCTTCGTGAAGACTTTGTCATAGTCGAGAGCCGCTGCTCGATCTCTTCCGGTGTGAGAGTGTACGTAGAATGCACCTTCTCTATCTCGTGTGCTTCAGCGAGAATGGGCAGCACAACTTTCTTGAGATATCTTGCACATATATACCTTGCTTAGCACGACGACCGAGTGCATAATGTCGAAACTTACCGCATGGACTTTACTTCATGTTCGGGGTAGGGCACGTCGGTGGTTGCTGCTGGACGTTCGATAATAGGTGTCCCAAGCGATTCGGACTCCTTCTGAACAGCAACTCTGAAGATATCCTGGACAGAAATGGGTCCCTTTTGCTCCTGGATAATCGACAGGATGAGCCTGCGAGCCTGGTCACTGAGCCCATGCTTCAGAAGACGGAAGCTCATGGCCACTATGAACGGTGAGGACAGTGAAGAACAGGTGGCACCGGATACCTTTTTCTGTAACTATTATTTTTCGGAAGATAAGATTTATCTCTCCTTGGGTGGCAAATCCTCTGCTCTGTCTTCGCTGGCCCAAGTTCGATCCTCAATATTTTATCTTCGTTCCTGCTGTCATCACGATGCCACAACGGCGACACTGCTCAGCTACACACACTGCCGCTAGCAATGCACACGCTGTACGTACTGAGAGAACGCAGTCGCCGACACAGCCGAAGCGGCTACTTGACATGTCTCCCGCGATCTACGAGAACAACATGAAGGTCCTCCATCGCCGGGAGCCTTCAATCACCTCTATTTTTGATCAGTTCAGCCATGTTTGTGTCTATCACCACAATGGAAGGAAATGGGAGAAACAGGGATACGAAGGCAGCATGTTCCTCTTCGAGAAGTACGTGTCGCACTTTTTCCGAATTTGTTATGCGCTCATAGCATTCCAGGCAGACATATCCTCCCTATGGCTTCTTCATCTTAAATCGGATGGGCACCGACGATTATATTCGTCCAATCCACCCAGAGGACGACATGGAGATCATGGGGGATTATGTCATGTATCGCTTTTACCCTGAATACACAAAGAAACGTCTCGAGCTAGGTCTTCCGTACCCTATCCCTGAAGAGCACCGTGCTCGGTTTGATGAGGAGCTGGCGCGGAGCCAGCCAGTGGGAGAGTCTGACGCAGCGAATGATGCCACTCCCAAAGGCAAGAAGGGCAACTCTGTCACTATCGGTCTGTGGATGTTTGCGACAGATGCGCGAGAACCACTCAAAGATGTGATGATGCGGTATGCGGCCATGCGTTCCTCTCGATTCCGGGTGTTGTTGAGCGAGCGTTCAGGTTGCATTCGTACATCAAGCAGGGAAAGCCGTATCCTCAAGAGTTCCGATTTGGGCCCAGCCGTCCTCCACCAACGAACCTCCATGTGCGCACAGCCAGTCGCTCCTCAGCACGATCGACGTCCCAAGGTACGAATTCTCTGGTACTTCTTTACTTGCACTAGCTGATGATAACAACACTAAAAAGCGAGTCAAACGAGTGATAAGCCGACTCGGAATGAACAGGTCAACGGCGCATCACTGACCGCCCCTACGCCTCCTATTGGTAGCGCTGGTTCTGAACTCGACAAGTTGTTCGCAAAACTGATACCGTCTGCCTCCTCAACTCCTGCTATCGAGCGTCAAGCCGCCCCACCGCGTCCTACGTCAGGTCTCTCGGTGCATGATCTGTTCGCCCGCTTGGGTGGATCAACTCAGTCACCAGTGCGGACGCCAATTGCGCCAGCACCTGCAACTGCACCGCAGAAGCGCGGTCAAGCTCTCCTCGATTCAATATTTGCCTCGGCCACCCAAGCGGGAGCCGCTATGCCCCCAGTCTCTCTTGCAGCAGATCCCCATTCTCCCTCAAACTTCCACCCGGTTCCGTCTGTTTCTCTACCCCCTCGTGCTGAAGAAATCCAGATTGTCTCCCCCAAACCCACCTCCAGCGCACTACCTCAAATTCTCAACCATGACGTCATCTACACCTTGCTGGGACTGAGTCCTACCTCCCGTGCGTCCTCTGCGACAGTAAGTTCAGCAGAGTCGCACACATCAGCGCCGAACCGATATGAGGGCGACAACGAGGAGGAGGAGAGCGAGCCCGAGCCCGCGTCAGAAAGTTGATACCTTAACTCTTGACAATATTCGGATACTAACATAGTTTTTCAGCATCATCGTCTGGCGCGCCTACGCCTCCAGTGGAGGAACCCACACCCCCAGCGTCGAATCACACTCAAGCTGGAAGGACTCCTAGAAAAGTGGAAGGCGATGTCACACCACGCGCAGCTGTGCGTGGCATAGGGCCCCTGTCACCAGCCCCGCCGTCGCAAGTCTCGCCTGCACCGGCGCGAGGCCAGCAATATCTTACGCCATCAGCTGCTTCCCCTGCGACTAACAGCCTTACTCCCGACTCTTCATCGGTGTCTATATCGACCATTGCCGCTTCCAACTCCGCGCCGCGACAACGTAAACTCGTCCCCTTCGAAGCTGAGTCAGACCTCTGGCCGTATCCCCGTGCGCCGCTCGACGACCGCCTGCACGAAGACTTCGACGCCGATGTGGTAGAGCTCGACTTCGCCGACACCCGCGCTCTGAGCGACCCGTCGCTGTTCTCGAGTCGGCTGAAAGAGAAGCAGGGCAAGGCGGGTGCGAAGAAGAAGACGCGCAAGGAGCGCGCGGCAGATCGGGAGCGGGAGCGCGAGGAGATCGAGAAAGGGTGGGATGTCCCTGTTAGCTGCCAGCCGCAGGTGGATGCGACCGTTCCCCGCCAGCGTGCTGTCCCTGCGGTGAATGGCAAGGCTAAGGCCAAACAGGTCGCTGCGAATGGCACATCTGCGGCTGCTGCGGCTCCCCCTTTCGTTAACGGTGGCGGCCTGCAGAACGGTGTCCACGCTGCTGCTGCGAAAGACGCCGTCATCTCTGCTGTCGCTGCTGAAGAGAAGAATATTGCTGGCAATCTGTCGAGGAATGATTTCGTCCGGGAATTGCTTACTCTAATACATGTGAGTCGGATATATCCTCGCTGTCCTGGCCGCTCATTGACGTATTCGCAGACGGACAAGAATTTCGTTGACAGTTTATGGCAGGAATATCTAAATCGCACTAGTTGAGATCGATTCAGCATCCTGTATTATTCACTCCATTGATTCGACCAAGAACACCACGCACAGTAAACATCTCTACTCAACGTCTCGACTACATCACATCTTGTCCATTCGAGCATCGTTTGTCGGTCACCGCTACCTCTGTAATTTCTTCAGGGATGATTGGGTTTCTTGTCTGTAATGCAGCATCTTGTCGTGTTCGCAGTCTTGTCCCTTCTTGATGTGTTGTAGCATACGGATCTTCTGTCAAATCTGTTAGCGTCGTGGGGAAACTTCATCGTCACCTTCCTTAGCTAGATCTTCTGAATGATACTATAGCGTTTGTGTCATACAAACTCCTTGATGTACATACAACTGCTGAGCACCCCCGTCGTTCGCGTCTCGCTTTAGGCGATGAAGACCGCGGCATGCGGTATCTCTTAAACGGTGCGGTGAAGAAAGGGTTCACCGTAGCGCATCTGCATGCGAACCAGCATTACTTTATGGACATGACCGTCGGGTTCCGAGTCGAAGAACCGTCGAACGTGAAGGTGAGTTCTGGCACAGGCGGCGATCCCATCGGAGGTTTGGCGCATAACTGCAGTCTCCCGAAGGCAGATGGTAGACACTCTGCGTCAACCTCGTACCTCGGATATCCGTGTCTGACCATAACTGCCTTCTTCAGATTATTCCGTGCTCGATGGATAAATTGTTGACAGCAAACGACAAGATCCACCAGCCGCCGCCGGCGACATGCTCAGGCTGGGCAAGATGGTGCCAGAAGACCGAAAACCTTGCACGGTGCAGTACATGCCACAAAGCGCAATTCTGCAGCAAAGTATGTCATCTCGCCGCCTCCTTCATTGTCCATGTGGTAATTTGTCGTGGTGAGGATCACCAAGCTGCTGCGTGGAAAGACGAGCACAGGACCGAGTCCAAAGCGTTTGTGACCCTCGAGTGGCTCCGAGTCATGGAGAAAAACTGGAAGCATTTCCACGATTTAGTTTTTCTGATTTTGTAGATACGATCAAATGACGTTCCGCACACAAAAGAAATCAACAGTTCAGGTCTTCGAATATGATGTTTAACTCGACACCTAACGGTAACTGGAAGATCTATCAGTGGTACTCGGAGCTCCATTGAAGCACAGCGTATGAAATACATTTTATCGGGAATCGTGAACGACGATCGCGAAGTACGAACGCAAACAGTTATTAGCAATATAGAAACCGACCTCATCCTCATGAACCGACATCCATGGTCACATCGAAACCATCAGCGTGTCCTGCAGCCAGCCGGCGGCGTATAAGCCTACAGCGTGGGACTATTTAGCGTCGAAGATGGAAAAACCGCTGCCCAAGCTCACCGTTCGAATAAATCCAACGGGCTGTCAACCATTCCTGCATCGGCACTCACCATTTCACCAGTATCCGCACCTGCATAGCGAGTATCTTGGCTGTATGCTCGCAGAGGCACCCAGCTACTGAGCGGACTCGTCCCAGGCTCGTACGTCGCCTGCGCGACATATAATAATAACCCATCCGACTTGACTTCCGCGGACGCTGCATGCAGTTGAATCAAAGGCGACACGGCGCCAGCGCCACCCAGATCCATCGTTCCCGCAACAACTGAAGCACGTGAAGGAATGGGTGTGGAGACCGGAACGTAACGCGAAGCACGGGTGAGTGGGATTAGGGTATTTGCAAGATACAGGAGGGTTGTGTTCGTGTGGTATGGAATAGGCACAAACGTCGCGGGGTAGGGAAACTGGTATGGAGGTTGCTGTTGTTCCGCTTGAGGTTCCGAGGCGCTGGGTGGTGGCGGGAAGGAGGGAAGTTCAGAAAGACGCGTGTCCCGCCACCAGAACCGGAAAGGCGTCTCGCATTCGCCAACGTCTTGCCCCTTCCACTGCAATACGTCCAGTACGTGTAATATACCGGTGTCTTTCCAGTTCTCATCAAGTATGCAGTCGAGAACTGTCTGCGGGGGAAGTGGAGATGGAAACGGCTTCATCAACGGTTTTCCAAGCACGCGAGAGCGGAGAGTGGTATTTGGCACTACCAAACAAAATCAGCGGAGGAAGCATATAAGATTTCGACAACTTACCAACACCAGCAATACCAGCTGCCTGATGTGTTACGGCGAGGCATCGCTTGCCTACTGGGACAGGTGTGACAGCGACCCAGCTCGTCTCGATATCCTCCGGGATCCCATCATGCCCCAGAGTGGCCTGATCGAATCCCTCTACCATCTCCAGCAGCTCCGCGTACATGCATTTATCTGCCCATCGGGATGGCTTAGTGATCCGTGCTTTGTTCGAGCCACTGCCCGCGGCGGTATTAGAGTGACGCGCTTTGGCCTTGCGCTTATTTTTCCCGCGCTTCTTTCCAGTGGTCTGCACATTGCTCGCCTGCAAAGGAGATATGGCAGACTCACTGGAGAAGGTGTGCTCTTTTGTAACAGCGCCAGCGTCATTCGCAGTAAGAACAGTACTGTCGGACGGGAGCATGGATGTGAACGATGCGACGCCACTGCGAAGTACTTCAGGTCCGTCCAGGGCACCATCTTCATCCACCTCGTCATCTGATGGGCCAAGGTTCATGTCCGCGAAGAAGTCCAACTGTCGCGTCGCATCGACGCGTTGGGCTCGTCTCTGCATGCGATAACGTGAGATAAGTGTGAACGTTTGATATAAAGTCTATGCGTACACGTTTCTGCTCTTCCAAAGCCTATCCAAGCCGAGGATGAGAGAGGAACAGCACTCCTCAGAGGTTCGATCACTCACTTTATTTCTCCGCTGTTCTTGGGACGTGTGCGCATCTCTGACCGTTGCAGGAGGTGTCTTGTAGGATGCTTTGCGATCATGAAACATGATAAAAGAATGATAAAAGAATGAAAACTTCTTGATTTCTTCTAGCTAGTGGATGTTGAGTGATCGTGTTCCTGATCAATCTTCAAGGCAGTAGAACGAGCAATTTACCAGCGTCGAGCTCGAGCTCATCTGAATACAGGCAGGCGCTAACTTGACCGCGGATTAATGAGTCACGTCCACGTGCATCGTCACAGTCACAACCCCTCCAGAACCTCGACAGCAAGTCGTCAGTGTCTCGAGGGTTGTGACTGCAACATCGGGCTCTCCCCCACTGGGAACAATATCCGAAGATCACTGGTGACGAGGTAACCTGTATGCTCTCCGGACTGGTCTGACAATGCCGCCTTTCAATCCCACCTCTCGGGAGGTCGTTCTTCTCGGGGTGCTCCTTATCTCCTTGCTATTCTTCTCGACGACCTTCACTACAAGGCAAAGTAGTATTGCTGGGCTCAAGCGACCATATATCTTCAATGGAGAAGAGGATAGCGATGACGCAAAGTTGCCGACGCTTGCAACACATTATACACTGCAATCGCTAAATCAGCCCCTCAGCTGGGGTCTAGGTCAGGTTCCAGAGACAAAAATTGTCGCACATGTCCCTGGTGAGTCTGCCTTTCTCTCTTCTTCGTCTCGAAGGCGGCGTTTGGAAGCCATAAATGCTCTGCTTCTCCGATGGAATCACGTGACATTTCTTGAGTTAGCACAGTCTTTCGGTTTCCCGGGCAGTTTTGGAACTGCTGAGCGTAGCACTAGCTCACCGCTCTAGGTTTAATATTACTGAATACACACGTTGTGTGCTCTACCTTGCCACCGCTATTTCTTCGCCTCTTTCTTCTCTATTCCGGAATTTCATGAATACTCATCATTCACCGCCTCGATGATCCAGGCTGGACAATTTTTGACAAGTTATACATGATGAACGGCACGGTGTACATTGTCAACGACCAACCGGAAAGTATCCCCGACCGGTCGCGCATGATCTCCACCGCGATCAACATCGCGAATGGTGCACAGGCACAGGCACAACGCGTGCCTACTGACAAGGAGATGCAAATCATTAGCACGAATGAGGCAGCCCAATTATTTGGGCCAGATGCTGAGCGTATTGATGGAGTCACAGTACGCTTTACCTTCCTAACATCATGGTTAGCTGTTTGCTCATATTCACGCTGCCTGTAGTGGTACGCCAATGACCCATTACAATTGTGCGTCCTCTTAAGTCTATATCATCTGCTTCATCTCACATAATTTCAGTGTCACCCATTATTACCACTGGTCAGCCGAACTTTTCTTCGGTTTCTGGCGCACGTATTCCTCGCTTGACCCGACCATCGCCCCGAATGGAGAAACGGCTCTGCCCACTCCTCGGCGGATGTTCTTCTCACACGTCGATGCGGCGCACTGGCGGGACTATGCGGCCATGAACCAATGGGTCCTACGAAGCGCATTTCCCTCCATCTCGATGGAGTTTATGAACGACTTCAAGGAGCGTGCGGAGATGGGCCGCGCGTTCGTGTTCGACCGCGCAGTGCTTGCGGATCGTGCAGCTGCAATGTACGGCGAGTTCTTTCTGCGCACGCAGCGCACGGCGGCGAATGCGTTCGCGCTTCCGGGCAGCGTCAACTGGTGGAGCACGATAAGAAATAACGTCGTTCGCTTTGCCGGTCTTGAAGGCTACGATGGGGCTGCTGTGCAGGGCGTGACGAGCACCCCCGTCATCACCTATATCTCCCGACAGGGATGGGGCAGACGTATGCTTATACAGGAGCACCACGAGCGCCTTGTGCAAGAGCTATACAATCTGCGCGACACGTACGGGTACGAGGTGAATGTCGTGAGCATGGACAAGCTGTCGCGTATCGAGCAATTTCAGCTTGCGGGGCGTACCACTGTGGGTTTTCACTCCATGTCACTAATTTGCTCCGGAACGTTGATGTCGTCGCAGATCATGATGGGTGTGCACGGCAACGGCCTGACGGCCCTTGTGTGGATGCGGCCGACCCCGCGGTCTACCGTCATAGAGTTCTTCTTCCCACAGGGATTCGCCCACGACTATGAGTACACAACCCGCGCATTGGGCATGGTGCATTACGGGTTCTGGAACGACCAGTGCGCTAACTCCCCACTCTCTATGTACTCATTTGTCTGACATACATTCACAGGTCGTTCACCAGCCCCGACGTCCCGCCGGTGAACTATCCGCCGGGCTTCCAAAGCAACGCGATCCCAATTGACGGTGCGGCGGTGGCGCGGCTCTGCCAGCAGCGCCTGACATTGTCGGAGGAGGCTGATGATTAGAGAGCGGATATGGCTCTCGGTCTAGAGATTGAACCAGCGGAAAACCTCGACGGCGATCATATCACGATTCGTAACTTATTAACGTGGACGTTCTGGTACCTTATAATTACCATGGTTGATACACCTAGAGATACTAGTACAGAGTCTGAGACCAACCGACAAGAGTGTGAATCTGAGGGGGGGGATAGACTTTTGCGTTCGGTCACGTGTACAGCGTCACTGTGATCTTCATGAATCAGGCCGACCTTTCCCCTCATCTTCTCTTCGGTAAATTGCTATCATGTTCGACTCAGAAGGGGGACCTACTCTGGGACTAGATGACATATTTACCGTCAGTTTTCGACTTGTCACTGCGATCCCACTCATACCGATATCGGGGCCCTCTCGGAAACTCACCTCAAGGAACCACCGCGACCGCCGTCGCCGGAACCTACAGTAACTCTATACACGCGCGATGCGGAGCTGCCACCATGGGCGAGCAGCGGCTGTCCATGGTCTACGATAGAAATCAGGCTTGTAGGCTCGCATCCCCTCTGGGGTCATTATCTGTGAAGTTCAGCAATCCCGAATAATGTGGATCCTATGCTGATCGTTTCTACTAGATGGAACGCCTCTCGTGCATTTGCCTCGTATCTTGATATACATTCTGAGCTGTACCGCGACCGCTCGGTGCTCGAATTGGGCGCAGGAGGAGGCCTCCCCGGGCTTGTTGCAGCGAAGAATGGCGCTCGCACGGTTTGTTGTTTGTTTGACTGCTGGAAACAGAGCTGATCTCATGATATCACCGCCGCACAGGTCGTGTTGACTGACTATCCAGATACCGCCCTTCTTGAAAACCTGGCCTACAATGTTCAAAATAACGTTCCATCCGAGCTTTTACAACGTGTACACGTGAAGGTGAGTTCTCGTTTCTCTACTAGGTTGGCATGGTTGTCATATGGCGAACAGGGATATATCTGGGGCCATTCCGTAGACCCCCTCCTCAATTGGCGGGAGGGCCCCTCTAGATCGGAGGGATTCGACCTGATCATCATGTCGGATCTCATCTTCAATCACTCACAGGTAATCCCGTCTGCACAGAACGCATTTTGGCTGCTAACGTCGACATTCGTGAACTTCAGCACAACGCCTTGCTGCAGACGTGCGAACACGCATTATCAAGATCGCGGTCATCTGTAACGCCCGATACTCCCAGCGCGCTGCACACACATACACCACCCGATGCCGCAAAGAAAACCAATAAAACTCTGGAGCCGTGTCTCCTCGTATTCTACACGCACCATCGTCCCCATCTCGCGCACCGCGACATGCAGTTCTTCGACGAGGCTCGCGATCGCGGGTGGCTTTGCAACGAGATCTTGACACAGAAGTTCGAGGCAAGACATTTCCCGCTCTTCAAGTAAACTGTGCGCTGATATGAGTGTTATGTCGCAGCCCATGTTCCCGGAAGACCCAGGAGAGGAAGAGGTTCGCGCGACGGTTCATGGATGGCGTTTGACGCGCACTCTGCAAGCATAGATTGCTGGCGCGACTATGGTGCGGTTTCAAGTCGAACACAGTCCATGAAGGCAAATTGCCAGTGGACGCGCGGATTCTCCGGATCCAAACTGCATCATCGCTGCACCACGGATGCGCCGAACAGAGATGGTCTTTGGCCATTGGCGATTCGAAAGCTCGTGCTCGATAGAAGACGCACTATCCTCTTCGCATAAGCTGGGATATCGGGTCGCCTGGATGCCTTTTGCGAGGAGTAGACCAAGTTGTACACCAGCTATTAGTCCTGTCTTTTTCTTCCCCCGATATCACATATATCTGCATCATGCAGGCCAAACGGAAGCAACCACATGAGGAGAGGCCTGAGGCCGCCACAGTCGGGACAAGCTGCGTTCAGACATTGGGTCATGCCAGTTATACGAACAACGCACCGGTTCCCGTTCCCAGTCTCTGGTGTTTGGCAACAGTCGTCATACGTTTTCCCGCAAAGCTGAGAAGATCGGCTTGTCATTGCATTATGTGACCACTTTCGATTCTGCTTGCACACTGCAGAAGTATTAAGTAACAAGCACTTCCCGGGTGCATATCATGGGAAAGGTTCATTGACAAGGCACGATCATGTTGCTGCTAACCAGGCCATCACCCCCGCATGCAGCAAGGTGCCCTCTCTCTCGCAGCAAGAATATCAGAATCTCCTGATACGTAGTGATGCAACCAAAGCAGCTCACCCTACAATTAAACAACGAATGGTGCTCACGGTGTAGTCCACACACGACAGGTCGCCGTGCACAATACGCTCCCTCTTGTCCATACGCCGAAGCACCCGGACCGACAAAGTTTGGACGAAGTCGAGCATAAACTCGGTAACCGTGCCGAGGATTGCGAAGGCGATCGCCAGTCACAACATTGTTTGCATACCGTGAAATTTACAGCATGGCTCTTTGCGAAATATGAGTGGAGATGAGGGCACAGACAGCCCTGGTACTTACAGTTTACAAGACATGAAACATGCCGGCGAAGGTGCAATTGAAGCGCCCATGTCCCACTTGCCAGCACATTGATGGGAGAATAGAAGCGGACGCAGTAACGGTGAGACACATATTTGTATGGCCGCGATGCTTCCTGGGTTGGTCGTGGGTCAAAAGCGAGAACAAAAAAAATCTACAGGGAACGGAAAAGGTTCGCAGGACGCAGATTCATTCATTGCGATATCGATGTTAACGTCTGAAGCTGAGGGGGAATTGGAGGGGGAATTCCGACTTATAGAACATCTTCCTCGTTGTACTAACTTGCAAGGGACCCATCGTCGGAGCCGAACAGTTCCTGCGACCTGCGACTCGCCCTCTTTGTTTCAATACAAGGGGTCACAGCCCAAGGTCGACGACGACATGCGGATTTAACGAGCCCAGAATTACCAGGAAACTGGTAGGTGACGCACCAAGCTCACGGGGCTCTAACACATTTAAAAATAACCCGTCCTTTTAAGTGGTGTGGTCCCTCCCACATTACTACCAATGCCGCGATCAAGGAAACAGTCAGTGGTCAGCGTCATTGCTTTGGGTGTGTGTGGGGGGGAGGGTTTACAGCAAAATAAATACCGAATGCTGGAGCACAGATAAATACGGAAGTGGCCATGTTCGGGAGATGAGAAGATTGCGAGTGTAGTCAGTGTTCCACGTGTCGACAGCACCTAGGCAGTTAGCATAAATCGGCCGGTGGGCAGTGAATAACTTGGCGCTTGATTCGTTGACGATTGTGGACCTGAACTGTATGAACGATGGCATTGCAAGCAGTAACAATCATAAATTGGAAACGAAGGAAATGCTCCCCCGGCGGCGGCGAAGAGGGAGGCGCTACAAGAAAATTAGCACTCGTGGATCGCTGGATTCTGGATTACCGACGAGGACGCTCAGCATGAACACGAGAGTTGAGAGTTGGAACTGGAAGAGCGCGTACAACTAGTACCGGGATGGGGGAGATCTTGCATCACATACACCTAAAGTCATATTAGTGCAAATGTGTCCGACGTTAAGCCCTGGAGGGTTCTTCAAGTCAGAGTGAGACTTTGAACGGGTATGCGCCTCAAAAATCAGGCTGAGCACTGCGCTCAGTTCATATAGTGAAGTCCGGACTCCTGGGCTGAGCCAGCGGCCGCGGGATGATGTGCCCCCGGCGCCGCGAGCTAGTCTGGCTAATCTAATCAGATTCGCAACTCCGCGCATGTTGAACTTCGAATGTGAACCTGAACTGTGTTTCTCTCACTCTTCTCGGCGGCGGGCAGTACGACTAGAATAAGTATCTGGCTTTCTCTCGACGAGAATAAAAGGAAGGATACCAAATAGAAAGTCTTGCGTTGGTTCTCCGAGTCTTCGTTGTTGACCTCTTCCTTGGTGGCACAAGCGTCAGCTATGCAGGACTCCTATAGTCTTACGGAGAACATATGTTAAAGGCTACGAACGGTATAGCAAGCTTCTTACCATGGCATGCAGTTGTCGAGATGCAGGAAACGCGCTGCTCTTTCTCTCACCGCTATCCTCGCCCCGCGCTGAATAAAGTGGTAGGATTCACCCTTGCATTCTATCTCTTTATCACATATTCATAAATAGGAGCGCAGTATAAAAATTCTAAAAAGACAAAAGAAAAACGAATACTCTAGCTAGTGTACTGTGCCAATGCGCCCGCCGGGAGATCTAAAACAGGGGTTCCGTAGGTTCCCTTTCTAACGACATTTCCAAGGCCACTTGCGAGGCATGGTACTGCAGAGCTGCCACAGTCAGAATATCGTCTTCGCTCGACTCCGTGCCATAGTCTGAAACTGGCGTCAGGTCCTTCAAGGCGGCTTCAATTGCGTACGAGGAAAGCCCTGCGAGCGCCATGTTGTAGGCAATGGGTGTCGTCCCCTCTTCCACCCACGTCCCGCCGACGTTATGGGTGTGGAGGCAGGACGGGCGCACCGTTCTGTTTGTCCATTCGAACGTGCCCTCCTCAGAGACGATGTCGAGCTGTTGGAGGTCAGGCTCTGTAGGCTCGAGCTTTATTGGCCGTTTGCCTTTGTCGAACCCGCCAGCGGAAAATACGGGCTCACCGGGTTGAAAGATGACTGTGTCGGTGTGCTCGAGTGGCCGGGGCAAGTGCGGGGCCCAGCTGGCGACGTGACTGCCGCCGTACCATTCGATGTCGGTGGAGCCTCTGTCCCGGACAGGTATGTTCCCCCAAGTGTAGGGCGTGTACAGCTCGCCGCGCCGCAAGCGTTCTTCTAGCCCGTTGCGGGTCTTCTGCCGTTCGGCCTCCAGTGCCCGGCGGAGGTTGTCCATGGCTAAGCCTCCTTCTAAGCCGTGAACATCCACGGGTTCGTAGCCTAGGATTGAGTGGACGCTGTCGCTACCACTCCACGAGGACGTGGACGGCTGGTTGGCACCCATGCATTCCTCACGCTGTAATGGCCGCTTGTGTGGTGTGAGGACAACCGAGCCGGGGTCGAACAATGCTTGGGGGGGCGTGCTGGGTTGCACGTCAACCATGTCGACGTCGGCCTCTGCGACGGTCATCTCCGTGTCGGAGAGCTCGGTCAGGGTCGATCCCAGAGACAAACTAGAGTCGTCAGAATCTGACGACAGCGACGTCAGAGACGACAGGGTTGGCGAGCCCTCCCGGGCAGGAACCGGTGCACCGGCGATCTCAAGAACCGAATTGTTATAGTTCCATGCGACGTTCGCCGGGGGAGGAATGTCGATATCCGCGTCGGTGTCTGGCCAACGTATGTGCACGCCCTTGCCAGTGGCGGACGGTTTGATGATGGCGTTCTTGTACAGCGGCAGTCTCGCGTACTCTTCGATACGCGCTGCCAAGGCGGGGTCGCGAGCCGCGCTCGATCGCAAGTAATACCGGTGTGCAGGGGCCATTTCTATGAGCAGGTATCAGCGACGCTACTCTCGATGTACGAAGGAAAAGCGAACCGGAATCTTGCTGCCTGGATTTGTGGAAGTCGCGGGATGTTCTTGGGTGTTACTGCACCGACCTTATATGTTGCACGCAAGGCCACGTCGCCATGGATCTGGGGTCCGGAGTTTGCTTTGTGCTGCGGTTCTGTGTTGCGCTGCGTGCTTCTGCTGGAGTGGCGGCCTCGTGTTTTCCTCCGCATCGCCAAAGCACAATGGCTCAATTCAGTCACAGTCCTGCCTTATTGGGAAGCCCAGCGTTTCGACGCCCGCGTGTGGCCACCACAATAGACCACAAACACGAATGCGTATGGGCTTGGGAGGGTACGCACATGCTCCCGCTGCAGTGACCGCTGTCTGCGCCGGCACGCTTGCAAGCACCTGCAGAACGGGGCTCAAGACTTGTTGCTTAATTTCCTGACCTTGTCGACTACCTAGAGTTCTTTGTGCCTTCTTCTGGTTTCACCGTGTTGGGATGAAGATCTATTGTTCGATTAGCACAGCCGCTGGGAGGTTTGACGTAATTTTGTTTCTGACAAATGTAGGTGCTTGGCTTCTGAAAGAGTTTAGTTCAGTTTGCTTAGTGCACAGCGGTAACCATGACAGATCCAACGTCGAAGCGATCGCCATCTCAAGGTCCTCGGCGAGTGGCTGTGGTGAAGGGTTGCACAATTGATTGTCTGTGGCAGGCCCGGAAACCTGAAGCGAAACTAGCGATGACCCGTGGCCGCGAAGCACGATATTGTAGCAAAGCGCAAGATGCAAAATTGAACAATGTTGAGAAGGGTCCCACCGTTGAATGAGAGCTTACGGCGATTGCTGGACAAAAGTGCCTGGTGCTTGCACCCCAATATTGCGCTCACGTGAGCCGCGCGCAACTCGGAGTCGGCCACCTATAAAGCTCAACGCCATTCCGCCCTTCTCTACAACGCTTCCTCGTTCGCGCTCAGCCAGCAAGTCTCCGCGTCAGTCGCGAATATCCCCTCAAGCCACGCCGCCTCAAGAGCCTCAAGACGCGTCTCGTATCCCATCAACCACGCCCCAACCCAACGCCATCGTCACTAGCGATATGTGGAACACCGGCCCCCATAAGCAGTGGAACTACCACAGTCCCTACCCCAAGTCGAAGAAGACAGTCCGGGAGCGGCGCCCTCGCCTTTTCAGGCATGTGCGTATGCCGAACCAGGCCTCTGCGTCGCCTGGGCTCCCCAGTGACCGCGCGCCCATCTTCACAGCTTTCCCCGCCTCTCCGTCGCACCCGAAGACAAACTTCAACGACCCGTCCACCCCGACGCCAAAGCCCATTTATATTACGCCCAGGAAGGTCAACAGACCCGGTCCCGTCCCAAAGACCGACGGACCGTCTCTGTTCCCAAAGAGCGTCTTCAACGAGCCTCCCGCGACGCCTCACACGCCAGTCGGCCCCTCACCTACTGCTATATACTTTGCGAAGAAGGAGCCCATGTTCGCAACCCCACCCGCTATCCCCTTCCCCTTCCCCCGGACGATGCGCACCAAACAGCAGCCTCCCGCTGCCAACCCTCTCGCAGGCACCGCCCGCCCTAGAACGGGGCCGCAACGCGTCCGCGAACAAGAGCGGGACGCGCGCCGCCTCAGGCGGGGCGTCGTCCACCACCGCAACCCAATAGTCGTCCAAGCCGAAGCGGCCGCGAACGTGAACGCGCTGCTCGAGGCGAACCCGCTCGCGCAGCAGATGCTCGCCGCGGGTGCGCTCGACAAGGAGGACCGTATGCTGCTCCAGCAGCTCTCGCACCTGACGATCCAGAAGGCGATACGCTCCCAGGTGGACGCTGGCCGCGAAGAGGTCGAGCGCGCCGCCGCGGACATGCGAGGGCACGTTGAGAAGATCGAGAAGCACGACAAGCAGGCACAGGTGCTCTGGGAGGAGGCGGCAAGGCGCGCGGAGGAAGAGAAGGCCCGTCTCGCGAAGGAAGAGATGATCCGGCGCGCGGAAGAGGAGAAGGCTGAGCGCGAGGAGCTGTTACGGCAGGCAACGCCTGTATGGGCGGAGATACCCCTCTTCAAACTGCAGTACGCCCAATTGGAACGTGAGCGGACGGAGCTGATGGAGGCAGAGCTGAGGAGGAAGGCCGAGGCGGACGAGAAACAACGCAGGGAGCGCGAGCGCGTTGAGGAAATGCTCAAGGATATTCGACGCCGGAGGCAAGAGGACGAGGAAAACAAACGCCTACAGCGAGAGCGCAGAGAGTGGGAGCATCAGGAGCACCTGCGCTTTATGCGTGAGCAGGCGGAGCGGCTCGCGCACCTGCGAAAAGAAATGGATCAGCGGCAACGGGACCAGGAGGCCTTGAGATGGCAGGAAGCAGAGGCGCAGAGGCAGAAAGAGGCGGCCCGCCAGCGACAGGAGGAGACCCGCCGGAGGCTGCTGGAGGAGGCGCAACGGCAGAAGGACGCGGCCCGCCGCCACCAGGAGGAGATCCGCCGGAGGGGCGAGGAGGCTAAGGCGAAGGAGGGGGGTCGCGCCGCCAACGCCTTCAAGCTCTACGAGGAGCGTTGGGCCATGCTCAAGCAGCAAGACTTCAAAATGAACGGTCCGATCCGTTTCTTCGAGATGCCATGGCCAGTCTTCGTGCCCATCGTCTCTCCCGCGGACGTCACCGAGGAGCGCGTTCGCGAATTCTTGTTCCATCCTCTCCGCTCGTCGGGCAAGACGCGGAAGGAAACCCTCAATAGCGATTTCCTCAAGTGGCACCCGGACAAATTCAGCGTACAGCTGCCCAAGATCCTCGAGGCCGAGAGGAGCAAGGTCGCAGAGACGGCTGAGATCGTCGCTCGAATTCTGATTAACATCAAAACAGAAGAGGATAATCATGGCTGTTGAGTCCGTGTATCTTATTCGTATTATTTGGCTGTTTTCCCTGGAACACTCGCTCGACTTCCCGTGCATGACCTTGATATGTTTCTGTGCTATGGCCCAACCCTATTCGCGTGGTACGTTCTCCTTTTCTTCTAGAGACCGCAGTTTAGATATGCGTGCAACAGGCTAGATGTATATAGATTCAGACAATAATAAGAATCACACTTAACTGCAACGATAACTAAGACGAATGTGCAGGCAGCGGCCTACCGTCAACATTTGAAAGCACTCTAGATCGCCAGGGGATCGTAAGCGCAAGTAATGCCATTTGGTGATAGCAAATAAGCTTTCTGTGTTGCTTGAATGCCAGAGTACAACTGGGCCGCAATGGGTCTTGCGATCAAGTTGAGGGCAACGGCACAGGCTGATCTGGAGTGCTATCTATGTAGTGAGCGAAGCATCAACAACATCGCTCCGAACCTCATTATCTCACGATTCCTCACCTTCCCCATGCACATCCGCGATCACTCCTTCAGCCACTTCTCAATCGCGTTCAACGTCTCAGCCGTCTGCTCGGCTTCGAAGGGGAAGAGCAGATAATCATGCACCGCATCGCGACCCACGAACCACCCCACTTTCTCCTCCCCGATATCCGCACGGATCTTATCGCGCAGCGTCACCACCTGGTCATACAGCCGCTCCGCGTCCCCCACCGCAATAAACGTGCGCGGGAAGCCCGAGAACGACGCCTGCACATTGCGCGACGCGGGGGACAGGTATGGGTTATGCTCGACCGCATCGGCACCCAGCGGTGCTGTGAGCACGCGCGTCACCTCCGCGAGCAGACCCTCGTGCGGGTCCCCGAGGAAGTCATAGTAGAACTCACGCTCCGACCCACCGTGGTAGTAGTGCGACATGCCCATGTCCGCCCACGGTGAGAGTAGAATCAGGTGGTAGTCCGGCGGTGCCGCGCTGTCGCGCTGGCGGAAGGCCTCGAGGGTGGTCCTTAGGTGCGCCGTGTTCTGGGCGATGTACCGCGCAAGGGAGAGCGCGAGATGCCCGCCTGCGGAGTCGCCAACCACGATGATATCTTCAGGGCGGAAGCCGAGCGTGTCCACGAGGTACGCGTAGCCTGCGAGCGCGTCGAGCAGCGCGGCTGGGAAGGGGTTGCGTTCCTCGGGCGGAACGAGCGGATTCATGTTGGTCAAGCGGAATTCGACCGAGAAGGCGCGAGAGGCGAGGGAGCGCCGGAGTATGGCGCGCGGGATGGTGGACATGAACTCGGACGGATGGGCAGACTCGGAGATGTAGCCACCCCCGTGGAGGTAGTAGATCACCTTCTCCCCTGGAGCTGCATGCGCGTCCGTGCCTGCGCCGTCTGTGGTGATCCAGTAACCGGGAATGCGCACGAGGTCGACGGATCCGGCGCGCGCCCAAGAGAGAAGCTCCTCTGTAAGGAGTGCGGGTGCAGGATCGACCCACACGCCCGCTACGGTTGCATCGTCTGGAATAGCACGGTGTGTGGGCCAAGTGCGGATGTTACCCACACTACACGAACCACCGTAAGTAGTGGAGACAACAGCAAATAGAGCATACGCACTGTTCTACGACGTCCCCGAACGCACTCCACTGCTTGGCCTGTGGGACGATCATACACTTCTGGAATGACCAAGAAGGGCGAGGGCGGAGAAAGGACGGCGCGTAGAAGATGGTACGTAAAGGTGCATCGATCAGGTAGTACTTCGCAGAGGCGTAAGATGTATAGAGCGTTTTCCACGGCTCGTTTTGAAGCCAGTACACCATTATGAATTGAAGTTCTCGAATGTCGGGTTGGAGGAGGTCAGGTCAGTATGCCCCCAACCACTTTAAGTTACACCGGACAATGCTTATCAATACACATGCTGCCCGAGCGTTCCAAACGGTGAGATCAAATCGAGACCATCGCCGATGCCGACGGCGTAGACCATAAGCGGACTTTGCGGAGCCCTCCTGAACACTTCCTCTGCAAGGGATGTCATGTGAAGACGAGGGAAGCGCCGCCTCCTCCCAGCAGAGAGACCTTGCTCGCGAAACTTGCCACCGCGCAGACTCTCGCCGGAAAATCAGAATGCCAACCATGTTTCAGCCGGTACTTAAGAGCAGGTAGGCAAGCCAGAAACCCCTAGTACTGTAATTCCACACCAGAAAAAAAATCCTGGGACTTGTGGGATTGGCGATAGGAAGGAAAGATGCCGGGGCGCGACGAGTACTTACCCTGAGTCAGACTCCCCATATGCACCCGGTTTCTGCTAATGATGGTGGAAGATTTGCGTGCCCGACATGAGGATGGCAGCTGAGAAGTGTTCAGAGTAGACGGTGCTGCAACTCAATTTCAAATTATTTGCAAGGATGCGGATGATGCGGTGAGTGGAAACTCGGGAGCACTGCCAGAGTAGCATGAGTATTCTACACGGATAAACATTACAAGGAGAAGTCAGCAAAGTTTCTGATCGAGGAAAGCCGTCGAAGGTGCATACCAGTGTACGCGCTCTTCCGGGAGGACAACCTTCGTGGAGACCGCCTTCGTCATCTAGCTGCTTACTTCTTCTCCGGGTAGAAAATGCTCTGTTTTCTTGGAGGAGATTGGATCCAGCTGCATGCGCATGGGTTGGCTATGAATTTTTTTTGTCTCTGTTCACTTTCGGAATCTCCCGAAGATTGCGACTCGGTTAGGAAACCCACGTGAAGTCCAGAAGGACTCACTATCCGCACCGTTGACCACCCCGACACCGTCGTCCACACTCCATTTTTTGGCGATACTAATGGTGAGTACGGTCTTTGGTCGATTGGGATCCTTGTGTGGATATTCGGTGGTTGAATGTGTTTGGAAGAACGGTGGATGGCGTCGGCAGGAGTCAGATGTACGTAGCGTGCGCTAATATCTTCTCGGTTCGCAGGCCTCCTTAGAACTCGCAGCAACATACGCAGCCCTCATCCTCGCGGATGATGGCGTCGAAATTACCGTGCGTTCTAACGTCTTCACATAATTGGCGTAAGCCTCACCTTCAGCCGCCGGGGTCATCAGTCAGACAAAATCATCGCTCTAACGAATGCGGCGTCAGTAGAACTGGAGCCCATCTGGGCCAGCCTTCTTGCGAAGGCGCTAGAGGGTAAGGACGTGAGGGAGCTGCTCTCGAACGTGGGCGCGGGCGGCGGTGCGCCCGCGGTTGGTGCGGCGCCCGGTGCTGCTGCTGGCGGTGCGCCAGCAGCGGAGGCACCGAAGGAGGAGGAGAAGGAGGAGAAAGAGGAGGAGTCTGACGAAGATATGGTGCGTTTTTACTCCGTGTGTTTCCTCAGGCAGTTCGCTTATGGTGTGCGCAGGGTTTCGGTCTCTTCGACTGATCGCTGTGCCGGTGTCGGTCGGTCGGTCGTATACATTATTGCTTTGCCTTGGTGGAAGTCAGATGTATTTGATCTCTGCATAACGTTCTGCATTCTCTGCACGACAATATGCAAGCTTCTCCTGGCCCGACTGCATTGTACCATCATCATTCTTCGTTCTAGTACGCATCCACAGAAACATTGCGAAACCACATGAATTTGGCCCATTGTACATTGACAATGTGAGGGCACAATGAGTGGAGGATGATCGATGAGTCACCATCTCGTCGAATGTGAATATGAAATTGAGATGAGTTCCCGTACTTCGCGCTTCAGCACCAACGGCTTGCAGTCGCCCGTGGCGGTGAACTCCGCGGGATTAGAGATCGTGAACCAAGTTGGACGTGTAGAAAAGCTACGTGACCGTGGCGTTGACGTACTTCTTCGCCTCGTCAAGCGAGTCCGTGCGGTCCGTCCCTTAAGACCAGGTCCACACCAGCATCCGGGCGAGCCAGCTGTTGCGCCCTTCCCAGTTCTATACACCGTACCCGTACCCGCGCATACCTTGTATGGTATACCGCGGTGTGACCCGTGTTATTCTTTATGCGCACGCGGCAGGGTACGGTGTGACGCAAGATCATACTGGGCGCCGATCGGATCCGAATAATCGACCGCCGTCTCATCGGAGCACGATGCTTCTACGCCGTCCATGTCACCCTCTGTAAAAACCGGAAGTCAAGTGAAGTCTAAATATTGTCAGGCTGCAGTCAGCGAGGTTCAGAAATTTGGCACCGTAGTCACAGAGAAGTCAGGATAAGTCCGATTTCAGTCGCCAAAGTGATCCTGCCAAGAAATTATGTCATCAAATGCAGTCAAATCCTAGTCTGCGAAAGTCTGACACAGTTGATTGTCTCATAATATATGGCATTCCGGTGCTCATATGTTGGTTCTTTTGCACTCAGGTTGGAATATAGCTGTAGAGACATGATCTAAACCATATGAGGTTATGTACTACAAGAAAATTATACAAATAGTCATGAATAGTCAAATTTGCCAGAATTTCGAATTTGGCTGACTACACTTTGACTTCCCGTTTTCACTGAGTGTCACCTGTATGAGTCAGTGCTTCATGGTTCTCGCTGTGCTTTGCACAGAAGGATGCACATTCTGTGAAAGAGCATCAACTTGGCACGACAGATGTTGCGCAGCACTGGCACATGCCCATGCGATGCATCTTGCCCGGACAAACTGAGGTTTATTTAAGTACACAAGCCTAACAACCTTGCTGTGCTCATTCCACTCATCCAGTCATTTACAGGTGGTGTCTGAAAGTACTGTATGTCTGTTACATTATCATCAGCAAGAGGCATCTACTAATTTGAATATTTAGTTGCATTAAAAATGGCTGAACCTAAAGTCTGGCAACATTTTGAAGCAAGGTACACAATTGCTGGGTATGTAGTTCTGTCCTATTATATAAGAAATAAACACCTACTGAGGCACTTTTGACAGAATTGTACAAAATCTCGACATTGAATGGTTCATCAAAGCCCGCGAAGACATTCAGAGAGAACATCCAGCAGAACCAGAGGTCATTGTGATTGAGTGCCACAATCTTCTCGTGGTAGAATATACCAAAACCCATATAAATAATGCATCAAAAGCACGTATTGTGTGAGTAAGATTTGTGAATTAAATGATCAACTTGAACGACTGATGGACTCAAACTTTCAAGGTGAGGTGCCCATAGTGATGGAGATACTGAATATGTGACAGTTGAGTTTTTTGAGAGGGGACAGAAGCTTAAGACAAGATTTAAGGGTAAATCAACTGGGCGCTTCCATGTCCACACACATAGAGAGAAGACTTGGAGAGCCAGACTCACTGAGCTGTCAGAATACCAATAGTATACACTTTACTAGTGGATGTGATATCCATAATACAGTAATTTCAGGATTTCATGCATCTCAATTGGAAAGTTTCAATTATAAAAAGTATACATACATACACTTTGTGGGTGCATGCACAGTGTGGTGTGTACATAACACCATCTTGTTTTAGTTTCTTTTTCTCATGTCTGCTCTACAGATTGCAGTGTTGAAAATGGAGTAACATATCTAACAGCAAACATCTCCGAGCTACCGTAGTGTGCACAGCAAATATCGTAAAAATAGGGGAAGACTATACAGTAACAAGAACATCAAGACAAGAGCAGAACAGCAACAACTTGTTTGGGAACTGAAACAAAGAGATATAGATGTAGGATAGTATATTCATCAGCATGGTTACAGCAGCGGCGAAAGACAAATGGAAATGAATAAAGGTAGGCATTGAGGACAGTATGTTCATCAGCATGGTTACAACAGTGAAGGATCATTGTGCAGAGTACATGAGTAATCCATGCAGCAGTGATCTCTCCTTATTCACAAAGCACGAATATGCAGAACAGAACCACCAATGTAAGTCTGATTCGTGCACTCGATCTGCAGCCGCACAAGAGTCGACGTACTTGAACAACTACAATGGAGCTCAGCTGATACTACTCTCCGGATGTGAATGACCTCAGTCGAAGACAATGCCTCCATTGATGTTTATGCATTGGCCTAATTATCCCATATTTCGATCAGTCAACCTTGATAGCCACCTCGATTAAATGATGCCACGCACCATGGACGAACTGAGACTCTGGCTTCACGAGGTAGAAGATCAGTTCTCCGATGACAGTGGGCTCTGCGATTGGAGTATCCTTCGTGTGACCAAGCATGTCGACCTATATACAGCTGTGGTGCATCACGTCTCACTAGCAACAAGAGTGGGCTACCTACCATGGTTGAATTTTTCTCACTCGCAACCTCATTAGACTCCCTCACTATTCAGAGAGACTTGTCAGGACCTATAACCGTAACTCTGCACTGACGTTTGAATGCACTGAGTGGCATGCAAATCATCCCAGGAGCATAGCTGTTGACAGTTATGGCATGCTTCGCCCATTCAAGTGCTACAAGATGGTTTCAAGCAAGAATACGGGCTCAGCTGTCCTTCTCAGTGAGAACAAGAAGGTCAAGGTGCACCGCAAGTTTGGGTAAGTCCCCGCACTGCGAATTTTGATGCGATGTATACAGAAAGATTGGGCATCCCTGGTCATGCAAAGTGCTCATGAATGCGGGCGTCTTTGTTGGCGGGTGCTCTGCAGACTCACCCATCTTACCAGCCATGGAACAAGCACCTGGAAACAATTGATCAATACCAGGAAAATACGCTAGCCGGACAGTGGCAAGAATCACTTACCTATGATGCTTCCACCTCGTCCCTGCTTGATCATCTGGAGAGCGGCATACTTGAAAGACAGGAAGACACCCTTGGCGTTGACGGACATGACACGATCATACTCTTTGACAGAAGCTGCGGCCACTAATCAGTACGCACTCTTGACGATGAACTTCAACAGGGCGATGCTTGCGTTTGGGACCATCTGGCAGTCAACAAGGTATTGAGAATATGCGGTGCTTCACTTAGACCTGAGTCCATACAACGTCCAGTCCACCAAGTGTCTCTACGACCTTGTCAACCACGGTCTTCACGTCGTTCTCATTCGATACATCCCCAGTCACGATGAGAAAGTGCCTGCCCTTCTGCTGTATCTTCTCAACAACTGCCTTGAGCGATTCTGCCAGTGAAGGAATGTCGTTCACGGCAACATCAAATCCATCATCCTCAAGACGCAAGGCGAGGGCATCTCCGATTCCTTGAGAGGCACCCATGACAACTGCGATGCGGGTGGTAGACATCGATAAAGACAGGGCAGAAGAAAGAACATCACTCTGGACTGAGTGTCAAGGCAGTCCCTCCGTGGCCAGTTCAGTGTCAGCAGAATGCCAGCATACGTAGCCTGTCAAAAGTTCTCGTGACTCCGGTTTGCCAACATTGGTTGGGTAATCCTCGAAGGTTTTAGTCTGGTCTGGGAAGATACGTATACTCTGTCGAGGCTGTAGTTCAAGGAGAAGCACCGGCAGTGTTAACTGATGGCCGTCGACTCTGCATGATCAGAGAATTCGGTGGTCGTTCCTCCATTTCTTCTGACATAGCTCCTGCTCGCAAACAGTCCAGAAATGTAGATTCAGCTAACGAAAATACACTAACGTCGGCGACTCACTTATAACATATCAGTACCTCAAGGGTGTGTGGGTCTACCTCCCAACAAGCTGAAAATAAGTATGGTGGTTGTATGAAATGGCAGCATAAAACAGAACTCTCGTGATGCTAACTTGTGATACAATGACTGTGGGTGGCTGAGACTGTTCTGATGTGTCGGAAGGGCCATAAGCTAGTATTTTGTACAGAGATTAACTTGTAGTACCACACTGAGTCCATTTTGGGCGCGAAAAAAACAGCAACATGATTCTTCATCTCGGTGTTCGACAGGTACCTGTGCTTTTTTCCCTGGTTGGTGTGCCAACTTACTTACCATTCTTTGAGGCACTGCGACGTACGTAAGCATACATACTACTAGAGCGTATTTGAGGAGACCTAGGCACAGCGGAGCTCCACTCGAGCCGCAAAGTCGAGCTGTGATTGGGTGAAGGCTGGTGAAGGTCGAAACCATCTGCTTATGTCACCGTCAATTCTTAAAGGCTAATGCTGCTTCTCAACTAACTGAAAGTCTTTCATAAAATGTTCAACTTACCCACCGTCGTCTCCCTTTTACTTCTCGCAGTGCCAAACACAGTGTGCTCTTCACTCTGTGTGACGTTAGACTCCGCTTCGACCTTCTCGTGTTCGGTCTTGACGGTAAGGACTGGAATGCAGGACAGCACATCCGGAGATTGGTGCTGGGCGTTCAGTATGCTGTCCCAAAATGGAGTGGGCAGTGCCATCACGTGCACCTATGTCAGCATCTAGCACTCCGACTTGCGCACAATTCGCCAACTAACAACTTTGCAATCTGCACTAATTATTCAATAAGTATTAGGGCCGCGCAGAGGTGGCAGGACCCGCTAGGTGTTCTCAGACGGGTCCAAGATGCGCTTCAGGTGGAAGATGCGAGAGCGTGTCCAGCGGGTGGACAGGAACAAACACCTTCCTGTACCAGTGTGTCCAGAGGTGTCATAACCAGTTTGCGGCGAGCGGATAATAGGTACATACGTCGCATCCCTTCCTGAGTTCTTCAAAATTACTGTCGGACCTGCTGGATGCCATTTAAGCACCGAAGTGGCATCGTAGACCTGGCCCTCGATGATGACCCAACAACTTCCGGGTGTGTTATGCTTCTGAACCTCCTGGTAGAAGATGTACTTCGGAGCAGAGTCCCTGTGCGCAGCTGACTTCTTGTCCGAGCTCGCAGAGTCAAGGTTTAGCGGGTGCGAGAGTGCATGGCCAGTCTGAATTCACTTGTTAGCTAGGAGAAACGAGCAGAGATACTCTGAAAACAACGCACATATACTCCCAGTACAATTCCTGCAGAAATTATACCTGTAATGAGTCGCGTGCAAGATGCTTGCCCGTTAGGTGCACTCCGTGAAAATGCCCACCTGCCCGCACCCCACTGCATAGACCGTGCGACACGTATGAACGACATGACTATTGCGAAGAGGGCGAAGATACTCTGTTCATGCTCTGAGTCAGGCTCCTAAAACCATCCGTCGTCACAGCGTTCTCGCTCCTACATCCCACGTTTATGTTTTAGAAGATCATGTGATATATGTTTTATGAGACTTACCCTTTTTATCGAAAATTACTGGATTAGGACGAGGACTAAGAGGAGGTGAACGCTGTGAGACGGCTGGCCCAACTCGTCATCCGAGGTTATGCCGATCCCGAGCAACATCATTTCTCGCTGGTTTATTTGCAGCAAACCCTATCCTGGGGCTTATTTTCTTGCAATCCAAAGTGGGTGCTTGCTATGTGCACCTGCTAGCTCACTGCATTGCAGCAGAGAAAAGTCACTGTAGCACTGCAGTTGTCTTTGTATTCAGCTGTTAGAAACCAGTCTGATTGCAAGAGAATGTCTAGAATCTGCACACACATCCAAACCATCTACTGCCTGTGCAACAAATCCCAAGTCTTTAGATGAGGCTGAGGATGCTGATTTGCCTTGCAAATGGACTGGAACTCATGCAATATTTATCTATCATCATGTTCTGCCCTAGCGAGCACCTTCCCTATGCCAGCACAGTGCAGTCACTGAGGCCATGAGTGCACATAGTAAGCACCCGATTTGGCCTGCTTCGCGCTCCAGAAAATAACACTCGCGCTAGGGTTTACATGCAATTACGCTCGAGAAAAGCTCGGAAGAAATCGGGTGACAAGTTGGGCCAGCTGTCTCACAGCGTTCACCTCCTCTTAGTCCTCGTCCTAATCCAGTAATTTTCGATAAAAAGGGTAAGTCTCATAAAACATATATCACATGATCTTCTAAAACATAAACGTGGGATGTAGGAGCGAGAACGCTGTGACGACGGATGGTTTTACTATCCTAGGCACAGTTCTGCAAACTCTTTCAGTGTGCTGCTCATAGCGCCCTGACAACTTCATGAAATACCTTGAAACTTGCAGTCTATGTACAATAATGTCCCCTCTACAAGGTTATCTAACTAGTATGTTAAAATTCCCAGAACTTTTGTTCTCGGAGACTTTCCGGTGACGAGAGTGCAAGTGCGCAGGGTAATGCAAAATTGTCACAAGCCTGTCACGATGAGCGCCCTTCAGCATGCGCGGCAAATTTGATGCCTCGGCCCACACAGAGCGGTGTGCACAGTGCCAGGCGAACTGTGAAATCGGCTTGTGACTTGGGGGTGCTACTTTGTGTGACTGCTGACTTAAGGGGCAGTGGTAACTGGCATCAGCAAAAGGTGCATTCGGAATGCAGTGCAGTGCAGTGTGCTGTAAACCTTACCTGAGCTGCAAACCCTGCAAGATAGGTAACCAGTATGCAGCGGTTTCCGTCGATATCCTAATAGGTATGTAAATTATTGGCAGTCCGATGCATACTTACCAATCTGCGGCAGACGTTGCCGAGCGTGCGATAGTTTGCAGCCGATGTATGGCTTTACAAAGTTAGGTTATTAGTCTGCATGCAAAGGTATAAACTTTGTAAATACATTCACGGACTCCATAATTTCAATACAATTTATCTATCTTTCATTGCCTTCACATAGCAGGCACTGCAGATGGCTCGACAAAAGGTATATTTTGGATGCAACAAAACCGGTACAAATCTACTATGAGGCCACTGAGAGAGAACAACAATGCCGGTGACGCGCACCGAAGGTTAAGCACCGCGAGAGCACCCGAGTACAGCAGCAAAGCATGGAAACAGTGAGTGCGGAAACAGTGAGTGCAGAAACAGTGAGCGTGGAAGAGTGAGCGCGGAAGAGTCAGCAAGTGGGTGCAAACACGAGGAGTGAGCAAGAGCATGAGACACAAGTGCGGGAGACACCAGCAAATCAGAGGATGCAGACAAAAGTGGGAGCAAGAAGGCGAGCGAAAGGAACTTGCGGGTAGAGTTGGTGCAAGCGGCAGCAAGTAGGGTGAGGTTTGTGCTAGATGTAAATAACAAAATAAGCACATATGACCGAAAAAAAGCAGATAATTACCGTCATGAGAATCAAACGGCACCGGATTGCGCAGCTGCTCGAGCTGCGCACTGAGCCTTCAACTCAGCAATTGCTGATTGCGGCCGGGTTTTCTTTTTTGCGCTCTTTGCAGGTGTACTGAACACCGATCTATATGTGAGGTGTGAGCACAAGTATAGCTCCAGTACAAAGCTTACTTGTTCCACCAATCTAACGTGGCTTCCCCCCATTCTTCATCCTGGAAGAGCCGGAGAATTTCAAAGAAGAACTCTTTGAGATTGAAGTTGACGTCAATATTGGACCATGAGTGCTGGCTGTTCAAGAGGAAGCAGACCTAGAGTGCATATCTGAACAATGCGAGAAACCGAACTATGATACTGCTCACCAGGACTGCCATGTATGCGATACTCCTAGGACTGATGTGAGTTATATCGTACTTTTTTGCGAGAGGTGGGCATCCGGGTCTGCTGCTCCCGTCCTCGCGGTCTCCACAGTTTGATGATGCACTACCGGGACCTGTAATTAAGGACTTGAAGCACTGCGTGACAACATCAGTTCAGTGCAATCTGTAATAGGGGGATGAATGATGAGTTGATTAGAGTATGCACCGAGAGAAGCACTGGGCCTTTAAGCAACCCTGCATCCAATTCATCGGGATCATAGAGATCTTGATCATACAGAAACAATGGAAATTTGTCAGAAGTGACATCGATCTCACCATCGTGAACTTGGCGGCAGAAACTGATGGACATGATTGTCAATATAGAACTCGCTCGTATCCAGAGACTTACCTGTCAGGTTCAGCTAGAAAATCCGAAAGCATGGACTGGGGGCAAAGCAGGCGGCCGGTTGTGGTGCTCTGGAAACCACGCTTCCATTTGCTATCTTGTGGCTTCAATGTAGAGTATCCGTCACCGAAATCTGGTATGTAGTTGATGATGTGCTCCCAAAGAGAGCCGAGGTGATCACCACGAGCATCGGTGGCATAGTGATTGAGCTTGTATAAGAAGTTAGTGCAAGATGAGTAGGTTATATGTAAGGACTTACGTAGGACCCAAGAATATCAATGGCATCAATGTCCTCTCCCATGTATGCTAACTGATCCTTGAGACCAGGTATGAAGGTGATAATCGCTTCGAAAGTGTAAATGAGTTCTTCATGTTCACCTTTGTCCCTAAGAGTAAAGTATAGGTCAGTCTATGCACATCGTAACGTCATATACATGTACCAAGAATAACACTCACATGGAATTGAAGGTGGCTATCATTTGCGGATTGAGTTCATCGGCATCTTGCTGTGAGATTAAGCCGAGCTGCAGTGCTTGCATTGGACATGTGAAAGGACCGACGATGCAGGGAATAAATCATGCACCATCATGGTACGGCTTGAGGGGACGAAATACTCTGCAAACAGATGGACTCCAGTCAGTCAAAGCCTGTATTTGCTTCGAATTCATACTTCGGATCACGTCTTTTGGCCATACCCCTCACGAGCTTCTTGGTGCAATGGTGTTTATGTGACACTGAGTCGGACTGATCATCCAGCTCAGTGCTTCTGCACTTGTGCCCTCGGGCATGGGCCTCATCCTCTTTCTCGTTGTCGTCCTCATTCTCAGCTTTAATCTCCATCTCACCTTCACCTAGCTCCACCTCCTCATCTTCATCAGTATCCTTATTTGCGTGTGAGTAGCCATTATCTTCGTCGTCCTCCTTACCTGAATCACTGCTGTCGTCTTCGTCACTGCTTTCTTTTGCTGGAAGTGCTCTCTTCTTGCAGTGGTCAGCCGGTTCTCGATCCAGATGTGCCTTCTTCTTTGATGGACGCACCTCTTCATCTTCGTCCTCTGAGCCTGTAGTTCTGGTACGTGCTGTATGTTGCACTCGTGAAGATGCGGGAGCTTTTTGAGAGGAGTCCGAGTTAGCCGGAGGATAGTGAGATGGCGTCTTGATTGAAGACAGTGGGTTGCGGCGAGAAGGTGAATGTTTCTTGGCATTGGTATGACCCATGATGAGATTAATACCAGAAGGATAACGCAAGGATCAGCTGGTAGATATTGGCTGTGCAAGGGCAGAGGCGTGTATAAAGGACACGGTCACGCAGTGCCCCAACACGTTTTTGCGTCTGTCACGTGGTCGCTCCTGCAGACGATAATCCTAAGTCTCGACCACCTCTCCATAGGCTCTCTCTCTTGGCTAAATGTGGCTGGCACCTCTGCTACTGATATTCCTGCTATCTATATATATGACACTGAAGTGCCTAGAATGCCTCAAGGAATTTAAGCATGCCCGAGGACTCAGCAATCACACAGGTGGTGGCAGATGCAAGAAAAACCACGAGCTTACACGCAAAGGGCTGCATGTGCACGAAGTCAAACACCTGAGGAAAAAAGCGGAAAAGAAAGAGAAGAAAATATGCGCTAGGGAGATAAGAGATATATGAGCCAAACCAGTGCAAGAGATAGAACCTGTACGTTACTAGTTGTGCTGATTTAAGTGTTTTAGCCGTCACTGCCGGGCCTGATTCATGAGAATATATTCTGTTGCTTCTACAACATGCATTTTTCATTCTGATGTTGTACTGAATATGTGTTAGGCTCTGTTTGAACCTGGTGACCTCGGGTACGATGCAGCAGAAGGCATGCCGATCGAGCCTGCACCTGCGGCTGAAGTAGATGCCATTCCTGAAGTCACAACACGATCTGGACGACGACTTCACGTGCCAAAAGGTCTGGCTGACTATCTTCCACAACCGTTCCGTGGTATACCGGTGCATATACACAGGCCGCCGCAAGAACAGAGGGTATTTAGGCCATATCATGGCCAGGTGGACACTTTGCAGGGGCAGCAAGACCCAACTGCCGAATTTGCTGCTTTGGTAGTGGAGAATGTCCCCACTATAGACACAGCTGAGCTCTCGATCAAGACTGAGCTGAATGAATTTGGTTTGTATCATGTATACAGCGTCAAACCCCAGAAGGACCCAGAGGATGAAACAATTCTGGATTCTCTGTGCAACTCACCGATGTTCATTACCGCACCAGAAACAACTTTACGTGGACGTAATCCACTTCACCATCTTCGCGAAACCTTTACAGATACTCTGCAAAGTACTCGCGATAATTTCTTCACTCTCTTCCTGAACGTCACTACCTACCGGCTGTTAAACTGGATGTACGGCACTTCTGATATGAAGTCAATCTCCGAAGTGGACAGTCTCATTCACAATGTGTTGCTCGCAGATGACTTCGATGCCAATCACCTCCAGAACTTCAGTGCTGTGCGCGAGCTCAAATGCCTAGACAAGCATTCTCAGACATCAGATGCCTTCGATATCCCGACAACCACGACGCATGGACTTTCTGTGGGTCCGTTGGTTCGGTCGTGATCTTACAGCACCTGGTGGCTTTGGGACCCGCCGCTTGCACCGCGTCGGCTTCGTTGATGTTGATGATTACAAGCCATTTGGATTCCTCAATCCTGATGAAGTTCTCCGAGGTGTTCACCTTATTCCAGCATTCGCACATGGATGAACATCAAGTCTTTTACCTCCTTCCGTTGCGCGACGGTCTGACGACAACGATGAGGACTGGCAATTCTATTACGTTAATATGTACGTGTTCGTTATTATTTCCTTCATTTTATTCTTCTTACTGTCGCTCAGGTTCATCGATCGTGACATGTTTATGAGATACCTCGGTGGTGCTGTCGGACACAAGGGAGCCAGTGTCTCCCCACGGAGGACAATGATGGGATGGACATAGACGACAATGAATCGGATGATGACAATCAATCTGTGGACTCGAGAGTGCAAGACGAAGAAGAAGACGAACACGAAGATGAACATGAAGACGAACACGAAGATGAACACGAAGACGAACACGAAGATAAACACGAAGACGAACACGAAGATGAAGGCCCGATTGCACAGGAAGAAGACGACTACGGCTATGATATTTCGGACAACGAAGAATATGAGGAGGGCACTGGAGATGAAGGGATTGATCACGAGGAGGAAGATCTTGGTCCGGAGAACAGTGAGGATGGTGAAGAGGACGAGTACGGCGATGAAGGCTATGCGCCGCTGTAGCACGCGAGTACTCAAAAGTAATGTCACACCCTTGTATATAATATCCAGCTATATACAGAATAACTGCCTATGTCTGTATACTGTCTGCATACCCAACCGGACTCTGCTGGGATATGCATATCTATGTCGAGAGGACTTTGACATGCAAACTCATACCACCTCGCTTGCCTTTTACAGCTCGCTGCATCGCGACGCAATCTGACCCCCCTGCTTACAAACCCTGCATCAGCAAACTCGCACAAGTCTGGCACATCTGGCACCAGATCGACCATACACTGCCAGATGCCACCACGCTGCCATAAATTCGTCTGGCATTATATTTGACCTACGTATTACCATAAACCATCTGTGGCACCATACGCCAGCCACAACTAAACCAGAACTGCCATACAAGCGCTCTGGCTCCATGCTCATCATTGTAGCTCACACCAAATTCTAGGTAGTTCAAACAATTAGATATATTGGGCCAATGCTAACTACAGTACAACACTATCCAGCACAGCACACTGCGAGTGATGATAATCCGACAGCACCCAGATCACAGTCCCCCACTGAACTAACGGCGAGGCCCGTCAGCGAAGGCAAACCCTTCAGCTACAACAGCAGAACAGTGCCGGTGTGCACAGGGTAGGAGATAGTAATGGCTCTGTAGAATGTGACATCAGATATCGAGACTAAAGGAAACAAGAAGACCAATAACTTACTGCCTTGAAGGGATGTAAAGGGAGAACTGGGCTCCAGGCGAGCAGCACCGCACCCCAGCATCGCCAATAAATCACTCACACAAGCAAGCCCAGGATTCCAGCTGCAGCGCGTGATGCGAAGCCACCGCGGCCAGCGATGGGCCAGCGGCGCCTGTCTCGAGAAGACGAGCGCGTGCACTATCGCAGAGAAGTCCTCAGCATGCCAGGGCCTGTCAACACATGGATCCTGGTGAACACAACAGGCGGCTGCACATGCCCACGTTCAAGCTTGGGTCTGTGCTGCCCGTTCATGGCCCACGAGGTCTGATGCATGCTGCAGATGCAGCGCACGAGGGTGTGTGAACGCGACTCACCGTCCTATGCATGGCGTGTATTAGGGGCCAAGAATCATCTAGCAAAATACATTAGGAAATATATCTGTTCATACCACATAGGACTTACTTGTTTCGCGATGTTGTCATAGTATATTGAAAGGGCGGGTATTCGTAGCACTTGCACGCACTCACAGTGTACCCGAGTTCCACCGCTAGGGCCAGGGACTCCACTGCATGATCTTGGTCAATGAAGAAGACGGCATTGAGAATGTCCTCATTGTCCATCATGATGCCATGCTCATGGAACAGGGTGAGCTCATGCAGGGCAAATCAAGAGACATACGATTTGTCAGGCTTTTGCGTCACTTCAAATACATCTCTTTTTAAGCCCTACCGGATGTTGCAATCTACAAATGCTCACCAATGGAAATGTCTGCATAGATCTGCAGAAAAGGCGATGTGTTGGTGGGTGCATACAGGAAGTTGTCCGGGCGAATATTTAGCACAATCATTCATAAAATGCTGGAGATGCTCACCCACAGTCATTATGGAATCTCGCCTCCCTCATAGAGATCGTAAGTATGCAAGGGTTGAAGAGACCGGAGGAGAAACCAGAGATCTTCGATGGGAGCATACTGATGTGCCATGTTTGGTCAATTCAACAGAGTCACGTGCCATGGAACTTCGCATTTCTTCCGAATCTTTGCCTTTGGAGAATCTCTGTGCCTCGTATAATCTGTGTCACCTTATTCTTATGTACCTGATTGGGCTCACACACAGAAACTATCCACTGTGTAGTACCACTGAAATATATTTTCCATTGTGGCACTGTATGGCTGAGTGTCTGGATTTATGGCGGAGTATGGCTTGGTATGGTGCCACGAGAACCACGGCCACCATACACACCAGAGCCCACCAGACTTGTGCTAGTTTGCTGATGTGCCTGGCATTGCAGAGTTTGGACACTTTTGCTGATGAATGTCACACCCTTGTATATAATATCCAGCTATATACAGAATAACTGCCTACGTCTGTATACCGTCTGCATACCCAACCGGACTCTGCCGGGATATGCATATCTATGTCGGGAGGACTTTGACATGCAAACTCATATCACCTCGCTTGCCTTTTACAGCTCACTGCATCGCGACGCAATCTGACCCCCCTGCTTACAAACCCTGCCTGGCGTTGCAGAGTTTGGACACTTTTGCTGATGGGTTAACCCATTCAATAGTGCCATATAGCTAGACTGCCACTCAACAGACCTCAGGTCCACTCCGACGCCATGATTGAAGTAAGTATGTTGAAGTCTGCTATCCCTTACGTATACATACTGTTCAGTATTCTACATCCTACGCCACAGCTGTGATGCTGATGCAGTTTTCAGCGTGTTCATCAGCAAACTAGCACAAGTCTGGTAGGCTCTGGTGTGTATGGTGGCCGTGGTTCTCGTGGCACCATACCAAGCCATACTCCGCCATAAATCCAGACACTCAGCCATACAGTGCCACAATGGAAAATATATTTCAGTGGTACTACACAGTGGATAGTTTCTGTGTGTGAGCCCAATCAGGTACATAAGAATAAGGTGACACAGATTATACGAGGCACAGAGATTCTCCAAAGGCAAAGATTCGGAAGAAATGCGAAGTTCCATGGCACGTGACTCTGTTGAATTGACCAAACATGGCACATCAGTATGCTCCCATCGAAGATCTCTGGTTTCTCCTCCGGTCTCTTCAACCCTTGCATACTTACGATCTCTATGAGGGAGGCGAGATTCCATAATGACTGTGGGTAGGGTGTAACATGGGTTACACCGTGGGTAAGAATTTTGATACCGCACCTGTGACCCGCTATCCTGTACCTGCCACAACCACGGGTATCTTACCATACAGGAACACCGGCGGTGTGTATGCAAACTGCACGGGTCTACAAACCCGTGGTATCTCTCATACGAGTTTTCATAGATTGGAGCAAGAATATTACATTTTGTACTTAAGCCTTATCTATTGCCTCTCTGTCGTCATTCTCAATATGCTTACCTTCTTGGGGGCAACTGCGGCGATGAGATCCTCCATGCAGAGAAGGTTGCTATGCCCCCACGAGCCGAGACAGAGTGATGCACGGATCGTCGATGGCATCATGCGGTTGCGTGTGAAATGGAGAAGCTGGCGACCTTGCGAGAACGTGCGCTCAACAGCAGTTGACGTCACTGAGTCATATTGATTAGCACATATGAACTGAGGTAGGGAGTGGCAGAACATACCGGGGATGCTGAGATAGTCTAGACCCATGCGCGAGAGCTTTGGGTAAGCTTGACGGTTATCATACCACCACTTCAAGGGGTCCTGCACATTCTCCAGGGGCGCCGCGAGGTAGTCATCAATCTCGTTACGCACAGTGACTAAGCCAGATAACGAGATATTCCTGAATTCAGCGAACTCGTCATTATCGGAGACCTGGTCATAGGCAATTCAACTGAGTACACAACAGGCTGATTGCTAAATCCATGGCACGTACATCAGCATCAGCAGACACACCCGCATGCACTGCAGGAATGGGTATGGGCACAATAGCATCTTCATATGTGCCGATGTACTCCTCACGTGTAAGGTTCTCGGCAGCGTCAATCCAGGTAGGATCCCACTCGCGCTTCTTGAAATACTCGAGTTTCAACCCAGGATGAAGCACTTGCACATGGCAATGATCAGAACAGTAACTCTCAAGGGGAAAGGAGTAAGGACATACCCATTGTGATCCGATAGACAGATGACAGATCAGTTTTTGAATAGTACCGATTCATTGTAGCACGTGCAAGCTGCATGGCAGACTGAATCGCAGGGTGATAGTTCTGTACCGTACGGCCACTCAGCATGTCGTTAATGCTGTCCATTGTCGGGATGACATTAGCAATAGTGCTAACACTCTCTTGCAAAAAAAAGTGTGGCTGTCTTGTACTTCTGCAACAGTGGATGCACTGTCAGCATCCAATCAGACCAGTGACATAAGAGAATTACCTTCAGCACTCGCACAAGGTCCTCAGTTATCTTCCAATCATCCACGTCAAGCTCATATTGAGGCAGCTTAAGGACCTTGTTGCCCATGATGTTGTCGATTGGCTGTCGGTACTTGAGGGCAAAACTCACCATGTCGTAAGTGGAATTCCAACGCGTGGTAACATCACGTGGAATCATGCGAACAGGCATCTTGGTGCTTCGGCACGCATCGTGCCATGCAGGGAGTGCAATCGTGGTGGAATGGATGATCACAAATGAAAGACGTCGAACCTAACTAATTGTCAATGATCGCACTCCTAACAAGATGGACATACGTACCTTAGTGAGAGTTGAGCGCACTTCCGCCGTCTTGCTCAATAATTCCTCCCTCGCACCCTCATCCAATGCGGCCAGCTCATCGACATCTTCTCTGAGATCATCCCCATCAAGGTCGTCATATCCTGCGGCCTCGTTATCATCATTGTTGTTGTCATCGTCATCTTCATCATCGGAGTCTTCCGCCAGTGCAGGCATATCCACGTAGAGGTCAGCTGCCTCCTCGGATGCTGAGCTGATGGCAGAGTTGAAGGGACGCAGGAGAGACTTTGCTGACAACTGTAAGGTGTGGTTGAAACAACGTGCCCGATTGACTTCGTGGAAGGAGTTAGGGAGGATGGACAGCTCCGCAGTCTGGGTGTCATTCGACGTCGCATTGTCACCATTGTAAGCCAAGATCTATTACAAATGGTGAGACACGGGCTGTCAGTAATGAAGTAAAGGCACACCTTTTGCTCGATCCCATAACTCATGAGCATGTCTTGAAATGCACGTGCGAGTGCGATCCCTGTATGTGACTGATGTTCGCATGAGCGTCATGTACATGCATAAAGCCCAAAGGAAATTTCATACTTCAGGGACCTCAATTATATCAAGCAAAAATGAAAGTGGGTGACCCTGAAAATCCAAATGGACAGTCTAAGCGACAAATGCGCAATGGTTCGGAGAAGTCCATGCATCAGTGGCAAAATTCAAATGACCAGGATGCTCCTATGTGAATACCATATAAGCCTACATGGACAAGGATAAGTAATATAGTGGGCAACTTACTCGTAGCAGGGTCCCTATGCGCTCACGACAACGCTGGAATGATGCCTTGACGTCACGTTGCAATGTCATCGGTGTTGGCAGGAGAAGGCCGGGATGCCCTGCGGTCATGAGTTCTTGAAATTCGCGATCGGATATGAGGTGTGCAGGACGATTGCATTCCGTGATCCACTTGACTAGATGGGCACTGCAAAGAGTAATCAGAATCAAGAACCCCGTACATCCATGCAAGGTACTCACCGCACTTCAGGATTAGAGTGTGTGCGATGAGAGACAGTCACCGGCTGTTGGCCTTGACGCGCGAACACGGCAAAGATCGAGTCGTTGCGTGGTGCGTTCTCTCCCTTGATAGCCGCCTCGACTGCTGCAGCCCCGAAGCAGTGAATGATGTGTGACTTGAGGTTCGATGTCGAGGCCTTGTCCTTGGAGTCCTGGTATCGTCGCACTCCACCGAGTACATTCCTGCATTTGCGAGTGGCACACGTAAAGAAATGGCATTTGTGCCCATTTTTATACTGGACCGACACATTCGACTTGAAAAAAGCATAGACCGGGGAGCGCCAGGTTGCTTGAAGATGTGCTGGACAGGAATGGGGTTAGCGGGTGTGTACGACATTGAGATATAAACAAAATGCACCGAGTTCCTGTTCATCTGACTCCTCATCCAGAGCACTCTGAGAACCATGGCTCCCCGCAGAATGGATGGATCTGGCATCGCTCGGAGCTGGCATCATCGCAGAGCCTCCAATGATCTCAATGCTCCTGGAGTCCGAAGGCAGTTCAATGGCATCCACGGTGTCAGGCTCAGAGCTTCGAGCCAAAGCCCGTGAGGTCGCACAAGAGAGATTGGAGCTCGAGATAGACTTGCGCAGGCGTTTGAGGGGGCGCGCCACAGTCTTCACACCAGCCTTCAAGGTCTCCGTGACTTTGGCGGCCCTGCGCGAAACGTGTGACTTGACAGAGGTGCGGGAGGATAAACTATTGGGCTGAGTTCTCTTTGCCATAGCTGTTAGCCTGGAGAGGAGATGAGCGCACGAAACACACGTACCATCAAAGTCGAAAATTCCCGCTTTTTAACTGAGCGGGCCAGCGAGCAATGTGATCAGCTGCATGACATCCTTGCCGAGTCTGAGTCCGATGACTAGACTGCAATTGAGTGAGCGCAACATAAGATTAGGGGGCAAAACATACGATACGGTGGAGGCACACCGCAGTGCCTCTGATTGCCCGTCGATAGCAGCCTCGAATATTCTTCCAATGTGCGACTGATTGAAAATCTGTTTGCCCACTCGCACGACGACCAGCGCTGCGCTGATCAGACAAATATCCCGCACATCGCTGTCTACAAACAGTGAGTTTTCGTGAGTCACGCACGTTCCAACTTATCGAAAATCACTTACCAACCTTCCAAGGCACTCCACAGTGTCTCAGATCCTGCGGGAGGGGGGCGTATATCCATCAATTTGCAACCTACAATTGATCATGTTAGTATGTCACGGACATTCCAAGGAAAACGATCATTCTAACTATCTGTGAATGCGACGCACGGTCGACCCATTGAAAAAACAAGACGATACGAGTACCCTGTGCCACGCGCAGCCTGCAATCATTGCGAGATAATATATGCGAGGTTGAGTCGCATGCTGAGTTCACGATGCCGTAGGACATGCTAATGTGTCTCCCGAGTCTGTGAGAGCAAGTTATTAGCGTGACAGAATTTCCCTGGGGCTCTCCAAATGAGCAGAGGCCCCAGGTAACACAACGAAACTGAGTACTATTCACTCACCTCTATGTGCGATCCAGAGTGCCCTTCCGATTTATCGAACATTGTCCGATATGCTGGTGGGATGATAAATTTTTGCGCAGCACCAGATCGGGATCTCAACCGCAGCCTCAAGTGCTCGTGAGACGCCCACAGCGGCACCTGCCTTCAACACGCAAACCTCCCCGGGCCCCCTTTCTCTAACATATTTCTCATAGATATATTCTCGGCGACGATCTTCAGCGCATATGGCAGCTTCAATTTCTCATACAGTGTGCTTTACCTACCACAGATCGGACTAGCATAAGGGTTTTCATTGGTTCGTTTCCAATACGGCTCAAGTGTTGATTACCCCACAGGGCAACGTACTCCGTTGACAGTGCAGTAATCTCTCGGTCGACGGCGCGTCCACTCTAACGGTAAGTTGAGGGTGCAGCCTTGCGCGAGGCAAAGATGTCTCATCCATTTGCTCCTCTGCTCGATCGTTCTTCCGCATCACATTCCACAGCCGGGGAAACCACGAGGTGGCATGCTTGTCCGACGCGCCCCCTTCGACATCGGTCTGCTTCTTGTCGCCCGTGAACTGCTCACGGCCCCTGCTTCTTAGCGACATCAGCTTTGTCGGACGGCTGATACTGGGGCTGCTGTTCTGATGCTGTGCGGAAGCAGGGGCGGTGCTATTGTGCTGACACATCGATGTACGAATACCGTCGAACATACCAGAGCGGGGATGAGGGGAGGGCATGGGCGTGAATGAGGGCAAGTTGACTTCAACCATCTCCCCACCATCCTCGTCTTTCACCAGGGGAACTGGGGTCGGAGTGCTGGTGTTCCGGAAAGGAATCACCAGTCCCAGAAGAATTCTCACACGCTATCATTCTCAGCATATGTGTTGGTGCTTGCGGGACTGATCCTTTGTTAGAGCAGTCACTAGTAGAACGGGCATGCAGATGTGAGCTAGAATTCAGCATCAATCAAACTTTGCTCTGAGCTCTGACAGAACAAGTCTAGATAGCCGAAGTATAGAAATTATTATTTACATTGTATATATTTTGTCCATATTCCACTGACCTAATGGTGTCCAAAACCCGTCAAGCACCGCGGTGACCGTGGAGCGGTGCACGGTATTCACGGTGTGTGTGGAACAAGACCCGCACCCGCACCCGCACATACCATATAGGGTATACTGCAGTGCCACCCACCACCCGTGTTATACCCTAACTGTGGGTGAGCATCTCCAGCATTTTATGAATGATTGTGCTAAATATTCGCCCGGACAACTTCCTGTATGCACCCACCAACACATCGCCTTTTCTGCAGATCTATGCAGACATTTCCATTGGTGAGCATTTGTAGATTGCAACATCCGGTAGGGCTTAAAAAGAGATGTATTTGAAGTGACGCAAAAGCCTGACAAATCGTATGTCTCTTGATTTGCCCTGCATGAGCTCACCCTGTTCCATGAGCATGGCATCATGATGGACAATGAGGACATTCTCAATGCCGTCTTCTTCATTGACCAAGATCATGCAGTGGAGTCCCTGGCCCTAGCGGTGGAACTCGGGTACACTGTGAGTGCGTGCAAGTGCTACGAATACCCGCCCTTTCAATATACTATGACAACATCGCGAAACAAGTAAGTCCTATGTGGTATGAACAGATATATTTCCTAATGTATTTTGCTAGATGATTCTTGGCCCCTAATACACGCCATGCATAGGACGGTGAGTCGCGTTCACACACCCTCGTGCGCTGCATCTGCAGCATGCATCAGACCTCGTGGGCCATGAACGGGCAGCACAGACCCAAGCTTGAACGTGGGCATGTGCAGCCGCCTGTTGTGTTCACCAGGATCCATGTGTTGACAGGCCCTGGCATGCTGAGGACTTCTCTGCGATAGTGCACGCGCTCGTCTTCTCGAGACAGGCGCCGCTGGCCCATCGCTGGCCGCGGTGGCTTCGCATCACGCGCTGCAGCTGGAATCCTGGGCTTGCTTGTGTGAGTGATTTATTGGCGATGCTGGGGTGCGGTGCTGCTCGCCTGGAGCCCAGTTCTCCCTTTACATCCCTTCAAGGCAGTAAGTTATTGGTCTTCTTGTTTCCTTTAGTCTCGATATCTGATGTCACATTCTACAGAGCCATTACTATCTCCTACCCTGTGCACACCGGCACTGTTCTGCTGTTGTAGCTGAAGGGTTTGCCTTCGCTGACGGGCCTCGCCGTTAGTTCAGTGGGGGACTGTGATCTGGGTGCTGTCGGATTATCATCACTCGCAGTGTGCTGTGCTGGATAGTGTTGTACTGTAGTTAGCATTGGCCCAATATATCTAATTGTTTGAACTACCTAGAATTTGGTGTGAGCTACAATGATGAGCATGGAGCCAGAGCGCTTGTATGGCAGTTCTGGTTTAGTTGTGGCTGGCGTATGGTGCCACAGATGGTTTATGGTAATACGTAGGTCAAATATAATGCCAGACGAATTTATGGCAGCGTGGTGGCATCTGGCAGTGTATGGTCGATCTGGTGCCAGATGTGCCAGACTTGTGCGAGTTTGCTGAAGTTCTTGTTTTGAATTGGATCTACTTGTTGCTTCAGGCACTTATTACTCGGTTGTTCGTGAGGGTAAGTGTCCCCTTTCCGTATTCTGCGAAGCGTGCCATTGTTGCATTACCCCTCGAATTGGTTTCTCAAATTTTACTGCTAGTCTGACGTGTTCTCCAGCGTGCATCAAGTTCACGACAACCAGGCCGTATTGCGATTATTGGCACTGGAGCCACCGGCGTTGCATGTGCGGCCCATGCGCTCTCCCAGGGCTTCGAAGTCGTACTTTTTGGCCAAGAGGAAGATTACGGTGAGTTGAGTGGTCCGATGGCGGCCACCATCGTTCCTCGACGATCAAACCTATTCTCACACGAGTTTACGTAGGCGGAATCTGGAGCCATTCTAACAGCAGCACACGGTTGCGATCCACTTCATTGTTCTATCGCTTCCACCCTACTGTTTTATGGAGACATTTCTTCCCACTGCGGGATGAGATCTTAGAGGGTAAATAATGTTCTCTGCTGCAATTGTCGTTTAATATATGTGCTAACGATCTCTTCACTCTGCAGAGATTCATCGCCTAGTGGACAAGTACGATCTTGACAGTCGTATGCATCTTTGCTGCAAGGTGCTTGATATTCGACGAGCCACAGCTGAAGAGGTCTTAACCTATGCGGAGATTCAAGGCAAGAAAGCCCTTCCCTTCTACGGGAGCCCTGCGCAGTGGATAGTGCGATACCATATCGGAGGAGGCATCGAGAATGCGCCTATCAAGGATGAGACGACTAACGAGGATATCTTTGATGCTGTTGTCGTCGCTGTAGGGAAGTGTGGCCGGCCAAAGGCGATCATGATGAAGGGTATGCCCACGTCCACACGCCATACAGGTGAAGGTGCATGTGAACGCGATACGGCCACCAGCAGGCAAACCGGGAATGTCTTCAGTGGTGCTGTGTACCATTCTTCCGAAACAGGTGATGATCCGATCTTCGCTGGCAGGCGCGTCGTGATCCTCGGGGACGATGCGCCTAGTTTTGATGCAGTTGACCTTGGTCGTGCACGAAAGTGTGTTGTTATCGCCAATGACGATAAAGTGTGTTAACGCCTGTTATGTGTCACTATTACTGACCCTATGAATCCTGTTTAAGTGGATTCTGCCATACAATATGCTATTATATAGCCTCATATCGCTTGGGAAGTACATGCCATTCCGGTCAGTTCATACAGAGTGACTTCTAAAAGTTTGTACTCACTGTTTCCAGGTGCATCTGGGAGAAGAGGTTTACGCATGCCTTGGCGAATTATACCTACCAGGGTGTGGAAGAACTGGTTCCGCATAGTCTGGGAATCTTTGAAGGCAAAATTGTACATTCTTGTGTCCAAGGTTGTACGAAATATTATCGCTCACATACACGTGGAACAGGTCTGGAACGATTATCTCATCCAGCATATTCGGGCTGAGAGGTGTCAGTATATTCGGGGGAGTGCGAACTGCCTGTCAGCACGTAGCGTGCATGTGAATTTGAAGCAGGATGGCTCTCAAGTATTCCAAGGGGAGAAGGAGGTGTGCTTCCAATCTATATTTATGCTGTAGTGTGAACGGACCACTGAGAACTTCTTTAGTTCCCGGCCGATGTGGTCGTTTTATGTACAGGATTTGAGGATCCTGATATGGGCTTCCTTCCCCTCACACTTTTTCCTGAGGGGTGGAATGTGCGCCTGCGATGTTTAGAGCGTGTTTAGTATTGACGTTATGTGTAGAAGCAAGACCTGTTCCTGCAGGCTTTCTCACCAGAAGACTTGTCAGTGATGGTGATGGATCCGAGCTTGCGGACAGGTAATGTGTTTCTGTCCGTGATCTATTGACACAACTCACATGAGTATTCTGCCTAGGACGTACCATGTGAGTAACAATATTCCTTTCTCCGCGTTTATTACTGGATATCGTCGATTAAAATTTATCGCGATCAGTTGGCCGTACGTTCTAAGGCTGTTCACAGCGTTGCTAGACTGACTTCTCTTCCACAGACTTATTGGAGTTTGTAAGTCCACGTCGTCTTCCTGCATGATGTCCATCACTGTTGATGTACTCTACAAGATATGCGCCTTCTTCTCATATTTTTAATGAAGCCTGAGATGCGGCCAATGCAAAGTGACATGAGGGATTGTGTGGATGCTTCAAAACTACTCGCACGAACGCCATTATATGGAATCGCCAACTTTGGTCAGTCTCCCATGCTGGCAAGCCCGCAGTCGCTGAATATCTTGTATTCTTCAGGGCTACAGCTCCTCCCATCCTTCATCTATCGGCACGGGGTGGCAGGTGCGAGATTGTGAGTCTCTTGTCTCTCTCTCCATCTGCGTCTCGTGTGCTTAACAAATCATAGGATGCTATTTATCTTGTTGGGATGGGAGTAGCCACACAAGACAAGGTGTATAGTGGTTGACGACATTCGCTTAGTATCTTTATTATTTCTGCGTAAGTAGCATCAATTATACTTACTCTGAAGGGGCCGTGTGGCCTCCCGAAATATTTGGTGAGAAAATCTAACCTCGAAGAGTGAAGCGTAACATTACCACTCATCGGACAATCCTGGAAGTCGCGGACTTTTGAGTGCGGATAGAATTTAGATTACAATCATGCGGTCCTCCGTGGCTAGTTATATCGTCAGCTTACACGGACATAAGTAACCATCAGATTCATACACAGACGCGTTTTCCAGCGAGTGAGCCGGCAGCAATCACGTGCATTCTGGTTTAACCGCGAGTCGGTCGCCAGCGGCTCTTCGCCGACGCTCATTTGCGTTCTCGTCGTCGCCGCCGATTTTACTGATGCCCTCACCTCCAAAACCCTGGGAGCGTCCAGGCTCAGCAGTCGCCGCTGCCCCAATGTCCACTCCCTCTCCCACACCATCGGCACCAGCGCCGTCGTCTATCCCCTCAACCTCCACAACGACGACACTACCCACAGTGCCCACACGGCCAGCCGCCCTGGCAGGCCCTTCGGCGGGCATCGCAAACCCGGCTTTCAATGCTGGGATGGGCAATTACTCCTCACCATACTCGTCCTACGGCTCCTCGTACTCGTCGCCCTACAACCGGTTCGGCTCGTATTCGCCCTACGGCATGAACAACATGTACGGGGGCGGGTACGGCGGGTATGGCGGATCGTCGTACTCGCCGTACGGCATGTCGAGCATGTACCCGTCGCCCATGGGGATGGGGATGCCGTATGGGGGCATGCCGAGCGCCCCGGGGCTGGACCCCAACGCTCCGCCGTCGCTGACCCAAACGCTGGAGGCGACGACGGCGCAGACATTCGGGATGCTGCAGGCCCTCGTGCAGACATTCGGCGGGGTCGCGCAGATGCTCGAGAGCACGTTTGCCGCAACACACGCGAGCTTTTTCGCCATGCTCGGCGTCGTCGACCAGGTCTCCGCCCTGCGTTCCGCCCTGGGCAGCATCCTTGGCCTATTTGGCCTAGTCCGATGGCTGCGCGACCTCCTCACCGGCCGCGCACCCGCCTCCGCTCCCGCGCTGAACTCGGAGTTCCGCCAGTTCGTGAATGGCGTCCCGCCCAAGCCCGCCGGCGCGCCCCAGCAGCCGCGCGCGAGCAGGAAGCCACTCATCATATTCTTGCTCGCGGTGTTCGGCGTGCCGTACGCAATGCATCGCCTTGTGCGTGCGCTTATCGCGCGCCAGCAGGCAGCCGTTGCGGCGCAGGGCGGTGGGCAGCTGCCCCCGCTGGACCCCTCGCAGCTGACGTTCGCGCGCGCACTGTATCTATTCGAGGGCGCGGGCCCCATGGAGCTCTCGTTGAAGGAGAACGAGATCGTTGCGATCATGGGCAAGCTCGACCCCGCGACGGGCGCTGAGGTTGATCCACGGCTTGAGGTGCGTTTTCCTCTGTCCACTGTCCGAGCCGCTGACCTCACCTTCTCGTGGATTTTCAGGTCGAGAGCGAGTGGTGGAAGGGTCGGACGAGGGAGGGCCGCGAAGGCTGGTTCCCGCGCAAGTGGGTGCAAGTCCTCGAGCGTCGGAAACCCATCGATGCTCCTCCTCCGCCGGCTGCGGCGCCAGTCGAGACGAAGAAGGTCGCGTAGGGCTGTGCATTCATTCCGTCATTGTGCGCTCTCCTGATCGCGATTCCAGTCGATGAGGAGTGATCAAAAGGACGGGCGGTCGTCTTGTCTATCCCCCTATTCTTGGTTCTGTTCCTCGGTATCTCCAGGGTGTGTGATGTGGTTTCTCCCCTACGTACCTGCCTTTGGTCAGTTGTATACCGTCATTTTAGTGCGATATCTTTTTTGGATGCGTATGTGTACTCGTAGCTATCTTCATTCTTTTTCTTTCAAACATACACCCGTAAATCACGCCCAGTGGAAGGGGTACTGTGCGGTGCTCCAAGACCAGTTTCAACGTGGAGTTCGTTCGCCTTAACGCGATGTACTTTCGCGTGTTTAATGCACACCGACCTCAGCGAAATATCACAGTTCAAGCTTGCGTCTCTCCTTAGCTAGGCAGGCGTTCATCTTCTCACCGTAAGCAATCATGTCACCACCCACGACGGTTACACTAGCAAGACCGTGATTATTGCTCCTTAAAATACAAGTGCCGAAAGCTGATCGATATACACACAGGATACGCTCACGAACCAGCATTACAGTCGTTCTCGTCCGTTGCCACATTACGGGCTCCACACCACAGACTACACGTAGCCTTGGCTTCGCGAGATAATATACCTGGGCGCGACGCACACGAAACAATCAACACGGCTGACAGTTATACACAGGCAGAACGCGACTGACCAGGCGTGCAGCACGCCAGGGATCCAGCCGAGGATCCACAGAAGGATGTTGATCCAGAAATCTGTAGCGTCCCCGCCGCGCGTCAGCATACTGCGCCCAGAGAAAAACGCGCCGGAAAGGGACTGCTACGCACCTGATGTGATTCCGCGCTCTGGCGTCACGAAGCGCGTCAGCCGTCGTTACCCAAACCAGCAGCACTTTTTTGGGCGCGGGCACTCACTGCTGAAGAACACAGCTAAGGGCGGGATGAACCTAGCGCATGTTCAGCACCTCCTGGCAGGACGTGAGATATAGGGGTGACACGTACAGCGCGAGGAAGAAGAGGGCCATGTCGGACGGCTGGGTGACGCGCTGCTTCTCACCGCCAGGCGGGGCGCCGTACGCATGGGCGGGAGGCGCAGGCTGGGGAGCTGTCGCAGGAGCCGTCGCAGGAGCCGTCGCAGGAGCCGTCGCAGGAGCTACCGCAGGAGCCGTCGCAGGAGCCGTTGCAGGGGGCGCTGCGGGGGGAACCGCAGAGGCAGCCATCCTGTCTTTTTCGCCGACATCAGCCATGGCGTTCGCGGTTTGTCAAAGGTGGTGAAAGAATGCAGTTATATTTGCGGGGACCGTCGAAGCTACGCGATAGGAGCGGTGGTGGGAGGTGTGAAGTGAGGGGAGACAGGAGCGGATTATAAGCACCGTACATGGGGCGTGCGCCCGCAGGCATGACGCACGACTGCAGGGCCTGTCGGCGGACTGCTCCACCTCCCCTGAGTGCAGGCTATGCTTGTTTCGGGACGACATACTGAACGCCCGGCGTTCTCCGGATTACATTGCAGCCATGTTGCAAGGACGATCCAGCACCCGTGTTCCTCCAACTTCAAGTCCATCTCGACCATATCCAAGAGCGGCTATGACGGGTAACAGGAATGCGGAGACCTATGCTTCGATGCTGTGTGATGTGGTAAAGTGCGCAGCGGGATACCTAGACATGAGTGCATCTCGCAGGGATCGTAACACTATTCCTTCCTGAGGCTAAAGAGCATACAAGGGGTACGATTTATGCCAGACAGCGCGCTGGGGAAATCACTCTAACTCCATAACGGGAAGCGCAGATGACAAGCACAGGATTTCCGCAAGTTTCGTGGGACCAGGGGCACCTCGGGAGGCGTAGAAAGGGTCGATAGAGCGGGATCACGGTTAACGGTAGTGGACATCAAGGTCGACGCGGCAGTGACTGGCCAGGTAGAGTCCACAACATTTAGATACCCGACGCTCGTCGTCGTGCGAAAGGGCGTGGCCATGGCAGACGGACGTCGTCCGCAAACAAAACAAAAGGGTATCCAGCGCGACCGGTCCGCATCAACTCTATACATCGAGAAACCGGAGTGACACGTCTGCACACATCGACGGTTCAGACCTTCAAAGTTCAGATATGGGAATGCGTGCCCCGTCGCCGACGCGCCTTAAGCAGGTGCCACAATCCCAGCGAATCCTCCGAGCTGGCACAAATCACGGCAGCGGTACCTTGCTTCGCGCGCCGTCGGTACTGCACACCGACGCCGACGAACTCGCCGTGAAACATACTACACTTCAGCTTGCGTCGTTCCCTTCGGGGGTACCCCGACGTCCTTTGAGCGCTGATATCACTTGCGGCAGCAAGCCTGCGATCATCGCCCCAAAGGACGGGTGCCAAACACTAATATTCGACATACACACTGGCATACAGCAGGATCATCACTCACGAACCAGCACCGACATCATACTCGGCGTCCGTTGCCTGCACACGTTCCTCAGGCCTCAGCGCGAAAGACTACATGTAGCCTTCGCTTCGCGAGATGATATACCTGTGCACGATACACAAGAACGATCAACACGGTTAATGACAGGGTAAATGGGCAGAAGCGACAGACCACGCGTGCAGCACGCCAGGGATCCAGCCGAGGATCCACAGCAGGATGTTGATCCAAAAGTCTGCAAGGCACCCAGCGCGTCAGCGTTGTCCCGTGCGCGTAGAAGTGGAGAAGCTGCATACCTGCTCTGATACCGCGCTCTGCGTCACGGAGCACGTCAGCCGCGCGTGGTGCATGAACGAAATTCGCGGACACTCACTGAAGAACACTGCCAAGGGCGGGATGAACCTAGCGCGTGGTCAGTACCTCCTCGCCGGAATGAGATATAAAGCGGCACGTACAGGGCGAGGAAGTAGAGGATCACGTCGTGCGTCGGGCTGACGCGCCTCTTCCCGGCAATAGGTGCGGCCACGGGCGCCGCGGTGCCGTACGTTCCGTTAACAGCCGCCATTAGTGTGTCGCTTTCGCGGAAGTCGAGTGCGGTGAAAGAAGGCGATGTTTTGTGGACACCGGCGTCGAGTTAGTTATGCGAGAGTGTGGAAGTCGGTGCCCATAACAAACGAAGGGGAAGGAGAATTTATAGCGGACATGGGCAGGTCGCATGGAGTATGTGCCTGCGGGCGTGGTCTGATCTTGCGCACTGCGGAAGGTTGTTGTCCGAGTTGAGTCGTAGCAGTGACGTACGCTCACTGCACGTGGAGTCATGCCCATTTCGGGTCACGCGTGTGACTAGCGCTTCTTTCCCCAATAACCATGGACGACTCAGCCGCTGAAAGCGAAATCATCACCGTCATTGCTCAGCTTGCTCGGCCTCACGCAACAGAGGAAGAAGGGTCGGAAGGAGATGTGAGAGTTAGAGAACTAGAATGGGAGTGGGTACGATGTCTCAAGATTCAGAAGGCATGTATTCTCGAGTTCTCTCCCAAGCCGTACAAATGGATCCGGTTCATCACCGGAGTTATTCTGGGAGCTGAAGGTATACTTTGCGCTACGGACAATGCTGATGCCATCGAAATCGACTACGACAGGCCTCTGATCGACGGCAACTTCTCTCTCTACTTTCATGTCACTCCAGCAGAGCTCTCACGGATGTTTCCGCTGGACCCCTATATTGCTGAGCCCTACTGCGCCACGGGAAGTACGACTGAAGCATGCTGCGATGGCTTCAGAGATGAAGTTGAGGGCCGTGATGTACGATGCGTTGCGTCGGATGCTCTTGCCGTGATGTGCGATGCCGCGCATCTCATTGGTCAGAGTAAGGGGGACATCGTACGGTACTCCATGGTTTTCCACGTTCTCCATGCTGACCAGCTTGTCTTTAGTGTATCAAAGTACTTACCAATGCTCGTAGCCGTGACGAGGACAAAAATGATTGTATCGACGATATTGACGACATTCGTAACGGCCTCTTCGTGGTAAGCCAGCTCCATCGGGCACTCGGGAGGAGAGGTGTGGCCTTCCTGTTGGTAGGGATGATTCACGAATATAGGAAGATTGCCTGACTGATTCTTCTTCCGGACAGACACCGAACTTCGCGATGTCTACCAACGACGTCGATCCCACCTTACAACCAGATGAGCAGCGATGGACCATTCATAGCTTCGAAGCCGTCTTCGATCCTGATTTCCGTCATGATCGCGTCTGCAACATCGCCATCCCTCACGGCCAGGCTCTCCGCCTTCCTGTCGATCGAACTTCTTGGCCTCCGGGCATCCTCTTTGATGCCGTCTATGCTGCAGCGGTTATGAAATATTTCAGTCATGAAGATTTCTCTGCCTATCTGAGCCAGCATTGGCAAGGTCGTTTCTACCTAAATGGTGATATGGCACAGATTGAGCATGAAAGAGAGCGGAATAATATGAAGAAAGCACAACAGAAGCGGGAGAGGGCGGAGAGACGGGAGAAGGGAGACATTGAAGGCGGTGGAAAGATGGACGTCTATGATATGCTTCTACTCCTTCCACAGATCGTACGACGACCGCCGACCGCCGAACAAAGGGAGAGACATCTCGCGGAACAGAGAGAATCAGAGTTGGCGAAGCGTAAGGAGTTGGAGCATAAAGTGACTTCTTGGTTGCATACCAAGCGATGATGTGTACGTTCCCCTGACTCTTCATGATTCGTATTGACCTATAGTAATATGTGAATCATTACTGTCAAGGTTCCTCATGTTTTGTTGGTGCGGTTTTACTTGTTTTCCCGAACACTCTACCAGTACGTCGATTAAATACTTAAAACTTTTGTATCTTTATGTTTAACTATCTTCCGCGACGTTCAGTCTTCGACGATCCCTTAGGGGGAGCCGGGGCTGAGGCCGTCTCTCACAGAGAGTGCTACCGGTCCTGCCTGGCCGACGAACTGAGGTTCCTGATATCCGAAGACATTGCCCGTGGCATCACATCAGGGAACGAGACCACCACAGAACGATCACGAGCACATTCGAGGTAGTTAGTTTGAAGCGCCTGGCCGGACAAAAAGTAATATGGATCTCTAGCAACTTATTTGGTTTTTGCAGTAGGTTTTGGATGTCCTGACACCGTTTTTGCTGTGCCGACTTCAATTGTGGTTGGTGGGTCGCGTTTTCGCGGCACATAGTACTGTACCATTTCGATCTATTCGACATGTCACAGGTCACATGCCCTTCTGTTGTGTCGAAATTTGGCGGCTGTCACGGGTCACAGGTAGTACTGTCGGAAGGTCTTTGCATGTCACTGCCCCAAAGGGCACCCAAAATGGGGGAAATTCCCTAAAAAGGGTCCAAAATGTCGAAAATTTCGGCCGGTCACGGGTGTCCGGCCGAGTTGTCTACCTGTCAAATCGGTACCATGCTGTCACGCGTCACACCAGGTGTCGAATAGATCGAAATGGTACAGTATCTCGTTTTCGGTTAGCTCCGAACGTGACAGACTCATCCTCGTCTGCTTCCCCCTCCTCGCTGGTCTGCAGAACATACACGACATGTTGTCTTCTTGGCTTGTCATACTCAAAGGACCGCCGGGCGGCAGCAGATCTTGCTCGGAGATGCTCAACGGTAATGACCAGGTGATGATGTGATTAAATGGACTTTGTTAACTTGTATAGGTCGGCAATACAGTAGCAATACAAACAGATAGAATAGTACCATATTTTGTTGGTCTTGCATACTGACAACGTATGTACGTTATGTCTTCTAGAGCATCACACTCCATGCAGCTGCTCTACCGGTAGCTCTTCGCGGGCGGCACGGACTTCTGGGCGAACTCGCAGAGACATTTTGACCTGTGCATGGACGCAGTGACAGGCTGCTCAGATGAGGCCGTGCTGGTCATTGTGGAGATCTTGGTGCACTGGAAGGTGGCGGAGTGCGTGAGCTCGTGTGCCGCAAGGACCTGAGCTGAGCTGTGTCTGCTGTGGCACATGATTGAACAGAGTGGTTGCCGGATACAATTTGTGCAAAAGTTTTCAGTCCTGGGTAAGTTTTTACATTGGAAGATATATCTACACACCTAGATAATCCATCCTCAGGGGTCTGATATGTTATGGAAACCTCCCATCTGTTGCAAAACAGTCGTTGATGTGGGTCAGCAGTGCACGTGATTGAAGAGAGTGGTCACCAGCTACGATTCCTGTCGCACATTGGGACATTGGGTATGATTTTTTGGGTGGTCTGGCAACTCGAACCATCACTGAACATGCTGGAGTGTACCATGGTCTTTCAAAAACCAGCCCTAGCGCGCAAAGCCCAAGTGCAATCAACGAGTGTTTGACTCACCAATAGGAACAAACAACTATAACATCAGGGAAACGGCAATTTCATCTTATCTGTCTGATTGATCTGGCCTCAGATGTTCCAGACACTAAGTCCTTCAGACAATGTCGTCTGAATTCATGAGGTCCCTTTCTGAATTCAGAGAATTCAGACAGCTCTCAGCTAGATTCAGACGGCTCTCAGCTAGATTCAGGTGCATTTCAGACGGATTCAGGCAAGCTTCAGATGTGTATGGAAAATAAACGTGAATTCAGGGTAACGGAGGATTAGTACCAGGTACTGTAGCTGGGCTACGGTATGGGTAGGAAAGTAAATAAACCAATATAAACACGTGAAGTCGTACTATTAGGGTGAGTTCGTGAACAAACAGAAACATACTAAAGAGTTCGGATATGGATCAGGGTGGGTGGGTGTAGCAAGTGCAAAGGGTCATGGACAAGGGTATTGAGGTGGGCCAGCAAGTGGGTCCGCATGAACATGTACCATCACAGAGAGAATCTACCAGTAGTTGAGCCACAATCTGAGAAGACAGGAATGACAACAGCAATTACCCTTGAAGTTTAAACCTCCATGTCGCCGTCACTGGCGGATTCATCATCAATATTGCCGCACTCGGCATCAACGACTTTATCCCACTCATCGCCACCAAGGTCACCTGGCATGATACTTGACAGGCATGCCAAAGGTGCAGTGGCATTTATAATTTTGTTCCAGGTCGCTTCCCTCAGGCTCGCGATCGAGAGCATGTAGTAGTCGGTCAACCGGCCATGGATATCCTGAGAAAACTTCTGATCAGTCTTTATGAACACGCCACTCTCATACTGCCTCAAGGCATGCTCAACCTGGATAGCATGAGCGTGGATATTTCATCGCAAGCAGTAACATATGAAAAATGTACGGAGGCAAGACATAAGCCAAGCGCAGCACAAGGCGGCTCATTAGAATCAAGAGCATGGTTCATAGCTGCGAAGTGGCATCCAAGCATACACAGCACATACGTTGACTGGAATGCACCCTTCACGGAGACTCTCTGCATATGATATATGAGGTCTGACAGTGGCAATACTTGAAACGAAGCAGAAATACGTACTGGGGTTTGCCATTCCGACCCTTCATTGTCGCACCAGCGTACCGAAATGGCAAATTGGGCCCGATGACATAACGAATGTACGCGGCCCTCTCTTCCTCTGTCATCAGTCCATTGTCCTCGTCCTCGAAGAATGCTGAAACGGCAGCAACACCTGCCTTCGCTATGCTGTATCTCCACTCGTACACCTTCTGTTGAGCCTGTAGTAATCGGTATCAGCAAGGAACTTTTCAGGTAACAATGAAATGCTTACAATGTCATAGACTGGCTCATGAGGCACGACGATGAGTGGGATATCTGGGAAGAACTCATCCCACAACTCTTCAAGTTGCAGGATGGCGACCAAGTTAAGGCCTGTAAAGTTCCACGGATTTGAAGCGGATTCGCCCAAGGTTTCCAGGTAATGCGGAATCAGCTGGTGACGCCATACCCACATCGATGCACTTGAGATTGGGAGATCAGTGTTCGTGAACTTCCTGCTGCCGTTGGGGCAACGAATGGCAATGACTGGCCCTCGCTTTACAGGCTGAGAGTCCACCGCTCGAGCTCTGGGATTGATTTCGACAACACCCTTCAAGAATGACTGTAAGGACAGCCGTGAAGTAAATGTGAGTACTTACCAATGTCGTGTGAGGGTGTATAGCTTTGCCATTACCTACAGCTACATGTTCCACCAGATCATCTTCGTCAGAGTCCTCTACCAGGGTTGCTTCAGCATTGACGATGATACCCCCCATGCTAGCTCCATTGGAGGCTGCAGACGTCTTCACCTTGGCAGCAGTCGAGGTAGTGTTCTTTGATGAATGCGGTGTCCACATTGACCGAACTCCAGCATGAGTAGCTTTTGACCGCTTCGCATGATGTCTGGTAAATTCTCAAATTCAGATCATTTTGGAGGATGAAAATCAAATATTAAACTTACTCTGTGGCACCCACGACTTCCTGCGACTCAGCCTTGCGCTTGCGCGTCGCCGCCAGTGCTGTAGATCCAATAACTGAGGCTCTGTTCTCCTTTTTTTGTCCCACTTTCTTGACAACTGTAGTTACCTCCTTCCTCTTGTGTGCTGCCTCTACATCAGCACGTGAAAGTTTTTTGGCCTTACTGCCATTAGCCCCGATTCTGTTCCCTTCGCGAAGACCCGCAGCATCAACATCTGCCACAGCGCTAGGCCCAGCACGGAAGCCTGTGAAGGATGCCAATGTACATCCAGCACCCTCGTGGTCATCCACATCCTGACGGGCCATCTCCTCCTCGAGCTCGGCAATCCGCTGAGCTACTGCCTGCCTCTTAGCTTCAGCTTCACGACGCCGAGCATCTACTTGCTGACGCTCTTCTACAACCTGAGCAGAAGTGCGACGAGGCTTCTGACCTTCAGCTTGAATACCAGCAAGGACACGATAGTTCAGCTGGTCATTGCGTGAGCGAGTGGCATAGCCAGACATATTTGTAAAACCAGAGTGTGTAAGGTGAGCAAACAAATGAGATTTTATGGGCAAAAGGGAGTGTAGTTGCAATGCAAAGAGTGCGCCAGTGCGTCGAGTTGGAATGGGGTTACCATTGAGAAATCACCTTTTCTTTTATAGATGACGAGAAGTGGGCCCACCGGTCTGATCTCCATGGTGAAACTGATCGAACTGCACTGAGTAAGAGTTAGACGAAAGAACGAGCACCAGCACACACCACACAGGTTTAAGGTTGAAACCTGTGGCTGAGACGTCTGAGGTAAATCTAGACTTCAAGTTGCAAAGCTGGTTACTGATCTGTCACACTTGTAGCTGGGCGACGATCAGTGGTTGTTCGTTATCGTTGCTACTAGTACCTTGAATGTATCAGCTCATACAATGGTCAATATTCTGTAACTCAAGTGCTCTCCTTGTTCTCAAGGATGCAAGGTCATCCTCCCCACAAAAAGTACAATTCTAGTCATCTCTGTTGTCCATCCTGTGGTAGGGAATGCCACAATTCCTCAGGCCTGACTCAGCACTTCAACGCTGTCCACGCACTTGCCCAGGAACATCGTGCTCCACCCAGCTCACATCATCCCACCTGCGAAGATGAACCCAGTAGCTGTCTGCCTAGTCCACATCTCCTAGGACATGAAGATTTTCCCCTGGAAGATAATGGAGATGTAGACGTGAATGAAGATGCTGCATGGATTTTTGAACATTCAATACTCAATGGTACGTTGTACTCTGTGTCTCAGCTGTGCCTTGCTGACGTTGAACAGGCAGCCCATGTGACAAAGATGGCAATTTCATCTCGAAGGATTCCCCACCACCACCCAGGACCAATGCTCCACCAGATGATTGGACACCATATGATAATCGGGTCGAGTTTGAGACTGCCGAATTCCTATTCAAATGGGACCAAATGTCCCAATCGAAAGTCAACGCTCTCATGGATTTGTGGGTGGTGTCCCTTCTCCCGTTCGGTGGAGAACCACCATTTGCCGACTACACGGATATGTATAATGTAATTGATGTGACAGAACTCGGAGGAGTGCCATGGCGGTCCTTTACTGTGGCCTACACTGGTGCCTTACCTGTTCACGACACACCGTCATGGATGTCAACGACGTATGATGTTTGGTTTAGAGATCCCTGCCTGGTCATCAAGAACATGCTTGCAAATCCCGACTTCAGCCATGAATTTAATGCTGCCCCATATCGTGAATTTGACAGCTCAGGAAAGTGTCAATACACCAATGTAATGTCAGGACAGTGGGCCTGGAGGCAAGCTGTGAGTTTACTTGTTGTCTCTTAAGTTCCAGTTGTGATGCTGATGCTAAGATAGGACATCATAAGCAAGGATGAGGCTAGGCACGGATCCATGTTTATTCCGGTGATCCTAGGCAGTGACAAAACAACTGTTTCTGTTGCAACGGGGCAGAATGAATATTATCCACTCTACCTCTCCATCGGCAACATCTTCAACAATGTCCGACGTGCCCACAGGGATGGGCTGATGATGGTAGGCTTCTTGGCAATACCAAAAAGTATGTGCACTTCTTTCATTATGTGTCAAATTTGTCTGACCGAGACTGTGCGGTGACATAGCTGAGCGTAAATATGCAGACAGTGCACTGTTCAGGAGACTCAGATGCCAACTATTTCATTCAAGTCTTGCGACAATTCTGGATAGTCTGCGCCCCGGAATGTCAACTCCTGAGGTCATGCAGTGTCCTGATGGTCACTTCCGGCGAGTCATCTTCAGTTTGGTGCCATATATTGCAGATTATCTGGAGCAGGTACTCGTCTCATGTGTTGTGTCAGGATGGTGTCCAGTGTGCATACTCCAAGCTGCCACAAGCCCCATGTACTCATTGTTTGATTTGGCAGGTGCTTGAAGCATAGGAAGAATATCGGCAGTGAAGACCCAGGTTTGTGACGTGCGCGCAAACACACAGAAGAGCTAATCAAAATGTTTGATCTGGGCATATTATGGGATGAACATGGCCTTGTCAGCGATGTCATTGTAAGTCTTTCGATGCAAATTCTGCTGTGTTCAAGCGATTTAACTCCTGGTACCTTCTGCTTAGCCATTCACTGCAAACTTCCCCCGTGCAGATATCCATGAATTGCTATCGGGTGACCTCCTGCATCAAGTCATTAAAAGAACTTTCAAAGACCATCTGGTGACCTGGATTGGTGAGTATCTGTTTCTTATGCATGGCAAGGAGCACGGAAAAGAGTATCTCGATGAGATTGACCACAGGTGAGCCCTCTAGTATTTATATCAGTTTTTTGGACTAACATTGAACATGCCTAGAATAGCTGCAGTCCCGTCGTTTCCTGGTCTGCGCCGGTTTCCGAAGGGCCATGATTTCAAGCAGTGGACTGGAGATGACTCCAAGGCACTCATAAAGGTACGTGAATTGATGCTGATTCGGATTCAAACTTATAACATCTATCTACATGACTAGGTCTACTTATCTGCGATCTCTGGTCTGATGCCTCCGGATATGGTGCATGCAATCAGCGCCTTCCTCGAGTTCTGCTACCTTGTTCGCCATTCTGTTCACACTGACGACACAATTCAACAAGTACAGCATGCCCTTGACAGGTTTCATCACTTCCGAGTCATCTTTCAAGAGTCTGGTGTTCGAGAAGACAGATTCTCTTTGCCTCGACAACACTCACTGGATCACTATCCGAGGCATATTGAGAACTATGGTGCTCCAAATGGGCTCTGCTCTTCGATCACCGAGGCGAAGCACATCAAGGCTGTTAAGCAACTGTGGCACTGTTCAAGTCGCTATGAGGCACTCGGTCAGATGCTGTTGACCAATCAGCATCTGGACAAGCTGGGCGCTTCACGCGCTGACTTTGCAGCCTGAGGGATGCTTGAGGGGACTGTCTTTCTGACGTGCTGCTGTCCTTGCAGAAGCTCGAGACAATTGACGAGGTTGACGAGGCTGATGAGGAAGGTTCCCATTCTGCGGACAATGACGAGGATAGTGACGGAGAAGAAGAAATGAACGGTAATGGTGTTGTTGAAGGGCCTCGGGTACTTGCTTCAGTGACTATGGCCCGCCGATCTTGTACGTCTACCATCCTTTGTGTGCATGATATGTAACTAATCTCTTTGAGGCCTGCAGAGCATGGATACCCGCACACCATTGTGGAGTTAGGGGCTCATGTCGATCATCCACACCTCCCCAACCTCATTAGACAATTCCTTCAAGACCAGCTTCATCTGGAGATGCCCTCGCAATGCGATAGCCCCCGACTCCCATCGCTCCTCTCCACTGCGCATCTCCACGTATGAGTGTTTCATTCTGTTGTTGCTACCTTCTATGCACCAAGCGATCTCTTGGGTGTTGGTGGGATGCATCGCGAATGGATTCATGCAACACCTTCATGGAAATCAGGTCCGGCCTGTCATGATTGCCTTTTTGCCGACAAGGACCCATCGCAGGATGGGATGAGAGGTCTGCACGTTGCACGTGCCCAACTATTCTTCTCATTCAAATGGCAGGCGAAAGAGTGGCCATGCGCCCTCATTGAATGGTTCTCACCTGTTGGGGATGAACCGAATGATGAAACCGGCATGTGGATTGTCACACCTGATTTCGACACTGACTGTCGCCGATCTGCTGCTGTCGTTCATCTCGACTGCATAGTCCGTGGAGCCCATCTGATTGGAGTCACGGGGGAGCACTTTCTCCCTGATGGCTTGGAATTCACAGACTCGTTGGACGCTTTCAAGGCCTTCTATGTGAACAAGTACGCAGATCATCATGCTCACGAGATAGCGTTCTAGGTCATGTGAGGTCGGAGACATTGTGATTGCATTTGCAGTATGTAGTAGTAGATACATGACGACGCATACAGGTCAACTGCACTTCTGAGACAATTGGTTGTCCTTACCGCTCTGAGTGTTCCTGGGCATTATATGGGCTCCAGACGTCCAGATGGACTTTCAGATGTTCAGGTGGATTCAGAACAATTTCAGACCATCTCAGATCGTGACGTTTTGCTGATGAAATATCCGTGTAGGACAGACTGCAGAAGATGCCGCGTCAATTATGGGTTGGGATAGCTTGCTCTCCGAGCAAGAACTTCACAAGGTGTCATTTAGGTCATGGATATTTAATTATCAGACATCTACATTTTTGCTCAAATATCTGGTGGATGCAGTGACTTCATATGTGAGCCACTGCATCGCACTAATCAGTACCATATTGTGCTCCAGCTAGTATCTGACAGGCATCCAATGTTGCGATGCGTGGTGCAAATGTTCACCTTGTAAGCATGATCAATGTGCCACATGCCGCATATGTCGGTACACCCGCCAGTGCATGTGAAGCCAGCAGCGCAGTACGTGAGTGGTAGAGCGACATGTACTATGTGTGGGTCAAGTACTGTGCAGGCTGCAGGCTGCAAGAAGTGCAATATTGATCCACTTGTTATACTCAATTCAAGCTGTAGGTAAATTCCTTAGAATACATAAAATCCTCGATCCTAGCCATCAATATGCTTTTTGAACCGCGCTGCAAAATAAAAAAGACAGTTCAGCAGTGAGAAAGACTAAGACAAGCGCAGCACATCCCGCAGACTAGTGAGGTGGACAGCCGAAACAGAAACAGACACCAAGGATGAAATTCTAAGAAAGGCAGGTGCGATGAAATCTGTCACATTCAGATCTTACTGAAAACGACATATGTTGCAGCGAAAATGTAACAGATGAGCGAAAACGGAGTGTGGGCTACCAAACACTACTACGAAAAGTGGATAATTTTGTCCGCTGGGGCCCTTCATAAGTAAGAGCAACAACTCGTTCTCGATTTGACAGTGTCAGGCCAAACATCGTACACTGACGTCGCCGAAAACGTCACTAGTTTCCTTGTGGGGTTTCCCTTTTCTCATTTTCAATGGTAAATTACCACGCAGGACACGTCACACTGCCAAAGCCGTGGTTATCGTTCCAAAAATGCATGGGGCGGGGCGCGTACTAATCGATATAGATGCAGGATACAACAACACTCATGAACCAGAACTTGGAAAACTTGACTTCGTAACTTCCAGTCGGGCAAGGCTAGATGCCTTGGGACTGTACGATGGTATACCTGCGTGCGGCACATCTCACGAATGACAATCAACACGACGGACAGGATAGATAGACAGACAGAAGCAACTGACCACGCATGCAGCATGCCAGGGATTCAGCCGAGGATCCACAGCAGGATGTTGATCTGAAGTCTGCAAGGCACCCACTGCATCAGCATTGTCCCATGTGCGTGGAAGTGGAGAAGCTGAGTACCAGCTCTGAGACCACGTTCTGCGTCATGGAGCACATCAGCCGCGCATGGTGCGTCTGAACGGAAGTTAGCGGACACTCACTGAAGAGCATATGGCAGGATGAACCTAGCGTGTGGTCAGCACCTCCTCACCGGAATGAGATATAAAGGCGGCACGTACAATGCGAGAAAGTAGAGGATCACGTCGTGCATCGGGCTGATGCGCCTCTTCCCGGCGTGGTTCCATATGTTGTGATGGCTATTAGTATGTCGCATTCATGGGAGTTGAGAGTGGTAAAAGAAGGTGATGTTTATGGACATCCACTTAGTTACACGAGAGGGTTGAAGTCGAGGCCAATAGCAAGTGAAGGGGAGGGAGAATTTATAGTGAACATAGACAGGTTGTGTTGTCACACACCAAAAGTGTTTGGCTTGTGAACATGTAACCACCAGTGAAGCGCTCGATGAAGAAGTCACGTGACTAAGATGGAACCCGAGAACATTTGGCTGAGCATGTCACCTGATGCTCACATTATGCTATTGGATGGGAAAAACTCGGAAAGTGCTTTCTCCCTACTTCTCCCTGCTCACTTTATGCTATTGGACACGGAGATCTCAAGAGTTTTGTCTTCCCTGTTTCTTCCTGCTCACTTTATGCTATTGGACACGAAGGTCCTAAGACATTTTTCCTTCCTACTTTCCCCTTTGATCACATGATGCTCTTATTTTGCTATTGGCCAATCTGCCATGTAACACTACTATGTAACGGTCACAACGGGTGACACCCAAGGGGTATAAAAGGACCCCCGAGGCGCCCCGACCCACAGTCTTCTCTCCCCACTTGTAGCACCCCTATAAGTGAAGAGTTCTCCCTCTGCTTGTAGCTTACCCTACAAAGTGATAAACTAAAAGAATAGGAGTTTGTTTCACTCCTCCCAGTAATATTGTTACTCGTAATCAAAAGGATCCCGACGAAGTCAGTTCAGCGCATGCAGTGAGTTGTTACGAACACAACTACTGCACTCTCGTATCGTTTCTGTTGGGTAGTCTAGCACACGGTTACTAGATACTCAACCCATTCTCAAAAAGTTCTCGGACAACATGTAGGAAAATTATCGGCCAGGCACATCGTATTAGGACACACGCACTCGGTAAAGCCCTGCACACAGTTGTAGGCACTCAGATAGGAACACAGAAGACTCGGTAAGCCCTGCACACGGTTGTAGGCACACTGTTAAGAAGACAAGGAAGAATCGGTAAACCCTGCACACGGTTGTAGGCACACTGTTAAGAAGACAATGAAGACTCGGTAAGCCCTGCACACAGTTGTAGGCACATGGACAAGAGAACACAGAAGACTCAGCATCGTATACAGTGATGTCAGTTATAAGGGATAATCTTTAGTGCTTATAAGTTACAATTAAGGCTGAAATTCGGGTTTAATAAGCAGGCCATGTACAAGGATAATTTACTAAAGGATTATCCCCTCAGTAGATTATCCTTTTGAAGTAGTCTAAGCTAATCTGAAGATAATCCAAAGGGATAATCCAGAGGATAATGCTAAAGATCATCCAAAGGATTATCCAAAGCCAAAATTGATTTAAGAACTTGCACCCAGCCAGGATTAAACTCTCAACCTCAGGAGAAAGTCACATGACTAAGAAACTTCAGACACTTTAACCACTACTCCATATGACCTTAACAGTTTGCACTCATGCATAATATATATAGTAAATTTTGCTGAAAGGACTTAGACAAATTCTGCTCATCACAAAAGTAGTGACTGAGTTAGATATAAGAAAAAGGATGCTTCTAGTCACTTTAGGGTACCCTTCAGACCTAGCTCTTAGCTTCAACATAACTTGTAGTGTATTGTAGCTAAGGGCTTCTCAGATGACTGACTGACCATTGTACTAACACATGTCCCAGGGCATTATATGTGATTATCCAGAATATAGATAGGACATAGGCTGGTCCATCTTATAGTACTGGTGTATTTATTAGTTGTTCTATAATGTCAGGGGTACAGAAGATGTCCCACTATTCACTTCAGAGTATCAATGTTCTAGCTTACTAGGATATCCCCCACAAGATTCATCTCATATGCTCAGCTTACATCCTATCTATACTCTGAGCAATCTTTTAATGCTTTGAGATATTTATTGGTACTATAATCATACTGGCACTTAAGAGGCACTTAGCAATGACATACTATAGAAGATTTTGTTGCTAAGAGCTAGAGATAAAAAGTACTCTAAAGTGAATAGTGGGACATCTTATATACCCCTGACATTATAGAACAACTAGTAAATACACTAGTACTATAAGATGGACCAGCCTATGTCCTATCTATATTCTGGATAATCACATATAATGCCCTGGGACATGTGTTAGTACAATGGTCAGTCAGTCATCTGAGAAGCCCTTAGCTACAATACACTACAAGTTATGTTGAAGCTAAGAGCTAGGTCTGAAGGGTACCCTAAAGTGACTAGAAGCATCCTTTTTCTTATATCTAACTCAGTCACTACTTTTGTGATGAGCAGAATTTGTCTAAGTCCTTTCAGCAAAATTTACTATATATATTATGCATGAGTGCAAACTGTTAAGGTCATATGGAGTAGTGGTTAAAGTGTCTGAAGTTTCTTAGTCATGTGACTTTCTCCTGAGGTTGAGAGTTTAATCCTGGCTGGGTGCAAGTTCTTAAATCAATTTTGGCTTTGGATAATCCTTTGGATGATCTTTAGCATTATCCTCTGGATTATCCCTTTGGATTATCTTCAGATTAGCTTAGACTACTTCAAAAGGATAATCTACTGAGGGGATAATCCTTTAGTAAATTATCCTTGTACATGGCCTGCTTATTAAACCCGAATTTCAGCCTTAATTGTAACTTATAAGCACTAAAGATTATCCCTTATAACTGACAATGATGTCGTATAAGAAGACAGAATGCAAGCCCTTGCACACAGTTGCTAGGCATCCCCCTCTACATTCCCCCATCTGTATTGTACAGACTACCATCCCGACTTCAGACAACAAATCACACGTATAGCTCAGATGTCCCTAACCCATTATCATAAATTTGATATCACTGAACAACTGTGATAGCCCAGCGTACTTTCCCATTTGCCATGCCCGGTGAACCACAGCGAAGTACCACTCACTTGACCGGGAGTCAAAAACTCCTCCAGCCAAGGCTCGTGCATACCCCGAGTCGACATCTGGAGCCCACCGCGAGGGGTTAGGACCCTTGTTTCCCGAAGCTATATTAATTACACCTCTGAAGCCTGTTAACACGGCAGTCTATCCCACACTACAGCTCTACCCAATCAACACTTCGAAGCCCAATATGGTGACCGGCGTCACTGGATTACCGGTTCTGAGAACGAAGGGTTCTCCGAAGAAGTTTAAAGGAAGTTATGCAGAAGTTGCGAGGTTCCTGCAGCACTATGAACGGCTGTGCGCTCAGCTTAACATCGTGACTGCAGAGGACCAACCATGCAGGCTGAGTCCTGTCCGGATGGAATGGATCGTGCGAGCATACGTTATGGGCTCGTGGTCTCGTTTTTCTTCGGAAGTGATGCACACCTGCCTGGTAGTTTCTTCCCCGCCCCGATTGTAGGAGAGTTGTTTCCCAGCCCGAGCATAGGCCCGCATTTCTCAGATGACTTAGCCGGAGCAGTAGAAATGGTATGCGAAGGACCAGAGATGTGATTGCGTGCCGCCAAGAGGCGCCGATTGATGGATATCATAACTCGACCTGTGCCGATGACTGTGCTTGGGCCCATTCCGTGGATCGATGTTCAAGGAAATAATGCCGCAGTTTCTGTAAGGGATGCCTTACCTGTGGAGATATGTCTTGTCGTGACACAACCAGTTGAATACTCGACACACGTGCGTGACTTCGATTCTGATCGTATTGCATCTTCGCAGACTCAGCACCCCCAAAATGCTGAGTCAGAAGGGAATACATCGAACGATGTTTCGGTCGGCACTGAGCTCGAACCGCCTGCCAATACACGTTTCATGTTAATCACCCCACCGCCGACGCCTGTATCTGTTACACCTGAAAGCTCAAATGCATCATCTTCCGAGGATCCGCATAGCCCAACTACTGTTCCTGCTGTTCCTGCGCGCAGTCCCACACTCACCGCTGCGCCAATTGTTCCCGCTGTTACTCCTGCTGTGAGCCTGACTATTGCTGTGCTGAACTCGACGCAACTGGCTGCAGTCGCTGACCGACACACCGCACTACTGTTACCATGCAATGTTAAGAAGAATGTTTCTACATTGCCCCCATCCACCGTTAGTTCACCGCCGTATTCCCCGACTGGACATGCTGCGCTCGACCTTGCCATTAAAGAATTGCTGGTGATGCCCGATCATGTGCTTAACCAACCCGCCTGCCGACTTTCTCGATCGCCAGATACAACCGCACCTGTTCCGCTGCTGCCCATTTTACCAGTGAAAGATCTCCTTTATCCCCCTTCCCCTTCCTCCGATATCATATCTCTCACCACTACGATCGAACATCAGGAAACGATGAAGGACGCGGAAATGACTGACTCAGACACCTTGGAGTCAATTTCGAAAGCTGAATGGATCGCTGCTGTCACGCCAGAGAATAAGTCGTACATCCTTGCTCCCTACCTTGGTGTGCACCGCAACATGATTCAACTCAAGAATGAACTGTACATGCACGCTAAGCTGTACGCTCCACCATTTTCGTTTGATCAAACCAACGACTTTCACCACACATTCATAGTCGCCTTTCATGCCGTTATGTCCCGCGCAAATATTGACAGTCTTGAAGATAGTAAAGAGATGAAGGACCCCTTCGCTATGCGCATTGCCGCCATGGTTCGCCAGCGTCACGACTACTCCGCGCACTAGTACTCTCACATTGGAAATCTGTTTCTTTGGCCCGAGGAATGTCTTGCGCTTGCCGAAGCTCAAGCACTCTTCAAGCTCTACCCTACAACAGACGCTCAACACCAGGACCTTAATGATACGTGTGTTATTCTCGACATCATCGACTTCATGCTCGGATATGACATCGAACGCAGATACGTGCACGATATTCACTGCCGTCATCGCCAAGGACTCTTTGAAAAGCCTGGTGAGCTGCCTCCTCCAGTGCCATCCCTGGCTGCTGGAAGTTGCACTTGAACATGAATGTGTGCAGTATGCTTTCGACGCATGGATCGAGATGTACAACGCTTACTTGCTATGTCCCATGCAGAAACTTTCCCTCGATGCAGCAGAGTGCAGGGATTCAAGAATGGACTGCTGCTTTTTCTCTTCTCTGTCTTGCCACTGCACCTGTAGTATTCTCGAGCTCAGACTCGACCGACTGAATGTTCATGTATTTGTGACTGGTACGTTGTTCAAAGACTTTGCTGTGATTGATGTTCCCTGTATGTTACCTAATAAGGACTTTGTTTTGGAGAGCATGAACGAGTCGCCGCTCGCTCGTGTGTCGCAACATGTACAGCATGGACTATTTCTGATATTTTGGACTATGTGTTATTACTTGGACTTATGTATGTGGACGCTGTGCATGGACTTGTACTGTGTTTTGCGCTTGGACATTATCTCTGTATGCTGACACCTGGAGATTGTGGAATCGAGTTATGCTTTTCATGGAATCTTACAGGTGTGATGAGGAAAAATCGAAATGAACAGATAAAAATAGCAGAAAAGGACAAAGAGAAAAACATGCAGAAAAGAATACAGAAAAATATAGAAGACACTGTGCCCTCACCAGTGTACTATCTACATATGGCAGAAAAAGAAAAAGAAGAAGAAGAAGAAGAAGAAAACTCAGTACCAGAGCCACTGTACTATTCCATGAAGCCCGAAGATGATGAAGATTACGTGTTCGCAGGAATAGGGAACAAAGTATATGGAGCTTACAAATGCGTGGACCGAAAAGTCAAGCCAGTCCCCGGAGTATTTCCAAAAGATGCTCATGTGCATTGTGCCTTTCCCGAAGACCCACTTGCATCCCTCCCGCCGCTTACACCGCACCCGCCAGACTTTATACCTGGAACGCGACTCACACAGGAATGAATGGAGGAGATAAAGATAAACCCAGATGGATTTTTACACCCGGAAAAAGAAAAGTTATTCAAGCATATCCTACGACTCAACAAAGCAGCTTTGGCTTTTGAAGACACAGATTGAGGAACATTTAGGGAGGATTATTTCTCTCCCTACATCATTCCAATAGTGCCGCATGAACCTTGGGAATTTTTGAATATTCCTATCCCCCCTGGAATCAAATAGAAAGTTATCCAGCTTCTTAAGGAAAAGATGGCTGCTGGAGTATATGAAGCCAGCCAGTCCTCGTATCGCTCACAATGGTTTTGCGTGATGAAGAAAAATGGAAAACTACGGATCGTCCATGACCTACAGTCGCTAAACAAAGTCACCATCCGAGACACAGGACTCCCGCCCTCACTGGATGACTTCGTGGAACCATTTGCAGGAAGAAAAGTTTACACTGTTGGAGATCTTCATTGAGGATTTGACGCACGCAAAGTGGACACGAGCAGCCGAGACCTGATATCATTCCATACTCCTTTGGGACTGCTACAAATCACATCACTTTCCACCGGCTTCACAAACTCGCCTGCCGAATTTCAAAATTGCATGACCTTCATATTGCAAGATGAAATCCCGACCAAAGCAGATATCTTTATCGATGACCTGCCGATCAAAGGAACCGACACCGAGTACCCTGACGCAGATGGGGAACCAGAAGTATTATTGGAGAATCCTGGAATCAGAGTTTCATATGGGAACATACATTGGATGTGCACCGGATTTTGCATCAAATAGGACACGCTGGAGCTACGTTCTCAGGAAAGAAGTTCCAATTGGCCCGCCAACGAGTCCTTATTGTTGGACAAACATGCACCCCGGAAGGACGCCTGCCCGATAACCAGAAAATAGAGAAAATCCTTAAATGGCCAGTTTTGAAGACAGTACGTGATGTGCGTGCATTTCTAGGACTATGTGGAACCGTACACATTTGGATTCATCAGTACTCGTTAATCACCCGACCACTCACGGAGTTGACTCATCAAACTGTCGACTTTGAATGGACCGACCGGCGACAAGATGCATTCGATGAGCTAAAAACCGCTATCACTTCTGCACCGGCACTTCGCCCAGTTAACTACCAAGTGGACAATCCTGTGGTACTATCTGTGGACTCAAGCAAGTATGCTGTTGGATTTATATTGGGACAATATGACGATGAAGGCTGAAAATGTCCAGCATGCTATGGATCGATCCCCATAAATGAACGGGAGTCAAGATATTCACAACCGAAATTGGAGCTCTATGGACTGTACCGAGCACTGCGTGCCTATTGGTTATATTTGATTGGAGTACGGAACTTGCAAGTGGAAGTGGACGCAAAACACATCAAGGGAATGTTGAATGAGCTGGACTTGCAACCCAATGCAACTATCAATCGATGGATACAAGGAGTCCTATTGTTTCACTTTACGCTCATCCATGTGCCCGCCGATAAACACAAAGGACCCGATGCTCTATCACGATGAGAATTGGCATCTGACGAAGAAGCAAGTGAACATGATGATTCCTGGTTGGACAATGATGAGATTGTTGTTCCGTCGCAAGCCGGAAAGGAGGAGTACGAGCGGAATCAAGTCCGCATGGGGTCTGAGATGCAATGAAGGAGAAGAGTCTATTCCAGAGGTATGAGGTGGGTGGCCTGAAGGTGTAGCTAGGAAAATCTCTGTAGTTGCAATAATCGCTGGAAACGCGTCGGGGTAAAATTGCACTGCTCTAAGGAGAACGCTGAAATGCAGAAAATGCAAGACTGCCCAGAAAATGCACAAACACAAGACTGCCCAAAGATGCACTAACTGGATGGGATGGGAATGTGAATGAGGCTTTTGCCAGTGTACCTTCCGGGATGGTCAGTTCTACCCTGACCTCCTCCCCTGCCCTCATACTTAAACCGGTCCTGACCTTTTCCTGCCCTCCCAATACTGCTCGCATCTGCTTAACAATCACTCCGCTGAATCACTGCCCATCACACCATAGCTCGCAATCCCGTCCCCTCATGCTCCTACTCAATCTGAGAGGTCCTCCGTCACTGGGCCCACCTGAGCGCCTGATAAACACCCGCCCGCCTCGGAGGCATATCTCCCATCCTGAACTAAATCTCCCATCCATGGATGCCAGTGTCATCCTTCACAAATACACCCTCACCGAAGCCCTTCTTCACATTGAGATCTTTACCGAGCCCTTCAACCCGATCCTGTGGAAAGCATGGGCAGTCTGAATGCATGTTCTGCTGGTGAGGCTCCCTGTGAGCATATGTTCCTTCACTGTCCGGTCCTCACACGTCCCTCAGGTCTTCATGGTCCAAGCCCAGTCCGAAGCGGCCAGCGTGGGGATCATCCTACCCCTTCTGCACGATATTCCTGTCCTTGCCCAAGTGGAAATACATCTTGCGACGGCTCGCACTGTGGAAGCCGGCCGTCGGATGGTCCCTCAGATTGCTGACCACCTTCCTGCTGTCATTTCTCGTGGTTTGACTGCCTGCATTCTGTACAATGACCCCGCTGTCCGCGAGGACTTTAGTTTGGGTCACCCACCGGATGGTCTCCCAGACATTGGTGCGCAGTCGTCCTGTCCCCATTTCCCTGGGATCGTGTTCCTTAGTTTTGCTATATTGCCATCAGGAACCTTGCACCTTCGGGTTGAGACATTGTGCAATATGGCCTGCAAACTGTACGATGTCATGCGCGGGATCACCGGTAGATGCGAGTTGGCGGATGGTACTTTGAGGCTGTTGCGGATCGTAGTTGAGGAGTTAGAAATAGCATTCGGGCTCGTAGTGTTCCCTCCTCCGATAACCAGCTTCCAATTGCTGTCGGACTAGGGTCTGTTGTGTAGCACCCTGTGGTATCTCCGAAATGTGAGACCTCTTCGTGGATAGGATTCCCACCTCAGCGCGCTATGCCTCCCTTCAACGATATTGCCTTATACATGGAAATCAGAGCCCGAGGTCAAAGCTATGGATCAGCGCTGGTTGGATACACAAAAGGAACCCACAGAAATGCAGTCAAGGCATACACTGTTACTCGAAGTGATCAAGACGAGGCCCTCAGTGATTACAAGCATTTTTTGCAGACCCTTGAAATACCAACTTTCCCTAACACTCAAGAGAAATGATGATTTATCCAGAAGGCTTCACAGTTCCTTATGCGCAATGGAAAACTATATCGGAAGAATGGACGAAAGCCCCTGTTATGAGTCATCCTCTCCATGAAATCCCAACAATCTATTTTGTTTCAGGCACACGAAGGACTTGGACATCGAGGAGAATATGCTGTCATGCAAACCCTGAAGGAGTGTTTCTACTGGCCAGGAATGTGGAACAATGCACAGCAGCATGTCCAATCATGTCACCAATGTCAAATCCGAAGCGTACACAAAGTGGAAGTGCCCATCCTGATATCAGCCCCATCGACAACATTCACCAAGGTTTATGTGGACATTATGTTTATGCTGACCGTCAAAGGGCATCGCTATATCATTGCAGCACGAGACGATCTTTCTCGAGCAGCCAAAGGACGAGCGCTACGCAAAGCCAATGCTAAAGCTGTGGCACAATTCATTTGGGAAGAAGTATTTTGCCAATACGGAGCAGTTGGACAAGTAACAACCGACAATGGGAACGAAGTCAAAGGAGCATTCTCGGAATTAATGCGCCACTATGGAATTCCTCAAGTGCAGATATCAGCCTTCAATTCAAAGGCAAATGGAGTAGTCGAACGTGGACACTTCACTATATGCGAATCAATTATCAAGGCTTGTAATGGACAAGTCAACCGCTAGCCCGACCTCGTACATCATGCATTCTTCACCGACCGCATCACTGTCAGCCGCCCAACTGATTTCTCCCCGTATTATTTGCTGTATGGAGTCCACCCCGTGCTTCCTTTCGACCTTACTGAAGCAACATTCATGATGGAAGGATATCATTCAGGAATGACAACCAGCGACCTGCTTGCAATGCACATTCGCCAACTACAGAAGAGACCTGAAGACTTAGCCCATGCTGCGGACACACTACGTCATCATTGCCTCCAATCCAAAGAAGCATTCGAGACACATTTCAAGTGCCGCCTTACCAAGGACATATACACGAAGGGAGAGTTGGTTCTCGTACGCAACAACACAGTCGAAAAGGAGATGGATCGCAAACACAAAGACCGATATTTGGGCCCCTACGAGGTGGTATGCTGGACGATGAATGGAGCATATGTTCTAAAAGATCTCAATGGAATGCCTTGGAAACAAAGCATTGCTGCATTTCGCCTGCTGCCATACGTGCATCGTGATGACCCACGCCTTATCGAATTAGCCGAAGAAATAGAAAATTATGAAAATGATGGAAGCAGCAGTTCAGATGACCACTCTGACCATTCAAGCATCAGTGTATAAGATTCTGATGCTTCATCAAGAATCTGAATGGTCCGAGGAGGGCAACTGGGGTCAGTTGCATTTTTTTGTGCCGCCCAGATGTCACGCACCAAAAGTGTTTGGCTTGTGAACACGTAACCACCAGTGAAGCGCTTGACGAAGAAGTCACGTGACTAAGACGGAACCCGAGAACATTTGGCCGAGCATGTCACCTGATGCTCACATTATGCTATTGGACAGGAAAAACTCGGAAAGTGCTTTCTCCCTACTTCTCCCTGCTCACTTTATGCTATTGGACACGGAGATCCCAAGAGTTTTGTCTTCCCTGTTTCTCCCTGCTCACTTTATGCTATTGGACACGAAGGTCCTAAGACATTTTTCCTTCCTACTTTCCCCTTTAATCATGTGATGCTCTTATTTTGCTATTGGCCAATCTGCCATGTAACACTACTATGTAACGGTCACAACGGGTGACACCCAAGGGGTATAAAAGGACCCCCGAGGCGCCCCGACCCACAGTCTTCTCTCCCCACTTGTAGCACCCCTATAAGTGAAGAGTTCTCCCTCTGCTTGTAGCTTACCCTACAAAGTGATAAACTAAAAGAATAGGAGTTTGTTCCACTCCTCCCAGTAATATTGTTACTCGTAATCAAAAGGATCCCGACGAAGTCAGTTCAGTGCAGGCAGTGAGTTGTTACAAACACAACTACTGCACTCTCGTATCATTTCTGTTGGGTAGTCTAGCACACGGTTGCTAGATACTCAACCCATTCTCAGAAAGTTCTCAGACAACACGTAGGAAAATTATCGGCCAGGCACATCGTATTAGGACACACGCACTCGGTAAAGCCCTGCACATGGTTGTAGGCACTCGGATAGGAACACAGAAGACTCGGTAAGCCCTGCACACGGTTGTAGGCACACTGTTAAGAAGACAACAAAGAATCGGTAAGCTCTGCACACGGCTGTAGGCACACTGTTAAGAAGACAACGAAGACTCAGTAAGCCCTGCACACGGTTGTAGGCACACGGACAAGAGAACACAGAAGACTCAGCATCGTATAAGAAGACAGAATGCAAGCCCTTGCACATGGTTGCTAGGCATCCCCCTCTACATTCCCCCATCTGTATTATACAGATTACCATCCCGACTTCAGACAACAAATCACACGTATAGCTCAGGCGTCCCTAACCCATTATTATAAATTTGATATCACCGAACAACTGTGATAGCCCAGCGTACTTTCCCGTTTGCCATGCCCGATGAACCACAGCAAAGTACCACTCACTTGACCGAGAGTCAAAAGCTCCTCCGGCCAAGGCCCGTGCGTACCCCGAGTCGACAGCGTGGAGTCACTGTGTTTTTGCCCTTATGTCTGGGTGCAAGATACCCCTGTGGATACGTGGTATAACTAGGACCTGGGCTACGCCGCATAGTTCTGCATATTAACCTCCAAGCTGGGTTACCAAGCTTCAAGTGTATCTTTCACTGTGCGATACCCTGTAGTGAACAAGGTGATACGTTGGCTATGCCGCGCAGCACGTAGTCACTAGCAGTCTAAAAGCTACAGCATACACTTTCTAGGCTACAAGAAATATCAAACTTCAGCTATATTGGCGATGCTCCATGGCTACCATCAACAACACCCATCTATTCCATTATATACTAATAGTAGATACTCCTGATGTGCTCACATCCCCTACTGCATACCTAATCACACCTGCAACAGAATAGACTTTGCATGTCGATCTTCCGATGGAGTTTGCAATGCAGTCTGTTTCTCACATACCTGTCACGAGAGGTGTCAATGGAGCATCCCAACTTTGGACAAACACAAGAATTGTAGAGCACATCTCATGTTCAGCCATGACCCGAGAGACCAAGAGCATGCAGAGACTATGTCATGGAGATAGAAGGCAACGCAGCACTCCTCGCTCGGCGACGGCATGCCAGAAATCTGTTTAGACAGCGGTCAACGGGCCAGCGAATCTGTGCATCAGGAAAACCCAACTTTTACTTAAAGGTGTTCTTATGTGACTTAAATGCACTTATGGGCCTTAAATAAGGTAAAAAAGGACAAAAAGTCCATAAGTCATATTTCCTTGGAGACTTAAAAGCCAACTTTTGGGAACTTATGGGCCTTAAATAAGGCAAAAAAGGACAAAAAGTCGGAATAAGTTCCATAAGTAAAAGCTGGGTTTTCCTGATGTGGATGGAAGGGCGCGGAACCAGCACGTAGTGTACGCCAGGTGAACTTGACCTTGGGCACGATGATGCGCTTGGGCCGATGGAGGCCTGAACTTAGCACTAGTTATATGTATGTCAAGCTTGAAATCGCTACGTGGAATAGCCAATGTAGCTGGTGCAAGGTACACCAGAAAGCCTGTATAGAAAGGAGCACAGTGATGTAGTATAGCTCACGTAGCAGATGGTCATAGATAAGTGAGATCGTGCACCAAATGCGATGCATATGCTACATCAGCAAAAGTGCACAATTGTTACAATAGATTCCGACGATTGTAATACTTGCCTGTACATAGTAAGAGATTAGAACGGCATTGCAAGCCCTCGGAATATTTGGATTGTATTACAACCTCCGTAATCCTTCCCAATGTATTGCAACGCTCAGTAATATAGACAATTCATCGCAATGGCATCGCAATGTGCTGCAATGCTATGTAAGGTAGATATAGGAGTACAAAGTGCTTGTAATGTTGAGCAAATTTTTGTCAAATCACAGGAGCAACTACGAAGGGAGACCCAAAAACAGTCAATCAACTGGTTGGCACGCGCACGGCGTAAAGTTCAGAGAGCGATCTACTGAACGTTTTGGACACACCACGCCCTCCGAGATTAGTATTACTTCCTTTGCGGGCCACCTTCAAATCTCTACGTTCGCTGCGAGTTTTGCATTCCGTCACTGTATAGATGTGCCGGGAATACATTGATAGGATCTTGAGGCATCTGGTGCTCCACATCAAATTTCTCAATGCCGGTAATCTACCTACCTAGCTAATTACCTACAGCTACCATACTCTAGTGGTGAAAATCCAAAGCCCTAAGCCCGTAGCGACCTGTAGCGACTCTTCCCGATTTGAAAGTAAGAGCGATGACGTAGTAGCTTGTTTCTCCTTGCATACCTTAACCCTGGTGTATATAATGGACGGCGAGCCCCCTCTGGCGTCAAATACTCCCTTGTTCCTTCTCTTTGTATCCTCCTGCTTTACTGATGACTTCAAGATATCAAGAACTCCGTAGAATTGGTTCCCGCCAACGCTGCTCCCCTCCCGCCTACGACCGACTTTTCCTGTCCTTCTGCTGCTCTCCAAAAGACCCTTCTCCAGGAGACTTCCTATTAGCTTTGCTTCCGAAGTGATGCACTCTTGCTCTTCTGCTCCTCGCATGCCTATCCGAGTATGGTAGGTGCTAAGTATCTCCGATGTACAGCCTCCCTTAACTGCCTTGACTTTATGCTTTGTGTCCATACAGGGTGCATATACCGAGTTTAGGCACCATCGATACACAGCGAGGAGGCGTGTGATCCCCAGAAACTGTGGGGGATATCATGAGTACGTATCATTGTCTGCATGATAATGTAGCTGATGGATTCCTTTATTATAGACAGGCCCTTTGTGTGGATACCGGAGATACAAAGCCCGTTCCTCGTGGCGGTGAGTTCTTATTACTTGTGATGTTCCGAAATGACATCATAGCTATTGCTCGGGGAAGGTGATGTTACGCAACCTCGTGCATTCATTCATCCCGAAGCGTCGTCTACAGCAATGCACACCCACCTTGTTGCCCAGTTGAGCCTGCATGCATCGTGCTCGTCCTCTTTGCCCTCTCCTCCACAGTGGCATCAAGCCGCATGTTTAGGTGCTCGATCGTGTTGGCGTTGCACGCGCGGTGATACTCTAGATATGTGAGCCTGTGAGTGCCTCCGCGAATTTCCAGAGCGTGTGCCATGGCTGAACTCTCGGATGCATCGGAGTGTGATGGCGAGTTTTGGCACCACAGAGTTTTTCCAGAACTTTGTCGGTCTATTCAATGAACTGGGGAATGCACGCACATAGCCGGATTCTGCTGTTCAGTGGTGGAATGAGTACGTGTTCATGCCTGCGCCACCATACTGAATTATTGTGTTATAGTCAAATCCCATGAACCGAGGCCGATGAGAATGATCACGCAAACTGCCAACCGAGAATGGTCGCAATGGTCTGGCAAGAGAACTCGGTGCCACATACTACTGTTGACCTCTGTTTCAACATCACTATAGACAGTAAGTACCTCGATGTATGCATCATGTCCTGTGACATCTTACAGCCTTCTGTGCAGACTGCCAACCTCATATTTCTCCCCTCTCACTGTCTCTCTGGTTGTGGTTCACTGTCACTCGCTAAAGGTGCCTTCTCACCGCCTCTCACTCACTCATATCTTTCCTGTGTTCTCTCGGACTTCATGCTCACTTTCCCGTGGTTGTCTTGCTCTCCTTGTCCCAGCTTGTGATGTTTAGCTCTCGTGCTCTCTTCGGCTTTTGTGCTGTGCTCCTGCTCTGTTCGGTGTCATGTTGTTATCTCCATGGGCTCATGTGGGCTTCATGGGCTCTGTATTGATAATCACACCTGTTGTATGTAATATTGTACTATGATTACTGCATTTCTCGCCCTGCCTGCAAGGAGCAAGTCTGTTTATACAGCCGTTGTAAGTCCTCCATTGGTACCGCTTACAAGAGTATCACAATGCCTTATAAAGCTCGGAATACATTATAATAAGTCCCAAGAATTCCGTGCATTTGGAATAGATTATGTTGATTGCGAATGGATTACCGAATAATTTAAGACATTGAGAAAAGTTCGGAACCACCATAGAGAAGTTACTATCCATTACAACTCTGCTCAATAATTTTGATCATTGTAATGGGTTTTGTAGATTATAATGCTATATAACCAATGGTAACAAAAGTGCACTTTTGCTGATGTATGTGGGCTAGCACACATCTTTCACATCAAGATTTATGACATAGCAGTGGGAGTCACAGCTATGTTCGCTATCTGCCCTACTCCGCCTATCTTCACATTGCGATTTCGGCTACCCATCAAACTATGTATTCTATCTGATGTAGCCTATTCGTAGCAGACCCCCTACTAGAATGGCGAAAACACAGTGAGTATGTGCCACCTGCAGGCGCTGATCTTGCCCATTTTGGGACATACTTTGTGATCTGTCACGTGTGACTGGCGCTAGTACTTCTTTCCCTAATAACCATGGACGACTCAACCGCTGAAGTCGAAATCATCACCGTCATTGCTCAGCTTGCTCGGCCTCGCGCAAAAGAAGAAGAAGGGTCGGAAGGAGATGCGAGAGTTAGAGAACTAGAATGGGAGTGGGTACAATGTCTCAAGATTCAGAAGGCATGTATTCTCGAGTTCTCTCCTAAGCCTTACAAATGGATCCGGTTCATCACCGGAGTTGTTCTGGGAGCTGAAGGTATACTTTGCGCTGCGGACAATGCTGATGCTCTCGAAATCGACTACGACAGGCCTCTAATTGACGGCAACTTCTCTGTATATTTTCATGTCACTCCAGCAGAGCTCTCACGGATGTTTCCGCTGGACCCCTATATTGCTGAGCCCTACTGCGCCACGGGAAGTACGACTGAAGCATGCTGCGATGGCTTCAGAGATGAAGTTGAGGGCCGTGATGTACGATGCGTTGCGTCGGATTCTCTCGCCAGGAGCTGCGATGCCACACATCTCATTGGTCAGAGTAAGGGGGACATTGTATGGTACTCCATGGTTTTCCACGTTCTCCATGCTGACCAGCTTGCCTTTAGGGTATCAAAGTACTTACCAATGCTCGTAGCCGTGACGAGGACAAAAATGATTGTATCGATGATATTGACGACATTCGTAACGGCCTCTTCGTGACAAACTTTCTCCATCGGGCACTCGCGAGCAGAGGTGTGGCCTTCCTTGTGGTAGGGATGATTCATGAATATAGGAAGATTGCTTGACTGAGTCCTCTTCCGGACAGACACCGAACTTCGCGATGTCTACCAACGACGTCGATCCCACCTTACAACCAGATGAGCAGCGATGGACCATTCATAGCTTCGAAGCCGTCTTCAATCCTGATTTGCGTCATAATCGCGTCCACAACCTTCTCGTCCCTCACGGCCAGGCTCTCCACCTTCCTGTCGATCGAACTTCTTGGCCTCCGGGCATCCTCTTTGATGCTGTCTATGCCGCAGCGGTTATGAAATATTTCAGTCATGAAGATTTCTCTGCCTATCTGAGCCAGCATTGGCAAGGTCGTTTCTACCTGGATGGCGATATGGCACAGATTGAGCATGAAAGAGAGCAGAATGCTATGAAGAAAGCACAACAGAAGCGGGAGAGGGCGGAGAGACGGGAGAAGGGAGACATTGAAGGCGGTGGAAAGATGGACATCTATGATATGCTTCTACTCCTTCCACAAATCGTACGACGACCGCCGACCGCCGAACAAAGGGAGAGACATCTCGCGGAACAGAGAGAATCAGAGTTGGCGAAGCGTAAGGAGTTGGAGCATAAAGTGACTTCTTGGTTGCACACCAAGCCATGATGTGTACGTTCACCTTACTTTTCACGATTCATATTGACCTATACCACTATGTGAATCGTTGCTGTCAAGGTTCCTCATGTTTTGTTGGTGCGGTTTTACTTGTTTTCCCGAACATTCTACCAGTACGTCGATTAAATACTTAAAACTTTTGTATCTTTATGTTTAACTATCTTCCGCGACGTTCAGTCTTCGACGATCCCTTAGGGGGAGCCGGGGCTGAGGCTGTCTCTCACAAAGACCGCTAGCGGTCCACCTGATGGGTATCGGAGTATGACTGGGCCGACTCACTGAGGTAGAGGCCGTCGATTCCGGATGTGAGTGTATGCATGAGCACACCTGAGAACGAGGTCAGACCAGGACAGAGCGATCACCAGCACATCTGAGGTAACAGCGACAGCAGGTTCCCCGACTTGAAGGTGCCAGGCCCAGCATATATTACCACACGCAGACCTCCCCGTAAACATCACACTAGTTTCCTTTCGGCATTTCTCTTTTCTCATTTTCAGCGGTAATATAACCACGCAAGACGGTCACACTGACGTTAACAAAGCCGTGATTACCGCTCCGAAAAGGCGCGGGGCGGGGTGCGTACTAATCAATATACACAGGATACAACAACGCTCGTGAACCAGAATCACAGAACGTATGTAGTCATGACTTCACGTCGGGCGAGGCTAGATGCCTTCGGACTGTGCGATGATATACCTGCGCGCGGCACGTCACACGAACGATCAACACGACGGACAGGATAGATAAATAGGCAGAAGCGACCGACCACGCGTGCAGCACCCCAGGGATCCAGCCGAGGATCCACAGCAGGATGTTGATCCAGAAGTCTGCGCGTCCCACGTCACATCATACTGCGCGCACGGAGAGTCGCAGGGTTACTACGCACCGGCTGTGATACCGCGCTCTGCGCCACGCAAACGTCACTTCGCCCAGAATCAGTAATATTTCTGCGGCCACGCACTGAAGAACACGGCTAAGGGCGGGATGAACCTATGTATCATAGCGCACAGTCAGAGACTCCGGGGTAAGGTGAGGGATGTTGGGGTGGCACGCACACCGCAACGAAGTACAGGACCAAGTCCTGCGTCTTGCTGACGCGCGTCTACTCAGCGGTATCGATAGGCGCGGATTTTCGTGAATCGCAGCCGGGTTCGTCAAAATCGATCGTCCAAGTGCCAAGTGACGCGATAGGAGTAAAGGTCAGTGCAGTTAGCGGCGGGGTCGGACAAGAATGTACTGTAGCGGACGCACGGGCTGGGTGGAGTATGCAGGCCTAGTGCTCATGATGTTCGTTAAAATTGAATAGTTAGTGCAGATTGGAGAGTTGTCAGTTGGCGAATTGCGCGCAAGTCACAGAGACCCGGCGGGTGCTGACATACGTGCACGTGATGGCACCGCCCACTCCATTTCGGGACAGCATACTGAACGCCCGGCATTAATCTCTGGATGTGCTGTCCTGCGCAAGTCCTGCATTCCAGTCCTGGCCGTCAAGACCGAACACGAGAAGGTCGAAGCGGAGTCTAGTGTCACACAGGGTGAAGAGCACATTGTGTTTGGCTCTGCGAGAAGTGAAAGAGAGACGACGGTCGGTAAGTTGAACATTTTATGAAAGACTTTAAGTTGAGGAGTTAAGAATAGGCGGTTAGATAAGCAGATGGTTTCGGCCTTCGAAGCCTTCGTGTCTAGGTCTCCTCAAATACGCTCTCGTAGTATGTATGCTTACGTATGTCGCAGCACACGGTTGTGCTTCGAAGAACGGTAAGTACGTTGACACACTGACCCAGTACCCGTTGAACACCGATATGAAGAGTCATGTTGCTGTTTGTTTGCGCCCCGAAATGGGACTCAGTGCAGTTCTACAAGTTAATATCTGTACAAAGTACTGGCCCGTGACCCTTTGGACACAGTCTCGGCCACCCACAGCCATTGCATCACAAGTTAGTATCACGAGGGTTCTGTTCTACACCACCATTTCACACAACCACCATAATTATTCTCAGACTGTCGGGAGGTAGACCCACATACCCTTGAGGTACTGACATGTTATAGGTGAGTCACCGACGTTGGTGTATTTTCGTTAGCTGAAACCACATTTGCGGACTATTTGCGAGCAGGAACTATGTCAGAAGAAATGGAGAACTGACCGCTGAATTCTCTGATCATGCACAGTCGAAGGTCATCTGGTAACGCCGCTGGTGCTTCTTCCTGAACTACGACCTCGACAGAGTATACGTATCTTCCCAGGTCAGACTAAAACCTCCGAGGATTACCCAACCACCGTTGACGAACAGGGGTCACGAGGACTTTTAACAGGCTACGCCGGCATTCTGCTGACACTGAACTAGTTACACAGGGACCCCCTCAAAACTCAGTCCAGAGTGACATTCTTTCATATTTCTCTCTTTACCGATGTCTACCACTCGCATCGCAGTTGTCACAGGTGCCTCCCGAGGAATCGGAGAGGCCGTCGCCTTGCGTCTTGCAGACGATGGATTTGACGTTGCCGTGAACGACATTCCTGCAATGGCAGAATCGCTCAAGGCAGTTGTCGAGAAGATACGGCAGAAGGGCAGACGCTCTCTCGCCGTGACTGGGGACGTATCGAATGAGAACGACGTGAAGACCGTGGTTGACAAGGTCGTAGAGACACTTGGCGGACTGGACGTTGTATGCATTCGGGATCTAAGCGACGCGCCGCATATTCTGAATACCTCGTTGACTGTCAGATGGTCGCAAACGCAGGCATCGCCCTGGTGAAGCCTGTCGTCGAGAGTGCGTACTGTCTGTTTCGAGAACTGTGATACTGATCGGCGGCCGCAGCTTCTATCGAAGAGTATGACCGCGTTATGTCCGTCAACGTCAAGGGTGTCTTCCTGTGCTTCAAGTATGCCGCTCTCCAGATGATCAAGCAGGGACGAGGTGGAAGAATCATAGGTAAGTCATTCTTGCCACTGTCCGACTAGCGCATTTTCCTGGTATTGATCGATCGTTTCCAGGCGCTTGTTCCATGGCTGGTAAGACGGGTGGGTCTGCAGAGCACCCGCCAACAAAGACACTCGCATTCATGAGTACTTTGCATGAACAGGAATGACCAATCTTTCTGTATACAACGCGTCGAAATTCGCAGTGCGGGGACTTACTCAAACTTGCGGTGCGCCTTGACCTTCTTGTTCTCACTGAAAAGCACAGCTAAGCTCGTATTCTTGATTGAAACTGTCTTGTAGCGCTCGAATGGGCGAAGCACGGCATAACTGTCAACAGCTATGCCCCGGGGATGATTCGCACGACGCTCCGTGCGTTCGAATATCGATGCTACAGTTATAGAACTTGACAAGTCTCTCTGGACAGTGATCGAGTCCGATGAGCTTACGAGTGAGAAAATGTCAACCACGGTAGGTAGTCCGCTCTTGTTGCTAGTGAAACGCGATTCACCACAGCTGTATAGCTTGGTCTCGCGAAGGATACTCCATTTGGAGAGCCCTCTGTCATCGGAGAACTGGTCTCCTACCTCGTAAAGCCAGAGTCTCAGTTCGTCAGCGGTGAGTGGGGTAATTTGGCGGAGGTGGTTATCGGGATCGGCTGATCGAAATATGGGATAATTAGGCCAATGCATAAACATCAACGGAGGCGTTTTCTTTGACTGAGGTCACGTCCGGAGAGCTATCAGCGAAGCTCCATTGTAATTGTTCAAGTACGTCAACTTTTGTACGGCTGCAGATCGAGTGTACGAATCAGACTTATCTTGGTGGTTCTGTTCTGGCGTGTTCGTGCTTTGTGCATAAGGAGAGATCGCTGCTGCATGGATGACTTTTGTACTCTGCACGACAATCATGCATGAGATCCTCCCCCACGATGAGCTCGCTGAGAAGCGTCGATTTGTACGACGAACCGCCCGACTGTGCGACGTAGTCATTGACCCGAGTATCAAGGTCCTAACGGAACCATCTCGTATGGGGGGGCCGTCGCCCAGCTGGCACAGTTTCGTGCCGTGCCCGAGCAATTGTGTGTTCCCGTCTGTCTGCGCGGTGTGCGGTGTCTGATGTATCGTGGACTAAAGCCTCAAATATCTGCTGCATGTGGGGTCAGGATCGGAAACACTCGCACCTGTATTGTATTGGTCGAATCTCTCATTCGCATCCCTGCTGCCGTAGATTATGATACCTCACCACGATCAGTGACCGACGGCCACATCCATGACGTCTACTAGAATTACAACTAGAGAAGAATGGAGTCCGCGCACTCCAACGATGACTGAAAGCCGTCATAGAGCCCAATTCATCTCCCAGTGTTCGTTGTCGCCTCCATGGCCTCGTCACCAGAACGAACAGGTAATGCAGGCATATGACGAATAATTTATTACTGAACGATGCGTGAAACGTGATCTTTGATAGTTGAACGTTGAGGTCGCGCAACGTGCGCTTATTTACATCCGTCCGCCACGGGCGTAATCCGACCTGGCCATGCCGAGAGTGCACGAAGCTCTCCGACAAAGCACAGACATGATTAACCTCGATCCTCGAGAGAGTGGCCAACTTAAACTGGCATGCTGCCCCAGGTCCAACGGCCGAAGCAGGCGATCGAAGCAGGCAAAAGAAAGTCAAGTACTACCTACCACGACTCCGGGACGCGTCGATTTGCAATCGCCATGGGCGGCCGGGCGGTTCCGCTGGCATCTGCTGAGGCAAGCCGCAAGAGCGAAGTCGAAGAGTGCAAGTGTGGAATTGAGATGGGCCAGTGACGGGGGGCGCCGCTGTCGGTCGGTGCGGTCAGGTATGCTCGTCGCCATTCGGGCTCGTGATGGGGTTGCCAGGCCCGCTTTCCAGGGACGCAGCCTCTGGAGGCGTTGTGTCTCGACCCGGTGTTCTGCGCACTGCTGGCAGGGCAAGGCGTACCGTCCGCGGCGCTGCCTGGTGCGCGAGTGGGTGGAGCGCGAGATGGGTGGTAGTTGTGGCAGGGTGCAGAGTAGTGGCGGAGGCGGAGGGTGGCGGACAGCGAAGGGGGTGCCATCTGCGTGCCTGATCTGGGCGGGAGCTGATCGGAGGCAGATCACGACACGATGCTCTCGCCGTCGCTCCGAAGGATGCACGTTCTGTCAGTGAGGGAGCGTGAAGCAAGCGTGACGTCGCGCGGTGCCAGCGCACGCGTGCGTGCAAAGCCAGTGTTGCATCGCGTCTTCCAATCACTCGCGCTGAGTCATGCGGGGCAGGCGCGGGTGGGAGCCCGGCGCTGGCCGCGGAGAGACACACACGGCCGTCAGCGGGCCCATCAGGAAAACCCAACTTTTTCTTAAGAGAACACTTAACTGCCTTAAATGGACTTATAGTTCTTATTTAAGGAAATAAGGACAAAAAGGGCACAAGCCATATTACATTAAGTGTCTGGAATCCAACTTATTGAGGCTTATTTGAGAACTTATAACCTTAAATAAGGGTTGTCAGAGCAAAAGGTCTCTAAGGAAAAGTGGGGTTTTCCTGATGGGTTCACAGGAGGCGGGCAGTCTAGCTATAGTGGTAGCTTCGCTAGAAATTAAATAAATTAAATGAAATTAATTAGAGTGCACAAGGAAGAATTCACTCTACAGGTCTACATAGAGCTCAGTGTATCCTTAACTCCTGCACACAGCTTCACTGGGAGATAAACATTTGTTTGTATGTCACTTAGGCACAATCTTTAGTGATTTCATAGAGTCATATTCAAAGTTTGCACTGTGGTTCGAAGTGTGAATAGCACTCCGAAGATAACTCTTCTTGTAGTGCAACCATAGATGTATAGATCTGGTAGACCTCATAGGTTGATGGCATGGAAAAGTCCTTCAAATTTTCTTCCCACCCTTCAGGTGAGACTGCATGTAGCTGTCCCATTAAAATAAAAGTTGCACCTGGTGCAAAGTATATAGCTGTGCTCCCTGGAAGTGTCTGATCCAACAACATTCTATGTCAGCCTGAAAAAATCACCATGATGTCGCTAGTGTTCTTGGGTATAATTTCCACTAATAGGTCATGCATTGGGTAGAAGAAATGTCCCCATGCATGAACTTGGTCACGTTGCTAAGAATGTGCACCTCTGCCTGATACCAAACTTGTGCAATCTTCTTGTGCAGTCAGAGCTCATGTGTAGTGATCAGAAACAGGCACTAATACTTATGAAAACATGCAACAGACACGAAATTTGAGTTGCAGTAGCATGGTGCTCGAGCCATGGAGAATGCTTATGTCAGAAATGCCATTTGTGACAGTCATTTGCCATATTAGGTAGGCACATGACGCGGGGCCGCCCACACCGGTAGGTTAGGTTTTTCAAACTCCACTAGGACCTAACTGTGCTACCACTATAGCTAGACTGCCAGGAGGTAAGCTGGAGTCGCCAGGACCTCGGAAAATAGCCTGACTAACCCTTATGCTTTCACAGACAAATTTGGCTGAAAAATACGCTCAACTCTTAAGATAGACCCATCTCATTCTTGACTACTTCACGTGATCTGAATTGTCACACTTGGCTGGAGAAGAGCATAAAATGGCTTTCTGCGCCTTTCACAAGACCGCCATCAAAAATTTGCTGTGATCATGTTGTTTAAAAGACAGTTTCCAATGACATGATCATGACATTTTTTTTTCAAAGTTGATGTGAAATGTGTAGTTTGCTCAGGACTGGTTTTCTCCCCTGCCAAAATGGACACAGCTCCAAACATACAAGATGTCCTGGGCACCAAGAACATTTGCAGTACATGTATGATACATACTAAAATTTTACTAAAATTTTACATGTACTGCAAATGTTCTTGGTGCCCAGAACATCTTGTATGTTTGGAGTAGGAGCACTTAACATCTTCTCACAATGTTCTGAAGATTAACGGCAGCCAGAAATGTAATGTATTTGGCCATGGGAAATCCTTATTATACAGAGCATATTTCACCAAGAGACAAGCCCAGAATATAGTAGCAAAATGATAAATGTTCCAGAATGAAACATCCAGCAAGTCTGCAGGACATTCTCCAATGAGACATTGTGTGAGACATATTAGATGTTCCAGAATGGTACATGCAACATGTCTCCAGCATGCTCTCCAATGGAACATTGTGCAAGACATATTAGATGTTCCTTACCATGTTCAGAACATGTGACATGTCCAAAAACATAATCTGTTCCTTGGATGTTCAGACACTGTTCCAAGGCAGAACATCCACTTTTGCCTCCAGTGAGGAAGCGATCCGAGGGCACCCATGGAGCCCGCCACAGTGGGTGGGGAATGATTATGTGAGGGAACTTTATATAGAATGTATATAAAGAAATCTATTTCGGGAACCCGGCTGAGTAATCAGGTCTTCCCTTCATCCGAGACATCATCGCGACATTCTCTGGAAATTTACCTATTATTCTCGACAGGTTATTACCTATTATTCTCGACAGGTTATTACCTATTATTCTCGACAGGTTATTACCTATTATTCTCGACAGGTTATTACCTATTATTCTCGACAGGTTATTACCTATTATTCTCGACAGGTTATTACCTATTATTCTCGACAGGTTATTACCTATTATTCTCGACAGGTTATTACCTATTATTCTCAACAGATTATGAGCCCCGGGACCGTCTAAACCTCGGACTTGTATCCTACTGCTGCTAACAACCAATAAAACTATCCTCACCCATACGAGAAAAACTACCCCTGTTTTGGGCAACACAATGTCGAACGACGACAAGGACATTCTGAACAGTATGTATCAGATCCATCCTCTGAAGGAGGACAACTGGATGCCATGGAAGAGGTGCATGACTGCATTCCTGGATGAGAAACTTCTCGGCTACATCACCGGTGAGATACAGAAACTGAAGCCGAGCACTAATCCGGATATCAGAGAAGCACGCGATGCCGAGATTCAGAAGTGAGGCGAGAAGGATCACAGGGTGAGGAATTTGATTATCATGTGCCTGGACAATGCACAGGTGATTCATATGGAAGGAGCAACAATGGCGTATCATATGTGGGATCTGCTTCACATGGTAAAGGAGCTGAAAGGACAACATGGAATTATAGCTTTGAGTCGAGTTTTCTATGATTACCATGCTGATGAAGGCATGAATATCCTGAAGCACATCGCCAAGCTTCGGGAGATAAGCGAACAACTACAGATGATGGGAAAGCAAATAATGGATGCAGATTTTAATGAGATCCTCATCAAGTCCCTGCCCAGCAGCTGGGACTCATATATGGTGTCGTACACTGGCGCAATGAGTTCTCAGCCAAACTCTTCACCAATGATGACACCAGAATTGATTACTGTAGTCAACGGCGAATATAGGCGCCGTCTCGACTGCAATCAGCACGTCGAGCCAGAGCAAGTGCTTACCGCCCAAAGCCAGAAGCGGAAGTGAGACTCGATCAAGAAATGTTCCATCTGTCACAAGATGGGACACACGGCTAACAAATGCTGAAACCGAGGCAAGCCCATCTGTTCCAATTGTGGAAAGTTCGGGCACATTGGGAAAGATTGTTGGGCCAAGGGTGGTGACAAGGAGGGACAAGCGCCTTCCAGAGTGGGACTGTCCAATGCCCCATATTGAGGTGCATCATCTGGAGAACCTTCATACAAGCACTGAAAATTTGAGCAGATGCACGATGCCAGCAGCAAAGGCAAGGACAGAGTGCATATTGCACATGAGAATGATAAAGAAGATCGCGATAGCGATATGGTATCCTTAGGCACTAGCTCGGGGAATGATGATTTTGATTTCTTCTATGACTGGTATGCCGATTCAGCGACAACATCACATGTCGCAAAAAATCGTGATATATTCTTAATCTACAAACCTCTCGAGCATCATGCAATAAATGGACTTGGCACTGTCCAAGCCTATGGACGAGGAACTGTACAGCTCGAAAGTAAGGTAGGAAATAGAAAAATTAAGTTCCAATGGTGCAATGTGCTGTATGCACCACGATCCCCCTGCAATTTACTTTCAATACCGAGACTTGACGAAGCCAGTGGCTGAACAGTCATGGGAGATCAGCGCGCAATCTTAATTGATCACCACAGAAAAACCCTCGCTGTTGCCAAAATGAAAGGTAGATTATATTTATTGCATGTCCAAGCAGTTAAGCTGCAACAAGGGAGTGCATACATAGTGTCCGAGAACAACCCGCGCACCTGGGAAGAGTGGCACCGATCGTATGGACACATCAGCAAAGCCATGCTACAAACTTTGCAGCACAACCATCTAGTTGAGGGCTTACAATTTCTGCCCGACCTGGCCAATATCGAATGCACCACATCATCAGGAAAATCACTTTTTTCCTGAGAGCACGTGAGGAAGCTGAACTTTTCCCAGGGCACCTCAGAGCACACAAGGTGCCCTGAGGACAACTCAGGCTGGTACAGGAAATTACATAACTCCTGGGGTGTCTGAGAGTGTCAAGGGTGATCTCAGGACATCCACTTAATTCTATATGAGTACATTATAAAATATAAACATTGACCCAACTACAATCAACAGACACAGCACAATACCAATAGCACAAGCATCTCAGCTTGCACCGGCGACGTGGGAGACACCGGCTATGAGAGAGATTATGTGTCATTGCCATGGTGCAGAGGGCATGATACAGCTGTCAAGAGTGTGCCTGCCACACTGCATTGTGATGGCGTGGCAGGCCTCTTGTGTCTGAAAATGTGACAGGCACTCGTTGAGCTTAAATGTGTCCTGATGTGCATGGAGGACAGCGAGATAGGGCAGACCAGGTAGACAGCACAGAGGAGTGTGAGACTCCACCTGAACAGCATCGCCTTGCCTCCTGTCTGTCGCACGGGTGCATGTCAAGGTGACTGTGGCAAGTTCACACATGCAACTTCACAGAGAGGAAGGCCCCATCTGCATGCTCAGGAAACTTCAAGGAGCGCACGTGCATCTTGGTTCACAGGCCCAGGGGACATAATTGAACAGGGCACAAGTCTTGTGTCTTGCTGACGCGCATCTACAGCGATATTGATAGATTGACGAATCATCAAAATTGATCATCCATGTGCCAAATGACGTGATAGGAGTAGAGGTCAGTGCAGTTCATCAGGAAAACCCCACTTTTTCTTAAAAGGACACTTAAATAACTTAAATGGACTTATGGTCCTTATTTAAGGACATAAGGACAAAAAGGCCGCCTAAGGCATATTCCCTGAGTGTCTGAAATTCAACTTATTTGAACACTTATGGCCTTAAATAAGGGTTCTCAGACCCAAAATAAGTCCATAAGAGAAAGTTGGGTTTTCCTGATGCTTAGCAATGGGGGTCGAACAAGAATGTACTGCAGCGGACACATGGGCTGGGTGGAGTATGCAGGCCTGGTGCTCATGATGTTTGTTAAAATTGAATACATCAGGAAAACTCCAATTTTGCTTACGGCAGCTTTATCGTCTTAATCAAGGAAACAAGGATCTCAAGGACAATAAGCTGATCTCCGTACTTGACTGGCTTAATTTCTACTTGAACAACTTAAGAGCAAAGCTTTGTCTAAGAATGGCCAGGTAGTAAGATGAGATATCAGCTGCGCTTGACCAGCTTAAGCAAGCACATCAAGTGGACGAATTCAACAAGTATTAAATTGCTATATCAAGCAAATCATGCCAAATTGTACGTAAGACGAGACAGATACTAAGCTGTGAAGTTAACAGAAGCCAGAAAAGCGGTGAAACCAAGTAAAGATGAGTTCAGTAGGTATCATGCAGTGGACCATAAAGAAGCGGATCATACACACTGAAGCGGCAGCTAACCTGATTGCACCATAGGGCTTGTTTGATTCCCCCATCTCGATAGCGTACAGAGCAGGGATGTTGATCGTGCCTTCAGTCGACTTGTAATAGTACGCGAGCGTTCGCAAGACCAGCGGTGAGCCGAAGAGACCTCTGAATGACTTGAAAAAAATGACTAAGTGTTAGGACAAAATAATGCTTGATAGTACAATCACTTACAGATTCATTTGGACCATCAGCATCATTCCATACAAATCGCTGTTTATGAAGAAGCACCTTCGCAAAGTTTGCATGCTGTTCGGTCATCTCAAAATCCTCATCGGAGCCAAATAGATCCTCAAGGACCACAAGCACTGTCGAACCAAAGCTGTTACACCATTCACAGAGCCTCTGATTGGCCTACAAGGTGAAAAGGACAGCTATGTTTGAACGAATGATGCATTTGACGCCAGAGACTTACCAGTTTGCAGACGAAATCTTCGCGAGTAACCTTGTGCTCAATCTTTGCTTTGGTAAAAACTGCGTCCCAAACACATTGTAACACCGCCACAGCCTTTTCATCACTGATCGACCAGGGATCCCGCATAGTACCCACGTAGCACTCCAGAGTCGAAACAAACACCTGCCACCAGAGCTTCAGCGTGCCAGGTGGTAAATCAGCATTGGTAGCATTGGTAGACTTCGGCTTCTTGGATTTAACAAGTGTGCCATCGTCCAGCTTATTATTGAGTTCGAACTCTGCATCTTCGATTTTGACCATACTCTACCTGGTTGCTCAGTACCGGTATCAATATTGTATAGACTACTTACATTGCTGGTCAAGCGTACTCTTCCCTTCACCGGACTGGAAAGAGCCATGATTCATTCAAGTTCATCATCGTCATCGCTGGAGATCCCACCGCCAACTTCAATCGCAATGAGATTGATCTCATCGGTCTTAGCTGCTAACTTTTTGACAGTCCCAGACACCTTGGTGGAAGTAGATGCCTCGGTCCTGGCCATTTTGAATGTGGCAGTACGAGACTGAGAAGTGCCGGAGATGGATGGTGGATGGCTATCGGCAGCCTTAGAGGAAAGATTCCAAGTGATTACATTCACCGCCCAGTTCTTGATCGTTCCACTGGCAGAGAGGCCGCTGACACTCTTCTTATCTCTGCAGGTGTAATAAAAGAGGGTAGTTTCATCGAGTGTGAGCAATAACTGCATGTCAGAAGTGAGTACTACTCACTTCGATTGCACCGGCGCTTTGGCTTCCTTGCAGTTCCCAGCATGCAGTTGGGCGTCTTCTTTCTTGACGGTGCCCTCATCCTCGGACGACTCAATGATGACAGGCTCCTTCATTATCTTCTTGGTCTCCTTCAGATTCTGTTTGCGAGCTGCATCTATTGCTTTCCTGGTGGTCTGCTTCTTCGCTTTCTTCTTCGGGTGCTCATTCTCTGTCTCGATATCTGTGAGTTCAGAGGCTTCAGCATCAGATGCATCTCCTACAGCTCCATGTCCAGCTCTTTCCATCGTCTGCACCTCCTGAAGTGGATCACCTGCATTATCGTGATCGTCCTCCATTACATCAAGAGAAGCATAGGTGTGTTGGAGAGCTTGAGGGTCTGAAGCCCGAGAACGTTTCGCAGGCTGCTGAGATGATTGCGTGACATGTTTGGCCTCAATTTTAGCAGTGTCATCGGCCATCCTGTCCTCAAGATTAGCGATCCTCTTCAACTTCTTGACCTGCACCTGCTGCATCTCCTCCTTGGCCTTCTCCTCCGCAATTCTTACCGCCTTCATCTCTGCCTGGGTGCATCTTTTTGCCTTTATATCAGGCTGACCAGGATGCTTATCAAGGTTTGTTGCACGAGTAGCAAGACGAGACATGGCAGATGTATGAAGTGAGCTGAAAAATGGCGGAATGGAAATATGGTTCATTTCGACGGTTGTTGCCACAGTGTTCAGCATCTAACGGCGAACAATTCAGCAGTGTTCTCGGCTTGGTATATTGCAGGTAATATTACTTGAAATAAATGCATTTTCGGACTATCCTTTGTCGTAGTGTAAGCCCAATTTGTTGTAAGTTACACAATCGCTTCATCCTTCGCAAAGTCCCACTTTTACCTGGGTACAATCTCGAGTGCAATGCCTAACCATTTGATTCCTCGATCACGACACATTCCCAGTTTTCTACACTACCCTTGCAATGTCTCCAGTTGTAATCGGTGGTTCAAGAACAAAGGTGGACTCACGAAACACATCCGTTGCACTCACGCTCATGCTCCTCCTGCGCAGACACGAATAACCACCTCTTATCAGCCACAGTCTCCATCAGCTTCTCACGGAAATGTTCACGATGACCAGGAGGAGGAATCACGTTCAGAACGTAAGTCTAGCAATATGCAGGATGAAGATGGCCATTCTGCACTTGCGCCCTCGAGCCCTTTCGATCCTGCAAAGGAAGATGACACATCACTGCAGTCCCCCATACATTCAGATTATGTATACAATGACATTGCAGGCGATGCTGATAACTCAGATATTGACATGGAGAATGAAAGTGCATCTGAGAACAGATGCAATGAGCAGGATCATGTCAGGGTGGACCCAGATTCAGTCAGTGTGACAAGAGAGTACCATCCCTATATTAACGGTTCGTCCATTCACTTTGGCTGAAATTTTTCTAATCTCTTTTGCCTTTGGCAGGAAGGCCGTGTGATAAGAATGGAGTCTATCTTCCAGATGGTACTCCCCCTCCTCCTTGCCCAGCTCCGGAAACGGACAATTGGTTCCCTTACTATGATCGCGTAGCCTTTGAAACTGCGGAATTCCTGTATAATCGAGAGCAGATGTCAGCTGGAAACATCGATACTATACTTCAGCTATGGGCTGCCAGCTTACTCCAACATCACGACGATCTGCCGTTTGCAAATTGTGAAGACTTATACAACACAATCGACTCAACGCTGCTCAGTGATGTCAAGTGGGAGTCGTTCAACCTACAATACGAAGGTCAACGTCCCGAGAGAGACGTTCCCTCATGGATGACAGCGAAATATGAAGTATACTTTTGGAATCCTTCTGAAGTCTTTCACGATCAAATGGCAAATGCGGACTTTGACAGCGAGATCGACTATGCACCACTACGAGAGTTTGTGGATGGTCAACGTCATCTGAAGAATTTTATGTCTGGAGATTGGGCCTGGAGACAAGCCGTAAGTTTGTCTCATCCTTCGAATATTTTCCTTCGTAGCTGATATCAGTCAATCTTAGGATCTCATTGCACAGGATCCAAATACACATGGTGTCGCATTTGTACCTGTTATCCTTGGCAGCGACAAAATAACAGTTTCTGTTGCCACGGGACAAACCGAGTACTATCCATTGTACGGATCCATTGGAGGTGTGCACAACAATGTACATCGTGCACACCGCAATGCTGTGACACTCCTGGGCTTTCTTGCGATTCCAAAGAGTGAGGAATCTCTTCGTGATGACATTGCATATAGGGCTAATTCATTGAATGGTGATAGCTGATAAAGAATTCTCCGAAGACGCGATGTTCCGCAAGTTTCACAGACAGCTCTTTCATTCCTCACTATCAAGAATTCTGCAGCCCTTGAAGCCTGGAATGATGACCCCAGAGATCATGCTGTGTGCAGACGGCCACTATCGCCATGTTGTATATGGTCTTGGTCCCTACATTGCAGACTATCCTGAGCAGGTACTTCTTGCGTGCATTGTCTCTGGGTGGTGTGCAAAGTGAGTCATCTGTTTCTCCCTTTGCACAGTTACTGATGGGTTTTCAAGATGTACCGCTTAAAAAGATGATCTGGATGGCCCCGGCTATGGATGGTGCCATCGCGAACATACTGAACTTCTAGTAGAAGAACTGGAACTCGGTGTATTATGGGATGAGTACGGTCTTGTCGGGGATATCGTGGTAAGCACAATTTTGTCTCATCGACATTCCTTTACATAGCAGACCCATCCATACCAAGTCATGCCGATGTTAGAGCAATGACCCGAACTGATTGATGGGTGAAAATTTTGAGTCAAATGGAACTAACTTTCTGATGTTACCACAGCCCTTTACAAACGATTTCCCTCGCGCTGATATCCATGAACTTCTCTCCCCGGATCTTCTTCATCAAATCATTAAAGGAACATTCAAGGATCACCTCGTAAGTTGGGTGGAGGAATACATTGAATTGATGCACAGCAAGAGGGAAGTGAAATGAATCCTTGCAGATATTGATCAACGGTAGGTTCTTATGGCGTTAATTACTTTTGTTTGGCCTGACACATATCACCCTTTACAGCATTGCAGCAGTGCCTGCATTCTCTGGCCTATGACGATTTCCCAAGGGCCATAGATTCAAACAATGGACAGGAGACGATTCAAAGGCATTGATGAAGGTCTGTCGTTCTCCGCTACTTAAAACATGAGCAAACTTATACATGTATGCTAGGTTTATCTCCCTGCCATTGCCGAGTACGTCCCCGAGGATATGGTGTGGGCCATCCAAGCCTTCCTCGACTTCTGTTATATCGCACAGCGCAACGTTCACACTGAGCAAACACTTGATGCACTTCAGGATGCTCTGGATCGGTTTCATTACTACCGGAAGATTTTTGAGACTTGCGGTGTTCAACCTGATGGTATCTCACTTCCTCAGCAGCATTCTCTCTGCCACTACAGGTTCTCAATCTGGGAATTTGCAAGCCCGAATGGGCTGTGCTCATCCATTACTGAATCTAAGCATATCAAAGCGGTAAAGGAACCTTGGCGCTGATCAAGCAGATACCAGGCTCTAGGCCAGATGCTGCGAACAAATCAGAGGATCGATAAGCTTGCTGCAGCTTATGTTGACTTTACCAAGCGTGGTATGCTGAAGGGTTCATGGCTTTCCAATGCATTCTGCAAGATTTGTAAGTCAAGTTTTTACACCGTTTTACTCCATATGCTGAAAAATCAAAAGATCTCGTAGATGCTGATCCTACCGAGACTGAAGACATCAATATAGGAGCTGACTGCCATGTGTCCAAGCCACTGGGCCCTGACGAGCAGCAGGACGATGATGGCAGTGTCCCTGGCCCAACAGTTCTTGTGTACGTTGATCTAGCAGCGACTGTTCGTGCGTGACGATTGACTCTATCCTTATGTGACTCTATTGACCAAGCCCAACAGAACAGCGACATCCCAGAGGTTTTGCTGAACTTGCACATCAGATCAACCAACCTGAGCTTCCTGAACTGATCCGACGATTTCTGTACGACCAATTGAATCCTAACAACCCGCGTTCTGCATCCGATGTCAGTATCAGCGAATGTCCAACACTCAAAGGCAAGATTTCCGTTCACTACTCAGCCGCCGCAACATACTATGCTCTGAGTGATCCTTGTGGCATCGGCGGAATGCATCGCGAACACCTTCGGGCAAATCCAGTGTGGTGTCGTCATACACCACGTTTTGATTGTGCCCTCGTCAATCGTGACCCCAATCTCGCTGGTATGCTCAGTATTGACGTTGTTCGTATACGCTTGCTCTTCTCTTTCAAGCATGCAGGCCATCAATATCCCTGTGCCCTCATCCATTGGTTTCAGTGTGTGTGTGATCAGCCAGATGAAGATACAGGCATGTGGATCGTCCAACCAGAAACTGATGAACAGGGTGCACCTGTAATATCCATGATACATGTCGACTCCATTATACGTGCAGCACACTTGATCCCAGTGTATGGCGATGGGCGTGTATCACGGGACATTACAGATAAGAACTCACTGGATGCATTCCGTGCTTTCTACGTCAATAAGTTCACCGACCACCATGCATTTGAAATACTGTCATAGCTGTCGGTTGTCTCAATTTATCCCAATCCCTTTTCTTGGTCTGCAGTCTCTTATTCTCATGGCATAGGTATGTGCACCCTTCACTTCTTGCTGTCAAATATCTCACTTGCCAGCCATGGCTGATTGTAGGTGACAAATCAGTCGCAAATTAGCTAACCCACTTGATGCTGTGCGTGACCGCGAATGAGATTGCAGCAAGCGCGAGAAGGCTCGAACACATCCAGCATGCTGCACTCATGCTTGCCAAAGAGAAGTGGCAGGTGCACCACCTCAAGACCCTCCTGCGCAGCATGGATGACTGGCTCGACTACGAGAGCTGGTGCACAGACTGCATCGAGGGCCTCGCACATCGTGCTTGCATGCTTGCAAATATGATGGAATGCAAGTTACGCAGGGCTGAAAGTGAAGCATGGCATGTGGACAGATGGACAAGATTGTTCTTTATGCGAAGAAGGTTGGATACACCCCAAACTTTGTTGGCCTGCTCCAACACGTCATGCGAACCAACCCCGAGAAGGGTGCTGAGTTCTCTGCGCAGTTCGTCAACGATGACTCAGGTCCGCTCATGGATGTCGAGTGGGTGAGTTTTCTGTCTACTTCGAGTGTTCTATTACTGAGCTCACTCCCTCTTCAGGTGGTGGACATCTTCATGTCGCAAAACATGATCCAGCCCGCGGCGTCATTCTTACTCGATGCACTGAAGGAGAACAAGCCTGAGCAGGCTCATCTCCAGACTCATCTGCTGGAGATGAACCTGATTCACGCCCCTCAAGTCGTGGATGCCATTCTCGGTAATGAGATGTTCACGCACTACGACCGTCCACGAATTGCCAACCTTTGCGAGAAGGCTGGTTTAATGCAGCGAGTTCGTAGACTTTCATGGCGATTGATTGCTCTTGCTCATATTTTAGTCTGCAGGCTCTCGAGCACTACGAGGACTTGGGGAACATCAAGCGTTATCGTGCATGCGAACGTGTTCCAGATCGATGTGAGTATTTGCCGTGTCTCGCTTTTCATTGCACTTGTTACTCACTCGTCCATTAGTGGCTCGTCAGCTACTTCAGTCGCCTTACTACTGAGCAGTCATTGGCTTGCATGGGAGAGATACTTCGTATCAACATTCGGCAGAACCTGCAGGTTGTTGTCCAGATCACTACGAAGTACTCAGATATCCTTGGCCCTGTCAAGCTCATCGAGTTGTTTGAGAAGTTTAAGTCATTCGAAGGTAATCTCGCTCTATACATATCATTTTATTGGACACTGACACTCTACGACCAGACCTATACTACTACCTTGGTTCCATCGTCAATCTCAGCCAGGATTCCGAGGTTCACTTCAAATACATTCAGGCGGCCACTCGTACAGGCCAAATTCGTGAGGTTGAACGCATCTGTCGTGAGGGCAACTACTACAACCCGGAGAAAGTCAAGAACTTTCTGAAGGAGGCCAAGCTTTCGGACCAGCTACCCCTCATCATCATCTGCGACCAGTTCGACTTCGTTTATGACCTTGTGCTGTACCTGTATCAGAATGGTCTCACCAGCTTCATTGAGGTTTATGTTCAACGTGTCAACTCGGTCAGGACGCCGCAGGTCATTGGGGGTCTCTTGGATGTCGACTGTGATGAGACAACCGTCAAGTCGTTGCTTGCTTCTGTCCCTGGCAACTTCCCCATCAATGAACTCGTGAATGAGGTAGAGACAATGAACAGGCTGAAGTTAATCCTTCCGTGGTTGGAGGCACACATGCAGGCGGGAAGCCAAGACCCTGCTGTGTACAATGCGCTCGCAAAGATCTATATTGAATCGAACAACAATCCCGAGACATTCTTGAAGGAGAACAATGTAAGTTCGTTCATTCCTTACCACTGCCCCTTGTTAAAATGTGACTGTTCAGTTGTACGAGCCACTGGTCATCAGCAAATTCTGTGAGGCCAGAGATCTGTACCTCGCCTACATTGCGTACACAAAGGGCCTGTGCGATGATGAGCTTCATCACGAATGACAACTCGATGTTTAAGCAACAAGCTCGCTATCTCATCAAGCGTCATGGTCTGGGCCTATAGGTGCAAGTCAGTCTCGATCTGCGGCCATTTCTCTGGAGAAGGGTGAGTTGGGGAGCGCAAGGGCGGGTGAATGAACTCACTGTTGCCTGTGCGGGAGACGAGGAGGAAGGTGATGGTGAGGGAGAAGGTGGAGATGTGGTGACCAGAGGCAATGGAGAAGGAGATGGGGGCATCCATGGTGGGGAAAAGAGATGGAGGAGAGAGAGAAAAGACATTCTCATGAGATGCGGGCTGTCAGCCCCACAGCAGCCAAATATTCTTCCCGTCATCATCCACGACAGATTGCACGACATCTAACATGGGCTGTAACATGATCTGTCAGTCCCCCATCTCCTCGTGCCCATGCTTGCCACTGCAGAGCACCCAGTACACAACATCGCCAAGGTCAGCTTCGGTATGGGAACGAATGAGCTCTATGATCGGTCAGTCGCTCCGAGCGCTTGCTTCCCTGTTCTCATTCCACAGCTCCAGTGCTCAGCCCTCGTACCAGCCTGCCACCCTCTCCCACATCCACAATGCCCTCTCAGCCTCTGCCTCACTTAACACTGTTGAGTGAGTTTACTTGCTCCATCCTTGCTTCTCTGACCGCTCAGCTTTACTAGGATCGGTGCAGGCACCGGCATCTTCACCCGTGCACTTCTCGCCCACCCAGACTGGTCCCACTCCGTGAACCAGCTCCACGCCATTGAGCTGTCCGAAGGCATGCGCGACGTCTTCACAAATTTCGTACATGACCCCCGCGTCTCCATCACTAAGGGAACCTTCGACTCCACTGGTGTCAATGACGGATGGGCCGACCACGTCATCATCGCTCAGGTGCGTTTCCCCACTTTTGCATATATGCATGCCCACACGGGCTCCCCCCGCACCCGAGACAGGACAACATGCATCGTCATCAGCTGATGGATCAGGTGAGATTTCCACGTTGTTTTCGTCTGATCTCCCTACTGACTTCACTACAACTAGATCATTGCGACTGCCCTTCCTGAGTCCACGGACCCCGATGATGTGTCCGTAACTGGGAAAGCGTTCTTGATGGCAGACCTTCCCATTGAGTTGATCGAGCTGCTCGAGAAGCTCATCCTCGAGCCTTCACCATTCAGCGACAATCGCAACCTCCAGAACTTGATGGTGTTGACAGCCATTCACGCAGACAAAGGCAAAGTTGTTGGATACATTGACAAGCTCAAGAACTACGATATTGCTGAGATTGCCAAGATTGTGACCGACCATGGTCTGTATGAGGAGGCATTCCTCATATACAAGAAGTATGAGCAACATGCCATGGCCATCAATGTGCTCATCGAGCATATTGTGTTCCTGGACCGCGGCACCGAGTATGCCATTAAGGTTAACAGGCCCAAGGTATGGAGCAGGCTGGTGAAGGCACAGCTCGACGGTCTGCGAATCAAGGATGCCATCGGTGAGTCAATCTGGGTCTGAACATTTCAGGTGCTAATCCCAGATAAATATTTGCAGATTCGTACATCAAGGCTGAGAATTCCTCGAACTACACCGAAGTCATCGAGATTGCTAGTCATGCGGGTAAGACGACCTCGCCAAGTACCTCCAAATGGTGCGCAAGACTCTGCGCGAGCCTAAAATTGACATGGAGTTGGCGTACACCTATGGAAAGACCGATCGTCTGCACGATATGAAGGACTTCTTGACTATGACAAATGTTGCCGACATTCTTGAGGTCGGAGAGAAGTGTTTTGAGGATGAACTTTACCAGGCGGCGAAGTTGCTCTTCACAAGTATCTCCAATTGGGCCCGGCTTGTAACGATGGTCATCTATCTCAGTGAGAACCAGGCTGCGGTGAAAAGTGCGTGAAAGGCCAGAAACACTCAGTCAGTACCTCTCAGTCTGTCGGAGAGGCATATGTTCCTAATGACAATTAAAGAGTATGGAAGCAAGTGCATGCTGCATGTATCGAGAAGGCCGAATTCCGTTTGGTGCATGTTATCACGGATCTTCTCGTGTTGCACTGACGCGGTCTGCAGGCCCAAAATTGTGGTCTTAATATCATTGTGCATGCCATATGTTCCTAGCCAGTCACCTGTATATTATTTACTGATGCATTGATCACCTTCACAGGAGGAACTCGCTGGTCTCATTCAGTTGTACGAGCGTCGAGGGCATTTCGATTAACTTCTTGCCCTTCTGGAAGCTGGCCTCAGTCTGGAGAGAGCACACATAAGGCATCGATTTTCATTGACAGATAGTCTTCTGATCGTGGTCATCTGCAGATGGGTATCTTCACTGAGCTCTCAGCCTTTTACGGCAAGTACAGACCCGAGAAATGTGAGTAGGAATTTCTTGACATGGCTGGAAACATCTATAATAACATATCTTCAGTCATGGAGCATCTCAAGCTCTTTGTTTCTCGCATTAATATCCCCAAGGTGTGTTATGTTTCCTTCACCATTCTCTGCCCCTAATAGTGATTTCATGTAGGTCATTAAAGCCGCTGAACAGGCCCATCTCTGGCCAGAGCTGGTTTTCCTCTAGGTTAAGTATGATGAGTTTGTGGGTAGCATTCTGATATCTGTATCGAACCTCAGCTAACAGTCTTTACTAGGACAATGTGGCATTAGCAATGATTGAACGCTCGGCAGATGCTTGGGAGCACAACCAGTTCGAGGATGTGATCATTCGGGTTGCCAACATCGAGATGTAAGTGTTAGCTTTGCTCAATCTGTAGCACGCATTGACCATCGTGGTAGCTATCACAAGTCGCTTACGTTCTATCTGCAAGAACAACCGACTCTCCTAACAAATCTGCTGACCATCTAGTGCACAATGCATGAGGTCACATTGCTCCATGCTAGCATGACCACTGCCAACAAGGGCGCAACTTGTCCCAGGTGACAGTTTGGTTGGTGAACGGAATCCACACCGTGCCCGTGGTGGGGTACGTGATCTGTGGGCTGACGATGTTGTCCTCAGCATGGCTGATGGGCGTCGCAAGAGTGGACGCGGTGAGCATCGCAAACGTAGCGGTGAGCACGGACGCCCATCCACGGGAAGTGCACCCAGCTTCCTGCACCTTCCCCCACACTGGCCGATGCCACTGATCACATCTCGGTCAAGCAGGAGGAGCCCTTGCACGTCCTTTCACCCGTCCATCAACACCTCGGCACCAGCACCGGCTACGAGGGAGGCCGAGAGTAGTGCATGGCACGTTCTGGCAGACCTCCGATGTCGACCTACATCTTTGCATCACATTTGAGTTGTCAATACTTGTGCAGCTGTCATTGACGATAGCGCTCTTGTATGACTTGGTTGCTTTATCATTACTTGCTCTACTTTCCTCGTATCCACCTTAGGTGAATTGCCGGATTTAGTGCCTTACTTACATGTTTAATGCGACATAAGACTTGATCACTTCATTCTTACTTATGTGACTTTCGGAGTATACACCTTAGTTAAGTTATTGGGTTTAACCCCTTAATTACAAGTGCTTGATAGCCTTGCTCCAGTAGCTCAACCACATAACCACTTTGTTGACTTACTAACGACAACTAAGTAGAGCCAAGAAAGGACTTTAATTAAAATCTAACACTTAATTCCCTTACTGGGATTGTTGACTTGGATAAGTCACTAAAGCGGATTAAAGTAAAATCAAGGTTTTCCTGATGTAGTTAGTGCAGATTGCAAAGTTGTTAGTTGGCGAATTGCGTGCAAGTCGGAGTGCTAGGTGCTGACATAGGTGCACGTGATGGCACCGCCCACTCCATTTCGGGACAGCATACTGAACACCCAGCATTTATCTCCTGATGTAGCTGTCCTGCATTCCACATCAGGGAATCGGGATTCCTCCGGATGGAGGATAGATCTCCTCAGCTCCATCCGGAGCTGGATGGAGATTGTACCTTCGCATGGAGATGCCAGCTACAGACAGAGAGAGCTAAAGGCCCCAAGCAAGCAGATGTATCTAGACAGCATTGATATCTCTTCCTACATGCTCTATGAGTATTTTCTGAGAATATCCAACAACTTGAGCCTGTCCCTGGTGCTCGCGAGTATGTCCCACGAGCCACGTGCTGTCTCCGTCCAGCTCCATGCAGAGATGTGATCTCCATCCGGCACGGCACGGAGACGGCCTGCTCCGTATGATGGGGGGGATTTCCATCACTCCGGGGCTCCGTCCGCTACCATATGGAGCCTATGGAGCTATCCCAAGTTCCTGATGGCAGTCCTTACCGTCAAGACCACACACGAGAAGGTCGAAGCGGAGTCTAACGTCACACAGAGTGAAGAGCACACTGTGTTTGGCACTGCGAGGAGTAAAAGAGAGACGACGGTCGGTAAGTTGAACATTTTATGAAAGACTTTTGGTTAGAGCTGAGAAGCAGCGTACGTAGCCTTTAAGAATTGACGGTTACATAAGCAGATGGTTTCGACTTCACCAGCCTTCACCAAATCACAGTGGAGCTCCACTGTGTCTAGGTCTCCTCAAATACGCTCTAGTAGTACGTACGCTTACGTACGTCGTAGCACACGGTTGTGCTTCGAAGAACGGGAAGTAGGTTGACACGCTGACCCGGTACCTGTTGAACGCGAAGAGTCACGTTGCTGTTTGTTTGCGTCCCGAAACTACAAGTTAATCTTTGTACAAATACTAGGCCATGGCGCTTCGGACACATCATAACAGTCTCGGCCGCCCACAGTCATTGCATCACAAGTTAGCATCACGAGGGTTCTGTTCCTCACCCCCATTCCATACAACCACCATACTTATTTTCAGACTGTCGGGAGGTAGACCCACATATCCTTGAGGTATTGACATGTTATGAGTGAGTCACCGACGTTGGTGTATTTTCGTTAGCTGAAACCACATTCCCGGACTATTTGCGAGCAGGAGCTATGTCAGAAGAAATGGAGGAACGACCGCCGAATTCTCTGAACATGCACAGTCGAAGGTCATCTGGTAACACCGCCGGTGCTTCTCCTTGAACTACGACCTCAACAGAGTATACGTATCTTCTCAGGCCAGACTAAAACCCCCGCGGATTACCCAACCACCGTTGACGAACTGGGGTCACGAGAACTTTTAACAGGCTACGCCGGCATTCTGCTGACACTGAACTAGTTACACAGGGACCCCCCTCAAAACTCAGTCCAGAGTGACGTTCTTTCATCTCTCTCTCTCTTTACCGATGTCTACCACCCGCATCGCAGTTGTCACAGGTGCCTCTCGGGGAATCGGAGAGGCCGTCGCCTTGCGTCTTGCAGACGATGGATTTGACGTTGCCGTGAACGACATTCCTGCAATGGCAGAATCGCTCAAGGCGCTTGCCGAGAAGATACGGCAGAAGGGCAGACGCTCTCTCGCCGTGACTGGGGATGTATCGAATGAGAACGACGTGAAGACCGTGGTTGACAAGGTCGTAGAGACACTTGGCGGACTGGACGTTGTATGCATTCGGGATTTAAGCGAAGCACCGCATATTCTGAATACCTTGTTGACTGCCAGATGGTCGCAAACGCAGGCATCGCCCTGGCGAAGCCTGTCGTCGAGAGTGTGTGTGCTGTCTGCTTCAAAAACTGTGATACTTATCGGCGGCCGCAGCTTCTGTCGAAGAATATGATCGCATTATGTCTGTCAACGTCAAGGGTGTCTTCCTGTGCTTCAAGTATGCTGCTCTCCAGATGATCAAACAAGGACGAGGTGGAAGAATCATAGGTAAGCTGCTCTTGGGACTGTCCGACACGCGTATTTTGCTGGCATTGATCAGTCATCTCCAGGCGCTTGTTCCACGGCCGGTAGGAGGGGTAGGTCTGCAAAGTAGGTGCCAACAAAGACACTCGCATTCATGAGCACTTTGCATGGCCAGGAATGACCAATATTTCTGTATACGCCGCATCAAAATTCGCAGTGCGGGGACTTACTCAAACTTGTGGTGCGCCTTGACTTTCTTGTTCACATTGAAGAGCACAGCTAAGCTCGTATTCTTGCTTGAAACCGTCTTGTAGCGCTCGAATGGGCGAAGCACAACATAACTGTCAACAGCTATGCTCCTGGGATAATTAACACGCCGCTCGGTGCGTTCAAATGTTGATGCGCAGTTATAGGTCCTGACAAGTCTTTCTGAATAGTGACGGAGTCGAATGAGGTTGCGAGGGAGAAAAATTCAACCACGGTAAGTAGCCCACTCTTGTTACTAGTGAGACGCGATTTATCATGGCTGTTTAGGTCGTCGACACGCTTGGTCTCGGGAAGGATACTCCAAGCGCAGAGCCCTCTGTCATCGGAGAACTGGTCTCCTACCTCGTGAAACCAGAGTCTCAGTTCGTCAGCGGTGAGTAGCTCAATTTGGCGGAGGTGGCTATCGGGATCGGCTGATCGAAATATGGGATATTTAGGCCAATGCATAAACATCAACGGAGGCGTTTTCTTTGACTGAGGTCACGTCCGGAGAGCTATCAGCTAAGCTCCATTGTAATTGTTCGAGTACGTCAACTCTCGTACGGCTGCAGATCGAGTGTACGAATCAGACTTATCTTGGTGGTTCTGTTCTGCGTGTTCGTGCTTTGTGAATATGCTGCATGGATTGCTCGCGTACTCTGCACAACGATCATGCATGAGATCCTCCCTCATGATGAGCTCACTGAGAAGCGTCGATTTGTACGACGAACCGCCCGTCTGTGCGACGTAGTCATTGACCCGTTGATAAAGGTCCTAACGGAACCATCTCATATGGGGGGGAGCCAATCGCGCGCAACAAATACGAAGAGACGTTACCTTCGAAGACGTGTCCCAGACGCGTAGATTCCGGCGCCAAAGCGCAGAAAATTGGTACGCTCGCCGGCACGCACCCATTGCAACCGCAAGCGCATTCATCAAGGCAGTGAGCGTATCCAGTCGGCAGGATGCTAAGGACACAGAACAGTGACAAGCACGCGGATAAATATTACACAAGCACAAGCTTCAGCACTGCAGAGGTCGCGTAATAATTCACCGTCGCCCAGGCTACGGTTTCGTGCCGTGCCAGCCAGAGCACTGTGTGTTCCCGTCTGTCTGCGCGGTGTGCGGTGTGTTATGTATCATGACCTAAGCCTCAAATGTCTGCATGTGGGTTCAGGATTGGAAATATCCGCACCTGTATTGTATTGGTCGAATTTCTCATTCGCATCCCTGCTGCCGCAGATCTTCCAGATCTATGATACCTCACCACGGTCGACGACGTCCTCATAGAGAGCCGCAAGATCGAGGCAGACGAACTGGGTAGCTCGCGGGTATATATAGCACGTCCGCGGGATGCTTCGGTGCATTCTTGAATTGCTCGTCCACTACATAGCATGTCGGCACGGAATACAAACGCACCTCTACGTACGCACCGTGTGCGACTTCTGCGGTTGCAAAATAAAATACTTGTTAACAACCGGCGCTGATCAAAGATCGAAGATCGAAAATTTGACGAACGAGGTGGAAAAATACCGGACACACTAGCTCACCGTCGTCGTCGACAGCGTAATCGTCATATTCTCCGCAGCTCCTACTGGCTGGAGTTGCTGCGTCAACAGTTGATATTGCAAGGCTTTCTGAGCAAGCCCACAGCTGCGCGTCCGCTCGAGTCGGCAGCAGTGAGAACTACGTCATGTGAGATAAATACAAGCACGCCTCATGCCGTGCCGGTTTTTACAGCCGCTACAACGGACGTCACGCACACGCACCCGAACAGGAACAGACATACACCAACCTCGAGCTCACCCACCTCCACGCGACGCCTGCGTTCGACGAGCGCACACTCAGGCTTGCCCAGCTCGCACTTTGTGCCGGTCGGAGCTGGTCACCCTTCCGACCCAGGCAGCTGCACCCGGCACCGGACGCCACAGAAGGCGTGCATGCACTCGCCGGGTTGTCGCCAACGTGAATGGGGAACGCGAGGATCCAGCGTGTACTAGCAATCCGAGTGTAGACCGCCACACAGTTAGTACGAACTAGGGATGAATCGATGACCGATGGGCGCCGAGCGCCGTAGCAGCGATAACTGCCGTAGAACGAACGAGACTTCGTCCCTGGAGCAGCGCAAAAATCAGGATCGAGCAATCCTGGAAATAAAAATACGCGAACATGTAGCAACACTCTGGTGAGCATGCTATATATTCCGATCCCTTTGAAGAACAAAGACCACAGAGAAACGGTGAGTCGAGCGGGGCCACCGTCTTCGAGAGATTCGAGCTCGCGAAGAGCCGCCACAGTTGACAGGACTAGGTCGAATACCTTATTGAGACGCGACACAGGCTGTCCTTTGTGCTGTAAAGCTCGTTGACGCGGCGCATCCTGACTGAACTCGTTCAAGAGATAAGAAGCGAGTGGGGAGACGAAAGGCCATGGCCCGGTAGAAATATAATTGGGAAGAGGTTGGGTGAGCAGATGAACGACCTCTTGGACCTTGGGAGGCCAATCGGAAGAGTTGGTTATGTCGTGGAACACGGGAGGTGGGCAAAACAATGATTTATTGTGAGAGGTACGCGTTCGCCGCCGCGGTGGCGGTTGACGCGGTGTGACAACTCGTGACACTCGCGAGTTGAACACCTTGAATAGATCTAGATGAGTGTTCAATAACGCTCAATGTTCTCGTCAAAGAAGTCTTTCTGGACGCAGCAACTTTATCATGGAAGAAGTGTTGACAACTCTTCTATCGCCCTCACCCGGTAGAAGGAATTGCACATCGAGCGGTCCAAAGCTAGTCATTGTCGGCGAGTGTACTTATTCGAGTCAGCTTATGCTGATCCGATACAATCCTGCGCGCAGCGCGAGACAGCTGCATGCCTGTGATCATCAAGGACAGGAGCACAATTCCATGGTCCGGGAGTGGCCGAGCGCCCTCGTCCTCCCGTATTTTACCGTGCTTGACTGCGATCGAGTCCAACCGCGTATCTTTCTTTCTGTCTATTCTCTCCATTCATCATCACCTCTGCCCATGTCCAGCGCCGACCTGTGTATTACATCGTCTACGGGACCATGAGCCTTCATCGCACAGAGTGCGGCGTTCTCGAGAAAACACTGGGCACAGGGACAGCCCCAAACGCTTTGCACCCTCCACCTTCCTCTCTCTTTCTCTCCCTCTATCGAGTTCCCTGCCGGTGAGTGCAAGTCGCGACAACACGACGACAGGCCAAGGAGGTATGCTCTCTATCCTCACCGACTCGCGTTTCTCGATGTTCCGACGAGGCCGCCCAGTGCCTAGGCTAGCTCGGACTGACTGCTGCAATTTTGTTGACTCTGAGCCCAGCGTATTCTCTAGGTCTAGGTGTTCAGGGTGCTCTGTATCCCGTCACCACCTCCACTGGTCCCTACTCCCTGCCCCAGTCGCGTTCGTGCGTTCTGCGACGCACACAAGCCTTAAAGCTTAAACGTAGAGGTCGCGCAACGTGCGCTTATTTACATGCGTCGTATCCGATCTGGCCACGGAGAGTGCACGACGCTCTCCGACAAAGCACGGACAATATTAACCTCGATCCTTGAGAGGGTTGGCCAACTTATTGCTGTTTTCAGAAGTCTTGTCGCGCGGCCAAATACACACAAATTTCCGCTTGGACAACCTCTAACTTCGAACGCAGATATCTCTTCAACGGCTGGGCCGTTTCCCTCGATTCTTGCATTTTCGGACTCTCCTCGTCAGCGCACAGGGCATGGTACCAACAGATATACCCTTTCTCTGCTATCTCTGTTCGCCATTTTCAGCAGCTTCCTTCTGGCTCAGAAGTGAGTTTGTCATCGTTGGATGGGTCGGAGAACATCGGAAGGTGGTGGAGACCCTCTGGTAGTATGGTAGGCAGGGCAGGGATATGCATTTGTGGCCTGAGAGGGTCTGGATTGTATGTGATTTATCTCAGACTGCATAGTGCATATCAGGGGGTTACAGAACTCAGGCTACTGTCAAAGATTCCAGTGTATTTTGTGTATAGACTACATATAGGATTCATGTGTGCATCAGGAATGAAGGATGACAGTGCTGAAGATCAGGAATAATGGATTCAAGGGCTTGAGTATCATACCAACTGCGGCATGACCTCCACCATCCTGAGTGTGTTCTACCATCTGCTGCTCACTTAAAACCATCCAGATATCAACATAAAACATGTAAGACATGAAAAATGCAAACCGGGGAATGTTTTTGACCATCTGGCAATGGGGTCCTAGTGCTGTGATCACAGATTGGATCCCACAGTAAGAATCAGGACACGCTTACCTTCAAATTGCATACCATGCCCTCTCTATGATCCTAAGAAGTCCTCTCGGAACAATTTCTCCAGTACTGGGACTGTCTGCCGCACGGGAAGTCAGTTCTGAGCTAGTGCGATGACCACCAGATCCGTGAGTATTGAACGGTCCGAATATGTATGTTTCTTGATACCATGCCCTGCGCGCTGACCAGGAGAGTCCGAAAATGCAAGAATCGAGAGAAACGGCCCAGCCGTTGAAGAGATATCCGCGTTCGAAGTTAGAGGTCGTCCAAGCGGAAATTTGTGTGTATTTGGCCGCGCGACAAGACTTCTGAAAACAGCAATAAACTGGCACGCGTGCTGCGCCCGAGGTCCGAGGTGACCGAAGCGCGCAAACGAAAGTCAAGTACTACCTACCAACAGCTCGAAGGTAGTCAGTCGGTCGATCTTCCGCATGTGATCAGATGGATGAGGATCGGGGCCGCTGCCTGTAGGTTCCAGCGCACCACACCTACGAGAGAGATCAACGCAGGGGAAAGAGCGCACGCGAGCAGATATCGGTACATCAGTATATCTGTATATATATATATACGTGTACATATCGGCTTTGCGGGACCTGTAACTCGGGGCAGGTTCTAGCGGCGAAACCGACTCTCACGACGTTGTATACATAGCCCGTCGGGGAACGCGAGTCCTATAGTGATCGGAGGATGCGGGGGGTTAGCAGCTTCCGTCCGCGCGGGGCGGAGGATGTAGCGATCCTCCCGCCTGCGCAGCTGGGAGTGGACGTCGAAGAGGCGGGGCGGACCATCTACTACCTCGTCTGCGCCCCTGTTCCTGTGCGCACCGCGCCCGTGCCACGTCCGAAATAGGGAGGGGCGGAGGGCCAGAGCACGAATCCACAGCGCGCACTCGGGGACGCGTCAATTTGCAATCGCCATGGGCGGCCGAGCGGTCCCGCTGGCATCTGCAGAGGCAACAGCGAAGTCGAAGCGCCAGTGTGAAATTGAGATGGGCCAGTAGTGACGGGGAGGCGCCGCTGTCGGTCGGTGCGGTCAGGCACGCTCGTCGCCGTTCGCGCGGTTGATGGGGTTGCCAGGCCCGCTTTCCAGGGACGCAGCCTCTGGAGTTGTGTCTCGACCCACTGCGCACTGCTGGCAGGGCAAGGCGTACCGCCCGCAGCGCTGCCTGGTGCGCGAGTGGGTGCCGCGAGATGGGCGGTAGTGGCAGGGTGCAGAGCAGTGGCGGAGGCGGAGGGTGGCGGACAGCGAAGGGGGTGCATCTGTGTGCCTGATCTGGGCGGGAGCTGATCGGAGGCAGATCACGACACGATGCTCTCGCCGTCGCTCCGAAGGATGCACGTTCTGTCAGTAAGGGAGCGTGAAGCAAGCCAGACGTCGCGCGGTGCCAGCGCACGCGTGCGTGCAAAGCCAGTGTTGCATCGCGTCTTCCAATCACTCGCGCTGAGTCATGCGGGGCAGGCGCACGGTGGGAGTCCGGCGCTGGCCGCGGAGAGACACACACGGCCGAGCTGTTCGCAGGAGCGGGTGCTGGAGTGGTCCCATTGGTGGGCAGAGGGACGACGGGGAGGAGGGAATGAATGTGTACTGGGAGACGTGGAGCAATCGATGCCGTCCACTCGCGCTGACTGGGCGTTCCTGGCCTCGCTCGCCCAGGCTTTAAAGCGGGCGTCCCGTTATCTGCCCATCATCCTGCCCCTTCCCACCTCTCATTCCCCCCTCGCCTCGCCCACAAAATGAACTTCCAGCTCGTCTCTCTCCTCGCCGTCGTCGTCTTCGCCGGCCTCGCCGCCGCCCTCCCAGTGCGTTCCTTCCGTCCTTCCGTCCTTCTGTCCTTCTATGCCCCCCATGCTGACGCACCGTATCCCCCACCTAGCACCCCGCCGCGAATCCCAACGCACAAGTGAGCTTCCTCCCCAATTGCCTCCGCGTGATACAGCTCCCGCTGACCACCGACCCATCCCGCTTCCCTCCCTTCCAGGAAAAGGTCAGTCTTCTCCCCGAGATCCTCCGGCGTCCCATACTGAGTGCGCCGTGTGCAGCGCGGCGGCGACGAGAACACCCCCGCCTGGTAGACCCCGCATCGTGTAATATGAGATCGCCGCAGGTGCGTTCGCTGTGCTGCCCGCCGCTCACGCTCACCCGCTCCGCACCACAGGTTCCCATATGTTACAGCCCGGCCTACTTTATTTCCTTGCGTTCACCCACTCCTTCTCACTTTCCCCGTTGCCGGAAGTCGAAGCTGAAGCCGAAGCTGGAGGGGGGGCCGATGGAGATGTGTTGAGGTGTTCTGCGTTCAGTCCCGTTCCCGCTCCTGCGGACCTTGCCACTTTCGGGCGTTCGTTCGTTTCTTTCTTGTTGTTGTTGTTGGTCCCCGTCCGTCCCCCGTCGTGTACCTTGTAACTTGCCGTCCCAGCGAGGTATATGCATGTATCCCTACCTGCCCCTCCCGCGCCCCGCGTGCACCCTGCCCCGAATCGGGACAACTTGTGATAGAAGGCGCGATCCGCGCGGGTTCGGAAGCTTTTTCAAGTTAGCGTTGCTTCCGCCCCGCGGGCTCGCGGATGTATAATACGCATCTCGGTGGCGCGTTTTATGCACAGTTCGGTGTCTTTGAAGCGCTGCGCCGTCGAGGCGGGCGGACATGCCGGGTTCGGTGGACGACCGGCTGTGCGCGGGGGTATGTAGTGTATATATATTTTTATGTTATGCCTGCGCGTGCACGTCCAGGTACCACGTGCCCCGCGTGATAATGATTAATGAGGGCTCCGCACCGAGAGCTCGTCCTGCAGTGCCAGCACTGGCACTGCTACATACTTCGGACTGTGCGCGCATCAGGCCTCAGGACTCGGATGGCGACGCGCTGCTTCGGGGACGCTCGAGCGCCTGTCGGGCGCCGCGTGTTTTCGTCTACGCTGAGGCCGGAGGTAAGGTCTGCCTGCGCGTGCGATTATTATTATGGAGCGTCCGTCCGCTGCGACTGTTGGGCGTCTGCGCATTAAATTTGACGGGGCGGGACGCGGTCCTTTATACAGTTGCGGACAATCAAACGCGGTAACTATTTTAGTCCAATTATGTAGAGTCCGGACAGTGCCGGAAGCTTTCGGAAACTGCACAAATGTGATGCTTATGACTCAGAGACTCGATTTGCACGAGCCGATTTCACTAATTCTTATTATTTCCTGTTTTGGACCCAAAATTTTGGCCAACCCCATAATTAATTAGATAAAAATACGAAAAAATATGCAATCGACTCCTTTCAATGAGTAGGGCATAATGCCACAAACAGATGAAAAATATACATCCAAAAATATGGCTATAGAAAATGCACAAAGTATACCTAGAATATGGAATTTGTCATTTAAAGTTACTGTCTTAGATAGCATTCTGACCATTGCCAATCTAGCTATGATGAGCGGGTTCGTGCCAGAGGCAGTTTCAGCTGAAATCTGCGCGAACATGTGAGAACACCTCAAACGTGTGGCGTAAGAACAAATGCGTAAGTAGCAGTAGGATCCCTTACGGAAGCTGGTTGGGTGAATTTTGGGTGGATTCGCAACATTTGAATGAATCAGAGGTTGCGGGTGACTAGCAGGTGGCCAATAGTACTCACTACGACCGCAAAGTGGCCTATAAGTGTCGAAAAAATCGCCCAAAAATTTGGCCATCCAAAAACTTCGTGGGAAAAACTATCTGAGTGCATTTTTGGGGGTTTTAAACCTCCCTGAGTCTGAATCTGAAGTCCATTTGTCTCAGAAAAATCTAGTTCAGGCGCTATCAAATTAACCGTGTTTGATTGTCCGCAACTGTACCCTCGATCGAGCGGTACATATTTACTCGGGCTGCGGCGAGCGTGTTTGTGTTGTCGCCTGGTTCGAGTTTGAGTTCGAGTTGGCACCCACGCGCTCGTTGCTCGTGCTCGTGCTCGTGATCTATATAGAATCGGGTGGGTCTGTTCGCTGTCGCGCTCCAGCCACTGCAGCTGGCATGGCGGACGGATGGACATATGGGACAGACTGCGCGACCCCGACAGACCGGGGACTCGGCAGACGCGACCGCGCCCACTGCAGCCGCTGCTGCGTACTGACGGGGACGAGGACAAGGGGATGTCATCTGTACCGTGAGTGATGACGTGCGTGCGTCGACACCCCCCGTTTCGTGCACACACCGCGACGCCTTCAAGCGTTCGCGCGCAGGGAGCCCGGTGCCGGGATGGCTGGAATTAATGCGCTCGCCGGAGGTGGCCGGTGCCGGTGTGGCGCGGCGGCAGATTGCTTGCTGCTAGCTCTCCGATCGCGATCGCGATTAGAGTATACGGTCACGGTGGAACTCTGGAGATCTTCGTGTGGCCGCGACGCTCGCGGGGACCGACGAAAGGCCAGCCTCTACTACCGTCTCGCTGGCGTTCGCACTGCTCGGACGCGGAGGACGTACATCGTCGCGGCTGCACACCCCCGGATTTTACTCTCTGCATCCTCGCGTTCACGTTCGCGATAACGCAGCTTTGGCTTGGTGGCGTCCGATGCCCCGGGGTGCGACTGCCTATCGAGTCGTAATGGTGACCCATCTTCGACGTTCGCTGGTAAGTCCTACTAGTAGGACTTCTGATCCAGATCTTCCATCTTCTTCCTTCGTCGACTCCTCGAAAATATCCCGTCCAGATGTGCTGGTCTCTTCCTGCGAAAGACTTGGCGTCTTCAAAGCGAAGCTCGAGGCTGCCGGTGGTGTTAAGTTCTCCAGGTACGTCGTATCGGTACGGCAACCGGCCGAACTGCTATGAGAGCACACGTCTGATTGCGCGTCGATCCTCCAGAATGGGCAGCCCGGAGGTCGCTAACCGGAATGCATCGCAGACCTCAGACGGAAGTTTGGGCAGGTACTCGGGGACGGCTCACCGCCGCGGCGATACTTCTACTTTCATTTCACGACGGCCACGGTTAGTGTTCTCGTAATTTGGGCTGAAGCGGCGCTCAGTTGTTGTTTAGGACGCGAAGACGACGTCGACTATACTTCGGGACGGTGAGCCCTCCCGTTTGCATGTCTTCCTAGGCCCGCTACTAATCGACGTTGCCGTGTCATTTAGTGCAGGACACTGTCGTCCTCACAAGTCTACAGAAAAGCAACCGCATAGGATGGGTCCGCAGTGCTACCCTTTCTCGTAGATATTGCCTGGACTGCTCGCTTTGTGTGATATTATACCCGGTATGTCGTGCGTTATGCATCGTTTCTACTCTTGTGCTATGTCATATATCCAGCCCCGCGTCCGCGTCCATTCGCTGAGAGGGTGTTTTTCCGAGTCCGACAAGGTGGGAACATCGACCGCCAATCAGACGTTCGCTTTTGAGATTAAAAGTTTGGCTTCTCCGTTTCTTCCGCCTCTGTTGATTGTATACATGCATCAGCGGACTGCCAGTTCAAGGACAGCCATCGTATATTACACTCGTCCGGCAGAAGTTTTCCGGGGAATCATCCAGCATTTCCGAGACAACAGCGATTCGTATCGTCTCGAGCTACACGACGTTTCCATATCAGCGAGAACGAGAGAGGGGGGGGAGGGGGGAGCGTTCACTGGCACTGGCAAAGTCGCAAGCAGGTCCCGATGGACCGGGGATGCCGACGCTTCTATATCCAGTAAGCATATACAAGATCAAAGGCTGCCCTGACGCCGGAATCACGACTCCTCAGGGAGGAAAGGGCGGCATTGCTGGTAGACGTGGAGGAGGCTCAGCGAGGAGGGTGTAAAATGGCAGCCGCGTTGCATGGAGACATTATCGACTCGCGCCGTCGAGCGCTCGGTGTGCTCCTCAGGTCGCTTGTATGTTCCCGACGTCTTCAGCCGGCACAAAGTGCGAGGGCAAGTGTGCGCCCGTCGAACGCAAACGTCGCGTGTAGGTGGACGGGGTGGGTGTGCCGGGCAAACTTTGTTGCTCCTACCATCGCCTGTAATTAGCACTAGTTCCTATCTTTTCTGCAACTCCTGGAGTTGCTGCGTCAACAGCTGATCTTGGCTTTCTGAGCACTGGCAGGCCCACAGCTGCGCATCCGAGTCGACAGTGAGACTACGTCATAATGTGAGATAAATACAAGCACGCCTCAGCCGTGCCAGGTTTTACGGCCGCTACAGAACGTCACGCACCCAAACTATGCTATCGACAACGCTGAGTGTGTCTGGAATTTTGCCACCTCGTCCATTCGTCAAAATTTCGGTCCTCAGCTCGGATTAGGTATTTCGCAACTGCAGAAATCGCACAATGCGTACGTAGAGGTACGTCCGTGTTACGGTGCTTCTGTGCCAACGCGCTAGTGGATGAGCGATTTAAAAAACATCGAAGCAGTCCACGAAAGCATTACCTGCAATCTGCCAAGTTCGTCTGCTACGATCTTGCGGCTCTCTATTCGTGATATCGTCGATCGTGGTGAGGTATCGTAGGTCTGGAAGACCTGCGGCAGCAGGGACGCGAATGAGAAATTCGACCAATACAGGTGCGAGTGTTTCCCATCCTGACACCACACCACATGCAGATATTTGAGGCACAGTCCACGATACACAATGCACCGCGCAGACAGACAAGAACACACAACGCTCTGGCACGGCACGAAACCGTAGCCTGGGCGACGGTGAATTATTACGCGACCTCTGCAGTGCTGAAGCTTGTGCTTGTGTAATATTATCCGCGTGCTTGTCACTGTTCTGCGTCCTTAGCATCCTGCCGACCGGATACGCTCACTGCCTTGACGAATGCGTTTGCGGTTGCAAATGGGTGCGTGCCGGCGAGCGTACCAATTTTCTGCGATTTGGCGCGGGAATCTACGCGTCTGGAACGTCTTCGAAGGTAACGTCCCTTCGTATTTGTTGCGCGCGATTGGCTCCCCCCCATATGAGATGGTTCCGTTAGGACCTTTTTCAACGGGTCAATGACTACGTCGCACAGACGGGCGGTTCGTCGTACAAATCGACGCTTCTCAGTGAGCTCATCGTGGGGGGCGATCTCATGCATGATCGTTGTGCAGAGTACACGAGTAATCCATGCAGCAGCGATCTCTCCTTATGCACAAAGCACGAACACGCCAGAACAGAACCACCAAGATAAGTCTGATTCGTACACTCGATCTGCAGCCGTACAAGAGTTGACGTACTCGAACAATTACAATGGAGCTTAGCTGATAGCTCTCCGGACGCGAATGACCTCAGTCAAAGGCAATGCCTCCGTTGATGTTTATGCATTGGCCTAATTATCCCATATTTCGATCAGCCGATCTCGATAGCCACCTCCGCCAAATTACGCCACTCACCGCTGACGAAGTGAGACTCTGGTTTTACGAGGTAGGAGACCAGTTCTCCGATGACAGAGGGCTCTGCGATTGGAATATTCCCGATACCCAGCGTGTCGCCCTATATACAGCTGTGATGAATCACGCTTCACTAGTAACAAGAGTGGGCCACCTACTGTGGTTAAGTTTTTCTCACTCGCAACCTCACTGAACTCCATCACTGTCCAGAGAGACTTGTCAGGACCTATAACTGCGCATCAACATTTGAACGCACTGAGCGGCGTGCGAATCATCCCAGGAGCATAGCTGTTGACAGTTATGCCGTGCTTCGCCCATTCGAGCGCTACAAGACGGTTTCAAGCAAGAATACGAACTCAGCTGTGCTTTTCGATGAGAACAAGGTCAAGGCGCACCACAAGTTTGAGTAAGTCCCCGCACTGCGAATTTTGACGCGGTGTACACAGAAAGATTGGTCACCCCTGGTCATGCAAAGTGCTCATGAATGCGGGCGTCTTTGTTGGCGGGTGCTCTGCAGACCCACCCATCTTACCGGCCAAGGAACAAGCGCCTGGAAATGATCGATCAATACCAGGAAAATGCGCTAGTCGGACAGTGGCAAGAATGACTTACCTATGATTCTTCCACCTCGTCCTTGTTTGATCATCTGGAGAGCGGCATACTTGAAGCACAGGAAGACACCCTTGACGTTGACGGACATAACGCGGTCATACTCTTCGATAGAAGCTGCGGCCGCCGATAAGTATCACAGCTCTCGAAGCAGACAGTACGCACTCTCGACGACGGGCTTCAACAGGCAGGTGCCTGCGTTCGCGACCATCTGGCAGTCAACAAGATATTCAGAATATGCGGCGCTTCGCTCAGACCCCGAACGCATACAACGTCCAGTCCGCCAAGTGTCTCTACGACCTTGTCAACCACGGTCTTCACGTCGTTCTCATTCGATACGTCCCCAGTCACGGCGAGAGAGCGTCTGCCCTTCTGCCGTATCTTCTCGACAAGCGCCTCGAGCGATTCTGCCATTGCAGGAATGTCGTTCACGGCAACGTCAAATCCATCGTCTGCAAGACGCAAGGCGACGGCCTCTCCGATTCCTCGAGAGGCACCTGTGACAACTGCGACGCGGGTAGTAGACATCGATAAAGAGAGAGAGAGAGATGAAAGAATGTCACTCTGGACTGGGTGTTAAGGCGGTCCCTCCGTGACCAGTTCAGCGTCAGCAGAACGCCGGCGTACATAGCCTGTCAAAAGTTCTCGTGACCCCGGTTCGCCGACGTTGGTTGGGTAATCCTGGGAGGTTTTAGTCTAACCTGGGAAGATACATATACACTATCGAGGTTGTAGTTCAAGGAGAAGCACCGGCGGCGTTACCAGATGACCTTCGACTGTGCATGATCAGAGAATTCAGCGGTCAGTCCTCCATCTCTTTTCACATAGCTCCTGCTCGCAAATAGCCTGCAAATGTAGATTCAGCTAACAGAAATGCACCAACGTCGATGACTCACTTATAACATGTCAGTACCTCAAGGGTATGTGGGTCTACCTCCCGACAGTCTGAAATAATTATGGTGGTCGTATGAAATGGTGGTGTAGAACAGAACCCTCATGATGCTAACTTGTGATGCAATGACTGTGGCACCGGAGACAGCGGGCAATATCGCACCTCGGACATTGTGGGAAAATTCTGCCTTACATTGTACATGTATGAGCGGCTCTTGCCTGCGAAAATTTTGCCTTACATCCTTTCTCAGCCAATCACGTCGCGAGAATAAGCCTGTTTACAAGATCGTAGCGGCGCTCGCGCCAGTCCCCGACTCTGACTGGTTGCTCACAGTTTTTGTATGAGCAGGGGTGTATGATCAATACATATAGTACAAGTACAGGTGGTGTGGTAGTTACAGTAATCAAAAACTACATGAGCAAGCCTTGCATCAGGAATACCCAACTTTTCCTTAAAGGTGTCCTTATATGACTTAAATGCACTTATGGGCCTTAAATAAGGTAAAAAAGGATGAAAAGTCCGTAAGTCATATTTCCTTAGAGACTTAAAAGTCAACTTTTGGAAACTTATAGGCCTTAAATAAGGCAAAAAAGGACAAAAAGTCGGAATAAGCCTCATAAGTAAAAGTTGAGTTTTCCTGATGCTTCATTGTCCTAGGCTCATAGATACAGCCTTTAGTTACCTGCAGGAAGACAGTTGTTCCTTTTGTACTGCAACATTAAACACACAGAAAATGTCAACATTGTCCAAGCAGTATGTAGAATAAGAAAAGGACATACAGTACTTGTACAGTACTGTACACTAGAGCATCGTAGCGGCGCGAGCGCCATTCCCCGACTCCGACGGGGTGCTCACGGTTTTTGTATGAGCAAGGGTGTGTGATCGATACGTATAGTACAAGTACAGGCATTTGTGATAGTTACAGCAATGAAAACCTAGACAAGCGAGGCATCGTCGTCATCGCTGTCATCCGAGTGGTGTTGGTCAGGCTCGGAATTCGGTCGGAAGACTCCGAGGAGGGGCATGGGCTCGTCCTCGAGGAAGCCGCGGGGCATCGATCCCGGATTGGCGAGAAGGACGATGGATTGGATGTTGAGGGAGATAGTGGTGTCGGCATTTTCGTCATCGAGTTCAGGGTGGCTCTTGATGTACTTCCCAAGAGTGAAGAGCAGGAGGACGGCAGACTCTGTGGAGAGATTGTCGTGGATTTTGGGAAGCATCGATATGGAGCGCATGGAGAACTTGAAGGGCTTACACCCGTCGAAAGTCGGCACTGTGGGAGGAGTGAGTTAGGGCACATGTGCGAGAAGGTTGGGGGCGATCTTACCATCTCGATCGGC